GGCTCATACAAGCTGTATACCGATCGATATCGCAACATTTTGAGTCTAGTAGTTTGCGCAAGGTCTAGTAGTTTGCACAGAGTCTAGTAGTTTGCGCAAGGTCTAGTAGTTTACAACGTTATATATTAATATCTTTATAAGTAGAGTAGTTATCAACAAACTAAATACAGATTTGAAATTGTGGCGTAATTCTATATCAAATTGTGTGGCTAGAGCGCTGCAACAGTGGCTGTGCAGCGTGTAGTCACGTGAGGAACACCAAAACTTAACCTCTACCTTTGAACGCGGATATCTCAACAACGAGAGCAGCTATCGATAAACTGAGTAAAGATCTGAAATCCTAGCGTAAATCTGCACAAAATAGCTTCTTTCGATCTTCTATAGCTAGCTTGGTAGCGTAGCTAGCCAACCGCGATCCTACTACCGCGATCCTACGCCTCGCTTCTTATCGCTCTCTTATCGCTACTAACAACACAGCGCGATTGTAGTGCAATCGCGCACATCCTCTAGGGTAGGGTAAGTCCGTGACAAGTGGCGGACGCAGTCCGCTCCGCTTTTTCTTTTTAGCGGAGCGCCCCCGTCGTCGGCTCCGCCTCTTCATCACAACATCCCTCCGCCCTTACGTGTAAACAGAGAATGGCCAGCAACGAAAGTCGCCGAAACCCACATTTGCGTCTTGCATGTGCGCGGTGCCAGCGCCGCAAGATACGTGTACGTGCAACTGCGCGTTCAAGTGGATCCAACTAATCATCGTGGCACAGTGCGATGGGCAATACCCAGCATGTAGCAACTGCAGGAAAGCTGCCGCGGAATGTATAGACGGCGACAGTGTTCGCTTACGTATTGGACCCGCCGATCTCAGCAATGCGCCTGGCCGTGGGCTTTTCAATAAACTGCGAAGGCGCGTCACGTGGCTGGAATCCATCATCCGCGAACGCCTTCCAGATGTTGATTTATCGACCACGCCATCCCGAGATGACCTTGAGCAGTCTAACGTCGAAGAGCGCGTCATGACGGAAAGCCCCGGTTCGGCATCGCGTCGAGAGTGTCAAGACGATTCGGTGCCAGACCTTGCTCCTGTACCAACCAATACACTGGATCAACGTACTCATGAGATCGGAATGATATCGATCGGATTCAATGCAGATCAAAAATATATCGGACCGTCAAGTGGCTACTTTCTTGCCCGTCTGTTGCTCGCAAAATCCCGGAGGATTGGCGACCTGGCGCCCAGTGTGAGCAGCCGACCGCTCACCACGACTCAATCCAGCATAGATGAACTCGTCAGTGCCGCACAAGGACCTCTACTACTACCATCTCAAAACGTTGCTTGTCAGCTAGCACAAGCCTACTTTGAATCGATTCAGCCCCAATATCCATTTCTACACGAAGAGTCCTTCCGTGCAGCCCTTGATCAAATCTATCGCAACGGTGCGCCTGTCGACTTTGTCGACAACGATGATGGCTCCATTTACTTCCAGACTTACATGGTGCTTGCGATCTCGGCGAAAGTATTGAATTGGAGGACAAAGCGACACATTCCTGGAGAGTCGTATTGTCTTTCAGCCCTGCGATATCTCGACCGTATCCGCCTTGGAACTTCCATCGAAGGTCTTCAATGCATGCTACTACTACTTTTATTCACGATGTATAGCCCACACATGCAACTCAACGTATGGAATTTGAACTATCAATGCCTGGCGGCTGTCATAGACCTTGGCTTGCAAAGGCATGTCGCAATCTCAGCGGACATCTCACAACATGAGCAGGACATGCGAACCCGCATCTTCTGGACGGTCTTCACCATCGACAGAACCATTGCAAGCATGATGGGCCGTCCAATTGGCTTGCGCGATGAAGCCTGCGAACTACGGGTAAGTCTAATCCTTGAGTCAACCCAGGCTAGATGCTAACTAGCTAAGCTGCCACAACTTCCAACCGATGCCGAATTGGCTACACACCCAGATTATGCCAACGGCCGACGCCACAGCATGGCCGTCTCGGTCCACCTTTTCAAGCTCGCAAAGCTTAACTCGGAAATTAAGTATGTCGCCAACAGCGTCGTGCGTAACGTGCCCACGTACGCTTATCCAGCGATACGCGATGTGTCAGCATGGCAGAGTAGTATGATGCAGCAATTGGATGATTGGCTTGCTTCAATCCCGCAAATACAACCACCAAATGACTACATCACGCTGATATGTCAACTTCGTTGTTTCTCTGTCAAGATGCTCCTTCTCAGACCGAGTCCAGCAATTCCCAGCCCTACCAGCGCTGTCTTGACAGCCTGCCACGCATCGGCGCGTCAATCTTTGCGGCTGTATGAACAGCTCTACAAGAGCGACCTTATGATATATGACTGGATCACTTTACACGGCGTGGTATATAGCACGGTAACAGCTCTCTATTGCACTAGGGCAGTGCGAGAGATCGCGCAAAGGGTGAACCCCGAGGACCTTATGGAAGATATGAGCGTCAGTCTCAGCATTCTCAGCGCAATCGGCGAGCATTGGTCTGGTGCCAAACGTGCACGGGATATCTTGGAAGATGCAGGCAAATCGACGATTCGCTTGCTTAGGCAAAATCGTGAAGCCTCTACTCAGAGACGAGCGATGGACCAGGCCGAATCAAATGCTCAATCTCTACCACCCAATGTTGGAGATGAGACCCAAGTGAATCAATTGATGGGCGGTGCAGAGAATGATTGCACCATGTCAGGTCTGGCTCAGCATACCAATCTTTTCTCAGACATGCAGCTCGATCTCGGTTCCTTCTCTGAATTGCAGCAACATCAAGAGCTATTCGGAGACACGGTTAATATTGACGATATGATGAGAAACTTATTCGACGATTTCATTCCTTCGGGTCAGAGTTTCTATTGATACCTTGTAGCGAGCGCCTACGTAGGACCCGCTGCTGTCAAGAAATCGAAGTCAGCTCCCTGTTGCGCTTGATTCACCGTTCGCATGTACAAACCACGGTAGCCTCTTGTATGGCTTGCAGGCTCTGTCACAGTCGCTTTCAGCTTCAATTTCCTCGATGCAATGCGCTGTTCGATTTCCTCATCAGAAACGCGAAGATGCAACAACCGCTTGTCAACATCGCATTCGATTATATCGCCGTTCTGAACAACGCCCAGCACAGAGTCGGAATTCGAAGACTCCGGAGATATATGCAAAACGATTGTACCCCCAGCAGTACCACTCATCCGTCCGTCGGAAAGGCGTAACATGTCTTCAACTCCCTTCTCACTGAGCTTGCGTGGAATGGGTATCAAGCCTGCTTCCGGCATCCCTGGATTTCCTACAGGTCCAATGTTCTGGAGGACAAGAACGCTGTCTGCATGAACGTCCAGCTCAGGATCATCAATTCTCGCTGCTAAGTCTGCAGAGTTCGCAAATACTACAGCTCGGCCGCTATGTTGCAGCAGCGTTCGGTCCTTGGAAGCACTGGCCTTCATCACCGCACCACCGGGGGCTAAATTGCCACGGAGAACAACTAGGGACGATGCTGGGTAAAGCGGATCGGCTAGAGAATGCAAACAATTCGTGGGACTGCTTCGAGGTACTCGTGCATACGGTGCAGAGTCGATTTCCTCCCCGAGACTTTTACCGGAAACCGTCATCACGTCCAGGTACAACAAGGGCTTTAGTGCGTGCAACAATGCTAGCATACCCCCGGAGTTGTGGAAATCGGTCATATAGTTTTTCCCGCTTGGTTTGAGATCAACCAGTAGCGGGGTTCGGCGTCCTATATCGTCAAACGTGCTCAAATCGATAGTACCTGCGACTGTCGGATGACGACCAATAATTGCCATCAAGTGGACAACAGCATTTGTCGAGCCTCCTATAGCCTGTAGGACGATCATAGCGTTGAGAAACGATTCGCGCGATAGAAGAGCCTGTGGAACTCTCCTTGTCGCTGCCGCATCCACAGCGAGCTTCCCACTTTCTTCAGCAATTCGCAGACGCGCCGACGAGACAGCTGGAGCAGTAGCACCTTTGAATGGCATCATGCCAAGAGCCACGAGAATGCAGGCCATGGTGCTCGCTGTCCCCATGACACCGCAAGTGCCTGCCTTCAAAATGTTATTCAGAATTCGATTTGATGACATCTTGTTCTTGCTTACCGTTGGTGCGAGCTCGTCGTTGATGGCTGAGATGTCTTCGACGTCAATTGTGCCAGCACGAAATCTAGCCCAGTTATTTCTGCAGTCCGTGCATGCGCCAATCCTGGCGCCTTTATAGCTTCCTGGCATCATGGGGCCGGTAACAAGGTGAACGATCGGTTTGTTCGCAGAGATACCACCCATCAACTGTGCGGGAGTCGTCTTGTCGCAGCCTTTGCACTAGTCAGTCATCTCGTTCCCACAGGAACAACTTCCGTCGGATCAAAGACCTCCAATAAGTACCACAGCATCGCATGGCTGTGCTCTGATCATCTCCTCAGTATCCATGCTCATCAGGTTTCGGAGGAACATGCTTGTTGGACTCGCAAAACTCTCATGAAGACTAATGGTGGGGAAGTCGATGGCGAGACCTCCATTAAGCTGCACCCCTCGCTTGACAGCTTCGATCAATTGAGGGATGTTGGCATGACACTAACTTATCAGCTTCTCTGGCCAGAGTGGAACGGATGTACACATACAGGGTTGAAGCTGCTGCATGTGTTGACGATACCGATGATTGGCCGAGACAGCGCATCCTCACTGTAACCAAGGGCTTTGATGAAAACTTTGCGCAAGAACAAAGAAAAGTGTGCATCTCCATAGGATGTCAGACCTTGACGAAGACCGCTCGCCGATGCTGGTATAGGAATGTCGAGGTCGTAATCAGATGTAGTGGCGCTCCGATTTGCAGACATAATGCAGACAGGTTTTCGTTAGATAGACTGGCTCAGAAACCCTGTCTGAACACGTCTATTTGTGCTGTGAACGTTAGTCATGCTTGCGGGCAAAGTCCGCAGAGAAGTCCCTAGCGGACATCGGCCGCTTCACAAACTGCGGACCGAGCCCGCTGCACTTGTACAAGAAGTCGGAAGGGCGTCATGCCATGTACCGAGAACAACACCGCCAAAACACGTCACTATGCACGATCTGAAAGGAAAGGTAGCTCTAGTCATTGGTCTTGGGCAATCGGGAGATGAGGGATGGGGTATTGGTGCAGCCTGCGCCGTACTTTTCGCTCGTCAAGGAGCTATCATTTTCGGCGGGAACCGCACCGTCGAGTCCACACAGAAAACCCAACGAACGATTGAAGAAGAAGGTGGTGTGTGCCATGTCGAAGTCACTCAAGCGACCGAATCGGGATCGGTGAAGAATCTTGTCGACGCCTGCGTTGCCAAACATGGTCGCATCGACATCCTCCTGACGAACGTGGGCGCCTCACAGCCTGGATGTCCGGCGACCATGGAAGAATCCGTATGGGATTCGCAGATGGATCTCAATCTCCGGAGTGTATATCTGGCCTGTCACCACGTCCTTCCCATCATGGAAAGACAAACCTCCGGTGGCGCAATTGTCTGTATCTCTAGTGTCGCGGGTATGAGATATATTGGAAAGCCGCAGATTGCATATAACACGACCAAGGCTGCGATATTGCAGTTTGTGAAAGCTACAGCAGTCATGTATGCTGACAAGGGTGTACGATTGAACACAGTCCTACCTGGGCTTATGGATACACCGTACACGAAGAGCATGGCAGCCAGATATGGGAAAGACTTCAAGCAATTCAAAGAAACAAGAAATAGTCAGGTACCGATGGGCAGAATGGGTGATGCTTGGGATGTCGCAAATGCGGCGCTCTTTTTGGTTTCGGACGAAGCGAGCTATGTCACTGGACAAAAGATTGTGGTGGATGGAGGCATTACCTCAAGTACTGGCAAAGTGTAGACCGTTCTTCGTAAATTTGATAGATATTGTCATTCAAAGACGAAATCCTTGTACAAAAGCTAGCTTCGACGCTGTCATCTTCTAGAGAGACCCGACAGGAACAACAGCTCTGCGGCAACGAAAGTGCATATTTTACCAAATCTTTTTTTCCTTTATGCCGCGTTCGCAAGGCCTTATTGTAGCGCTATGTACAACGATCTTATAGCTGACTCGATGTAATGTCGCTCTCGCAAAGATTTAGATAGAGGAACGCGAAGCAGCCGACTGAGGGCAGTTGTCACAGTACCTACCGTGGATCTCTTGACGCCTGAACGACCTCACAGGCGATAGATACTTATCGAGAACCCAGTCGTTACTGCTCGGCTGTGTGAGCAGCTAAGCTCTGCGCTACATGCACGGGTTATTTCCACCATTTCTCACCGCGTTTATCTTCTGCCTCTGTTTCCTTATGCGACGACTTGTATTGGACTAAGTTTTGTACGTAGCCATGATTCCCGCGCCTTGCAAGCGCCTAAAGCACACGCGCGTAGTAATTCGTGACAGCAGTTCTGCTTTTGTAGGGCGCTCAGCTCGGTAATAAAACTGCCCTACTTGGACTAAGAGCTGCTATCTTCTTACATCAAGCCTTTCGTGACAAATTGGCACATATACTCATCATCTTCGGCAACCTCAAAGTCAAACCGAGTAATGTCCTCCTTGTATGGCCACAGATATTCACTAGTAACTCTATGCTGCTGTTAGTGTATGTACGTGTCTGTGCTGTTGATACCTCATACCGCTTATGTTCCGAGCTTGCCTGATACTCTTCTAAAGCTTTACGGTCTTGATGAAAGCTTAACAACGCAAACTCATAGCCTTTGCTTCGCTCGATAGGTTCAGTTATAGATGGCCCTCCGATGATCAATCGATTATCCAGGACGCAGGAAAGCTTTTTGAGCGCCTTGAGTTGTGTAACGAAGGCGTCCTTGTGTGCCAACGAAACAGTCGGCTTGAACTTGAAAAGAACTATCATACTTCAGCGATGTTCGGATGATGTTGAGCGCGTCAATGCAGGTTATGCTCACCGATATGTACCACTGTCATTTTGGTCGGCTTCTGAAAAGGGTGGTATAAGTGATTATAGGAGGAAGCGAATGTACTGAATCGATTGTAGCAAAGCTTCGTCAAGATGATGCTGCTGACGGTCACAACGAAAGATTATGAGGTTGACAATCGGTGCGTGCGCATTCCGAGAGCCCATTGTGGGTTCGCGGAGATTGGCGGAGTCGTAGCGGACTTTCTCCGCAGGTCCAAATTCACCTCACACAGACTAATCAACATTCGGAACGATACCAAAGCGTTCGGCGTATGTACTACCAGCTGAACTAATGCGATAGCGTAATACATAGACCTAAGCGCTGTAGTGTACGGTGGGATAAACCTGTCTTTGGACAATATCAACACATGGCGAGGTTCATAGCCCAAGGCTGCTTTCCAAACACAGTAATAGGGAGTTTCCGGGCTCAAGAGGGTCTTTATTCTCGAAGTGAAACTTCTTCCTCTCAGCAGCGGGCCAGCATGTGATATCAAAGTAATTTCCTCCAAGTGGTGGACCCGAATGGAAGATGTGACGTGGTTCGCCGTACGTTTGACAGAGAATTCTCCACTGCAGGTCGTCAGGCAACGTTATTTGGGATAATATATCACCTACCTTTGTACCCCAGCCCCAGCGATCAACACACTCTTTTCTCTTCCAATAGTTCGCCTCATCCGCGTCATCGAACTTTTGTACGAATCTCTCTTCGATGCCCCGAACGCCTTTGATCTTGATACCGTTGGCCTTGGCGTAGGAGACAATCTTGTACGGCCAGCAGATTTCCCTAGGGTTCGATGATAGATATGGGATGGTCGTGGCTTGATCCAGACAATCGCAAATGAAGTCTCCAAGAAGTGCGAGAACCAGACCCAGGTCCCTGACCGGGGAGTGCTCCATGAGTAGCTTTGCCCGATCGAGAGCGTTTAGCGTGGCTAAAATTGCGATACCAATCATTGCGACAGTGTCCTGCCAGCGCTGGCCATCATCCATCATGAACCAAGGCGCTAGTTGTTGCGATTGAGTCCAGTGAGCGAAAGCTGACAAGCGTACCCAGAGGCCAACAGCAAGCTCATCGGCCAAAACGTGTCGCTTAGCCATGAGTGAGTTGATGGCTGTGAGCTGGTTCTCTATAACCTCCTGCAACCCATATCCAGTAAAGTCGTTCGAGACCACCATGTCGAAACTATCCTCGTCACGCTTGATAGATTCGAGGCTATACTTCTTGACGAGCTCTGCTGTAGCTTGGGACATTACGTAGGGCCAATTCGGGAATTTCTCGGCCTGCTTGCCATCATATCGCTCCTTATACCTGGCGGCCGTTTGAATATGCTTTCCTGTTTTAATATCTTCCAGGTCGAAGCCGTACGATGGTTTAGCGTACGTTACATACTTTAGCTGTAGCGTTAACACCTCCTTGAGCGAGAAAGGGTCAGCATGTTGTAGAACCACGGACTCTAGTCGTACAGACGCGTCCTCTCGGTCGCGTGCGAGTCTTTTCGCTAGCTTTGGTTCAGGCGGTTCGTTGGGACTGACATCTACAAGCGCTCTCTTCCTCGTTCGCATGATTTGTGGGTTGGCTCCCGTGGTTTCGATTGAATCTGAGTTTTGAAGCCTCCGGCATCTCCCTGATGCAAGTACGTCACCTACAGTACTCTTAGGTATGCCAAATACAGCGGAAATACGCTCAAAACTGCATGGTAACTCGTGTTGTTGGCAATACAGCTGCACAGCGTATATGGCAGCTCGCTTGGGTGTCTCTAGCTGTGACGTACTTGACGCCTTCGCCAGCTCGGGTGGAGGGGTGGTTATCCGTATACGCTTAGGCATAGTGTAATAGACTTCAGTAAATCAATTTGCGCTATTTCCGTATACAATATGACGCGTTTTGAGTGTAGTCTCGTCGTGATGTTGATGTGAATAGGTGGTGTTGCGCATCGCGGAGGAATCTACTTCCGGCTTTTCCGGCTCCCCGAGAGTGGGGAAGGCGGGTCGGCCCTTGGCACAGCGCAACCACCGATCGATGGTTGCCGCGCAGTGTCAATCGAAGCCCAGGCCAGCACATCAATAACATTGAAGTCGCGATCGAACCATTCTGGCTCTCTTCATTTCTCTTAGTCCTCAATAAATCTCGTCTCAGTCGCCGTCTGGATCCGCGATCAAGCTCGTTATTGTTAAGCCGCCAAGTTTCGTTCAGATGGAGATTGCTGATGCGCTATAGTGACAGCGACAGTGGTGCTGGCATTGCAACCAGCGCACGACACGGGTGACCCGCCCAATGGCTCGCTTACGGTAGATATGTATGCTGAATCCGAAACGGAAGTCATGGCTGTCTGGAGGACCATCGTTTATTTGATGTGAAGTGGTGGCAATGACGGATCGTCAGGTAAGAACCGCGCAGAGCGGCCGTAGAGCTTCACGATCTCGATCTCTCGCCATGTTCATCTACCTGAGCCATCGCATTGAAGTCCATAAAGGCAAATGAACTTCTGATCTCATTTCCGTTTTCTAAGACTAATCGTTTCCTCAATGGTTCCAAAGCCCACCGTCCTACCGTCGACACACGCGACATCCTCGCCGACGAGTTCGCCGTACCGCACCCTCAGGGCTTTGAGCTCCACCGACATATTCTCGATTGTCGTTAACTTCTCGCGTAACACCAGCCGTTCCATCTCCGTGTTGCCCCTCGTAGCCGTCATGATCTGCAAGAAGCCGCCGTCCGCTGCAGGTGTACCATTGCGTGATAGTGACTAGATTGCTATAGCGGCGAAGGCGGTAGCGGCTGCAAAGCAGATGCTGTATGGAAGGATGAGGTTCAGCGGGTTGGCGAAAGATTATGTGCTTTCGTATCGGGTAGTAGTGATGGGTACCATATCCCACCAGGCCCCAAGGGAGATAGCGGAGATGGCGATGATCGTTAAGACATCGTTGAGGAGATCTTGTGTGATATTTAAATACTCCCTAGGGTCACGGAGATGAGCGATAACTGTTTGGTCGCGAGACGTATCGAACACAGATCCTGCTAGCGGAGCTGCGAAACAGTCAGCCTCCGAGGTCTAGGCAAGCGAGACATGAGACGTACAGCTTGTGTTCATGACTACCAAGTGTCCTGAAACCCAGTCTCCACAGTCAAAGAATGTCGTACCATTTGTCGAGATACTGCTCTCGTTGCACCATGGATTGCCAGGATCAAGACTAACGGACATAGTACGTAAGTATATTTCATCCTCGATTAGTAGTCCTAACGCGTCCAACAAGGCCCACTCGTTGGCCAATGGGAGTAGATCATGCATTTGATGGTCCCAATCTTGAAGAGTTTGCGTATTTGCCGGGAGACTCAGCGATGCAACCGGAGCACTCAGCTCTAGATTCTGTTCGCTATACACAGCACCTTTCGGGAGATTGAGATCGACCTGAAGAACAGAATGGATACCCATTGGGGAGAGCAATTCAACGTCACTCGTAGTATATTGGACAGTCTGTATTCCATGTGGAAAGGATATTTCGACGTTGAAAAGCATCGAGTACGGTTTGCAGCTCAGCTCAGCTGTTGCGAGAAGGACTTCGTAGCTCGTTGCGTTTGTGGAAGTGCGGCTTGCCGTTGTTACAAGGTAACAAGGAGTTGCTTCCCTTTGATGCAGGTCGCATGAAGGAAGACCATCGGGCGAACACGATGGACGAATGTGGATCCGGGGCGGGGTTCAGATCACGTGATAGGAACGGCATCCCGCCAAGACTTGACCTCCGGGAGGTCAGTAAAGATCGGGAGGTCACGACCCCCCAGGTCTCCCTCTTAGAAGGGAGGACAGGGAGGACAGGTACAGACTGCAATAAGTATATAGGATGGACGGATTTCATTATTACACTCGTCGTGGTTAACTCAAATAGTTCATCTCTTACACAGATTGTCAACTAGTTATTCTATCGTTTATAGAATTGGTATTGTTTATCCTTTAGTTACAACGATAACTCTTTTCTACCTAATTATTCTATACGATACCTTACGGACTACTGCTTTAGTCTACCTCGCCTTAGTACAGACTGAGCCTAGAGAAGTATAGCTAAACCCCGTGTAACACTTTGACCACCTTAGATATTAGTAGACGTTTAACTAACAGGACTGCCTGATTAAGATTTAGCAATAGCTTATTAAGGAAATACTTAAGGCAACATAGCTTAGGGCTAGGGACCCTTAACGCTAGCACGCTCTACCCTAGAGAACGATGAGATGCTTAAAGCATTCGACGACGAGGAAGAGAACTCTAACGTCGCTGAGCTTAGGAATCTTAGGCAACACACAACTAAGTAGGCTTAGCAGATTGCTGAGATGCAGGCAATGATTAATTAGCTTGCAGGGCAACTAATGATGACGCTTAACAAACGACCTGTCGCTACTAGGAAACCTAAGATAGCGTCACCTAAGAAATATAGAGGAGACAGAGACAAACTACGAGCCTTCCTCACTAACATTAACCTATACTGCGAGTACAACGAGGTACTTAACGACTAGGAAAAGATCTTTATAGCAAGCACGTTTATAAAGGACAAAGCCTCTAACTAGATGCAACCCTATGTAGATAACTATCTGTTAGACACAGATCGCTAGAGTACTAAAGCAGAAACTCGCGCTCTGTTCGCAAGCTAGATAGAGTTTAAGGAAGAAATAGGACGCATTTTTAGAGAAGTAGACGCAAAGAACTAGGCAGAGAAGAAGATTACTCGCTTAAGACAGCTTACGTTAGTATTAGCCTACACAGCGGAATTTAAGCAACTACAGGCACAGATTGATTAGGACGACGCGGCACTTCGAATAGTGTTCAAAGCAGGCCTTAAGGAAAATGTTAAAGACAGGCTTGTACATTATAATAAGGCTGAGTTACTGCACGCTCTTATTAAGCTAGCTACGCGCATTAATAACTAACTTTAGGAGCAGAACGACTAGAAGAAATATTTCTAACCTAACATGCCTAACACTAAGAGGCAACGTAGAAGATTTAACAGAGATAGCGACGCTATTATAACTAGCAAAGTATAAGACAAACCTAAAGACAAGAAGACCTAAGGATAGAGATAAGACAGTCTCTCTAAGGAAGAACGCTAGAAGTGTTATAATAACAAAGTATGTCTCTAGTGTAGCAAAGTTAGACACTTCGCTAGAGACTGCAAAGAAGAACAAGTTAAGCAGGCGGCTATTAAGATTAGAATAATTAGACAAGGAACGCTATACCTAACTTACATAGAGCTAGATAATAGCCTAAGCGACTAAGATTTATATAAAGAAGCCCGCTTAGCGGACAAACAGGCATTTGTAATTGTTCTACGAATTAAGATAGACGATAAGGTCTTAGCTAAGGATAAGCCTAAGACTACAGACTAGAAAGTCAAAGGCAAGGACGTTTTAGAACGTCTAGATAATTAGCATTGTTAGATATGCAGAGATGCTGCACACTACGCTAACAACTGCAAGATTTGAAGCTAAATTATAATTACTAGCAAGAACGCTAAAGCTATTAGGCACTAGGCAGTGACTTAACAACCCTACTTCGAAGATTTAGAAGTTGAGGGCAAGGCCTAAGAAACATTTAAAGAAGAAGAGGATACTAACGAACACAAGAAGTTGTGTTAGTATAACTGCAAGGTTAATTGCACGTTCTATATAGAGGACAAAGAGACATGTAGGACAGACTAAGACTAGTGCTGCTATATAAACCTAGAGCTACAAGAGTGCCTAGTAGAGGAATGTTATATCTATAACCTAGAACCTACAGACCTTCACTACAAGCTCCTATAGACTTAATGCAAGAATAGGTACACGTACTACTATAAACAACTTAATAAGGCTCGACGAGTAGACGATTACTACTATAGAACACTATCGTCGAATATCTGCGAAGTTGCAGAGTGCCTAATTTACGAAGCTAAAAAGGCTTAACTAAGGAAGAGGATTACTAAGGAGGAGATACTCTATATTAATATTTATTAGAGTTTCTGTTATAACAACAGGTGTTTAATACACTACAGCTCTAAGAACAACACAGGCTATTTCCTTAAGTATAAGAGAAAGAAGCAGCTAAAAAACTAGGACGCTACTAGAGACAGGGTCTTACTAGTAAAGGCGCACTTACAACAACCTTAAGGAAGGTACAGGATACTAATAGTTAGGAGAAGCAGCTGCTTACAACTGTATCTGTACAAGGTTAGAAGATTAAGGCGCTTGTAGACAGCAGAGCTGCACAGACGATTATCTTACTCTAAGTAGTAGAGAAATATTAGATACCTTATAGGATTAAGGATCACCTAGTACTAGTAATACTAGCTAATAAGAAACTTATAGAATATAGAAACAGCATAATAAGGTTAGAGACTACAATAACTAAGCTAAGGATAGCAGGCATAGAGTGCTAAATAAATATTAACATTATAGATCTAGGAGGACTAGATATGTTAATTAGTTATAATTAGCTAAACGCCTATAACCTTGCTATTAACTAGCAGATAAAAACGATACTTAGAAGAGAACTTGTGCACAAGGTTGCTAGAGTACGTAGAGAGACGCGCCTAACAAATTAGAGCTTACCTTAAGATAGGAGATTTAGCAAGATCTCGCTTTATAAGATTAGGAGAATCTATAAGAAGGACCTTTAGAGAGTAGGAGTTATTTAGATAAGACGAGTCGCGACTACAAAGGAAGGACCCTTACTACTAGAAATACTAAGAGAGTATTAAACTAACGAGTTTAAGGAACTCTTTAAGGAAAACAAAGCTACAGATTTAGCAGACTATTAGGATTAGGATTACAAGATTATCCTAGATAAAGGGGCGAAGCTTAGCCTAGGACTAATATACCTAATAGCGCTTAAGCACGATGCTAAGCTATAGGACTATATTTAGAAGAATCTAAAAAAGAGATTTATCTAACTAGGATTAGGCCTAATAGCCTTACTTATCTTGTTTGTAAAGAAGCCTAACAGGAAGTAGCGACTATGTGTTAACTTCTAAAGGTTGAACAGCGTTACTTAGAAGAACTAATATCTCTTACTACTTATTACAGAGCTTATAGATCGACTCTAGGGAGCTAAGTAGTTTACTAAATTTAACGTTTGAGAAGGATTTTACTAAATTAAGATTAAAGAAGGTTATAAATAGATAACAGCGTTTAAAACAAAGTATAGACTATTTGAGTATACAGTTATGCCTTTTAGATTAACAAACGCACTAGCAACCTTCTAATTAGTTATTAACAACGCTTTCTATAAGTACCTTAGGATCTTTGTTACAGCGTACCTAGACAATGTACTAGTGTACTCTAGCGGAACGCTTAAAGAACATGTAGAATATGTTAAGAAAGTGCTTAGGAAGCTAAAAGAATATAAGCTGTACCTGCAGCTAGGAAAGTGCGAATTCTATGTTAAGGAGACAGAATTCCTAGGCTTTATAGTGTCTACAGAGAGAGTTAAGATAAACCTAAAGAAGATCTTAGCTGTATAAGAATAGCTAATTCTTAAGATAGTTAAGGATGTGCAATCCTTCTTAGGATTCGCTAATTACTATTAGAAGTTTATTAAGGATTACTCGAAGATTACAGTACTCTTCTTAGAGATTACAAAGAAGAAAACAGGATTTAGCTAGAACGAGGAACAACAAGAAGCGTTTAAACAGATTAAGCAGATATTCCTTGAGGCACCTGTACTAGAGATGTACAACCTAAAACAAGAAACGCGAGTCGAGACTAACGCGTTAGATTATGCACTTAGAGCTGTACTATCGCAGCAGTGCCTAGACAAGAAATAGAGACCTGTGTTCTACTATTTAAAGAAGTTCTCTAGAGTAGAACTTAACTACGACGTTTACGATAAGGAGCTACTAGGAGTAGTTAATACCTTTAAACAGTAGGAAGTATACCTATTAGGACTACTACACTAGATTGAGGTTTTTACTAATTACTAGAACTTAGCAGGTTTTATAATAACAAAGAAACTTAACTAATAGCAAGTCTAATAAGCTAAACTGTTAGCTTAGTTTGACTTTAAAATAACCTATTAAGCTAGAACACTTAACAGAGCAGCGGATGCCTTAAGCAGAAGATCTAACCTACAAGAAGATAATTATAAGGAACTACATAACGCTATATTTAAGAAGATGCCTAACAGCAGTCTACGATACAACTAGCTAGAACTAGCTAGAATAGCTAAGGTAGCTGAGCAGGTAGATACATTACAGCAACAATAGTAGCAGAGAGCAGCTAGCTAGCAGTTCGAGCCTGAGGAAAACGGCTCTAACGAACTGCTATAAGACAAACGAGAGTACAGAGATATAATTCGAGGAGACTAAACATACGTACCTCTACAACTAAGATCGAATCTTATTAAGGAACTGCATAAGTCTAAAGAATACAGACATGCATCGCTAGAAGAAATAGTTAGGCGACTATTAAAGGTGTTTGCGATACTACGCTTGCGAGCGAAGGTGTAGGATGTATTAGGCAACTGTTTAGCTTGTTACTAGAACAAGCCTAAGAGACATAAGCTCTATAGCCTGTTATAGCTCTTACCGCTACTAACCTAACTATAGAGCAGCGTAACAATAGACTTTATAGTAAAGCTCCTAAAGTCGTTAGAACTAGGATCTAGAAGATTATGCGACACAGTTCTAGTTATTATATGCTAACACACAAAAGGAGCAAAATTTGTGCTTACAGAGGAGACTATTACCGCAGAAGAATGCGCATACGAGGTTAGCAAGGCACTAATGTTAGAACACAGGATACCTAAAGAGTTTATTACTAATTGTGACAAACTGTTTACGTCTAAATATTAGGACACATTCCTAGCAAAATTAGGTGTAAAGAAGAAGCTATTAACTAGCTTTTACCCTGAAACAGATAGCTAGACAGAAAGAACGAACTAGACACTAGAACAGTATCTGAGGATATACGCTAACAAACTGCAAGACAACTAGGTTGAACTCTTGCTAACAGCACAATTAGCCTACAACAGTACTAAGTCAGCGACGACAAAGTACTTACTACACTACGCGAACTACAGGTATAAGCTAACCGCTTACTGAGACCTAAAAGATATAGAAAGTATCGCAGTAGGCGCAGACGACAAAGCCCGCTTAATGCGAGAGCTACACGAAGAATTGAGCAAGAACATTGCTTACAGGAACCTTATATTAGCTAAAGCGGCAAATAAGCAAAGGATTGAGGGACTAACCTTTAAGAAGGGGGACAAAGTTTTCCTGTTATATCAGAACTTGAAAACTAAACGACTAAGCAAGAAACTAGATAACCTCTGAGTAGGACTGTTTAAGATCCTAGAGGAAATAGGCACAGTAAACTACAAACTCTAACTGCTACTAAGCATGCGCGTCTACCCTGTCTTTCACAAAAAACTCCTAGAAAGAGCACCTCTAGATGCTGAGCTAGCAACAGACATAGAGCTTGAAGACGACGAGTACGAGGTCGAAGAAATTAAGGACCTGCAGAAAGTCGGTCGTTAGTAGAAATACTTAGTTAAGTAGCAAGGATAGCCTAAAAGCTAGAACACTTAGGAACTAGAAGAAAATTTGACGAACTGCAAGTTACAGGTACTTGAGTACTACTAGAAACACCTAGGGAAGCGAGGACTAGGTCCTCGAGGGAAAAGAAGTAATCAGAAAAAGGGTCGAAAGAAGCGTCAGCCTGTAACTAGCCCAAGTCAGTCGATGATCTGGGTAGCGATGGTTCGGTTGCTAGAAAGTCCGTACCCGGGGCAGAATTCCCCTCGGCTTGCTCTTTCGCACGATCCTGAAGACTCAAAATGGCGTGATCTCGATCGGCGAATGCTCGCTCTCGCGCCTCAGTCTCTGCCACTTCCAGGCGAAGCCGAGCGACCTCAGCCTCAGCACGAAGAAGCGCCAGGCGCTTCTCGCGCTTTTCAGCCTCAACCTTCTCCCACTCTTCCTCAGTCACAAACAAGCTACACTCAGCTTTCACCGAAATACAGCCCGCACACTGCCCAGAGGCAGTGTCCACGAAACAACGAAGATTCTTCTCCTCACACCGCTTGCAACGAAAAGTCATCTCGTTCCCTTGCTGACGGACACGGTCAGCACGAGCCTGGCGCTGTTGAGTCGAATTCTGGGTACGGACACGTCGAGAAGTCTGAACCTTGGGCATGGTCAGGAGAAGTGAGGAAAGGAAAGAAGAGAGGTTACGACACCACAGGAACACCTAAACCTCCACCGCCGCCGCCGGACTAGGCACGGGAAAACGATAATCTAGGGTATCGGGACGATACGCCTAAGAGGGGGGGTAATGTTACAAGGTAACAAGGAGTTGCTTCCCTTTGATGCAGGTCGCATGAAGGAAGACCATCGGGCGAACACGATGGACGAATGTGGATCCGGGGCGGGGTTCAGATCACGTGATAGGAACGGCATCCCGCCAAGACTTGACCTCCGGGAGGTCAGTGAAGATCAGGAGGTCACGACCCCCCAGGTCTCCCTCTTGGAAGGGAGGACAGGGAGGACAGGTACAGACTGCAATGAGTATATAGGATGGACGGATTTCATTATTACACTCGTTGTGGTCAACTCAAATAGTTCATCTCTCACACAGATTGTCAACTAGTTATTCTATCGTTTATAGAATTGGTATTGTTTATCCTTTGGTTACAACGATAACTCTTTTCCACCTGATCATTCCATACGATACCTCACGGACTACCGCTTTAGTCTACCTCGCCTTAGTACGGACCGAGCCTAGAGAAGTATAGTCAAACCCCGTGTAACAGCCGTCCAAGTCAGAGGTAAATACTTTACAACATAATAAAGTGGCGCATCTTGCGAATCTCGGTTCCACTCCAGATTCCAGTCCCATTTCGATACGAACGCTGGCGCGACAAGCGAAAGCACACTTGTAGGATCCCGAGGAGGTTGGTACTCTAGAGGAAAAGTCTTGTTGTACGATGTGCTAGTGCAACGGACCTGTGGTCCTCGAAACTGGAGATTGTACGTTGAATTCTCCCCAGGATATACAGGCAGATTGAACATCTGGTTATTAGTAATCATGGATTTCGCAATGTTTATCACGGCGAGATTAGCCCCCCTGTCACGTTAAGCATGAAGAATATCGGTCGATCCACAAAGCTTACCCATATGCCCATGTTCGTGGCCCAGAGCCGTTTTGAAAATGAAGGGTATTGAAGCTGGCGTAGGTAAGTCCAGGGAAACTGTCATTGCCGCCCAGATCAAGCTCTTGCGGGACGGGCGGGTTCATAACAGACATGTTACGATTCTCCGTATAGTTACGCGCCGCAAAAGTAATAACCAGCGTACCCGGGGGATAGATCATCGCGATTCCTAGAAACCAGACTAAGAGAGCCATGCAAGTTAGCAACGGCGCTCTCCATATGCTTTGCACATCGCACAAAGCTAACACATTGGTACGAAGTGTAAACAGCTTCTCGATCGTGTTTAGTGTGATTGCATTCCCACGAAGCACAAGCCACAAGTGCTGTGCGAAGCAGATCCCAACACTTCCTGTCAGTGCCGCTTTGAACATAGTAGTTAGAAGGATAGAGATCGCGGAAGTCTGGGGTTGCGTAAGATAGCTTGTGTCGGTAAGCTTGCCGTCCAGATTCCTGAACAAAAGGTAATGCCCTAAGGCGGAAAGAAGGGCTATGTACAATTAACGGCAGTGTTCCTCTTGCATGGGTAAACTGATCTGTGAAGAGGAAGCCCATGATTGTTCCTGCTGTTTTCCAGTGCGTGGCGCCACGCAAGGAAGCGAGCCGTGTGTCTTTGCCTTCTTGTTTGCTGCTCTGATTCGACTGCTCTCACAAGGAGGAGAGAGCAGGTTGTGTTTCATTCCCATCTTCGACATGTTCCACGCTGGCAATTGTGCCCTTATCTTGTAGACGATCTTCGCGCTGCGGTTGCAGTAACGAGTGTACTGGCGAGTGTACTGGCGAGTCCTCCTGTGATGGGCTGTTCCGGCCGTGTGAGGAGCTTGAGTTAGATCTCGGTATGTATCGTTCGCAAACTAATCTGATCAGAGATAGATGCCATTGTGAGCAGCCTTCAACGTGAAGGTGTACCAAGCTTGGGGGGAAAGGACACATACAGACCGAGCCTGGTCCTTGTACCAATAGACTATCAAGTCCAGACGTCGTAAAAATCGGTGAGGCTGAGGTCGCACGAAACTTTTAGGACTACGCCTACATGCGGCGCAGTTATCGCTCATCAGACCACAAATGGATCGATATAGTCGAGGCTCAGCATGATATACAGTGTCAGACTACGCCCTGCTTAGTCCAGCCAACCAAGGCTGTCGCTCCGCCGTTGTGGCAGGCATGATGTCCTCGCGCGATCGGTCTTTGGGTATGCGTTGGTATGTTTCACCCGGATCAAGGGTTCGCAACGCGCGCTCGAGGTGACCGCGTAGAACCCGCACTGACTGAGATGATATAGAGCATTACCAGTCCACGAATCGATATACGTCGCCATATATGTCAGCCCTCTAGAAGATCGCAATACAGAGCGTGTGTTGTCGAGGAAGGATGGAAAGCAAGATTTGCGCAGTGTCAATGTCTGATTACAAAGGTTCTACTGGTAGGCATCTGCCCACAAGATTGGGATGTCGGTTCCGATCGGAACGCGACGCGATTCCGAAAGCAACACCTAACCCTCGTGTGGTACTTGCACTTAGCATTCACACCCCTCGCGCCAGGATGCGCGGCATGACACACATGTCGCAGCTCTACCATCAGCAACGCATTGCCTCTTCCAGCCATCAAAGCAGTGCCGATGTACGCTCTGTCCGCAGCTGTCCTTGCACCATACCAAATCCTCCTCGCTCGCCGCCGTCGACCCGTCCTCTTCCAAAACATCACGACAAATCGCGCAATCCCCCTCGATCGCCTGCCTCCGCGCATGAACAGCATCACATGCATCACACTCAGAATGTTCGTCCCAATCGCTGCGACACATGCCGCACGTGAGTCGATTGCAGTCGGTAACGCATTGCGCACGCCAATCATCAAAGCATTTCTTGTGCACACTCCGACCGCAACTTGATCTACACCATACAATCTCGGACGCATCGCATTCGGAAAGAGAGTCTCCTTCGTAGCAGATGGGACACTGTTCGTCGAAGGGTAACCGGCGAGCATGTGGGCGTTGGCATCGCTGCGGCGAAGGGCGTGGCGCGACCTGCGACACGTTTGGCAATGGTGTCGCGCTAGACGACGACGTTCTGCCTAAGATTGCTTCAGTTCGCCCAACGGGTACCGCTGCGGTGTCAGGACGATTTGAGCTTCTCGCGCTCCCCGTTGCGACTCGGGGTGTGGTGTTGACAGCGCTGCGCGCAGCCCGGCCCAACGATGTACTAGGTGTTGGCGGCATCTCCGATGGTGCGTTGACAGATTCAGCAGCGGCTGAACTCGCGACATTGTATCGAGGAGGAGTGGTACTGTTCGGAGGCCCTAATTCCTGCCTGACCTGTTGCACGATCTGCTCAATCTGCGCGCGTGTTGTTTCAAGCTGGGCAGGCGTGAACGCGACTGTCGCCGGCTGACTCTGCATTGCAGACCTCCGGTCTTGCGTTCGATCAAGCTCGGCTGGGAACGCTGCCCTGATATTGCTCGTCCATTTGTTTACCAGCGCCTCGCCTTGTGTATGTCGATGTCGATAACATAACCCTTAGTTGGCGAGATTCACAAGGTCTGGTCGAATTCGCTCCGGGTCTGGCTGTTTCTTTGCTATCTCGGTAACCAAGAAGTACACGTCATCACGTCGGATCCGATTGTGGCACTCGCGATGCTTTGACGGTGCATACCCCAAGCAGAGGCCGTCCACACATAGATTCAGTACGTCCTCGGGATCCCATCAGGGCTGGGATCTGGACGTGCCAGGGATAGTGGCTCTGTTGGTAGGCACTGAAGAAGGCATTGTTCAAGAAAATAGTGTCTTTGAGGGAGTCTTTGAGAACGTGCGTTGATTGTGGGGATATGAGCACAATAAAAGTCGTGATGTAGTAGGGTTTGAAGGCGTAACGGTGCGAGTTGCACAAAGATATATCCATTGGCAACCTTTCATTCTCTCTTCACAGCCATGATCGCAATATCCAAGTAATTCCTCTGGAGGATTGTCAACCTGGCAAGACATGGGTCGTTTCATGGTGTTGAGACAGAACAGCTTGGTGAGCTGCGAATCATTATCTTTCCACGAGAAAAGCGGCAAACGGTGCATGACATACCAGGTATCTCGATACTCAAGAACAGCGCTGAGCCCCTGCGTTGTCATGCAACTCCCTCTGTGCAGCTCGAGGCAAGGCGGAGAGGTAGGCGATGCGCGCGAGGCTGATGCGGCGTGGTTGTCACCTGGAACAACATTCGTTTCTAATCATACAGCTGCACCCACTGCTCATTGGACGAGCTGGTAAGCCAGAACTGGGTAGAGGGTACTAAGCCTGACTAAAATGCTAATTTTAATCTAAAAGGATGTCACTCAACGTCTCAAGTCTACAGACTGCCTGAGAAACCTGCGTCCATCATGCTGCTCGTAAAGCGTCTCCAATAGGATCTCGTATTGATCATGGGCATCGCATTTGTTCAAAGAAAAATTCTGAATGAATTCAAAGAGATACAGTAGCCTGGAATCAGTTTTGCTGGCCTAACTGGTGCCGCTGCCATGTCAGGGCGATTTCTGCTTCTCGTGCTCCCTGTTGCAACCGGCGATGTCGTTTAGACTACGACATTTCCACTGCTTACCATGCTGTAGCTCCAAGGGTAACCGTCGAAGTGCTTCCCAGAACCCCCTTACCGTACGGTGGACTATGATAACGACGATGGCTTCACGCTTTCCCAGGATAGCTGCTTTCCCTAGATACTGTACAGGTGCACTAGCCTGGCCCTCCATGCAGTCAGGGACAAGACTCTCCAAACTTCGTCTTTCAAATTATCGGCGCACTGGAACCTGCCAAACCACGATCCTTTTTGTTCATCTCGTCGTCCTTAATCTGCTTATCAAGCTACTTTCTCAACGCGATGGTCGAGCTCGGAGACGGTTCCGAAATCCCCAAAACATGCTCGAGCACCTAGCTTGAAAGTTTAGCTTTACCAAGACTGCACGGAAGCCATTATGCACCCTACCACACCGCCTATAAAGTTCAACTCCCTGTCAAGCTCACTATCGCTCTTGATCATTCGAGGTCGGACTTCGGTCCATAGGGTTTTCATTATAAGTAAGATTTCTAGCGTAACCTTAAAGAATCTTGGAAGTCCTCAAACGCTCTATTTAAACCATCGAATTCACGACCTGGGTTTATGTCACATCTACTTTCCAACTCCATAATCTTCCTTGAGACATATATCGAAAAATGAAACTTAATGTTTTTGTCGTTTTCTTCGCGCCGACGGTTCTTGCTACAACAAAAGTATGGAATCTAAGTGGTAGCTGCAATGCTGCCAACGTCTGCGACGTGGATACAGCATTCAATAATCCGAACAACCCGAAGGTGTGTAATGGCAGAGCGGGACAGTATGTTGGCACAGGTATCAACGGAAGAACATGGTGCAGTCCTCCAGGCACCAAATGCACTTATGTTTGGAGGTGCTAGCTGCTTGCTATTATTCGAAAGAATACCAGTTAGGTATGTAGTGCTCTACAATCCCCTCTGATCCAGGCTAACATCCCATGAAAGAAGGGTCCGAGAACTACAGTGCAGACCGAGGCTGGTAGGTGGTTGTCCTCTTCAGAGGTCGTGGTATCAATGGTTAGTAGCAGCAAATCAAAACCTAAGGTCAGAGCTGGAGTTGAAGATTGTGAAAATCGCTCTTGGACGATCCAGAGTTGGTTCTTAGGGAAGAGCAGGAGTGCGATGGACAAGACATCGTACTAGCACGAATAGGAGACTAATGCAATCATACAAGTGTGTTATCACGATTCGTACCTCAATGGGATAACATGGGGTGGGTTGAGAATTATTCCCAACGTCTCAAGTTTATGCACTGCGTGAGAACCTTTCGTCCATCATGCTGCTCGTAGAATGTCCCCAGTAAGACTTCTCATCGATCACGAGCATCGTGTTTTTATAGAGAGGATCTCTTGTAAGATTGAAAGATATATAGTACATACTTGGAATGTAAAAGTACTTCCACCACGGTGCCAGAAGCTACATTGGGTGCGCCAAACTCGAACGTGTCCCATACATCCAGGAAAACACGACCTTTTCAAGAAGAACAGGATAGGTTACACAGCCATTATCACATGGGCATGAACTTGTGTTTCAAGGAGCACACTCATACGACTTCGCCTTCGTGACATCTCCGTCCTCCGACACAAGGCGTGTCTTCATGGGATAAGGGCACAAGAACCTGTCGTACTGAGTTCCAGATGTGTCACTGAAGTTGATTGGAATCGTATCCGGCGCAGTACCCCTTTCCACCCAATCGACAAGAGCCTGGAACGTGGAGGTAGGCTGTCCACCCGATCCGCCAGAGCAATGCGCTAGTCCAGGAACCTGGAAGTAGCGGAAGAAATCGTCGACGTTCGCATCCAGCTTCGTCACACGATTATAGTAGTCAGTGGTGCCTTTGTGTGGGATAAGTCCGTCGGCCTAACAGGAAGGTTAGCATAGGCTTGGAAGAGTACAACACTCGTCAAAGACGACGAGGGGCAAGGATTGCTCGATGGGAGATTTACCAGGCCGTGATAGGTAATGATCTTGCCGCCCGCTTTGCGGTAGTTTGAAAGATCTGGATCCGCGCTTCCGATGATAGAGTCGTACTGCTGCATAGCAGACTTGAAAAGGCGGGTGTATTCCTCCACCGATTTGATCAGCGTATAGTTCCACTGGGGGTCCTTCTTGACGAAGAGCTGCAACCATCCTTCACCAAGTCCAGTGGGAGCTCCGGTGCATGTGCCATTCGTATTGCACGTTGTCGCCGCGTAACCTAAGTCAGAGGTAGTACCCGTTGGATTAGGGCTGCCAGTGAGCCGAGATTGATAGTCAACACCGTACCAAAGGAACTCGCCGTTCGGACCACGCGGGCCTTCCCATGTAGCGTTTGCAATTATTGCAGCTGCTTCAGTGATGGTGACCGATTTGCCCGTCGAAGTACAATTGCGCACGCTGCCGATCATCGTGAACGGATTGAAAGAACACTTGTCCACGTCGCTGATCAGTCCGTCGGCCACACCATCGAGAGCGTCGCAGGAAGCGACAGCGGCTTCTGTGAGGGAGTCCAACTCGCATTTCGTTGGAAACTGCCTCATTATTGACATCATCACCTGTGCCCATGCTGCTCCAGGGATGAACTGGTTCCAATTGAACGCTGGAGCTGCGGCAGCAATGCCATCGTAAGCGTCAGGGTAGCGCTGTGCGAGCATGAAGCCTTGACGGCCTCCTTGAGAGCATCCACTCCAATACGAATATTTAGGAGGTTGTCCGTAGAAGGAGTTGATGACGTCTTTTGAAATGAGCGACTGGTCGTTGAGCGATACGGCAGCCAAGTTTTGGAGCGCATACATGTCAACATTACCTGGGCTGTTCAACGCCCATGGATCCGGAACATAGCTCAATCCCAGACCAGCATCCGTCGTTGATGCCACATATCCCTCTCCAAGCGCGCCGCTCATCGCCATATACGATAGTGGAAATCGTCCAGCAACGTAACCTCCCCCTCCCACGGATTGAAGTCGCCCATTCCATCCTTTCATTGGAAGCCATGTCTCCACGTTGATGGTGTCGTGCTGACCTTCGTGCGTATATGTAACGGTAATGTTGCAGTAGTAGACGCCGCGCACGGAAATAGATGGATGGTTGTAGTAGAACTGGTCGGAAACTTCGGTTGTATAGTTTGTGACAGGCGTAGCGGTAAGGTCGAGGATAGTGGCACCGAAAACCGTTGGGTAGGGTATAAAGCCGGCATCGCAGGCCGAAGATGGGGCAGTGATGTTGTGCATCGTGTTACAAAAGAACGAGTGACAGAGGCCAGGACGAAGGTAGTATTGGAGGCGGGAGTGGCTGAACATTAAGCTTTATTCTTCGATCAAGTAGCAGAAAGAGATGAAGACCCATTGACCTTACTATCACAGCCTCAGCACAATCCACGACATTACCTCTGAGTGCGCTTGCAGGTCCTTGCTCAGAAAAGATGATCACGAATCAGGACATACGGCGTATTGCGCTGATTGGCTACGTATTGCCCTGAGTCTGCGCTAGCATCTCGTTCGGCCACTCGAGCCAATGCTTCCAGAAGGAGCCCAGAAATCTGGAAATCTCCTCGATCAGAATTCTACCGACATTGCCGACAAGCCACATACGACGCCGGTGGTGCAGAACGACCGCGTAATGGGCGAGGATGATTAGCGCTTCCGGCTTTCGCATGGACAGGAGGTTTGTGAAGTCGCTAGACAAATTGATAGGCCAAATCCAGATCAAGCCGGAAGAAGGCGATTGGTCAGGGACTGTTTCGGTTTGGTACACGAGCTGTAGCTGAGATACAGCCGCGCGGCAGGTTGATCGAGATTCCTCACTCATGTCCGCTTGGCCCAGCAAGTTGGACAGGCGATCGGCTACAACCTCAGCAATTTCATTGTGGGACGATGATGCTAGGTTGATGGAATTCTCGGCGCGTTCGAAATAGGAAGATATGCTGGTCTGTTTCAGGAATTGCCAGGACTGCGATGTAACAGCGCGCACCCCACGATGCAGGTTCATGTACGTGATGAACCTGTCTAGTATTTCGCCTGCGCTAGCGTCCGCGATCACAGCGACTTCACCAAGCTCATGCAAGCCGATGAAGCTAGAGAATATCAACAAAGGGGCACAATTCTCTGCCGTGACCTCGAAATGTGCATCATTGAATGAGCTCAACGCCAGTGTCTGGAAGGTCCTTGCTTCCTCGCGATAAAGACCTGATTCGGCCGCATGTAGATAGCTCATATGCATAGCAGATAGTGCTAGCAGCTGATACACAACGTATGGCTTAGATAATATGATCGGCATCAAGGTTCGTGCCTGTCTTTGATCAATGGCGCCTGCTTCTTCGAGACTTGGCAAGGTCTCGAAGATGAAGTGATTGAACAACTGCATATGGCGCAGATTGAGCGACAGATCTTGTGCTTGAAATGATAACGGTAGTGGAGACAGGTAATCCTGGTTGACAGACGGCGTTACTGCTGCTGACGCACTACTGTGACGATCCCCTAGAATTGGAACACTTTGCGACATGGGACTTCCAATGTAAGGTTCTGTTGAGGCAGTATCAGAGATTGTACATGATGATTGAGCGGACCCTGCACGGCGAGTGGGTGGCTTTTGGTATGCGCAGATCCGATCATCTCTTGAACAGTTCTCGCAAGTCGGTTGTGCCTCATCGCACTGCGGAAGTCAGTATGCTTTTTCACTTCAGATTAAGTCGAGACAGATGCAGGTACCAGCGTCTAACAGCCAGGTCACTTACCTTGATGTGGCGTCGCTTACATTCTTGACAGCCAAGTCGCGACTTTCTGTGTGGTCTCCGTGAGGGGTTTCGTGGACGCATGACCAAACCCGACCCAGGCGACTATGATTGGCGTAACAAGAAACTAGTAAACAAAGATACGCAGAGCCAGAGATACGGATAGTAGCAAAGGAGTGTTGGAGCAAGAAGAATGCCGGAGTAGATACGGATACGCTGACTAAGAGTGCACTAGATTAGTGTCTCCCAAATCGGAGCTCGGAACCTGGAAGTGGGCCACGCTAGATTTTCTACATGTCCGCCTTCATTCGCCGCATACCCCTGCAGCGCCGCATGAAGCACTGGTGCGTCACTGTTTATACATCGTATTCAGCAATACGACGTATTGCCTTTGCCGCAGCTGTTTGACGATAGCTTCCACTCCTATCCTTCTCTCGCTCTTATTCCTTTGGCGCGCGAAGCTCATGTTATTACCGCAACAATTCGGCTACGACTACTCGGGGTAGAATACGACGTATTTCCAAGTATAGCGGATCACATTCTGCTTTCTCACCCACATCTGGCGCTGCATTTACCAAAGCACGTTCTGAAACTACAGCGAATCCGACAGATACAAAGATCTTGAGTCCTCACAATGTTTCGATCAAGATACCATCTACCATCGATTCCTATTGCCTCACCATCTCCAATTGCTTCGAGCTTGTCCCGCAGAAAGATTTCATACGAATTATACCCACCGACGCCTTCACCCAATTAGCCAAAATGGTCGATGGAGTAGAGCCCACCAAGGGAGGTTACTACCTTTGGAACTACCTCCCCTCGATGGCCGCCGCTGTTATATTTATCCTACTTTTCATGTTTACCACTGGCTTGATCTGGTGGCGAATGTTCCGTACCAAGACCTGGTTTTGCACCCCGTTTGTGGTTGGAGGTTTCCGTAAGCTTCGTCCCTCTGGTTCTTGTGATGAAGCTGACACTTTGATCATAGTGGAGTTCGCCGGTTACTGCGCAAGAGCGTCCGCTCACAGCAAGACCGGTAGAATCATGCCATTCGCTGTACAAAACGTCTTCATTCTCCTTGGCCCCGCTTTCTTCGCTGCATCAATCTACATGTGTCTGAGTCGCATCATTCGCAGTATACAAGCCGACCACCTTTCCGTGATCAAGCCTCGGAAATTGACGAAGATATTCGTGACGGGTGACGTCCTCTCTATCCTGGTTCAGGGAGGCGCTTCTGGCTTGATGGTTACCGGCACGCATGCAAAGCTCGGAGAAGGCATCGTGATCGCTGGTCTCCTTATTCAAGTGATCATGTTTGCACTATTCGCGGTCACAGGGGTCATCTTTCGGAACCGCATACGTCAACGTCCTACTCCTGAGTCGTACACCGTCGATGTTCCTTGGAGGGAGAGCTTACGCATGCTGTTCATCATCTCCGCTCTCATCATGGTCAGATCTGTCTTTCGCGTCGTAGAGTATGCCATGGGTAATGACGGGTATCTTCTGAGGCATGAATGGACCATGTACATCTTCGATTCAGTTCCAATGTTCGCGGTTACCGTCTTGTACTACTTGTGGTACCCAACAATACTGGTTGATACGAAGACCGAGCTGCAGAACATCTCTGCATAGTAGATTATATCTAGTTGCGACATTCCAACACTACGGAGTGTTCGGCAGGCCTTCTTTCATCATAAGTTTCGCTGTCATAAGATCCTTCGATATCTCATGATCCCAAATCCAATCCATTCTCGATAGCGCATTGCTTCGCAAAGCATCTAAATCATCACCTACACCTTCTCCCTCAAACTCCCATAGCTTACCAGCCTCCTTGCTTGTCGCCACTAGTTTCTGACTGCGCGGTCTTCGGACTGCATCGTACGCATGGAATACATTTGTAAGCTGTTCTTTCTGACGACATGCCGACAACAGCTCGCTAAGAACGTGGACATCCTCGATACACATGCCAGCTCCAGACCCCTGTTGAGGCGTTGAGGCATGTGCAGCGTCACCTACAAGACAGATCAAAGGCTTGGTGGTGTAGTATGTTGCCGCAGGAAGATGGTAGAATAGCGCCCAGATATCTGGCTTTTGCATATTCTCTATGATCTTTTGAGCAGCAGGTATGAAGTGTTTGAAGTCTTCCATCATCTCGTCGCGAGACGTCTGCACCACCCAGTTCTTATCCTCCCAAGTGGGTCGCGACCCAAATGCGACAACTGTAAGCGCGTCAGCCAGCTTAATAGTAACTTCCGAGTCGACGTACCATTAAACAGCGTTCCATTTGCTATGGGAAACGTGAGTATGTGGGCATGGTAGCCAAGCCACATTTGCGGCATTTTCGGTATCTCTTTACCCAAGATCTCGATTGCCTTCGTCATGGAAAAGATTCCACGATAAGCGTATTTTCCTGAGAAGACTGCTTGCGCTTCTGGCACATCGCCTAGCACAATTTGCCGTACGCGCGATTTGATACCGTCGCAACCCAGTACTGCACTATGCTGTGCAATAGACCCGTCGGCGAAATGGAGAATCGCATCTCCAGATCCATCATTTGCTTCTGTGATATCGCGCAACCTTTTCTTGAACTGCGCAACACCTTCTGGAACCAGTTTAACAAGCTCATCGAGAAATTGCGCACGGTGGACTCCGCCATTCGGTCCCTCTCTTGCTGGAATAGTGAACGATTCTTCCCCTAGCTCAACGCCCTTCTTCCTCTTGTCTCCCACCCTCGCTGTGAACCACACCGGTGGATCTGGGTTGACGTTTCCTTTGTTGCACTTGATGAAGGCGGCCTCGATTCGTCGGTCGATCATACCCATGGTGCGGACCATGACGGGCGAGAACCCAACACCAGCACCGATCTCGCCAAAAGCCGCAGCAGACTCATACAGTGTGACCTTTATGTGCGGGCATTTTGTGAGAAGCGCAACGGTCAGCGTCAGGCCCGCGATACCTCCGCCCACTATCGCGATGCTTAAAGAGCTTCTCTCAGCCATGATGGTAAAATTGGTGAGGATTCGCGTTTAGAAGTGTAGTAACAGCTCAGTGTACGCGGTTTGGAAGCAGTGGTAGCCGAAGGACTTGTGATGTGACTTGCTGCTCGTCAAGTACCCTGCAGCTGTTCTTGCGGCCTTTCGGCTGTTTTAGCATGCACTGACAGATGCAAGGCGCCCCACGCTTGGTGGGGCGAACGCTTACCTCACAGACACGCGGCTCCGATACCAAAACCTGACGCTTGTCGAACACGTCCGGCTGCATGGCAGAATCTGTACCAAAGCCCCGCCGTTGGGTTGTAATCATGCGAAGAATGATGCGCTCAGTGATTTCACACCCAGAACTGACATCTTGGCTGCGCAGCGCTATACGTATCGACAACTACCACAGCGCCAAAAAGTGTCTAGAACAAGTGCGGAATATGTGTAAAGGTTCATGGTCAGTTTTGAACGTATTGGAAGAAATCAGAAGAGTGGTCCATACCTCACAACTATGCTAACAAGTGCAGTAGTCCAGAAAAGCAATCGCATGGAAGTGTCACGTCGAGCTTTCAATACAGGTAGCTTTCGGACATGATAGTCTGGGTTCGGTATTAATTTCTCCTAACCTCTACATCATGAGTGACAGTGATACCTTGCAATACAACATGTTCGCTTTTAGTGCTGTTGCTGCGTCGTGGTTGCGATGTGACATGCACTCCCGGCTTGGAGTCTTCGATGATGCGCTCTTGACTCTCACTCGGACTAATGTCGCCGAGAGTCTCAATCTTGCCCCTTGCACCGCTACGCATTGCTCCCATGGCGAACGCATCCTGATGTGCGTTCCCGGTGCGGGGTCGCGATATCCCCAGCCCGATACCATTGGATCCGCTGTAGTTCTGGTACGCCCCACTCGTTCCTTTGTTGCTTCGCCATCTCTTTGGCCACAATCCGCCGATGCTCTTACGTAGGCTTAATAAGCAAGCGGTTATCACTCCACTCGCGGCCTCGATGAAACTCCAAAGATTCGTGGGTGCAGATTGCCATGTCGGCTCCCGGGTACGAAGGGAGAGGGGCAACGTGGACATGCGGAGAGCGGTTGTTAGGCAGATGAAGAAGCCCATTGAAAAAAGGACCATGAGACCGATTCGCGAGCCTTTGGACATATTCAACCCGAAGATGACGGGCATTGGAAGTATGAAAATCGCGAGGTCGGTAAGGAGATTCAAGATAGCATTCGACCAACTTGAGGGAATGTCAGTGATAGTTTCGCATACACTGAAGGGCAACATACCGGTGCCAGAAGAAGTTGATGCATGTTCCTGGTATCGTTCGATTATAGACTCGAGGTACCGGCGTGCATTGGAAGATGCAGACTACGACATATGAGACAGTCCAGCCAACTGATATGACCCCTAGTACAATGCATGCCTGTCGAAAGCGCTTCAGAGCAAATACACGATAATACAAAGCCAGGAAAGCCATTTTGTTAAAGCCGTTGGTGAGCGTGTAGAAGGACTGCGTGAGCCAGAACGACTAGCACGATGGCGTTAGCATGTCAAGCTGATATTGAAATCGATCATTCCCCTAACCTTGAGTGCTTCCGTAGCATTCCCGCCATCCCTTGCGATATCGACTAAGCGCGTGCCGAATCCATAGGTTGTCGACCGGTAAATAAACGCCGCCAGTAGAACGAGCCAAATCTACGATGGTGAGATATAAGCACTTGCAGTTTCTCGGCGGTGTCGTACTTACATTCGCCATGATTACGAAAACATCTTCCAACCCCAGCCAACCTCGACTTGTGATTGTATTCGTGATGCGCCAGATCAACAGTACTGTTGAGATGACCGTCAGCGTCACAGTCACCCACTGCAAGTCTTTTTGTTGCCCTTCGTAGGCGGAAAAGATCATGGCACCTGCGTCGGCGAAACCAGCAACCTGGTCAAGGGAGATTCGACCGCGAAGCTACGAATTCACGAGCATACTTATACTGAATTCCACTCGGTCTTTCATTGAGGCTGAACGCGACAAGCATCAGAAGCCGATTCCGTGCGGATCAGTCATCCGCTCGCTCTCGTCCTTGTATTGCATTTGTCTCATGGTAAATCTTATGAATCCTTCTCGGTGGCATTTGCGGGTATTACCAAGCCCGGTCACGAAGCAGCTGAACACCAGCAGCCCGACCAGTGTGTATACCAGCCACAAGTCAGGTGATCCTCTCATGAAGCGATAGCTGCAACGGAGATTGTACTTAAGATCACCCGAGAAGCTGTAGCCGCGGTTTGCGATGAACGATGTATGCGTCGCGCTTGCGCATGTATATGGGTGAACATCGGCGTATCCCATTCGTCGACTCGAAAGAGTATCGTAATTCGCCAGAGCGATAGGGCGGTTTGGTAACGGCTTGGCCACTCTTAGCTCCAGTCCACCTGTTGCCGTGCTGGAAAGATATCGTATCGTGGCTAAATGCAAAGCGATCTGCGTAGATCGATCATGGCGATGCGACGATGCTGTTGTGGTCGTCCAGTCTGCCGATCAGTTGCGCCATGCTTACCTACCAGCACCTGGTGAACTCCCGGTCCCCTACATCCTCAAAATTCAACACACTGATGTATCATGCGCGGCGCTCCCCCGGTGTTGCTATCGCGACAACGTCTCTGCGCCGGGCGTGTTGCCATTCTAAATAAGACCGAAGCGAGGTCTGGAGCGTTGTGGGACGTCTGATTTTGCGGGCCGCTGCGGCGGGGAAGATGGCGCCCCTGCCCAGGGAGGATCGAGCTTTCATTCCGAACACGCTAGCTCATTCACCTACATAGCCCTAGCATCAAGACAAGCCTCGTGCCGAAGTTCTTCATATAACGATAGGTCCACGATCCATGGTTCGTATAATCTCGTCGCCAAGGACAAATGGACGCAGAATCATGTCGGCAGGGTCCAATTCTATCCAATCTCGCACCCACTGCAACCCGCCCCATGTCGGTAACTTCTTTTGTGCAATACGTCGGTTCGCTAGACAGCCAATTGACATTCAATCGCGAGGTAATTATGCTGAAGGATCGTAAAAGGTCCGACGATCCTTCTCAACGATATGTCGTATTATCAGGCGATGCCAAAAAGCTTCGAGACACAGCAGGATTGCAGCTGAGGTTATTTCTCCCGACTTGGATTTTCTCCGGCAGTCAGAGCGTTCAAAGGACGGTATCGGATGCCGTGAGGGAGTATATGTTACCGGGCGTAAGTGTGTGACCCATCGTGTATCCTGCATCGTCCCTTGTCCTTGCTCACTCTGCATAGCAGCCAGCCTGGTGCTGATACTTGACGTTGTACTGCCGCGCAGCAACACTAATCTCTTTCCTCCTTCTTCGCTTCTCCATCTTCAGCATGGCAGACTCCAACTCCGTCGAAAAAGGCGCGTACGTCCAAGATGTACCGGTATCTCCAACTGGCTCAACCACGGAGCATGGTTTCGATCGCGCTGCCGAACGGCGACTTATCAGAAAGTTGGATCTGCGGATCTTGCCAGTGCTTTGGATCTTATATCTTGTCAACTTCATTGACCGGTAAGTCTGATGCAGCCTCACCAATGTCTCACGATCCATGCTCACCCACGTTATAAGAGCCAACATCGGCAACGCAAAGATTCAAGGCATGGAGAAAGAGCTGAACCTAATTGGCCAACGTTTCAACATCGCCGTGTGGGTCTTCAATCTGGGGTATCTAGTCGCTGGCGTGCCGTTGCAGATCGCCTTCAAGAAGTACGGACCGAAGAGTCTCTGTGTGATGATGTTCTGCTGGGGCATCACGGTCATCGGGTGCGGACTGGTCAAACGATGGGAGGAGCTTGTAGTCTGTCGCTTGCTAGAGGGTATCGCCGAATCTGCATACATCAGTGGAGCGGCATACTTGATCGGCGCATACTACTCGAAGCGTGAATATCTGACTCGCTACGTCTTTTTCTGCACGGCTGGCATCGTTGCAGGTGCGATAAACGGGTTCCTCTCATCGCTCATCGCGAAAATGGATGGAACAGCTGGGTACGGAGCTTGGAGATGGATCTTCATCATCGAAGTAAGTCGCAACTGTGCAGGTTGCATAGAATATATTCACTGACCTCTTTCCCTCATCTGTACAGGGCTGCGTCACGATCTTCGTTAGTATGGCATGCTGGCCTATCGTTCCTCCTTTCCCAGAGAACTGCACCTTCCTGTCCCCGGAAGATAAAGCACTCATGCTCGCACGTATCCAAGCCGACGGCGGCCACGTATCTGACGATGAGATTTCGTTCAAGAAGGCCTTGCATTTCCTCAAAGATTGGAAGATTTGGGCGGGCGTCGCAATGAATCTCGGCGTCACCGAGAACGCAAACTCGCTTGCCAACTTTCAACCCACAATCCTCAAAGGACTAGGCTACACAGCCACCCAAGCACAAGGTGAGCTTCCACTGCGGAAAATCCATACGATAGATACACTGACCCTTGGCTTCCATCTGTACAGTCCATACAATCCCTGTATATCTTGTTGGCGCTGCCTTCTCCGTCATCTTCGCCTACATGTCTGAGTGGTTGAACCGCCGCTACCTTTTCTACGTTCTAGGCTGGGCCGTCCTCGCGTCTGGTTTGATTGTGGAAATTGTGTATCCAACGAACCCAAAAGTGCGATATATGGGCATGTTCTTCATTGCCTCTGGCTGCTATCTCGCGATGCCGATATCAATCATCTGGGTGTCAATGAACTGCGGATCTGGGTATAAACGTGCTGTGGCTATCGCTGCCATCATCAACTTTGGAACTGCTGGAGCGTTCGTGAGCTCGAACGTCTTCTTATTCAAGGAGGCGCCTCGATTCCGTACCGGATTTAGCACAGGTCTTGGGTTGGCGTGTATGGGTGTTGTGGCTGCGACGATTACTTGGTTTGGGTGCAAGAAAGAGAACAAGAGACGTGATGAAGCAAGGTTGCAGATGCCAGAAGTGCTTGACCAAAGCATGAAAGAACTGGGCGATGAGCATCCAGAGTATCGTTTCGCGTTGTAATTGAGAATACACTACACAGCTGCAAGGAGCAGGATATCCTGGGACCAGACTTATTTGAACAGACCAGCCGTCCACGTCGCGATCTTGATTCCTTCGATGGGGGATATCCAATGTCAGGAATCAATTTATTCACTATCACAAGGAAGTAGGGGTACCTCAGCAACTTATCAAGTAGTCCAAATGACAAACATAATCCGTCGCAGCTAGTCAAACAGACAGCGGTTAATTGAGACAAGAGATTGAATGTAGATCAACGATATTCTTTCGCGCATGCAACCAAACTCGCTTTAATATACATCGCCTTACTCCGCCAACGCTCACCACTCCCGTCGCCCAGGTCTCTTCCTCTTAATTGAAGATATCTATCTTCTGCGACCCAGCTGGTGGCTCCCGATCTAGCCCAGCGTCCTTCAGAGAATTCTCAAGCGAGGTCCAACCGTCCTGATCGAACACATTCTTGAGCGCTTTAAGTGCGCCCTCGGTCGGCGGTACACTATCATCCAATTCTAAGCCTGGAACATCATCGAGGAATTTTCTCTGAGGCCATAGCTTGCGGAATATACCGAGTACTATGTTCCAATGAAAGGGCTCGCCATATCCCCACAGCCGTCGTCCAGCCGTCTGCGGATCGACGAGAGCAGCGACATGCAGCCTCGCATCGTCGCGAACGTCGATATGATACATGGGTACCACGCCCTTGACAATGGCTTCATCACCGTCAAAGACGGCTTTGGGAAAGCCTCCTGTAGAAGCGTGTCCTTGCTTCTCGTAAACTAGCGAGGGTCCAAAGTTGGCATTTGGGAGGATAGTGTTGAAAGTGAAGTGCGGCTTCTCTTCTTGCATGTACTTCCATGCTGCTTTCTCTGACATTGCTTTCGCAGCACCGTACACGATGAAGCCCTTTGATGGGTGTTGAAAGTTGGGATCGTAGGCGTACTTGATAAAGTCTTCATTGTATTGCCACTCCTTGAAATGACCTTTTTCGCCCCAGGCTGAGGAAGCCAAGGCAGTGGAAGTGAAGACAACGGCTTTGACTGATGCTTCTGCTTGAGCAGCCTTGAGAATGTCAATGGTTTCATTGACCATGTCGGGAATATAGGGTTCGGCTTCGGTGGAACGGTTGGTATTGACTGCGACATGGGCAATACCCTGAACGCCCTTGATGCCAACTTTGAACGCCTCTAAGTCAGATGAATCTGGGAGGAGGACTTGGGTGTATCGCCCTGGGCCGAATTTGGAGTCAAAGTGCTCCTGTAGCCAAGCTGCTTTCTCGAGAGAGCGAACTGCGCCGCGGACGTTGTAACCAAGTTCGAGAGCATACTGCGCGATCCAGGCGCCGATGTATCCTGTCACACCAGTGATGTAGATGGTGCTACCCTGAGGCAAGCGGGCGGTTGTTGGATTGAACATGGCTGTCAATATGGTCTAGAGCGATTGCCGAATCGCAAGGTGAGGAGCTTAATAATTGAGTGAGGATTGAAGTAGTGATGTCGTTGCTGTTGAATGATTGCTGTTTTACCAATGGACAATCATGTCGACTTATAACTCTACAGTCGGATGCCATGTTGACCCGATCATGGTGTTTTGCTCGCCTCGGAGCATCATGCAATGGCATATGGTGGTGTTAGTACGAACCTAGTGAAGATTACTGATGTGCGAAGCTTGTTGCGACTCGGCACAGAGTAACTGGCTAGCACTGATAGAAGGGCCGCGAGTCGGTCAAGGCAAAGTGTGATCCCTGTCACGGCGCACTTTTCGTCCGAACCTCAAACAGTATACCATGAATCTGAATTCACATCGCCATGGTTTTTCTCAATGAGGTGATGTACGAACCGGTGTAACTAGACGGTTTGGACGAAGGGACCTCATTCGGTGTCACTGCGCGTGTCGTAGGGCGCACGGGACGACAATCGTCCCACACAGATGACCACGACATCGCTGGTCAGTTATCGTATGGCAAGCTACTACTCAGGAGGTGCAAAGTGAGGAGAGGTAGCAGTGGAGTGTTGGCTGCGAAGAGGTGCTAAACGTGGTTGTGAATCCCGGTGTGCCTGCCAAGGGAAGCGGCGCTGCATTAATCCGATGCGTCATCGGCTGGGCAGGCATCGCGTCGCCCTCAGCACCAGCACCAACACCATCGTCACACATGCTCAGACACAACTCCCAGGTTAAGAGATAATAATCGGCTTTAGATGACGACACCCTGTATGTTTACGACGACATCGATGAATCGACTCAACGTCTGCCGGTTCCCTTCGCATCATCCCGATGCTACGATCGGTCTCGTCGCCGTGCGACATTTCGATCACCTCGGCATGGGAAGCGTCAGGGATTTCATGAGAGACTTCCTAGAAGCATTCAGTAATAGTGGTATCGCCTTTGCGATACGCACTAAGACGGCATCTACGTTCCCACACGCGTCATGTTGTTACAATGTGCCAGTATTCTCCGAACCACTATCTGAGTATGCGCCTCTGCTCTGTGACTACTTGCTGATTTTGCCATTGCACCTCAAGCTTGATTACTTCTTAACCGCGACCGTGTGACCTCTAGTACAGCGCAGTAGTCATATTCGATCGGGAACCTACACCTCAACGCTCGCAGATTTCCACGTACCTGGTGCTCTTAAGGTGTTCATCGGCCACGTCATACAGACACTGTATCTCGTATGTATGTGTCGTCGCACTCAAGGCATTCGCTCTGTTCGGCCGAATACGAAGCATCATACGACACGAATAAGTCGCCGCACTTGATCCTCAGCAAAGATGAACAGTATTGCGACATGAGCCGAGGCGGTGCAGGAGGAAAAGAGATACACGTGAAAGCAAGTTGCGGAAGAATACCGCAGGATTGACTGCTGAGTGCCAAGATGCGTCTTGCGTATCGATATGGATGCTGCGCCGTTACGGTGAATCGCATAATTGGATGGCAGAGGCTGACTGCAAGGCTGACTGCATAAGCCAGTACGCCCCGCTCACCTCAGGCGCTAAGTTGCGAGATACATTGCGGACACAGCTATATTCCAATGCTGGTCGTCTTTTCTTCCCTTATATCATCCTTCTCGTATCATAATATGGCTGCTTCGACAATGGCCGACGTCATCATCGTAGGCGGAGGCATTGCTGGGACAATCATTGCATCGCGGCTGCAGGAGAGAAAGCCATCTCTCTCGATCGTAGTGATTGAAGCAGGAGCTGACCCCGCCGGCAACCCGTATGTGACTGATCCAGCCGCGGCCGCGAACCTCCACTTCTCCGAATTCGACTACAACTACCTCACAACACCGCAAGAACATCTTGACGGAAATCCGAAGCGTAACGTTGGTTTCAAAGGGCTTGGAGGCGGAAGTGTTATTAATACTGGTAAACATGGTAGCTGCAAGCTGCAAGCTGTTGGCTAATTGTATTAGGTGGCTGGATTCGAGGCGATGCGCAGGACTATGATGAGTGGGCTCGAGATGTGGGTGATTCGCGGTGGAGCTATGAAGGTCTTCTGCCATACTTCAAGCGTACTGAGAAGCATTTCGACCCTGACGCAGATCCATCGCAGCATGGTCATGATGGCTTGATGCATACTGCATCTGTCAGTTCGTCTGGCCGTCAGTTTCCGCTACGCCAAAGGGTCTTAAAGCTTTGGTCGAACCTCGGTATACCTCATATTCACGATTTGAATGATGGCCGTCCGCAGGGTATCAGTGATCTGGTGGAGAATTTTGAGGACGGCAAAAGGCAGATGACGCAGTCCGTGTTTCCATTAAAGGGCGTGAAGGTGCTCACGAGCACTCTCGTTTGCCGCGTGCTCTTCGACGATGCGAAGATAGCCGTTGGCGTCGAGCTCGCAAACGGTCAAAGAATCGATCTTAACAACGGTGGTCAAGTCATCATCGCTGCGGGTGCCTATCGAACGCCACAAGTCTTGATGCTTTCTGGTATTGGAGACCACTCTCAACTCTTGCAGCACGAAATCCCGACTGTAGTTGACCTACCTAGCGTAGGTCAAAACCTGCATGATCATCTCATGCTATATCGATACTGGAAGCTGCGACACCCGGAGCAAGGTCTAGCCATCGGCTCACCTCTCTTCGGTGGCCCGAACTACGACAAAGGAGGACCAGTGGACTTCTTGGTTCGCGCGCCAATATCCACAAAACCACTGAAGTCAGCTATCGAGAAGGACGAAGGTCCAGTTTCTGATGAGCACCCACTGCTCAAGGGCCCACGCACTCACCTCGAGATGTTGCTCTTGTACATTGCCGTCGGAGCAGAAGCGCAAGGCCTTCAGATCCCAATCGACGGCTCTTCAATCATGACCTTCTTCATGGGCTGTCTTCCCACATCGCGTGGTTCGGTGACGCTCGCATCGTCTGATCCCGCTATGAATCCCATCATCAACCCGAATTACTACGCAACGGAAGCAGATCGTCACGTCATGCGTGAAGGCTTCCGTATGCAAACGGATCTGATGTTCAACACTGCTGAGGGTAAAGAGCTCGTCGAAAGCGAATACATTCCACCAGGCCTTCCAGCATCAGTGCAGGCAGAGGCAGATGCAACTATCGATGCAAGGATCAAGTTGGGTGCCGGTACCACGTATCATCCTGCAGGAACAGCAGCCATGGGGAGGGTTGTTGACGGGTCGCTAAGGGTGCATGGGGTTAAGAACTTGAGGATTGCAGATGCGAGTATCATTCCGAAGCCTCTTGCGGCACATTACCAAGTCCCTGTCTACGCGATCGCCGAACAGGCTGTGGATATCATCTTGGCTGAGTGCTTCAAGTAAGCAAATAGGTTGGACCACATGCTCGGCTAATGTTTCAGCCCTGTTCCTCGTCTCAGGATGCTATATGCTACAGACTATTGCACATTTTCTTATACGCCCTACAGCTCCACATGCTCAACTTTCCAACCACCCGGCATCAAATCCGTAAAAACCCTCTCGGGATCATACTTAGCCCTCACAGCCTTCAATCTTTCCACGCTTCCACCACCATAACCTTCGAACACCTTCTGGCCCTTATCCGCATCATTCAAATACACGTACCTGTTCAACCCGTTGACCTCTTCTAGCTTCCTCTCCATTCCTACATTCACATTCTTGACCCACTCAGCAACCTCGTTATCGAATTCCCCACCACTTCCCCAACTGATCGCCTCCTCGACCCAAAACGCCGGTTCTAATGGGATGTTTTGCGGCAGCCCCACTGATCTCTCAACCATCTCGCGGTTCACAATATTGAAGTCGAGACCCGCAAAGAATTCGGGCACTTTGTTCGCGAGATTAGAAGCAGCTAGCGAGTCGAAGAAAGTGTCATGGGCAATCGCAAGGTTCTCGGCCGTCGCTTTCATGGAGACGACACGGAATTTCTGGCGCAAGCCGTGGGATTGACCGCCTTCTCTGAAAGCTGAGCGCATGGCACGGCCATATTGTGCTAGCGAGATAGGGCGCATTGTCGCTGTGCCGTTGAGAGCCGTGAGACCTGTAGTGTTGCCGTGGATAAACTCGGCCAAGGGGCCAGAAGTTGGTACGAAAGTGCCATTATGGAAAAGTGTACTTTCGTAAGAGGGTACGGTGGAGCCGGGGCCCCAGCGGCACACGGGGATAATGGTCGAGGCCAGATCTGCTTCATTGGTCAAAGCCATGTTCAGGATGGCGGCAAGATAGGCGTCTCGAGTAACGTTGCTTGAGCCATAATGGGCGTCTGCGATGAGAGGGGTGATCGATGGAAAGGTTTGCAGGTCGAAACGCGTTATCAGCGCGAAGGAGTTTGCACCGCCACCCAGAGCCCAGTAAAGGTCGGAGTAAGTGCTGTTAGCAGTGATGGTAGCAATTGTACCATCTGCGAGGACTGCCTCGTATGCCTTGATCTTTCCCTCAGACGAAGCCAAGCCGTGCTTGACACTATACCAACTGATACCACCACCAAGGAGCAGGCCGGGCACTCCAACAGGTGCCAGGCGACCACCTATGACAGTCTTGTTGGTGAATTCCAAGTAGTTGAAGACGTCTCCCCATCGTGGTCCGGGCCCGATGCTCATCGTCTCTCCATCTTGAGACAGCTCCAAAGTGTTCAAATTGGTGCTTGAAATTAAGACGCCGGTATTGTTGATGTTTGCAGCATCTGAGATGGGCATGTGGCCGCCGCCCCGCATGGCGAACTTCGTGTGGGTAGCGACAAACGTCTTGACAGCAAATGAGAGCGAGGTTGCACATGTTGGTGCGAATATGCATGCTGGGCCGAGCCAGGCGGAGGAATCCCAAGATACTGGGCTTTCGTCAACGCACTGTCATTTGCTATCATGTTTTTCTGACTTACCCTGATTCTCGTCTACGTAGCCTGCATCGTCTGGGAGGTAGGTGATATTCGGGTAAGTGTTTTTCAAAATCTCGCATGCAGTTGAAGGATCCGATATGTTATAGCTAGCCACCGACTGGAAAGCTGTTACGGAGGCTAAAAGCGCGCAAGGAATCAATGTCCTGAATGTAATCATTGTAGATGTGTGTTTGAGATGTTGATGATCGGAATAGTGGAGTGATCATTACCTGAACGTACTTCATCTTTATACAAGCAGAGGTCCTCGGATGTTCGTCCATGTCGTATTCACGCATACGATTCCCTGTCACCAGAAGTAGTCTGATTTCGCGAGCTTGTCTATTTGTGGTACAAGCGAAGAATGCAGGGTCTTCCTCCTGCTGTAAATTACGTGTTGTAGTGCCTGCGCCTCAAATGCTGCATGGATAATGTGGCATTGTATGATGCAGCGGTAAGTCCAGGTCCAAAGAACTCATAAGATACCCATGCACCCGAGTACAGTATCATCATGTGCAGTCATTAATTGGGTAGTGCGGGTCATTTGGCGATGTCGCACTCGCATAAGCGTGTCGGTCTCGGTCTCGCATGCTCGCTGATCTTGGTGGGGCCGTTACATTTCACCCGTGCCGGCATGATCCGCAAGTTTCAAACGCCTACACCTGGCGCTATTATTATTATAGGGGATGTTTGCTCGCCCATAACTTTCTTCAATGTGTTGCAATAAGAACTCATCTTCATATCGCACGGATTGCAGTCAGCTTTTGCGATGCCTGTGAGCATTGTCTCAGGTACGTAGCACAACAGGCTAACTTTGTTGATGGCTCTTCTCTCTTGGTATCTGCACTATAACCATCTGATGAGCTGACCGAATTGCTCAGGCACAGCCTTGATCGTTCCGCTATTATGCGTACTGTACGAGTATACATTGTGTATGAAATCGTCAGCTCTTCGTTCATGCTAGCTCATGCCAATGTGAACCAGTTCAACAACACTCCTTTCTTCTCCAGTCTCTCCTGTTCGAGCCTCGGATCGCGATTGCTCAATTTACTAGTTTTTTGTGTCGGAATATGTCATAGTCGGTCGGATCATCACCATCAACTAACTTGGTTGTTCTCTCCTACCCGTCGAGATCGTGACCAGACAGTCTCGGATCTTCCATACTCATTTCTTGAGATTCAGTGTTCAAGAACCGTATAACGCGGCGATCGCCTTCGACTTAGGCTGCCATGCCCAACGTTAGTTTGAAGTCATGATGCAAAAAGCGTTGACTGTTGTTCGTTGATACTGTGGTGTAATAGATAGTCACGTGATGTTAGGAAGCCAAATAGTATATCGAGAGCTAGAAGTAACCTTGCAACACTACATTAGACACTTACCTACCTAGAATAGCTGTAAACCTTAATTCACTCTACCTAGCTATCCTCCGAATGCAGGTCAAGCCTGATCCTCCTGTACATGTGCACCTAGCTGACAGCTGTGCCACAATACAAGCAATCTGACCTAGGTTTAGCGCTGTGCCCCTCACCGCACCAGGGCTATCGAGACACGTCCCACCTTCTCTTAGGCATCCACTCTACAACTTACATCGTTTACACCATGCCTTACGATCGTGATGTGGTCGTCAACTGCATCAAAAGACACTATGATTTACTCGTGCGCATAGCCTACCTGGACCCCGACGTGATTCTCCACCCACCGCCTGGAGGTTGGAGTGATGAGGAGCTCGCTGTCGATACATTGAAAGAGAGGAAACGCTCGAAGAGAGTCATTGATCTTTTGCGGCATATGCCTTATTTGAGTAAGAATAAGGATACGGTGGGCAAGTACGAGGTCTATATCGAAACGGACGTATGCACCTACCTCCGCAATCATGGCTGGTTTAAAGACGAGTATAGGGATCCTTATGGTCTCATGATGCCGTGGAACTCGGAGCAGGACTCGCCTGCTGGTTTCATTCCGTTGAGCATAGGTAACATCGCAACCGTATGGATGATCGATACGGACGAAGGTACAACTGGCGCACAACGTGCATCACTGGAGATTGACAGCTTTTTTAGGGATAATATGGTCTATAGGATCGTTTATTGTGAACAATGATGCGCCAGAAGATCAGCCATGGCGGGTAGCTGCAAAGCCTCGCGATACTCAGGAGTACTTCGACGAGCTCTACACCGAAATTGAAACCTTAGTCACCGTTCCCGTACCAAAGACAAAAAGTGACTGGAGATGGTATCACGAGATACTATCATGTCGGGACAAGGATGGAGCAGTAAGTACGATTTTCTCTGGCAAAGCATGCTGAATACTAATCAGACAATGACTAGCAAGTTCAGCGCTTGCTTCAAGAGCATGGCTGGCCGGAAGCTCTCAGAAAGGAGGAATATCTTAAGGCTCTCGAGGAAGAGCGCTATGACGCTAAACGCAACGAAGAGAAGAAGAGAGAAGAGAAAGAGGGAAGACGCAAGACAAGGCACGAAATCGCTGTCGGCAAGACCTATGATCTGCGTTCCAAGAGTGGGAAGGGCGGTAGTACAGCGAGCTGACATATCTCATTACAGATCATAGTGTCTGAAAGCGAAACGTCTATAGTGAGAGCCTGGTCGCTGAATTGATGCCAGACTACCGTGAACCAGAGCAAACAAGATTTCTGGATTAGTGAGCTGATGGAAAGAAGATCAACAGCTTTTTCAGTCTTAATAAACGGCGCGACGGGTTTGTGGATAGTGAAAAGTGGGAATCATGATCAGTGAATGTTGCATACGAAAGTGGTCATGCTTACCAGCCTCTCTGTGAGCGCCTACTCGGATATGTCCACATGTAGCAAGAACCACAAATGAATGAGTTGACAGTGGGCGGAAGATTCTCTTGCCACATAAGGAGCAATTCGCGTATCAGGATGCGGGGTGATTGATTTGCTTGTGCCACAGCTTACCGCGGTTGATCCGTATGGTACGAGCCGCACGTTTCGACGTACTCATGATTCATTGTCTTCGTGTCACACCGTCTGCATCAACCACGATCACGCATTGGGTTGCTATACAGGTTGATGTTTCATAAGCCGGGACGCAAGATTCGATAAAGCGCCTGAATACAAGCGTACGAGTGGCAATGGTATAGCATGAATGTTGGCGATGCTCCGGAAAGTCCTCCTGAGGCGGCACGTCGAGTTTTTACGTCGCATGTGGAGAGGGTAAATCTGCGAAGGAGGTTACGGTAGCCATACGCGGCTCAGCGCAAGTGCGAAGCGGGGAAGCATGAACCCTTCTGCGGGGCGGCCATCGGTACACTTCATCACTCTACCAACAAGGATTTGACATTATTCCAGGTGTATGTATGCAATGCCTGGCCTTGAACATATCTTATCATTATGAACATGCTAGCTGGGGTACCGTTGCGACTGGATTCGAAGTTGCGCGCGTTCGATGCCTAGGTCGCCACATTACCCAGATGCACTACACATAAATGCACCTTTTGAAATTATTCCATCGGCAGCTGATCAGCGATCTCTAAGTGTCACATGATTCTAGTGCAGGTATCATGAGAGTAGATACCAGGGGAGAGGAAATATCGTCTTGTCTTTAGCATTCTACCTCGTCTATGTTGAAGTTGTCGACAGGCACTCTTTGAGATCAATGTCCATCTTCGAGACCGCGCCGGGCCTGCGATACGAAGTACGCAAGAGGATCCAACCTTTAGCTTGCAGAACATGTTTAGCAGAAGCGATCATCAAGAGCCCAGGCGATGTATCTCAGTCTCGAGAAAGAGAGGCCCCTTACCTACTCCAGTCGACTGCACCAGTCTAGCATGGAACTCCCAGCCGTAGTTGACTCGCCTCAAAGTACTACAGCAGTCTGCGTCGCAGGTCGACAGAACCTCCTCACTGTAGGGCAACATCTGTGCGCAATGGACACCGCCGCGCCCGTGGCTCTCACAAGTCCTCTCACTCTTATAACAGCAGTCTGACGGGTCGCATTGTTTCCATTCGTGTTAGTATTGGAACTACGCCATAATAGCGAATAAGAAGTCTCACCTCTGCCATGACAGTAGCAGCAATACTAGCGAGGATGATGCAGAGGGGTCTCATTTTTGAGAAAGAATGGTCGACGGCGGAAAGCGTTGAATGGGCGGTTTGTCTTCGATTTTGAAGTAGTAAGGAAGTGTTCTGCTCTATCATAGAAAGAGAGTAGGAAATGCCTTTTTGTATCTACCTCTAGAGTGGTGATGGTATACACCGGTCGTTGCGGTCGGCATAGAGACCATTAGATGATCCGGAGAGAAGCCGCAACATAGCGGTGAATGAAACCCGATGACTTATGTAGATCTTTATACTGACTTCCGGGCCTATGACAAATGTCCTACAGAGCTTGATTCCTATAAGACAATCCGCAGTGCAACCGCAAAGTGACCTTGATGGGACCGGAATGTGACCGTATGTGAAGCCTTGGCTATGAAGAAACTAACGCATGACATATCCCGTTGCGACTTGTGCTCTCTGACTTTGTAGTACGGTTGCGAAAAAGACTAGCCAAGGATCTCAAAGCCAAGCTGTTGATTTATCATGGCTGTATTTAAGACAGCTTCTGCACCAATATTTTCTCACCATCAACTTTTCTGCTTGTCCCGTCAACGCTCTTAGCAGCCAACTTACGAACATCTTTACTACTTTTCATCAGTCCATTCGATATGAAGGTCTTTCTCATCATTGCCAGCCTTTTTACTGCAATGGTTACAGCAGTGAGTGGAACCTATCTCACTCTTTCTTTCTGCTGATGGAGGTACTAACAGTTGTCTAGGACTGTGACCCTACTAATTGCTGTTTCAAAAACCATGCTACTTGTGCTCAACACAATGAAGGGAGACAATTTTTGACTCAGCACGAATACTGTGCGCAGCGATCGCCCTGTGCCGATAGAGTCTTGGCCACCTGCGATGCAGACTGCTGTGACTATGATGGCGCCGGTATGCCATGCTAGAAGCGCAACTTTTTGGTCAGCCTGGCTTTCTTTGCGAAAAATGAAGTGAACAAGGTTGTATTTGCCAATGGTCGAAATAGTGCATCGGGCAACTCATTGTGTTCCTGAACATTTCAATGATCGGATCAGTGAAAAAACAGAAAAAAGGGAACCTACGACCTATCTCGTACCTATTTCTGCTGTTGAGCATGTCACTCTTGTATTTGGGAAGCTTGGCCAAGTATCGGGGCTCCTTAAAGGGCATCCTGCTCACAGTTAATTTGGGGGGATGGGCTTTTCCAAATAAGTAGACACAATGAATCAATACTACTTTGAATCTCTTTTTTGCTCGCTCGCTGTCTATTTGTAATTCATGCCAACACCTCTTATCCGTTCTCTTGCCCAAGATCTTGTATCGCAATCTGTAGTCCTTGCAATCCCTACCTAAGGAGGCAGGTTTGATGTCGCAAAGACAAATTTTGTGTACATACAAAGCGCTGCCTGCGTACAGTGTCTTTTCGGTAAGACGAAACAATGCATGACAATCATCCACAGTGCTTGTCAAGAAGTTTGGGAATATTGTGTCAACACATGCCAAACGCTCCCATTGCAGTATCTACAGAACTTCTTGAGTCGGACCGGACAAGGCACCCTAGATATGTCAAATGCTCAGCGTTGAGCGTAGATCAGCGCCCGCAATCGGCAAAGTTGTTATCGTCGTCTGTGCTGCATGGCAGTTGGAATCTAGCATGGAAGAAGTCGGAGTGGGAGTGAAAGTGACATGCATGACTCGTTGCCACCGCTCAAGGCTGCGCTTGGGACATTTTTCATCGGCAATAGCCTTAACTTCGGGGGTATGGAAGAAATAGTTCCCTCATGCGGAAATGGCACTAGTCGCACGTCTGGTCACTCTCGGGCGATGGGCTACGTCCCTGTAGTAACAAATGTCTACTTCCCGGGACAACGTCCGTTCTGGATCTCTTCTTTCGTCATCGGGCCGCTCGTTCGTGGCGACGATCTAAATGTTCTATCTCTTGGCCTACCGTCTGTGCGCACCCAACAAGGTGCAACTGCATTAATCAAAGAACACAACTGAGAACGACCTGCGATTCCCCCTCGATACAAAGTCTTGTGATGCCATATACAGTCGATTTTGAAGAGGTGTCCCTAGGACTCGATACCATGGCTTTGTTTCGGGCAGACTTCCTATGTCGGACACGATCCAAATAGCGAGCGTATCTCTCCTGGCACCCTCAAGATGGTCTACCTTGGGTTCTCGGACTCCCTATCGACATAATACCACTACCATATCGAAAATGCATAACTCTAACTCGCGTTAGCCAGAGTGCCTTACGCAAATTGGAGGCGAGCACGCCGACGAGACAAAAATCTGCATGGCAAAGACACAGCACAAGATAAGTCATCAACACTGTACATGGTGCCGTGGAATCTTCCTGCTGGGGCTTTTATGCCCGTACAAACAAGTCAAAAACACCCGACATAAGGCCTTCAGATGTTTAATAGGCCTTTCGATTCTTTTCTATCAATCTGGAGTGACAGTGATGGGACGATCCTCAAACAGCGACACGAACATTACACTTCCTGGCTGCTCACCTCCCCTGCGTCATTTACCTCAACACCCTCGGACGGAAGCAATCAACGAAGGCCAAGATCTAGCATTGACCATCGTTAGGGTCGGACCTTTCGTCCACGAGTCAGCCATGCGCATCTACCAGCAGCCTTTACAGATGGGGTGAGGCAACCACACATACCTGTAGTAGAAGGATCCATGTGTATTCTCACCACCCCAACCACAACCATTGATCTCCTCCTTGAGACCAAACTTACAGTCCTGGTCGCTGAGAGATCCTGTTCCCGTGACCCAAACTAACATCACTTCTGTCAATAACACTAGTCCACGCCACTGGGGCATACATCACACCTAGGGGAGGAGGGCTTTGCGTACACTCGGCTTTCATGGTCTCGCCTAGGTTACGGCAAGCGTACTTGCTGTTGCCGTCGAAGTTTCCGGCTACCCCGCCAGAATTACCGTTGCAGACAGCGTCGGCAGCGTTGTTGGCAGCCTGGCGCAGATCGCCCCAGCCTGGACCGGTCTCGCTGTAACATCCTGCTGCGCTGGCTGTGGTCACAGCAGAAGCTAGGATGGCGGTGAAAGTGAACAAGTGCATGGTGGAATTGATATGGAGATGATGGTAATAAAGAATCCGTTAGTTTTCTAGCAGTGTTAGAGCTGGATGATGTCGGACGGCGAACGACAACAGATGAGTATTGGGGACGCTTTTATAAACTCTTCACAAGGCTCAGTGAGCTCAATCTTGTTCGTAATCACATCCATTCTGACCTTATCATCCAGGCAAGGCGCTTTCGGCGAGCGAAGCTCAGCTGCAGGAATTGAAACCAAGGTACCTGTAAGCATACGGTCGGTCGGCAAGTCAGATGCAGGAATCCCTCTACCCTATACGAACAGCGGCCGTGGCGATGCAATTCGACAGGTCAATATTGTTCAACAGACAGTCACGCCCGCTATCAAGTTACGCCTGAAGATGTGGTCCTCCTCTACATCGTTCTTATCGCCACTGAGCTCACAGACTTTTCACACCGTACGAGCGGCCCTGATCTCGCGATTCATGTTGGTAGATCAACGTGACAGTTCCACAATGCCAGGCAGAATCCCCTGATATCGTAAGCTGATGATGGCATCTGATGCTGCTCTCGTCTATACCCACGAGGATGTATAGGATGACGAATGGCCCCAAAAGCTCAATGGAGGCAATGGGAAACGAGAAACTTACTATGACTTCTCGTCCCGAGACATGAAGAATGCAAAATAAGACCCGACCGACGTTCGCGGTAATACAGGATCCAAAGGTGTATCGCCAAGCGCTGATCATCTTTCCGGGTAAACACCACACATGAGGGCGTAAGGTACCCTGGCTATGCACTTATAGGAGTACCTGTATGTTCGAATGCTATGGTTTGATTCGCTGGCACAGACTTTGACTTAATTATGATCACCTGATTTTTCACGTGTCTTTCAACAAAAAGTTCTCTTGCTTAAAGCCTCTCTAAACCTCTACGAGCTCATCTCGAATCTCAAGAATCTGTCGTCCTATACCCTGCAGTACACTGCATCCTAAATCGTAGCGATATATTGATCACGACCTGGATGGCTAGAGTACGTCTGGGAAGTACTCGTAACATGCAGTACATGATTATGGGTCAGTGTACAAAGCTAAGCGATGCATATTAAAGTGGGCAAAAGAAATCACTTCCTTCAATCCGCGTTTCGCTGCCCATCTCGCTCCACCCCAGGCTCATCAATCGTCGTCTTCTCCATCATCTCCACAACCTCCTCATCCGACAGCTTCAAGCTCAACCTTTCCAAGCGTTCCTGTAGCGCCTTCTCCGTTTCCCTAAACCTCTTCTCAAACTCCTCATCGTTCTCGCCCCCAAATTCCCCAGCAGTAGGCGTCTTATCCCCCTCTCCACTACCCTCGACTGCCGCAGTCTCTTCCGCACTACTACTACCACCAGCAATTTTCCGCTCACTCTCCTTCAACGCAGTAGCAGCAGCAGCAGCCCTCTTCCTCTTCACCTCCTCGGCCCTCCGCATACAAATCTCCAATCTCTTGAGACTACTCTTTGGCCACATCTTCTTCATGTTATCTCCCCTCTCAGCTGTCCTCGCCCCATCCGGCAACTTGACCCAGTCCAACTTGCTCTCCCCAAAAATATGCATATCGGGTTCCATGAGCGACGGAAAGTCCAGCGTCCCGACTCTCAAATCAATGACTGCTTCACCCAGCGCACTCGACGCCCAGAGCTGAACGTGGCATGTCGGACACTCTGCATGCCGACTGACCTTTCCCGACTTTGATGTCCGCGTGACAAACAGTGGTGTGGTGGAAGAAATAAGCTCGATATTCTAAAGCTCAATGTTGAGATTCAGACAGAAAGCGCTGCCGGTTTGTTTCTGGCAACTGGGGCTGCGGACGTGGAAAACATGCAAAGTCAGTGTGTGTATGTGTGTGTATGCGATGCATTCAGTACAGGCACAACGTACCAGTGGCATGCGTAGCAGTAGAGAGGAGACGTAAGCAAGCGATAACGGATAGTATCGCAGACGCAACCGCCCTTTAGCGCTGGGAAAGGTTTCGGCGTGGCCATGTCGGTGCTTGCTCGAGTCCCAAAGGCTTAGTCAGTGGAGTGGATTTGATTAGTTAGAGTGCGGAATGGGCGGAGTTGTGGGCAGGCGCGCGCTGGGGGGATGGAGGAATGACGTGGTGGGGCTGCCAAGGCCCCCACCGTTTCTCGTTTACGAGCGGAACCCCACAGCAACGCTTTGTCCATCTTACCTGATTGGGAGGTCATTGGCTACTCGTGCAACTACATTGAGAGTGGATAATGTACTGCTTCTCATATAACACTACATGAGTTCCGTGCAATCAACAAGGGAAGACGAAGATGCACAACACTTTGGCTCGACCTCATACCTAGGTACGCTTTCAAGCGGCAGCGACATGTCCATCTCTGAAAAACCAGATGTGGTACCACCCAGCACCTATTGAACAAAGTCCTCTTTATTATATCACCAAGTGAGAATCCACTAAACATCAGTGCTTAGCTCACGGAGAATCCCGAGTCAGGGTGGGCAATAAACAGGGATTTTCCGTTGATCAGAAATCAAACGTTGTAGTCATCATCGTATGTTCAAGTCAAAGCCCATAACGAACTCGTGACAATGTCCCAAGATGAGCGTTCTTGATCTTGCTACCCCAATTGTCAGTCAGACTACTACCATCCCCTCCTTTCAACTTTCCTTTGCCGCCTCCCGCGCACCCAGAGTGCATGACGATACGCCTTTTTCAATTTAGGGAAAACATATGCGAGGTGACGACTTTGTTTGTACAACAAGACGAAGTGCCACGAAGACACAAAGGATCGCGCCACAGAACGGATAGTACACCTGCCAAGTACATATACAGTTTATTTTGTTACATACCTCATACACACCTCCTTATTGCGCAGTAGCAGCAGCAGCTCCTCCATACGCAAACGCCTTCTCATTTCCATGCCCACTCACACCAAAGTACTCTCCGTCCAACAAGCCCATCTTTTCCATCATCCCCCTAACCTCATTTCGCTTCTCTGCCTCAAACTCCTCGGCGCTCAGTAACAACGTCTCTCCGCGCGCTTTGTGAATCTCGAGAGGCTCATGCTCAATAGCGTCAGGCCACTGACCAGCCGCATAGAGCGCGTCTTGCAGATCCGCCCACCTCACACTCACGCCCTCGAGAGTATACGGTTCGGCAGTCTTCTTCTTCAGTGCCTGTGGAAGCACAGACCTTGCAATGTAATGATCCCTTGCTTCGACTTGGGCTTTTGCATCGAATGCCTGTTCGAGCATGGATATCTTGGCGCGATGGCCGGCGAGAATCTCCTTGTCCATGTCCAAATCTGCCTTTGAACGTGTCGGATCCGGGTTCTCGAGTGCTTGGGCCAGAACGTGCGCTTGGTCTCTCAATTCATCCAACTGACCCTGCGCACCAATCTCATTAGCCGGCGCCGCTTTCTTGGCCAAGTCTTCTTGTAAGTTTCTGAACTGCTCTGCTTTGCGCAACGCATATGACAGCTTCCGTAGCCGGGTTTCCAGACTCTCCTTGGCGGCTTTTAGACTCTTCTGGTCTGCTTCATTTTGGTTGTGTTTCATCTTCAACTTGAGGTCCATGGAGCGAATTTGGCCTTGGAGCCACTTTACGTTATCCGTGGGCTTCTCCTTGGCCAACCCCGCATTTGCCAGAGCGTCAATCTGTTCCCATCGCTTGTCCAAGTAGACGGTCGCTTTCTTGTCCAACTCTTCCTGCTCTTCCCTTGTCTTGGCTCCGTGTGCTTCTTGTATGCGCAGGACCTCTGCTAGGTCGGCGCTGGTGTTGGCGCGTTGGTCCATGATTTTTAGCATGCGCTTCTTGCGGTCCATGCGGAGGTATTCTGGATTTGTTTTGTCCCAGGCTGTCTCGTGGAGGCGGCGAAACTCGCGCAGTTTGCGGAAAGCATTGTGGCCTTGTGCAGGAGTGGGAAAGGTAAGGACACAGTGGGGGACCCATTCGTCGGGGCGGAGGACGGGGGGTTTCGTATGCTTGCCCATGAAGGGGAGTTGTTCGAGGTGGTGGGTCTGAGAGGTGATTAGCATGTGGCAACCCAGGATATCTCCGTGTGTCGTACGTCGAGAAGCTCCTGCAGCGAGTAGATGATCTGATTCGTCTTGGTGTTGCGGAAAATGTAGATGATCTCGCCATGCCGAGCTGTGCCCTCGGGATCAACCACATCCCGAAGCGTATACGGCTTGATGGGCGACACTACACGCTGGCCCGTCGCCTGCCGCCTTGCCTTTTCATTCACAACAGTCTGCAGACGGAGATGTCTGGGGTTGGATTGACGCTCGACATAGACGGCGATGCGTTTTTGCATGTGCTCGACATGCTGCGGAGTGATGCGCCTGGTGGTATTGGCGAAAGTGACGGGATTTAGTGGCGGCTTGTACCGGAGCCGGGCGAGTGATCGAGGCATGGCTGCGGGGTTGCCTGGAGTGCCAATTGACGAGCGGGCGATGTTGGTCGACGGACGGGACGCAAAGATGCGAGAGAGCGATAATTGCGCACGGGCCTCTGACCGCGGGCGCCAGCAGCACCTCCGCCTGGCGCGATACGACGAGCTCTCCGACGCGCTTTCACTTGGGGTAAGCGATTACTATGAGCCGGCCATTGCCGTATCAGGTTGCTTCGATGAGGCTGACATCCATTTACTCGAGTCTCTCCTACCGCCGACCCACCCAACTAGCTACATAACATGGCTGGAGAGCCGCCCCAGGCAGCCGACCAGCTCAAGTCTCCACCACGTGAGCGCCCGTGGCTGCTGCCATACGTATGTCACTGACCGCCATCCGCTTGTCCCTCTCCTCGCTGACAATGTGTACTAGAATCGCAAGTTGCGCCACCTCCAAGGCATCACCATCCGCAACCTCACGCTTACCACGACTCCCCCAAAGTCGCGCGGCCGCACCATTGACGATGAAGCCATACCAAGCACCCTCAAGTCGCCCACCAAGGCGCTGGCGTTGAGGGAGAGCAGAGGCCTGGCCCATTCGCGCTCCTCGAGCAATCTTACCACATCCCCCGAAGACGGCGTCCGCACACCCACCAGGCCGGGATATGGACGGGGACTGCGAAGGCGCTCGACTATGGAGTGGACCAATGCAAGCCCGCTGACTCGCCAGAAGAAGCTCGAGGACATCACCGCAGGGCGCATGGCCGACACTTTCTTCAGTCTGCATGTGGACCATCAGGACGACCCGGTATACATCTCTGAAGTCGCTGAGAAAGCTATGAACCCAAACTTCAAGTTCTTCGACCTCGGACCCTGTGGCCCTGCTGTCACCCGGCTGGACAAACTCACCGTGAGGGTGTGGGCAAAGAGCGAGACAATGCAGGAATGGCACTATCTGATGGACTACACTGTGCAACTCCGGTCGCTGCAGTTTATTGGCAGGACACTAGGAGCTTTCAGGCACCCGCTGCCACAGAACTGCATACTGTTCCATATGACGGATGGCATCTACACCAGCTTCACCGATCTGCCGGTACAGGAGCGAATGCGCCCCGAAATACTTGCACCACCCAAAGAGAACCCAGATGGCAAAGCGCTCAACTCGTCGTCGTACGACGCCCTCATGCGATTGTCAACACTGGACGATTGCATACAAGATGCGCTGACTACGCGAGACCGAATTGCCGATGAGATTGAGGGCATACTCGCAGCCAACAAGGAAGATCTAAGCGCTGTCGAGTCGGTCGCCGAGACTGAAGACGGACTAGGGACGGTCGAGGCTGCGGTGACTGCTGAAAAGCGACGAGTGGTGGCTGCAAGGAGAAGACGGGACGAACTACAAGCTAACATCGAGTACCGAAGAGAGAAGATGCAAACTGGTCGAGATCGTCAAGCAGAAGCCGACACCTCATTACTCGAACAACGAGCAAAGTGTGCCCAAAGCAAATCTCTCATAGAGAAAACCATCGAGGACATCACCGGCCAACGCCGCCGAGTCTGCGAAGACCTCCTCCGAATCTTCCCCATTGAACCCGTCCCAGGCAAAGCCCTCGCCTTCACAATACGAGGCCTTCTCCTACCCAACTCCGTCTTCGACGACGTCAAAGAGGACGTGGCCTCCGCGGCACTCGGCTACGTGGCGCAGGTGGTCAATATACTGTCGCCTTACCTCTCTGTCATCCTGCCGTATCCGATTTCCCCACATGGTTCAACCTCCACGATTGACGATCCACTTGCCGTCACACAAAGTGGTCAGAATCCACAACGCACTTACCCGCTTTACATGAAGAACGTCGTGCGATATCGCTTCGAATACGGCGTGTTTCTGCTCAACAAGAATATCGAGATTTTGTCCAACGCGTTGGGGTTGCGGCCCGTGGATATCAGGCACACATTACCGAATTTGAAGTACTTGCTATACGTTGCAACGGCGGGCAAAGGCGAGCTTCCTGCGCGCAAGGCTGGTGGTATCAAAGGACTGCTGAGACAGGATGGTGTACTTTCCAGGAAGGGGAGCATGGACAGCACGGCGACTATGAGTAGTGTTGGTACGCCGACTACAGAGCTCAAGAAGAATCTGGAGATTGCGGGGAAGAGATTAGAGGGCGCCAAAGCAAATGGTGCACTTGCGCCTGCTCAAACCCATGCGCATGCTGGGAGTAGACTGAGACCTGCCGTATAAGGTGGACTAATGGAATGTATGCAACAAGCATGCGTGTACAACAGATGTATACGTCAAGTCATCGCCAACTCAAACACATGTGCATCTGCGTAGTAGGTTAAACTGCTGGAGAACTTTTTTTTCGAATACAAAACAAACAGCTCGTAGCATACACACATATTCCCGGTGGCATTTAGTCTAACTGCGTTTGTGAGTAGGTGCATATACGTAGATACGCGGAGGTAGTGAGACCACCAGTTCTTCACATGGCAAGCGAAAAGTCGTTTGCTTTTCGTCTTGGTCCGTGGCCCGATTTCCCCAGATGCACCTCTTTACTTGCTTGTTCCATGTGCGTATATCTGCGTATGACGCACATGTCCCCATGCGCGCGGAAGGATGCCGGGCCGGACCCCTTGATCCTCTCTCTCATCCAGGGTCCCGAAAAAAGCAATCGCTTCAGCAGTCGTTTGCTCGGATCTCGGTGCTCTGTGCATTTCCGAACCCAAGTTTGTTTAGAAGAGCACCACGCCCCAGCTGACATAAGTTTTACCCCTGGCCCGCCTGATTACTACTCGAGTCTCGTGGCAGATCGACACGCGCACACTTAAATCCCTGCCAGTATGAAATGTGCCAAGAGCTCTACTGCAACGCTGTCTTCCCAAGCAATTTCCGACACCAGCGAAGCTGCGGCGAGCCTCGGGAGAGCTGGAAAGGAGAAGCGACAACATCCACTTTTTTTCTACATGACTTGCAGACAGACCGCAACTTTTACTTTGGACTGAACCTCTTTTCTGTTCTGGAAGTTGATCCCGTTTTGTTTTCCCTTTCTCTCTCTCCCTCTCTTACACAGCTGTTTCGTCCGTAATTCAGCTTGTACACAGAAGTTGGACCCTTGCGGACTGTTGCGCTTTCTCCACCCGTGGACCTTTGCGGATCAGCGCTACTTGTCCTCCTCTCGACACTCACAATGACGGAACCGTTCCCTCCACTCAACGGCGCACTGCCACACAATACAGGAGTCAACGGCGCACCCAGGCGGAGAAGAAAATCCAGTGCGCTGGGCTCTGATGTACCCGGCGATGTCGATGTAGGAGCGTTGGCGACACATCGGACGAGCACCCCGCCGCTGAACAGTCCAAGCACCATGGATCCGGTACGTTGCCAGTTTCTTTTCTTTCCCTAGGACATCACCGTAGATACGTACAACATGGGCGATGGATGGTGACACTGGAAATAAAGTTGCTGACCGGCCGTGTTCTTCTTTTCTTTTGCAGAGATCAGACAAAACTACCCGCCGCTCCAAACGACGCTCAACCCGCCGTCTCCTCTCCAAAGCAAAACGCCTCTGCATCCGCCACACATGGCTGCTCCCTCTCGTCCTCGGTCTAACCATCATCTCGCTCTACGCCATCTACCCTTACGAATCGAACCCGCTGTCCGCCTGCCTCTTCCTCTCCTACCCGCTCGCACGCGACGACCCCCTCATCCCCGAAAACGTGCGCTCCGACCCCAATGGCCCGCAGCATTACGGCAAGGGCGGCCGCGACTTTGCTTTTGTCGGCTTCTACATCATCGTGCTGAGCTTTACACGCGAGTTCTGCATGCAGCGCCTCATCCGGCCCATTGCGATTAAACTCGGTATACGGAACCGCGACAAGCAGTCTCGCTTCATGGAGCAGGCTTACACCGCGCTGTACTTTGCTCTGTATGGTCCGTTTGGTATCTGGATCATGAGCCGCACGCCCGTGTGGTACTTCAATCCTATTGGCATGTACGAAGGGTTTCCTCATCGGACACACGAGGCGGTTGTCAAGGCGTACTATCTGCTGCAGGCGAGTTATTGGGCGCAGCAGGCTATTGTGTTGCTCTTGATGCTGGAGAAGCCGAGGAAAGACTTCAAGGAGCTAGTTGCGCATCATGTCATTACCGTGTCTTTGATTTGGTTGTCGTACAGGTTCCATTTTACGTACATGGGCATTGCCGTGTATATCACGCATGATGTCAGCGACTTCTTCCTGGCTGTAAGTTTTTCTCGCGACGATACGGAGTGCGAGAGAAAGATGAGTGCTAACAACAAAACAGACGTCAAAGTGCCTGAATTACATCGACTCCCCCATTGTCGGCCCTTACTTCTTCGTCTTCATGTGCGTCTGGGGCTACACGCGTCATTACATCAACCTCAAAATCATCTGGTCCATTCTCACAACCTTCAAGACCGTTGGTCCCTTTGAACTCAACTGGGAAACGCAACAATACAAGTGCTGGATCAGCCAGTACATCACCTTTGCCCTGCTTGCCTCGCTGCAGGCAGTCAACCTGTTCTGGTGGTTCTTCATTTGCAGGATCGCGTATAGGTTCGTGGTGTACAAGGATGCGGACGATGATCGCAGTGAGTATGCGCCGACGGACGAGGAAGTTGAGGAGAAGGACAAGTTGATCAAGGAGGGGCCCGAGGCGGACGCCGAGTTTGAGGGGTTGGAGAAGGAGCTCGAGAAGGTGGAAGATGCGCCTAGAACACCTGCGAACGGGTCGGGGCTGCAGGCGAGCGGTGCAGACAGCATTGGGTCGAGGGTCAAGCAACGGAAGGGCGGGAAGCAATGAAAGACATGACGGAAAGTAATAATGATGGAGACGATGATGGTATATGGGATTGGTAAAGGGGTCTAGAAGTGGGACTATTGAGCGCTGAACAGTTGATCTGACTCACCGTGGCTCGGACGGCGGTTTGGATTGGAAGCACTTTTACATAAAGGTATTCTCCTTGTCGTGTGTTTAATGCGAGAGGAGAGCTGATGAAACACATAAGATAATAATACAAGTTGTAATAGTCACCACGTTCATATATGGGTCTGCTTGGCAGACTTTCTTCCCAAGGATATGCGTTTCGCTCGGATGTCGCAGGACTAATTGGATAAGCAAGGACACGGCCAGGTAGATGCGAGTGCATGGAGTGAGCGCGAGTTCCTCCAAAAGATATATCGTGCGATGGGAACGTTAAGTGCCTCCCTTGTTACTGCTGCGACACCTACTGTCTTGCTCCAGCCTGCTGTACAAATAGCTTGAACGACTTGTACTACATTGAACTCGGACGCATCCATTGCCATCAGGACGCAATATGGAGACTTCATCCCGAATGGCTTTTCCCGGCCGTGCGAGAATCAGTTTGTATCCATGCACAGTGCTGACACTAGACAGCCTCGGATGGCTGGAGCTGGGAGCTGATTTGCACGTGGAGGTACAGATCGGCAGTGCATGTACGCTTTGCAAGTGCGAGTACGAAGTGCGAACCCGAAAGCATACGCACGACTAGCTAGTGGCCGGCTCACCCCAACATGAGTTTCGTTTCGAGTTCAGCTTTAGATATAAGGTCGACACATCTGACAGCGGCTCTGAACAGGCTAATCAACATACTAGATCCCCCCGTATAATGGCAGGCGCACTACAAGCCGTTGTCGCGAAACTCGGCTCTTTCAACTTTCTCTCACCACGAGGAATCGCAATTATACTGGGCACCACTCTCCTTTTCCAAATCCTCAGAAGCCTCGCCCTCATAATCTATAACCTGTATTTCCACCCTCTGGCCAAATATCCCGGCCCAAAGCTATGGATCGCCTTTGGCTTTACCCGCACCCTGCGCCACATGCGCGGCGACCTCGACTTGCAGATGGCGGAGGAACACCGCAAGCACGGCGAAGTCATACGGCACGGTGTGAATGAGCTATCATTTATCCATCCCAGTGCGTGGAAGGACATTTACGGACACGGCCACGCGGAGCTGCGCAAGTATTTTCCGCCAAACTCGGTGAATCCGAATCAAGTCATTGCAGCGGACGCGAGCAACCACTTCCGTATGCGCAGGGCCATGTTGCCTGCGTTTTCGGAAAAGGCATTGGCGCAGCAGGAGAGGTTGGTTAGGGTGTATATTGACCTGCTCATGCAGCGTCTCTCCGAGTGCGGCGCGGCTTCTTCTGCTGCTGGTGGCAAGACGGCCGACATGGCGCGTTGGTACAATCTCACAACGTTCGATCTCATCGCCGATCTCTGTTTCGGCAAGTCGCTAGATGGTCTGGAGACGGGCCGGTCGAATGCGTGGATCGAGAAGATTGATCGCATGTTACGGATTATGCCTGTTTTGGTCCTGGCGACGTCGTTCCCCTTGTTGATGAGTCTGTTCAATCTGGTGCTAGGAAATAAGATGCAGCAGTCGAGGAAGGAGCATCAGGAGTATGCTGCATCGCTCGCCATGAGCCGTATCAAGGGGAAAGAACAGGCTGATCGAGGGGACTTCATGGACTTCATTTTGCGCTCCCGCGGCGAGGAACACGAGTTGACGGATGAGGAGCTGGTGCATAATGCGGATTTACTCATGGTTGCGGGCTCGGAGACGACGGCTACGGTGCTTCTGGGGGTCACGTACTACCTCTTGAAGAACCCGGCGACATACAAGAAGGTGACGGAGGAGGTCCGCAGTGCTTTTGATAAGGCTGAAGACATCAACTTTAAGGAGGTCAACGCACGCTGTCCGTATATGTTGGCTTGTTTGAATGAAGCGATGCGTATTTTTCCGTCGATTCCTTTGGCATTATTGCGGATCACAAACGACGGTCCGCCAACCCCTGTTGCTGGACACTTGATCCCTCCCGAGGTAAAGTTTACACCCTCCCGGCTACTTCTCACTTAAGAAAGCGGTATTTGTTAACGAATTGCAGACACGTGTCGGCGTTCATCAGCTTGCCGCATACCACTCCCCCCTCAACTTCCACGATCCACTATCCTTTCACCCAGAACGCTGGCTACCGGAGGAATACAATGATCCCTCCTCTCCATTCCATGACGATCGCCGTGATGTGCATAAGCCATTTTCCTACGGTAGACGGGATTGCATTGGAAGGAATTTGGCGTTCTTGGAGATGAGGCTGATTATTGCATTGCTAGTGTGGAATTTTGATTTGGAGTTGGGAGAGGGCATGGACGGGTGGGAGAAGCAGAAGATTTTTGGGCTGTGGGAGAAACCGCCACTAAAGGTGCATATTCGGAAGAGGGAGCAGGAGGAAGGGTCCGAATAAAGGAAGACTGGCGGATTTTCTTGTATAGACCAAATCTTGGCGTATGTTCTGTCGTTTTGCTGTATTGCGCAGAGTTCCTGGTCGTTTTTCCTCGCCTCTATCAGATCTGCTGGCCTTTGCAAAGGCCAACTTGTCCATGTCCGACTCTCACTGCTATCCATGATTTCACAATGCAATCACAAGCAAGAATGAGCCACTGATCAAAATTTCTCGGACGCCATTCTCCTCTGGAACTTCGGCGGTGGTCATGGAATTATCAAATTCGACATCGAATTCAGGATCGAGCACTAGATCAGCATCCAGGCTACTAACAGCGCGTATAGGACAACTCTCGGCGTGGCACTCAAACAACATTCGGATAAAGCTAGGCTGGCCAGTACTATAGGAGATACATACAAATGGGTTGTGCGACATCAATGCAACTAGTAACCCAAGATGTTGCTATGTACGGTCTCAATTCGCAATCCGTCCAGCGATTAAACCACCCGTGATGGGTATATCTGCCCCAGTCGTGTACGAGGATGCATCGCTCAGAAGGTAGTTCACAGCGCCTGTTATGTCACTCGTCTCGCCAATCCGTCCCATCGGCGGGGCAGAACTAAACACAGAATACAGTTCTGGCTGTTGCGTTGCGCAGAGGTCTGTCATATCTGTACGGATGAATCCTGGTGAAACAGTATTGACACGGATTTTGAGCGGTGCCAGCTCAACAGCCAGCTGTTTCATCATCACTCGCACTGCGCCCTTGGTTGCTCCATACATGGGAAGCCGTTGCAGTGGAAGGGCTATGTGGGATGCGATCGAAGCAATGAACACAAGGCTGCCACCAGAGCCTTGGTCTTTGATCACTTTCGCGGCGAGCTGTGCACAGAAGAATGTTCCAAGGACCTCTTGAATGTCAGTAGACGGTAGAAGTACAATCGAGAAAGCTTACATTGACCTTGAGAAGTTTCTCGCATTCTTCCCAAGAGTGGTCGAAGAACGACTTGTCGGCCACTATCCCTGCGGCAGTGACACTTGCAGATTTAGCATCAAGTCAATACTCTGTCCAGAAAGGACCTACCAGTTATCGATGCGCCCAAAATCACTTTTGATCTGGCGAAACGTTTCTTCTAAAGCGTCCATCTTGGTTACATCGGTACTATCGCGATTAGAAACGCCACTCGATTTGCGAGTGGAATCTTACCGATAGTACTTGGCTTTGATGCCAAGATTTGACAAATCATTCTGCGGCTTCTCTAGCACGTCGAGAACTGCCACATCTCCACCCGCCTCTGCAACAGCTTCAACCAAAGATAGACCTATCCCACGAGCACCCCCCGTGATGACGGTGGTCTTACCCACGAGGCTCATTCTTTCGCTTAGCGGTCGTTTGTTTCCTTCATTTTCCTTGTTCTTGAAAGATGCTGATGGTGTATTCGAAGAGACGTTAGACGGTTTACCTATGTTTGCGATACCTCTCACTAGAGAGCCTCGTCTTGCGTATTGTAGGTACAGATTGCGCGTTTCAAAAACGGCTCGTTGGTTATAGGCCATGGTAGCATTGCTGGTCGGAATGCAAGGCACCCTAGGTCTTGATGACCTTGCGAACTCGCCTACACAGCGACCAACTTTAGGCGTCGACATGGTTCTGCGGGAATACGAAACTGTCTCTGGTACAAGATGTTGGGCCAGACCCCCAATCACCCACACCAACCATCATAAATATTGTATCAGCGGGCATTCCGTCTTTACGACGTAGCGTGATGCGGGGTCAATGTACAGGGTTGGTAGATCATGCGCGGGATTAGGATTCCGCCCCATGGAAACGCAGTTCGGCTATTTGCATCCCTCGATCGATCGGCGTTGGCATTACCGACCACACAACTTAGTCCATGCACATGTTGTAAACGATATTCAAGCTCTACTTTGAGCCGCTGTTGACAACGTGATGACAGAGGCTAGGTGAACTCCACAACAAGAAGGTCGGGTGCTATCTTGGCTCGGACTGAGGGGACGGATATGCCGTTGGACGACCACGAATTGCAGATTCTGAAGTTGAGGCTTCATGGTAGGCTGGTCTGAGGCATAACAAACTAGTTTCCAAATCGGAATGTATATATGACAATGGACCCAGGCTACCCATGGCTTACTGGGTTCAATCAAGCACCAAGTAAGCTGTGATCCTATCGCGCATGAATAGGCCAGTCTACAACTCCTCTATCACTGATCACAGTCTGCACATCAAGGGGAATCGTCGTAGATACACAAGCTTCAACCATCACTAACAGCCTTGCACCTTCCAGACCGACTATCTACATGCATAGGATTCTCACCTAGTTCCGATGTCCCACAAGACGCGCAAACCGACCAGTCGCAGCTCCGAAAACGTCTATCAAAGCAGAACGGAATCCTTCGTTTCTCTTCCACAAACTTATAGCAATAGCCAACAGACCAAGACCATATGTGGTGGAGCTGGCCGTCCGAATCCACCTACTTAAAGTCCTCAAAAACCAGAAATACGACCCTCCCTCAGTTTTGAATACTCCGAATCGAGGAATGCAAGCCTCTTTCCAGTACGTGCTCGCATACCCTGGCCAACTGGCAGCATTGCGGCCATGTTCGTTGATATACCAGTTCGAGCAGCCAGCCTGGAAAACCGATCCTGACAGTTGCTTGTGAATGCTATTGACCCATTGGCTCTCGGCTGTGGCTTTGACTTCGACGACCCTGCATCTACCATCGATCAGAGGAGCGAGGAGGTTCCGCATGACGAATTCGATCTGCACTTCACACGCGAAGAGCGCGGAGTTGTGAGCTGGGAAAGTGTTGGGACCGAATCTTTGGGGCGCTCGTCAGTTTGCAATTCAGGCAAGGTTTGTCGGTAAAGACGAAAGGACAAGAACGGAAAACTTACAGAATAGCGAAGTTGGGGAAGCCGTGCACGAAGGTTCCCATGTAAGCTTGTGCGCCGCCCTGCTCTTTCCATTGTTGGTTCAGTCGGTTCTTCCCCTTACCGAAGACTTCCATTGGAGTGAGGAACCGCTGGACTTGGAATCCCGTTGCTAGGACTATGACATCAAACTCCTCCTTTCTTCCTGACTCGCTGACTATACCTGTCTCATCAAACTCTCGGATTCCTTCAGGTAGGAGTTCCAGATTTGGTTCATTGAGAGCGTCGAGGTAATTAGGGTCGAAGATGCGACGCTTGCAGCCTGACAGATCAATTGTTAGCAAGGCCGGTGCTTGAGGGTCTGTGCATTCCTTACCTAGCGGAAAGTTTGGAACCAAGACATTGTGATACTTTTTCGGCGCCCGTGAGAAAATGTAGCGCTTTGCATGGTCCTCGACCTTGGCCCGCTTTGTTGTTGCTTCAGCACCAGGCATGTATGTCGTGACAAGATCATCGTTCTCCAGAAACAATTGCAATCTTTTCCATCTCTCCCATAGCGGAACATAGCGAAACGCCCATGTTTCAACTTTGCTGAAGTTCCGATTTGGTCGCTCATGATACCATTGCGCCGACCTCGCATACTGTTTGATTGACGCTACATCCTTGACCACTGCGGGGACGACTTGCGCTGCTGAGCATCCGTTTCCAATAATGGCCATTCGCTTGCCTTCGTAGTCGTATGAGTGATCCCAACGAGCTGTATGGAACATGGCCCCTTTGAATTTCTCCATTCCTGGAAACTTGACGTCCCTGGGATACGAGATGCCGCCGACAGCGGAAATGAAGACCGCAGCGCAGCGCACAAATTCAGTCTTTGTCTTGAGATCCTTGAAGCGCACATCCCACTTCTTGGTCTCTTCGTTCCAGTTCGCGCCCAAGCACTCGATAGAGAACTCCATGTGCGCTCGCAAGTCATACTTATCGACGGTGGCTTCCATGTACTCCAAGATCTCGGGGCCGTCGCACAACTCCTTGGACCAATTTGGGTTGAGGTTGAAGGCAAACGAGTACAGGATTGTAGGCACGTCGCAGCCAACACCTGGATACGTGTTTGTACGCCATGTCCCGCCCACTCCGTCGAGCTTCTCATAAATGGTGAAATCGGTGAACCCCAGCTTGTGCTTCATCGTGTGCGCCATAGAAATACCAGACGGTCCAGCGCCGATAACAATTACGTTGGGAGACGACATGCTGCATGGATGGGGCGCCAAAAGACGAAAGATGATGAGAGAACGTGAGAACAAACAATTCGCTCTCGTGTCAAGCTGAGCACGTCTCGCGCGCTTTTAAAAGCAACTAGATCTGCACAACCACCCATTACAGGTAGGTCGCCACCCCGCTGCTGTGCGAATTACCTGATTCCCATGAAGCCCAGACATAACCAATATGGATGCGCATCCCCCCTCTACGTAGCGATACGGAATCCAAACCACAGCTCTTCAAGTCCCACGGAATTTGAATCCCGTTGATCAGAATGCGGGGATGTGCGCTAGTCTTGACACGCGCTAGTCCCATGCAGGACTGACGATTACCCCAGATTCGTACTAGACCAAAAACAGATATATGCCGGTATGGGGTGTTCAGGTATAAGAAATGGATGTGGTACTGCTTTGCTCGAGCCAACGTAATCTACGAAACGTAATCTGTCAATCAAAATGCTTGGATTCATCAAAGGACGAACTATGTACCGCTTGATGCGGATGAGTTGTGGTGTGGTATGCAAGATGTGTTGCATTCTGTTTCGTTCTTACTTACAAGTGAACATAGTCTTTCATGCTCTACGGGTAATACTGCCTCGACAATCGCTACGCCAAAGCGGATGCTGAATTTTCTAGCTATGATGCTGGTGTTTTGGGTGGGGTGCAAGGCACAGATGCCTTTCTTAAAGCTATGGGCGTCAGTGACCCAACATGTTTCGGCTTCCAACAGCTAACATACCTTCAGTATCCTACTGGCACATACGTCATTCCAATGATTGCATCCTCGTATACCCTTGCCGCCACCATCTGTTGCCTCATCGTCTCTATCATTGGCATGCCTCTCGGTCGTCGCAACATCATTCTCCTCGGTAACGCCTTCGTTGTTGTGGGTGCAGTCATACAAGCCAGTTCTTGGTCCGTCGGGCAGATTATCGCAGGGCGTATCCTTTGCGGCTTCGGAATTGGATTCATATCCTGCACTGTTCCCACGTATATGGCAGAAATGTCTATCGAGGCGGGAGAACGTGGCCCAGAAGTGGCATTTACATGTGCATTGCTGATCAGCGGCATACCAATCGCATATTGGATTGACTTCGGCTTCACGCGCATGACGAATCAAGTCTCTTGGCGATTTCCAATCGCTTTTCAGGCTTTCTTTGCGATGGCTTCCGGGTCCGTTATGTTCTTTTTACCGGACACGCCGAGATGGTACTATGCCAAGGGCCGTGAGGCAGAAGGAGATGATGTGCTTGCCAAGTTACATAATAAGCCTCTAGATCATTCGGATGTCTATCGGATGAAGGAGGAGATCATGAGATCGATTGAGCTCGAAACAGATGCAGAAGAAGGCACGAAGTTTAATCTCTGGACCCTATTCTGGGACAACACAGATTTGAGAGTTGGTAGACGGATCAGGATATCCTTCCTTGTGCTTTCAATCCAACAGATGATGGGTATGCATTTCCAATCAACCATTCTATATCTGAAATGAGATGCTAACAGAGATCAACACAGGTATCAATTTGTCAGTTTATTATTCTGCTGTCATATTCAAGAATGTCGGTCTTTCCGACTTCCTCGCACAACTTCTCTCAGCCGTCATGAATACTATGTTCGCCCTCGGCACATATCTTCTCCCAGCAACGATCGAACGTTTTGGCCGTCAAAGCATAATGTTCTGGTCCGCCTTGGTTCTCGCGCTTCTCATGACGGTCTTTGTAGCACTCATTGGCCTCCCAAGACCTACACTCGGCACACAGTGGGGCGCAGCGGCTATCATCTGCATTTGGAATATGGTGTTCGGATATGGCTGGGTTGGTGTGCCTTGGCTTTATGGTCCTGAAATTGCACCTCTCCAACAAAGGCACATCGGTGGTGCAGCTGGCGCCTTCGGAGAATGGCTCTTCAGCTTTCTTACCGTATTCGCGGGTGGAATTGCGCTCGAGGCAGTTGGGTGGAAGATTTGGATCTGGATGCTCGTGTTTAACTGGCTCGCGATGCCATTCGTATGGTTCATGTGTCCTGAGACGGGAGGCAAGAGCCTTGAGGAGATCGATGTTTTATTCGCGAAGGAGGATGTTAGGGAGAGAATACTGGCAAGTGGATATGGAGGTGCAATTGGAGAAGGTACTGGAACACGAGAGCGCGAGAGTACACAGGTAGGATCAGCTGAAGAGAAGAACTCGAGTGTGAGGATGGAGGAGGTTTGAAGGTTTAAGTTATGCACAAGTAGATCATTCAAGCGACGACCGACCTCTAAACTCCGAAATAAGTCCTCAGCCTAGAGTAATTCCACTATGGAAACCGTCTTCCCACAACACATGCAGAGTCATCTGGTTGTCAGTAGGAGGTACGCACGTCGTCCGGCAACTTTGCAAGACAGGGTGTCTTGGCTCAGACTAGACCTCACGCGTGGACACCAGCAGTAATGTTCACGGGCCGTGTTCTGCTACGAATTTCCTCGACACTAGACTACGCCGGTTAATGGGTCGGGTTGGGGTTGAGGTCGGGTTACTTGGGGGACAGGTGATATGTGGTTTCACCACAGCCTAGTAATTACCTCTCCAGGTAACCTAACCTCACCCCAGCCCTGACCCAGCTATCAGCGTGAGTGTACCTATACAATAGCCTTCTAAGCGTAGCCTCTTGTGATAATTGCGTACTTCCTTCCAAAACATTAACCGCCGGTTAATATGAAGACGATCTGCACACTACCTCCCTTGCACGCACGGAGTCATAAAAGGCTCCGGTCTAATGCCATCGGAACCTAAACCAGGAACCATAAGGATGCTTGTAGCCGAGACTCGGAAATTTGTTAATTGGCCACTCGTAATATGTGTTAGTACTATTTCCATCTGGACTAAATCTGGGGTACATCGGGTTTGCTCCACATCAAGTATCGGTGCTATGGGAAGATGCGAACAACGTTCTCGCACCATCTTCTTAATCCCCACATTCCGAAAATGCCTTGCTCTCTAAGTTAAAGACACGACGCGCACAACATTGGAACAATACATATGCAAAGAATCCTCATTGTGTACAAATCCATGTTGCCTTGTGCTCCAGCTAGAATAGAATACGACCAATTCCAGCTAGTCAGAAAGATTTTTCCAAAATGTTGCGTCCGTACGTTATCCTGTATGTTGTGGGCAGCACTATCATCGCACAGGCCTTCGCGACGCAGATAAACCAGCCTCCACCGATATCTCAAGAAGGATATCATAATAGAACGAAGAGACCAAACTTCGTCATGATCATGACCGACGATCAAGATCTACATCTGAACTCGCTGGATTATCAACCTGCCGTTCTGAAGCATTTTAGAGACAAGGGAACTTTCTACTCTAAGCATTTTGTCACCATGGCGCAATGTTGCCCCTCCCGTGTCTCTCTTTGGACTGGTATGGCTGGTCACAACACCAATGTGACTGATATCCAGCCGCCCTTCGGTAAGGAATTCCTGTACAACACTTCGCAAATCAAACTGATCCAAAGTCTACGATAGGTGGTTACCCAAAGTTCATCCAAGAAGGACTCAACGACCGCTATCTGCCTGTGTGGCTCCAGCAAGCGGGCTATAACACCTACTACACTGGAAAGTTAATGAATGCTCATAGTACTTCAACTTGGAACAAGCCGTTCCCCAAGGGCTGGACTGGTTCGGATTGTAAGTTCCTCGAACGATGACGTATTGTGAGTTCTGACCATCTCAGTTCTGCTTGATCCCTACACATACAACTACAACAATGCAACCTTGCAGCGAAATCAAGATCCACCTAGGAGCTACCCCGGTAATTATTCTACAGATCTGATTTCATCGAAAGCCCTTGGGTTCTTGGAAGATGCTGCGTCTTCAGATGCTCCATTCTTTCTCGGTGTGATGCCCATCGGACCACATGCTGAAACAGTCCAACCTACTTCGCCAGGTGCTTTGCCGACCTTCAACCCACCAGTGCCAGCACTGCATCACAAAGATTTATACCACGGGGTAAAGGTACCTCGTACTGACAACTTCAATCCAAACAAGGTACGCTCAACGTCTCGTCGACGCGTGATATCGCTAACAAGAGCACAGACTAGTGGTGCAAGCTTCATCGCGGAGCTGCCACAACAGAACAGCACTGTTGTAGAGTATAATGACGAGTATTATCGTCTCCGTCTTGCTACTTTAGCAGCAGTGGATGATCTTGTTGATGCTATGTTCGAGAGACTGGAAGCCATGGGCCTTCTTGACAACACTTACGTCATCTACACTAGCGACAACGGTTATCACATCGGTCAGCACAGACTACCTCCTGGAAAGGCTTGTGCCATAGAAGAAGATATCGGCGTTCCGATGTTTATTCGAGGCCCTGGTGTGCCAGAGGGCGCGACTGTCGATTCGCCAACCACTCACACAGACATCGTACCAACTCTATTCTCTCTCGCAAGGATACCTCTCCTCAAGCAATTTGACGGAACTCCAATGCCGATCACTGAGAAAGACTATGCTAACGTACGCCATGAGCACGTTAATATCGAATTCTGGGGCGAGAACCTGGACGAAGGCATGTACAGTTCGCCTGTACCTCGAGCAAACAATACTTACAAGTCCTTACGCGTCGTGGCCAATGACTACGATCTGTCCTATACTGTTTGGTGTACTGGTGAACATGAACTCTATGATATGAAGGTACGTAAAACTCAGCTCGAACGAAAAGGCACAAATGATTAACGACATTTAGACCGACCCGTCACAGATGAACAACCTCTGGAATACCAACATTGCTAGCAACGGTCTTGACATCCAAAGGCTCTGGATCCGCCTAGATACCCTGCTCATGGTCACAAAGTCGTGCAAGGGCGAGGTCTGCACAAAACCCTGGCCCTTGATCCACCCACGGGGCGATGTGCAATCGCTTAGGGAGGCTATGAACCCGGAGTTCGACGAGTTCTATGCCAATCAGCATAAAATCAGATATGATGCTTGTGCGTTAGGCTACTTTCCTAGTCTCGAGGGTCCCCAGCATGTCCTGCCATACGTTGATGATAGTTATAGTTATATGCAGGGCAGCCACTGGAGCGACTGGACATAAGACAAAAGTCTAGAGATCCTGGTTGATGTTTCTCTATAGTAGAGACTGTTGAAGATACGTTAACTTGATCTATCATCAAAGAAAGGATTTACATTGAAATGCGCAAAGCATAGCTTATTGCACTTCCATGTAGGATACCCATCGCAGATGTAATCGCCCGAAGAAACTTCCTCCATTCGTAGCATAGTGTGAGAGTTTTCACGTTCCTCAGTTCACACACCTCGCCATTAAACGTACCCATACTCGAACACAACCTTGATGTCTGGTCGCCGGCCGAGCCTATGCATGGTAGTCGTCGTCATCTCTTCCCAATCATTCTGCAACAACATCTTCGCAGGTGTCGAGTCTATGCCATTTGCGGGTATGTCATCATCTGTCTTCGATATCCCGATTCAGATGATCAGGCGTTCTAATGTCTGAAGATATGGCAGGGCGCGCCAAGTGTTGTAGTGTACTGACCGGATTCCCCTCAACCTTGCTTCTTTACAGCCCAAATGTCCCCATCCCCACGCACTCTCTTGCTCCATTCATAGACAGATTACTTCTACTCGAGTTTTTTCAGAGTAGAAAATGCCGCCGTACAAACATGATGTGAAAGTATACGGTAGATATGTCGTCTCGGCACGCAATTGATGGCACACTAGCGCTAAGTTCCGTGGATGCGAGGTGTTCGCTCGTGCGAGTATGCCCGGGCGTATACGATTCTCCGATACATTAGCGCCCCAGCATTCTGCTTCATTCACATAAATGTAGATCTCTTTGCACAGCTCAGCGGGTAAACGGAAGAAAGATGATTCTCTTGAATTGGGGCTAGAGCTGGAATACATTTAGCTAGTGCAAATACACGACGAATGGGGCCTACTGCTTGCTTACATCGCCGATTGCTTGGCTGCAACGTTACGGTCAGGTTCCTTCGGCTCTTTAAAGAGTGGCATGGTGCTTGGATATTTGATAATTGTTGAATATAAGTGCAGCGAGCGTGAGGATGGCAGTGAAAGCAGTATGACGTTCAGCCTTGCTTACATAATGCTGCATCTTGCCAATCACAACAGGTGACACCCCTCTTCTGCCTGGTGCCGTTCTTTAGCAGCCGATTGCTATTGTTCTTCATCACGACCAACACTTCGAAAGCAACCCTTGTCTCGATCCCCGACGGCTGAATAACGGCCATGACTGACTCAGAAGTCATATTCGTACATGAATCAGTCAATCGCCTTTCGCAGGAGATCCGTCTTATCTGCGTCATTCCCGAGGCTGATGGCCTAATCACGTGCAAACTGAAGCGTGTCAATCTCCAATCCAACAAAACGCCCGAGTATCGGGCTTTGTCATACACCTGGGGTGCACCAGATCCTGTTCAAAAGATCGCCGTGAACAACCAATCCTTCCTTGTACGACAGAATCTCTACGATTTCCTCAAAGCCTTTCGGGCACGCCTCTATCGGTTTCAAGATTGTAGTAACTACGAAAACGAGACGCAATGGCTTTGGATCGATCAGATTTGTATTGATCAGTCTATTGTCGAGGAACGGAATCACCAGGTCGAAATGATGTCGGATCTACCGAAGAGCAAGCTACGTCTACGTGTGGCTTGGTAAATCTGACAACTGCATCGAATTGGCGATGAAGACAATCAAAGCCAACTTCAGACACTACTACGATCATGACTCTGCTACAGAAAGACCAGGGAACTGCAGAAAACTAAGTCGCGATAAGGTAGCACATCAGGACAACAAATCGATCTCTGTCTCCGGCGATGGGAGCTCAAAAAACGAACTTTCCGGACCTGCCTTGCAACGCTTCTTCGAAAGTCCTTACTGGCTTCGACTCTAGATCGTCCAAGAGATTATGCTGGCCCGCTACATTCGCGTCATATGCGGTGAAACACTACTTTCCTGGGAAGAATTAAGACGTTTCTGCTCATCAGGCCTGGAGCGTCTTTACCCAGAAGCGGCGCTGTTCGTGCCGCCGCAAGTGATCTGGCTTACTCGACATGCTTTATCTGACAAACAATTCACCTACCCAAGTCTTCTTCACGCCTTTGGTACGAGCGGATGCGAGAACCCTAGAGACAAAGTGTATGCCCTTCAAGGCGTGGTAAAACGTGAGAATAGGCCAATTGTTCGCTATGAGAGTTCAGTACACGACGTTTTCCAAGATGCAGTGATGGCTATGATCGTTACTGCCATTCAGGTTCCGCAGGTGCGAAATGGTGCAGATCTCAGTAGGATCGATTATATGGGGTCTATCAAAAACGTCTTTCTTGACGCGGCAGCTCTTTGGATGAAAGAAATAGAAGGCGTCATACATCTTGAGATGATTGAAGCATGGATCATCTTGCGAAAAGAGATGGGAATGGACCCGATACCAGAATCTCCTTCCGAAAGAAGTCGTCTTCTGGAAGCTGTGCGAGCTGTGTGGTCCGACTTAGCACACTTTCACTTACGCATGTTCCTCGCGAATAACCGACTCCAGTCTACAGATACTGATGACCTGGAGAACAACAACCTTGATAACACGATTCTGGATTCTGAGCGGTTACTGGATTCTGAACGGTTCGACTTGCTTATCATTCAGTTGCGCCATCATTACGACGATCTGGTCAAGATCTTCAGGACAATAAGAAATTTCATATTGCCTCCGATATCTGTCTACATGAGTGAAAATGATGGTGTATGGTACCCAAAAGCTTTGGTGACACAGTTTGGTAGACCATCCTACTGCGACTGGGAGTGCTCTCAACCTTCAACAGTCCACATCATCCCGTAAGCATATCATGAACATAGACCAGAGCGATGGAACACACACACTAATGTCACCACAGCTTATATCACTTGGATATACAACAAGGATTCGAAAAGGTTGGTACGAAGTGGATCGAGGTTCACAAGAGGTTAAATCGAGCCGACGATACGATTTAAGACCTATTAATTGTCTCTTATTGTACGTCTATAGTTTCGTGTTTCTTAAATACCTCTTAATATATATCTAAAGCTGTAGAATCGAGAAAGCGATCACAATAGGCGCTGCTGAAAGCGCCACAAGCCTAAGTCAGCTCCTAACCCAACACTTCGATGTCGTCATAGACTTCGCTGATGCTTAGTCGACGGTCGAAGCTGCTATGACCACAGTAAAGCTTGGAGGCATCGTTGTGGTGTTTGTATCAGCCTCGGATACTATCAAGCTGCCAACAACCGGCGTTGTTACCAGGAATATGACCATCAAGGGCTCTACAAGTGCGAGTTTTGAAGATCTACGCAATGTCCTTGGTCTGATTTCTTCGTGCGTTATACAACTCTTGGTAGAAGAGATAGCTTTCTATGATTTCCTAAGGAGCTCGATCGCCTTAGCTCAAACCGAGTTACCGGGCGTCTTTTTACAGTGCCTGCTCCGGACAAATATCTTAGGTGAATGCGTTCCCAGACTAGAGGTCTAAGTTCGTGAGTAACGTAGGGATTAGAAATTGACTGCAGTGTCCATGCGCGTGACACACGACCTTACCTGACGCTATACTATAGGCACGTTCAGAGATGGATGTACGTGATACGAATGCCACAGTGAGGGCGGAATGGCGCTAGCGAGTGGGAAACAGCTTTTTCCTATGGGTAGTGTGTTGCGGCCGAGCGACCAGCGCGGATACGGGACTCATGACTCCCTGAAAGCTCAGCTCGGCATCTACGCTACTACTCTTTAGCTGTGCCTGAAGTCTCCCTCCTCGCCCTGACAACCCACAATGGATCCAGATGATCCGGTAGATACGGACTCCTTAACATCACCGTCCCTTGATCGTCCGTAACCCTCATCCCACTCTCATCCCTCGCACAGAGATCCACAATCTCCACATCTTTCCAGCCCGCGAAGTGAAGGTAATCGCCAACAAACTCTAGTCTCGACCGCTCATCAAGCATCATCCACCTCCTGACCACCTTGTTAGGGAAACAGCGGTTGCTTATGACAAGGTGAACGGTACCTAAAGGAAGAACGGGGTATGAGATTAGTATTTTCTTCGGGTGCAGGAGGACATGGATGTTACATACCACCCTCATGCGTAGCTTCCAGAAGCTTTCGACAAACCTCAAGTGGTTTATTCAAGTAGTCGATACTAACCACGCACGTCACTGCATCAAATTGCATATCCTTTCCTCCGTCCCACGCAGCACGTACATCGTGCGGCGGCTTGTTCAGATCCATAACGCGCCAGCGATCCGGTCCCATGAACACGCCATTCAGCGCCATCTCCTCCGCATTGAGCCCCACACCATAGACCTCCAAGTCCTTTTTCTGTATCGCTTCCTTGACCGAGGACGGGTAAAAGCTCTTCCAGCTCGTGCACATATCCATTATCCGCCCAGTTTTCGGCAACACGGTGTCGTAGTACTGCGTCAATCGCGCTATGCTTGGATCATCGATGTGCGTAACTAATCGCGATTGGCGGTAGAACATGCCATCGTCATTTTCATCGTAGCGAACGAAGTCCGAGTCATCGTACGGCCAGGTATCATACTTTGGTTTGTATGATGTCGAAGGGAAGGGCGATGTGTCAAGGGACGCGGACGCCATGTGTGCCACTGCGAAGCCGGAGAAGAAGTTGAAAGGGATGGAACTTGTGCGATTAAACGACGAATATGCGCGCCATGGAGCTGTAAGTGTTGGCTTGACCGTGCGGAGGTAGTGGGGGAGGAACATGGGATGGTTAGTTGCGGATGGTAGAAGATTGTCAGCTGAAGGAAGCGCGTTCAGTGATGTTCATGGATAGCCGGATGATGACGTCAAGACACGCGAAACCACGTGCCGACGTGTGGGATGACTCCAATTCCCATGCTTCTCACCATCTTAACAGTTGCAGGTCTGATGATTCTATCCCAAATTCATTATTTTCAAGATGCATGATATGTAAATATCCAGGCAAAGAGCTCTTGGTAATTCGCTACAGGTACGGGTCAGCTATTCCGAATTTCGGAACTGGTATCCCGAACTTGCGGGGTTCATATACATACATCAGGAACGCCCACAAACATTTCATGTCGTAGCCGGTACATTTGCATTGTCTGGTACATGATGACAGCTATTCTCACCACCGCAAGGCTCGTCTTCAAGGACTCGGTTGCGCGGCAGAAAGCCATCGATGCGTTTCACAACATCATTGAATACACGACACCACATGAGCCACACGTTCTACAATATGTGTGCGCATTACCGGTAAACGATAGCTTAGGCACCGAGATATACATGATCGAGGAGTAGGTTGGAAGAACAATGTTGAGAATTGCAGATGCTGACCATACCAGATACGCGAATCAAGAAGCAAGCGACGCGCACTTGGCCGCCAAGCCCGTCCAAGATCTAATCCAACTATTTACAACCGGAGATATCCTCGCTCAACCACCGGAAGTCCACAACTCAAAGGTGATTGTGAATAAATCTTCAGGGATGCCGATACCAGTCTCATCAAATCCCGCTGTCGTCCTTGTGAACATCCCCTCGAAATCTGAGCTTTCGACCAAAGACAAAGAGAGGTGGCGCGAAATGTCATCTATTGTGATGAAGAGCGTAAAAGGCGTATCCGCATTCACTGTTGTTGAAGATCAGGAAGCGAACAGTACGCGGGTCGAAGCTGTGCTGCAGAGTTGGGATGCCTTTGCCGAATATCAAGACTTTTTGATAGATGGGCGAAAAGACGGAGCAGTAGTGGTAAAACTTAGACCTATTGATGGTTTTGTTGGCCGTGAGAATGCGAGCAAGCTGTAGTTTCCAAGCCCCACGTAGACAGATAGGAGCGTTTTCCGTCCCCTTGGCTAGTTGAACGAGTAGATATCAACTACCTGCCTCGTTCGTGTTTACGATTCTTTGTCTGAGGAACTCACATGCCGAGCCATATATCCTGCAACTGATGCCGTGCCCTCTCACGGCAGCCTCCGCACTTGCGACTGTTTTTGTACGAGTGTGACCAGGACTCGCTTAACTTCCTCTCTTGAGATACCTTCCGTCGTTGTCGAGACGCAGCATGACAACGGACTATACAAATAAGCGATAACTCTGGAATCAAATCTCAGTTTACTTCAAGTAATAGCAAGCAAAGATGGGATAGAGGTTTGACGCCAGCCACCAATATGGCCTGATCTATTATACCAGTAGCTCTGTGAGTCTATTTGGACTGGGTACGATGACGTAGAATTTCTGCAGGAATGTTACGGGAGGCGGGCGGTGCAAGCCAGAGCTCGATGGTTCGCGAAGCTCCATTATGTTCGACCCAGCAAAATAGACGACGAGCGCAGACATGACCCCGGTACATACGATAACCCGGTGAGCGAATGACATCGGGCCATCTGATGTTGTGGTTGATGGTCTGGCAGTCTTGACCCGTCGATCTCGCCATGAGCCATCCTCGGTGCGGGTTCACCTGTAAATTGCTTAGCTCGAGATGTCATACCGGGAGTGGTGCTAAAAGAGCCGCTATGGTAGCTGATCACATGCTATGGTATTTCTTGCATTTTGTAGCGGCAAGTGATCGAATGCCTTTGGTTTATTCGGTTCACGTAAAGAGTAGCCAGCTGTAGCATGTAGCCGACGAGTGACTGACGGCGCCACGAGGAAAAAGAAGAACATACCTCGTTCCAACGAAGCTTATGCGTAGTAAACATGTCTTCAGGTCCTCCTTCGTAAGCTTCGGTTGTAGGGTCCAAATGTTGCCGAACGTGTTCACGGGTCTCTGCGTCCCCCCGGTGATCAAGAATGCAAGACTCCCAAAGCTTTTTCTGGAGCCATCGACCTTTCGGATCGCCATTAGCTATCCGAGACTTGCACCACTTATGAAGCTCGGCAGAACATCGCGCAGTCTCCCTTCCGTACCACATATTTGCAGCGAGCAGTGTGTCGTATACGATGGACCGGTCGCAACCAGCGTGCATGACAGCGAACAGTACCGTTCTCAAATCTGCAGGTCTACCCAAGCGACGATTGTGATTGAACAGCTCCACGGCCTCAAGATTTCGATCTAGCATGGCCTGCTTTCTGCCGTCGATGGCCACTTGCGCAGTCTCTGGATTCATCCAATCGACCGTCATAGCAGTGATCCAGAGCAAGAATCGCAGGAACTCGATCTTATCCCGGGTCCAGGGGCCTGACAATAGCTTCTTTGGGATGCGTCCTTTCACTATAGAAAGCTGAGGTAGGTGACTCCGAGAGAACAGCATCTGTGAGGTATCTTCAAAGTTCGGCGGCCACTGCGCATCGAAGCAGCCTTCTATCGGCGTCCGTCCACAGAGGCATCCCGCGGAACCATACCGTCGCATGATCCAAGACTTGAAGAAAGACCATGTCATCCATTTGCTGGCGAAGATGTAGGTTTGTACTGCCGAAAGCTCGGCGCGTGTGCCTCGCACGTCAGTCAGGTAGTAGTTACACGTCGAGTGATAGATGTATTCAGATGAAAGTCGTGCTGCGATGTAGGTAGATGCTTCGATCAGCGCAATACTATGGCCAGCGGCAATGAAGATGGGTTGCAGAAGCTCGACGGGGAGACGTTCGATGGGTGCGAGGACCATGTTGCCGTAGTCTTTGGAAGCAAGTCGGGGAGGGATGAAGGAACTACTTTTTGCTACAGAGCCGCACTAATGTACCCAAGCACTATATACTGCAGGTGCCCAGAAATGGAGACGTGTTTCCAAGATGTTTATTTCTCATGGGGGACAGCTCGGTGTTGCATTGGTCCGACTAGCCAACGACCCCCGCATTTGCCCATTGAGGTATGCCGCTAATTACCCCACACGGTACTAGCACGACTGCGGGTTGCTTCCGAGGTTCGCACCCTTTCGTCCTTCCAACCTGGCCTTTGACATGAATGTGTCAGGTCTTTCAATATTCTCTTCGGATGCGACGCAGGAATTCCACAACTGAGATTATACATTGCGACAAGCCATCCGAATTACACCAGGAGAGGTCTCCTCACTATATCGTCCTTCACGATCGCGCAGCCTACCTAGATACAGATGCCGCTGAGTGAACCTGTCGCAGAATCTCAATATTGCCTGTTGGGACACTGCTGTTCCACGAAGACGACCTCCATACCCAGGTACCGTTGTGAAGATGGCATCGCGCCAGCGGAACCGTCGACGGACCACTCCAAGCCCTAGTAGTTATCGAACTCTCTGTGGGATATGATGCTCTCGCGCATACACATGAACACTGCAAGAGCACTGAAGCTGCTTCTCTGACCAGATCATCACATTGCACAACTTCTGGTGACTGATTGCGGCTAATCTCAGGCCTTTTACGAACCCAATTGCGTTAGGGCGGGGCATTCGCCGGCCGTACAACCGGCGCAATCGTACATCAACTTCGACCTGTGAGCATGAGCACGTCATTGTCAGCCTGCGGAGCTTTACTATCTCCCCCCGAAACCTAAAGCATTCGCGCAAGCAACATATCCTCTACATAAGGCTGAAACCAGCAGCTTGAATCCGTCGGAGTAATATAGGTTTTTCACAATATGGCGGATCTCGACAGTGGTACTTTGTTCAGCGTCAACGGGCTCGTGGCAGTCATCACGGGCGGCGGAACAGGTGAACATAGTGCGGATCAGGACCAACAGTTAGCTGACGGCCAGCAGGCATTGGGTTGATGATCGCGCAAGCACTAGAGGCAAATGGTGCGATTGTCTATATCCTGGGTCGACGACAAGAAGTGTTAGAGAAGGCAGCCAACACAGCGGTATGTATAGCCTCAGTGTCCGCACTGATGTAGATGTGAAACTCTCTCTCCACAGATATACTGATGACCCCATGTATAGAAACATGGAAATATCAACTATTTTCAAACCGATGTAACATCCAAGTCCGATCTCTCCGCAGCAGTCGACCACATCGCTTCCAAATCCGGCTACGTCAACCTTGTCGTAGCCAACTCTGGCATCACCGGCCCGACTCTCAAGGGCTTGGAGAAAGGCGCGTCGCTAGCCGAATTCCGCAATCACCTCTGGAATTGGGATATGAACGACTTCACGCAGACATTTGCGCTCAACACCACGGCCGCCTTCTTCACAGTCGTCGCTTTTCTCGAGTTGCTTGACAAGGGCAACAAGGCTGGAAACGTGGAGCAGAAAAGCCAGGTCATATGCATCAGCAGCGCTGGCGCTTTCAATCGTGTTCCGATGGCTGGTTACGCCTATGCTGGTTCTAAAGTGGCAGCAGTGCACATAATGAAGGCATTAGCGACGACGTTGGTGCCTTATGATATCCGCTCAAATGTCCTTGCACCTGGACGTAAGTCGAGATATCCTCCCAAAAACATATTGTCTTACCTGTTTGCTGATGATCGTAGTGTATCCTAGTGAAATGACTGCAGGTATGCTCACGCAGGACAAATGGCCGAGAGACTTTATACCCGAGCAAAGGGCTGGCGATATCAAAGACATGGCGGGCGCACTGCTCTTCCTCACTAGCAGAGCTGGAGCGTATATCAATGGCAATGTCTTACTGACCGACGGTGGGCGCTTGAGTATCTTGCCCGCAACGTATTGATACTGGCGCGTTATGTAGCAACAAGCACATCGAGAGTGACCTTAGACGTTACTTTGAAGATTTGACAAGAACAATAATTCATTATAGATAGATTGTCGAACACGTTTCCGTCATGTTACTCCATTACACAAGTCATAGTCTGTTCATCTAGATCGGGTCAGAGTCTTCATCTAATCCTACACCCAACCATATCCGAACAACGAACCTATTCCTCATCGGTAACCCGAAACTCAAAGGGGCGGTAAATCGCCTTGTCAGCATCGCGCTTCTCCGCATCCGACGCGCCGATAATATTGGTGGCGCGATAGATTTTCTCGAAAGCCCGCTTCTCGGCATCAGATTTTCCAATAATGTTTGTCGCACGATAGATGGCCTTGTAGGCTTCGCGCTTCTCTTCTGGGGCAAGGGCTTCAAACTGCTCGGGGGTTGGCATGCGCTTGGCGATGTCGTTGGTGCTGGCAGTTGGGGCTGCGACAGCCGAAGCGGTAAGGAAAGCCACGAGGCCAAGGGTGATGTTGGTGAAACGCATGTCGATGACTGAGAAGATAGTAGCAGATAGGGACAAACGATGGATGGTAGGATGATGGGATCGCGTTGTCACTGTCGGCTGCGATATTGCTTTGGCTATATACCATGCTGCGGGCGTATCCATCCACGGCAGAGTATAGTCAGCATTAGCAGTTTGGTCAAGCACCTGATTGGCATGTTGGTAAGGCCAGCAATTAGGCATGTAAAGATGCGAGGCCTCCATGATAGCGTATCTGTCATGACTAGTTTTCGTATCCCTTCTAACTCGATCAGGCAGGACGTAGCTTCCCCAGACCGAGCCAGAGCCAAGCTTCGCCAATCGCAACGGGCCGGCGCCAGAAATGCTTAAGCTAGGCCACCTAGTGTTCGGCCACCCTAGTGCTCGGCCACCCAATCTAGATCGCGACAATCTTTTTGAAGCCGTGCAATTCGACTAAAACAAGTTATAATTGCCACTGATTACACATAGAACTATATGGAATATCGTGAGACTGTGTAGGTGCTTTTTAAGCCGCTCCTCTAGTCTGTTTCCTAGTCTTTTGGGCTGCTGAAGCAGCCGCGGCGTCCATAGCTGCTTTAATAGCTTTAACGTTAACAAAGCGCTTATTTAGCTCTGGATGGACGCGCTTTTTTGGCTTCTTAATCTTTAATTGATTAGCTTGACGCTGTAGCTTTAAATTTTCTGTATAGAGAGCGGCGTTGAGAGTATTTGCTGCTGCTAGCGCCTTGCCTGCCTTGCTAAGCAATACTCGCGTTGCTCGCAACAGCTGCTCTGACTGCCCAAGCTGCTGTTGTTGCTTGTACAAGTCCTGAGACCGTCGAGGAGTAGTTATAACAGTCTCCCCGCTGTATGTTGGCTGTGCGCGAGGTGGTGGAGTTGCTGGCCGAGTCTGTAGCTGCGACGACTGAAGCACCAGTTCTGGGTTGTATGGAGCGATTCCTGAAGCTCGCCACCTAGCCCGTATTACTCGCTCTGATAAGCCACGCTGTCGAGCTTCATGGTATAGACTAATAAAGTGTTGTTTCCTAACAGGAGCAGCGTCGCTAATCGCAGCAAGAGCGCGTACTTGTTGGCGATAGCTCTTCTTAACTGCGCCGAACGGTGAGAGATCAAGCGGCTGCAGAATATAGGAGGAGTGGGCAGGTAGGTACAAGACGTATATACGCTGTTGGTAGCACTCCTACATAAAGTCGATATTGTTATAGGAGCCGTGGCCATCGAGGATAAGCAAGCGATTGCGTAGTGGCGTACATGAAGTTTCTGCGATAAAGACGCGTTGTAACTACTCTAAACTAGTGCTATTGCTCGTCCAGCCGTTATCCGAAGTTGTGTATAGCTAGTCTGGTATAGCTCTATCAAACCAGCTCGTAAGGACGCGCTGTCCTTTGAAGATTACGAGCGGGCGGAGCGTACGCCTATTAGCTGATACACACTCGACGATTGTAATCCACTCTCGGTTCTCTAGAGACTTAACGTAAGCCTTACGCTTATAAGTAGAAGCAAGGACTCTAGTGTTATTACATACGCCAATTGCGATTCTAGTCTCGTCTATGTTGTATATATTGTGGAGCTGTATACCTAGCCGGAGTCTCGTCGCTTCTACGAGCTCTAGGAATGTTCTAATTAGCTTAGGGCTCGCTGCCTCAGCCCGGGAAGCTTCAATCGATCGGCCGACGACGCTGTGGACGCGTGGGTTGCGCTGGAGGAAGGAGGAGACCTAGTTGTGACTGAGAGGTTCGTAATCGCCGTTCATGTGAAGGATCTGGATCGCTATCTCTCGTACACGGGAGTGCGCTGGAGGCTGAGCGCGAAGATCCTCATCTAAAATCCACTGAACAAGAAACTCCTCTTGCTCCGGAGTTAATCGCTGCTGTTGATGATGAGCTATCGCGTTGGGCGCGCGACCAGCGAGACGGCCTTGTAGAGTTAAGCGAGGGACGCCCCAGGCCTGACAGGCAGCTCGCTGACTTGTAAAAACACCAGCATTAAGATCGCGGATAGCGTTTTGGATTGCAACTTCACGATTATCCATTTTAATAGAGTTTTGGTTGAGTTGCACGGCTTCAAAAAGATTGTCGCGATCTCGATTGGGTGGCCGAGCACTACAGTAGCGGGTCACTCAACGCCCCGGGCCACTCAACGCCCCGCCCCAACACCATAACAACAAAATTTCAACGCGTCACAACTCCACCAATATGGATCCGATTCAAGAAGCGATTGAATATATCAAATCGCACGAGCCAGGAGATGATTTCTCGTACACAAAGGTTGCTGCCCAGTTCGGTGTTGAGCGCAGTACGCTCGCTCGAAGGCACCAGGGTGTGCACGACCAGCGCGGGGTCTCCCATCGATCCCTACACCCAGAACGCGAAGCCGAGCTTGTACGATATATCGAAACGCTTACCGAGAGACGTTTGCCGCCTACAAAAGTAATGGTACAGCAGTTTGCCAGCCAGTTGGCTGGCAAACCGGTCTCCGAAACCTGGGTTAAACGGTTCCTCCGCCGTCATCCCAACCATCTCATCTCTCGCTCAGGCAAAGCCATGGCCAAGGAGCGGACCAAAGCTGATTCAGGACCCAAGTACAGCTTGTACTTTAAGCTGTTACATGAAAAAATAGAGGAGTACAACGTCCAACCAACACATATATTCAATATAGACGAAAAGGGGTTTCAACTTGGCCGGGTTGGCAGAACAAATCGTGTATTCGATAAGAAGCTGTACGAGTCAAAAGGGGTAAGGCAACCCCTTGAAGATGGCTCCAGCGAGTGGATAACGGTAGTGGCTTGTATTTGTTCGGACGGTAACGCTTTGAGTCCAACTCTCATCTTCCAGGGAGCCAACGGAGCTGTTCAATCGAGCTGGGTTGATGCTATACAAGCAGGAGAACACTCAGTATTTACTACGTCATCACCCTCTGGCTGGACCAACAACGATATTGGGTTATCGTGGCTCAAACAGGTGTTTGAGAGAGAAACCAGACGGCATGCTTCAACTGGGTATCGATTACTACTCCTTGACGGCCACGGATCCCACGTAACCATGGATTTTATTGAGTATTGTAACGACAACAAGATCCTCTTGTTTGTATTACCCCCTCACGCTACTCATACGCTTCAACCCCTCGACGTTTGTATGTTCAAACCCCTCTCGAACGCTTACTCAACTCAGTTGATGGGATACCTCCAGGACAGCCAGGGGTTACTCAATTTAACCAAGGGAGACTTCTTCCCGCTCTTCTGGAGGGCTTGGGGTAACGTGTTTAAACCTCCACTCATCAAGAAGTCGTTTGAAGCCACTGGTATATACCCAGCCAACCCAGACGTTGTACTCGAGAAGTTTGCCAAGCAAGCTTCAGACTCTGACAGCAGCAACTCAGTACTATCGGGGAGCGATTGGCTCAAGCTCAAATCAATCGTACGCCGTGAGGTGAAGGATCAGGGCAGTAAGGACGTCAAGAAGCTTCAACGAAGCTTGTGCCACATCTCAGCTCAAAACAGTATACTCCAAGAGGAGGTCAGGGGTCTCAGGCAGTCCCTAGCCATCAAGGAGAGGCGACCAAAGCAGTCATTCACCCTCCAGCTTGATGAGGACGAGGTTTACCATGGGGGAGCCAAAATATGGTCGCCCAGGAGTGTACAACGAGCTCGCGATCGTCGGGCATCACAACAACAACAAGCCGAGCTTGAAAAGCTTCAAAAAGCCAAGCAAGCCGAGATCAAGAAGGCAGCACGCGATTGTGAGGCTCAACTCAAAGCTGTGAAGCGTGTAGAGCGGGAGAGACGGGCGGAGGAGAAGAGGAAGGAGGAGGCTGAAAAGCTGGCCAAGAAACAACACCGTGAGCTCATCAACAACACTAAAAAGCTTATAAAATTATCCCAAAAGGGTAAGCGCAAAGCTTCAACAGCTCACCAGCCAGCTACAAAGCGTCAGAAAGGTGTTGTGGGTGGTACAGCTTCTGTAGGTGCCCAGGTGGCTGCACAACCAGTTCCACCAAAAACCACCAAAACGCGGGTAATCCGCCGCCCAAAAAAAGATTTAGACTAGCGCAAAGTCTTCGCAGGCTATTATATAGTATAAATCCACTTCTGCGCAATTTTATCACGTTTTGTTGAGGCGTTACAGCTGCAATACTCATGAAGCTGTTGTGTTGTTGCCCGGGCGTTGAGTGGCCCGGGGCGTTGAGTGACCCGCTACTGTAGGGTGGCCGAACACTAGGTGGCCTAGCTTATCTGTCCAGGGCTGTATGACGCGTTAGTATGGGATGCCTCACTTGGTCTAAGATTTATTCCAGCAAGCCTCGGAGGAGGAGGTTGGCTTGCTCGATTTTGTGGTGTGATGTCGCCATTGTAGCCCGCACCGTTTGTCTCGACAAGGAAGGTACTCGAACGACCGCCGATCTACCAACTAGAACAGCCAGTTGGCGTGAGTGTTGCCAGTAAATGCCTGCATAGATCGATTCTAGTGTGCCGTCCATTATTGCTGGGTAGCAGTCGTGGAATCTCCGAGGTCGGGCTTTGGAACCTTCCATCTTCACCACAACTCAACAACACACTTGCGCGATTGTACTGCACAATGCATCTGTTCCCAAACTTCGCTTACAAGACCTTGGCGTCAGATGAGAGTCTGGAGTATACATCTGACCTGGATGCAGAGAAGGCTCGAACAGTTCGGGGTGGCGGGCAGACGAAAGTATCCTGGAAAGCTGTGGTGGTCATCACAGTGCTAAATCTGGTCGTTTTGGTAGTCTCAGTCTTGCTCTTTTCCAGAACCTTTCACAGCCATCATCATGGACTCAACGGAGATTATCATCAAATCACCCCATACAGCCCTGTGTTGGCCGAGTTCGATCTGAAGCCCACAACAAGGAAGATCAACGGAACGCTCTTCCCATCGCGAGACGGAGGTTCCATCGCAAGAAAACAACCCGACCCCGAATCTGATGCTGTCTGGGAAGAATGGGAACTGACACGCGTCTACCCAGTGTCGCGCGAAGAGCTCAGGAAGATGGGCGTCGATCCCTCGACAGCGGCAAAGCTGGAAGACGACGTCTGGGGCCTAGGAGACGATGCTTACGCCTCAATATTCGATGTATACCATCAAGTCCACTGTCTGAACTCCCTACGGCGAATCGTATACGGCGACTATTACAACCTCAGCATGGCACGGGCACACACCGTCAAGCAACGCGAGATTCACATCAACCACTGCATCGACATCCTTCTCCAAAGCATCCAGTGCAACGCAAATCTCGATTTGATTCCTTTGCATTGGGTAGAGACGCAAGAGTATCCCTTCCCCGATATGTCGATTAACAAGAAGTGCGTTGACTTTGAGGGCTTGACGGAGTGGCGCAAGGCCAACACAATCGATATGGACAAGTATGTTGAGGTCATGAAGATGCCGGAGGTGGGCAAGCCGGGTATCAAGGAGCTCCCCGCCGCGGATCAGTACTATGAGTACTGGGGCTATGATAATCCAAACCACAAGCCAAAGGCTGAAGGAGGGCACGGACTTGCGTTGGATGTGGACTCGAATTTGTAGCGCATTGGTTGGCTCCTTCCATTTGCGATGAATAGCCCTACGCAGTAACTGTTTCAATTTACGTGCTTGTACGGTTGCAGAGGGTGCTTGGTGATATCGGTCCGTCATGACCACACTCGATGCAACGCGTGTGAGGACAGGGCGCGCAAAAGCAAAGTGTGGGCCGGGTGTTAGCAACTGGAGGCAGCTTCAACCATGACGGACAGTATTCAAATACTAGCTATCCCACGCGCTAGTCAAATGTCAAGTTAGGCCAAAGGCTAAGAATACTGATGGTGCTTTACTCCTACTTCGCATATTTCCTAGGAATGAGCCTTTCGAGGCTTGTCGTGCCCTGTTTTATATACCTTCGAGAACGTGAAAGAGGTTTCAACAGGAGGTAGTACCACCATGTATCTGGCTGCACTCTTTAACTTAATCTGGTCCATTCCGACCAGAAGATCGAGTCGATGACGTTGAGTGCTGGATCCAATATGGTATCATCATGACCATGATCCGCAGCTGGTCCTGTAGGCTGCTCCCATGCAGATGAGCGACGCCGCTTCGCTCGGGTCGGGTTGCTCTCCGACCCTGCTCCGTGTGCAGCACTTCGCTTCATGCTCTCACGCTTTGCTCGCAAGAGTTCATTCTGTATCCCAGTGACCACTTCACGGGCCCGCGTCGCACTATGATAGCCCTCTGATAAGTCGCAAAGGGCTTGCTGGCAAACTTCCAAGTCCTTCCACGCTGAATTCCTCAAGGACGGTGCCGCTGCCTCGCAGGCATTCAGCACATGAATCAAGCTTGCTGTGAAGACGAGATGGACTGCCTGGATGTTGATGCGTCGGAAGCTGTATAGCCTTCGGTAGATTTGAAGTAGCTTGGCTATCGCTCTGGCTGAGTCGGTACATGTTGGTGGGCCGACCATCGGATCCGAGAAAGCAACGTCGGGCAGGTTCGCCGTAGTGGCAGTAAAGAATGGACGATTGGCAATGATCATGACGGTGTGGTATTGCATGTGAAGTTGCAGCACGTGCGGGACGTAGAAGGATGAAACCGACGCCAGATCAACTTTCAAAGACTCTGGCAAGTCCTTATGCCACTGTGCAAGCTCGGCTCGCATACCCGAAGCAAAGTCGTGAAGCTGCTGAGCACCAAGCACTGAGACGACAGAGTCAGAATACAGAGTATCCCGGATACGAGCCATCTTGGCGCAGAGCGTTGCATTGTTTCTGTGCAATTCATCAATCGGATCGACCAAAGCCGGGAAATCAAAATCCGCGTACTCGTCAATGTAGGGTCGCCACAGCTTTTGCTCGCCGACCTTGGCAACGCAAGGCGGTGTGGTAATGGCATGCTCGTCGAGTGAAACCGGTCGACCAAGATACAAGGACCACATTCGTTCATGGATGAAAGCACCCCAAAACACTACTCTCTGCAAACTCGCCTCTTCCGCATCGATGATACCAGCGTCTACATAAACTTGATTGTCTAGATGCAGACCGAGATCGGTGGCCAGCCGTACTGCCTAAGGGTACGTGTATGGAATCAGTGTATGTCTTACGTGTATTTCTTACGGCAATAACTCACCATGCCGCTGTAAAGCCAGCCACGAGCATCAAGAGTGCGAATCGATTTCACCCCACTCAAAATGGCAAGAGACTGCACCGTCGATAATGTGGGGGAGTCCAACTCAACGTCGAGCAGTGCGCGCGCACGCGACGCAAAGAAGTCAACTAATGGTTCGGGGAGCTCCACGCAATGCCTAGAAGTCAACGATGCTCCGACAGCGCACATGGAGTTGACGAGCACCTCGGAGTAAAGCTTGCTCACGTAGTCACCCGATTTGCACTTGCGTCGCTCGCGATAGAACAGGTCTTCCTGCACAAGATGGATACTCGGGTCTTCCCAACAAAAGTACAGCTTGATGAGATGATCTTCGAACTCTGCATCCACGAGATGTCCAACGCCAGCAGCGTCCAGCGTGGCTTGAACCCCTACCCGGCTGACTGCTGTTCTTGTGTTGGTTGTCGCGCGGGTCCCCGAAACGAGTAAATGGAGGTTGGACGTAGCGCCATAGAACCTGAGCTGGCCGTCCTCGGCAAGCCTGAGAGATCCCAGACTACCAGTTAGCTGGTCGACCAGGGGTGAAGAGCTGTCAGTCTGAGGAGTGTCAAGCGTTGTCATTGACGGCGTCTCTCGAGCCACAGAAAGATCTCGGTTGGACGGGGTCACTGGACTGGCTAAGTTATACTCTGGATTGGTCGCTGGACCTGGAAGCGCCGCCCATGGAGTGGAATGATTCGTCTCGCTCGGAAGCGGGATCCCGTTTGCCTGGAGTAATTCCTCCAGCTGCTTTGCATATGTTTCTGCAGCGACAAGTCGCTCCTTCATAGGAACTTTCCGCTTGTCGAGGCCATGTTGGTACACGCATCGTTGAGCATATAGAATACAGTTGCTGCATGACGGGCTGGCAGCGTCGCATTTGATCTTGCGCGTTCGACAGCTCAAACAAGCAGTAGTGACATGTTTTTGCCGTGCATTCGATGTTGGACGCGCCGATGAACTCGCAGAAGCCATCAAGAGTAGTTTCGGGGTTTCGGCATAATGAGCTGATGGTGTGGAGTCGTCGCACGGAGATGAGACACGAGTTGTTGGAATGCGGGGGTGAAATAGCCGAGGCGGTTCACACTCGTTGATCGCTTCCAATCAATATCTGTACTTACTGTGGAAGTAACGAGATCTGTTTATCATTCGCGCATACAAGCACTTTTTTTTTCTTTGGAGGAAGAGAAGCGCAGGAGATGGCACGGTTATCAGCCAATTTCCTTTGCATTTTCACAAAAACATTGGATTTTTACTTCGTATGACGACCATGTCCCATTTCACAAAAGGACATGATGAACTATCCAAAGATGACGAACAGTACGCTATAGGATGCAAATTGACTATAATCTATTCTAAAAACAAATTAGACCGTTAGGATCGCACAGCTATCCTCTACGATAATATGCTGAACAGTTGAAGACTTTTGTCGCAACCCCGCCCTGACCCTAAGCCGCATCCTGACATTCATTAGACCTTACCCTTACCCATATTCTTACCCTTACCCTTAGGCTTAGACTTAGGCTTATTATCATCCTTCTCCTCCTTGTTTTCCTGGGATAGTGAAGCTGGTGTTTGTCGTAGTGCCTCGCTCTCAAGCTCTTCTTCGCAGATGAGTGCAACCTCGTTCTTCGCATTGTAATCTTCATCATCAGGCTCATTAGGTACGAATTTGACAAGAAAAGGTGACTCCTTCTTTGCACTTCTCGTGAATCTCATACCCTGAATGTATCAACACGATGGTAGAATTGAAAGCAAACGGTTATTCTCACCAGAAGAAAATACCACTTAAATCGTAGACCTCCGAAAAACACTACTTTCTGTCCATCCTTCTAAAACAGAGGTAAGCACTGAGTTCAAAATAAGCACGATCCAGACTTACCTCGTCTCCTTTGACTCGTATCCATCCCTCAGATTCACCAGCATGGTGCCAGCCAACATTAGGAGCCACCTCGCCGATCTCGGCAACTTTGGCATTGATTCCAATGTCTACGCTTTTGTTCGTGCCACTCCAGCAGTTGATAGATGCTTCTGCAGCAGACCAAGTGCTCGTGACGACCCAAAGATCGTGGTCTTTGACTTCCGGCCTCTCCTTAAGAATGGACTTTGCATTCTCTTTAATCCACTCTTTAAACGGCGCTTCATAGTGATACCGATGGTGTGTAGCCACTCCGTCAACCAACAGAGCAGCCCCTTCCGATTCGCTTGATTCGATGCGGAAGCATGATCCTGCTTCCAGTGGAACTCCCGTGAAAGCAGTAAGAGAGACACTCTCACGAAATTCAATCGAACGAGATTTTGTCTCCTTGCCAGTCTTAGGTCCCCAAGTCTGAGTCTCGACTGGTGCCACAACGAGTTTGTCCGAAGGAGGTGGTGTGAACGTCTCTGGCCAACGGGCGTCAATGGCTGAGAGATCAGCGATAGGATTCCAGTTGCCAAGCTTATCGAAGTATCCAACGGTGCCGGGGTGGAAACTTGATGTTGATACTGGTTTGTACATCGCTCTCCCGTACCCGTGGTATCTCATCTGCGTAACATAGACCTCATCCAGTTGGTTATTTCCAGTCATTTCTACGCGGAGTTATGTTGCTCCTCGACTATGCAACTGGCAAGATGTAAGAAGTTCAGTTCTGAGTGTTTAGAATAAGATTGCTTCAAGATTTCTGGGACTAGAGTCTCGCTGGATACGACGTAGATTCGTACAGCCATGTGACTGTTTTATCTGTCATCAGAGTTAAGGATACTTAATTTGCTTTTTCCTCAGCTCCCTCAGCTGAGGGGAGCCTTAACGTAACATCGTAACTCTCGTTGCCGCTAGAAGGTCTAGTATGTAACGGGCCACAAGCTAAGTTGTCGCTCACTTAGGCCTTGGCCAGGTAGGTTCAAACATGAGACGATTGATAGATACCGCTGCATATCTACCTCTTGAGAGAACGCGTCAATCTCCACATATTCTGAGTACGTACACACTCCTCTCAGACACTTCCCAGTCGTTGAAATGCTTGAACGAATTCGCTGACTCTGCTAGATTCGATGGACGTAGGATCCGCGTCGACAAGGCTTCTCCACGCCAACCTCAAGCATTGATAACCTCCTTGAGCGTCTTGGCACTCTTCTCCAACAACCTCTTCTCCTCACCATCAAGCGGCATCGGCACACTCCTCACAATGCCACCCCTACCCAGAACCGCCGGCATACTAAGACACACACCCAGTCCATCCTGGTAGTAGCTCACCGGCCTCACAATCTTCTCGTCAAAGAGAATAGATTTACAAATCGATGCCGCAACGCCTCCGATACCATAGTTGGTCGCACCTTTGTTCTCGATGATGGACGTGGCTTTGTTCTTCGTCTCGTCTGCAATGGCCGTCTTGTCTGCTGCACGATCAAGAGAAGACAGAGCAGACGAGAGGGGCACACCCCCGATGCTCGCTAGACTCCACGCAACAAACTGCGATTCCCCATGTTCACCCAGCACATAGGCATCGATGCTACTCGCCGCGACCTCCGCCTTCTTCGCCAAAATGCCCCTCAGCCGCGCAGAATCGAGAAACGTTCCCGATCCAATGACCTGCTGGCGTGGCAAGTCCGAGTATTGTTGCGCGAAATAAGTAAGCACGTCGACGGGATTGGCAACGAGCAACAAGACGGTATCCTCGCGGAAAGGCTTCATGTCGGAAATTGCAGATTCCAAGATAGATTTGTTGCGCCCGATGAGATCGGTTCTGCTCTCGCCCTTTTTTTGCTTGGCGCCCGCTGCAATGACGACAATGTCGCACTGTCCCGCCTCCTTGTGCGTCCCCGATCTTACGCGCGTGGTGGTGTTTCCATGGAAGGTTGCGTCTGAAAGGTCTGCTACCTGAGATTTTGCGTGAGTTGTGAATTGAATGTAGAGCGACGGCGGGTCGAAAGTAGAAAGCAAGTTGGAAACAGCCGTAGTTCAAGGGGTTGGGATTACCTGTGCATCTCTGACTTCTTCTTTGGGATCGACGAGCAGAATGTCGCCGGCGACGGGGTTCATGATGAGACTATACGCAATCGTTGCGCCAACATCGCCAGCGCCGAGTATGGCAATGGAGGAAGTAGGTTTGGCGTCTGACATTATTGGCGATGGGGTGTCTATAGTAGTGGGCGTTGGAGGGCTGAGGTGGATGTGAGAAAGCAGACAAGGTATGGTGTTGGAATACCTAATGGCTCAACATGTCTTCCATCTGCAATGTAGATTATTGCACTACGTCATCGTCAGAGCGCTAGTGCGGTATGCAAGTCCGCAGACAGCCGACTTATCGAATTATCTCCTAAGCCTCGCGTACGTTCGTATACTCTCCTGCTCCCTCGTTTTCTCTCCAAATTCAGAGCTCCAGGACTATGCATGCGTCATGCTAGCATATCAAGTCCATCATGCCATGATGCTCCTCTGCCATCTTCCATAACCATTCTCCTACCGTCCCTCACATCCACCCCAGTAGTTGTCCTCCCATTCCGTACATCGTGTCTCCGATCTCGCCTTTGGCATATCTTTGGTCAGTGTCCTTGCCGACCAAGAGATGGCTTAGTATATAGTCGTCCCCGCATGAAATATTTGCAGAAGATAGGCATGGCAAACTCCATTTGCAATCAGGCTACTTTAGGCGCAGGCGCAGCAGCTGGTGCAACGACTTTCTTCCTTGGCTGTGTCGCTAGGCCCTTCTTCAGCAGCAGAGGTATGACGTCTGTTGCTTTGTTGCGGCTGATATTCTTTCGGCAGACGGGACATTGCGAGCGCTTCGTTTCGTGGGGTCCGGTACGGTTCTCGCCGGCGATGAGGGCTTCCATGAGGCAGGTGTGGCAGAAGAGGTGGCCTGAAGTTCTGAGATTAGCAGGCGCACTCGATGCAGCGTTGAAGAAGGAAACCCACCACAAGCAGTAGCAGTAAGATCGGTAGGATTATCCATGCAGATGACACAATTAAACGAGTTGAACGTGGTGACTGTCTCTTCTGGCTTGGCCTGCGCCTTGACAGCATCGGCCTGTTGTTTCTGCAATGCCTCTTGTAGCGGACTTCTCGGCTCCGTCAGATCCACCTCATCCACCTTCTCAACCTTCTCATCCTCCTCACCCGTGTCGTCGACTCCAGCCGATGACCCGTCGTCCCGCTTCTGCCGCTTGGCCGACGGGCCTGGAGTGGGCGATTCTCTCTTCCTCGCGGTCCCTGTCGGCGGTGAATCGGGAGCGCTAGTCAGGTCAACGTAGCCATTCGCTAGACGGTCAGGACGCGAGGCTTGTGGACGTGCGCGCGTGGTGGGCGGCATGATGGTTTCAGCGGTGAAGGGACTGTATGGACGCCAAGCGAAGGGTGAGTAGCGGCCGTGGTCGAGGCCGGCTGGGTTGAGGATGTGGTCGAAGAAGCCGGTGGAGTAAGGGACGGGTGGGGCGCGGTACACGGCCTCGCTGAGTGGTTCTTCCTGATGGTCGACGGATGCGCTGTAGTCGCCGAACAGATGGCCAAAGTCGAAGCGGGAGGAGGAGTCGTCTTGGGGGGAGTCGTGGTCGTAGTCGGACATTGTGGTGGCAAGCGCAGCGGAGATGGCGGGCTGGAGCGCGAAGGGCAAGCTCAGGTACCTTCGTTTCCCTTCACCATGACAAAGTTCCGCTCACCATGGCAAAAGTCTGTCCGCGCCCGCAGGCACGGCAGATACGGCTGGGTAACACAGCAAAAGCCGCGACCGCCATCCGGCTTGGGCGTGCTGCATTGGAACAAACATGCATGGCGGTTGCAGTAGCCGGTCGTGGCTGTAGGGCTGAGAGGGGAAACCCATCGCCAAGACTTATCGATAATGTGAAATCATCACCAACATGACGACACCAGTCACTCCAAAGTTAGATTCACTCCACCACAAGCCAAACATCGCCCCGCACCATGCAGTGACACTCTCTGAATAGTTCTGTAATCACTAGATGATGCGCTGTTCGTATCGGAATCTTGCTGCGAACGCCATCCACCGCCCGCGACCCGTCCATGCGCACAGGAAATGCGCAAACGCCTCCAGACCAAGATGCCTGGCCACAGTACAGTCTCCCAATGCAGCAGATGAGAAGGCACCTCGGGGCACTCTGAGTGTGCCCTCAGAAGCCCGCTTTTCTCCCATCGGCGTCCAACACCTCTCCTCGCACATGCACGCCCAAATCTTCCCCGGCGCATCCACCTCCCCGCCCCCCGAACTTGTCGCCCTATCGCGCGACCACCTCCGCCGGCATGATCTCCTCGGTAAGAACCAGGACCAATCGCCCCCGGTTGCCTTCCATGTCCCCGAACTCCAAGGCACCAGTCTAGACGAGCATTTCTACAAACTGGGCATGGACGCCGCCGAACCCTATCTCAGCATGGCTAGGAAACTCGCTTTTTCGGCGAGTCCGCCGCCACGGCCAAAAAAATGGATCGCGAGGAGTGGGTGGACGAGGTATAATAGTGATGGGAGTACGCAAGAGGTGGATGCGCCCGACGAGGAAATGCTGATTTTTGATACCGAGGTCATGTGGAAAGAGACGAGTTTTGCTTGTATGGCGACTGCAGCCAGTCCTACCGCGTGGTATGCTTGGTTGAGTCCGTGGCTGCTGGGCGAATCCAAGTCAGATCGCCACTTGATTCCGTTGGGAGATACAAGTGTGCCGCGCGTCATAGTTGGACACAACATCGGGTATGATAGGGCGCGGATAGCAGAGGAGTACCATATCAAGCAGAGCAAAAACGCCTTCATCGACACAATGAGCCTGCATGTTGCGAGTAATGGCATGTGCTCAAGACAGCGCCCGAGTTGGATGAAGAATAGAAAGAGTCAGGAATCGAGGCATGAGATTGCTTCGTCGGAAGAAAACGCGACACTACCACCTGAACTTCTCCACAGCCCTTCAGTTGACCCCGAAGAAGAGCTTTGGATGAACAGAAGTGCCATAAACTCGCTCCGCGACGTGGCTAAATTCCACTGTGGGATAACAATGGACAAGGCGCAGCGGGAGTACTTTGGCGAGCTAGACCGCGCTGGTATACGACAAAGACTAGACGAATTGCTAGATTATTGCGCCCAGGATGTTGAAATCACTCATCGTGTGTACCAAAAAGTCTTTCCGCTATTCCTCGAAACATGTCCCCACCCCGTCTCCTTCGCCGCTCTACGTTTCCTCGCTGCAGAAATCCTGCCTGTAAACGAAACTTGGGACGCATATCTACACAATGCTGAGTCAACGTATCATCAGCTCGACGACGCGGTCAAAGAACGACTGGTTGCGCTTACGGACAAGGCGTTGGAGGTGAAGGAGCAGCCAGAAGTCTACGAAAATGACCCTTGGCTGAGTCAGCTAGACTGGTCAGGCCAGGAGATCAAGATGGTAAAAGGCAAGAAGAAAGGCGATCCTCCGAGGCCGGCTGCCAGACAGAAGAAACCTGGTATGCCCAAGTGGTATAAAGACCTCTTTGCCAAGAATGACGCGCCTATGGCCTTGACCGTGCGCACGCGCATCACGCCCATTCTGCTCAAGTTGGCGTGGGATGGATATCCGCTCGTATGGAGTGACGTCCATGGCTGGACGTACAAAGTGCCCCGCGATGAAGCTTTTGCGTATACGGACAAGGGACTGAACCCCGTTTCCATGGACGAAGAAACAAACTTGAAACTCAGAGATGACACAGAAGCTGTGTACTACAAGATTCCCCACAAGGACGGGCCGGCAGCGCGATGTGCAAATCCGCTTGCCAAGGGATATCTGCAGTATTTTGAAAAGGGCAAGCTGGGATCTGAATACACATATGCAAAGGAAGCTCTCGAGATGAATGCATCTTGCTCGTACTGGATCAGTGCCCGCGACAGGATCATGTCGCAAATGGTCGTGTACAACAAGGAGGTGCCTGATGCGCCGAAGCTCCAATCTTCGTCTGGCAAGGGGAGGGGGAACAAGGTCGGTTTTATCCTCCCACAAATCATCCCCATGGGCACCATTACGCGGAGGAGCGTCGAGAATACCTGGCTCACGGCCTCGAATGCAAAGGAGAATCGTGTTGGGTCCGAGTTGAAGAGCATGGTGCGTGCACCCGAAGGCTACTGCTTCGTTGGCGCCGACGTGGATAGCCAGGAACTCTGGATTGCATCCCTCATTGGCGATGCCACTTTCCAGTTGCACGGCGGAAACGCAGTCGGTTTCATGACGCTCGAGGGGACAAAGGCAGCGGGCACAGACTTGCACAGCCGGACGGCGGGTATACTAGGGATAAGTCGGAATGACGCCAAGGTATTCAACTACGGACGCATCTACGGCGCTGGACTAAAGTTTGCCTCGACGCTCCTACGCCAGTTCAACCCTTCGCTGAGCGACGAGCAGACGAGCAAAACGGCAGAGGCCCTGTACAAGAACACAAAGGGCAAGAAGACGAACCGCAAACAACTCCACGAACGGCCTTTTTGGCGCGGCGGCACCGAAAGCTTCGTGTTCAATAAACTGGAAGACTTTGCAGAGCAGGAACGTCCCCGGACCCCTGTCCTCGGCGCTGCCATTACCGAAGCCCTGCAGCGCCGCTACCTGACAAAGGGCGGCTTCATGACGAGTCGCATCAACTGGGCCATTCAATCCTCGGGCGTCGATTACCTTCATCTCCTCATCGTTGCCATGGACCACCTCACGCGCCGATATGGCCTCAATGCCCGCCTGGCTATTACCGTGCATGACGAGATCCGCTATCTAGTTAAAGACGAGGACAGATACCGCGCGGCCATGGCGCTGCAAGTGGCTAATCTGTGGACGAGAGCCATGTTTAGTCAGCAAATGGGTATTAATGAGTTACCGCAGAGTTGCGCGTATTTCAGCGCTGTCGATGTGGATAAGGTGCTGAGGAAGGAGGTGGATATGGATTGTATCACGCCGAGTAATAAGGAAGCTATACCCCACGGGGAGAGCCTGGATATCTTGGGCTTGCTTGAGAAGGGTGATGAGGCGAGGCTTGATACTGGCAAGGCAGTAGTAGAACGAGGAGGCGAGGTGCTGCTGCCGAGACCAGAAAAGTATACACATACTTATATACCGCGTACACCCATCATGGCCAGTCTGGGTGGTGTGAGTAACAGTAGTGGTAAGGGCAAAGGAGTCGAGGCTGATAAACTTGGCTTGGCGTATCTGAAAGCACAGATTTCGAGTGACGATGAAGAATTGAGGGTTGTCCTAAAGGAGATGAAAGCAACGACGACGACGTCTACTCCTGGCCGCAGTAGTCCTAATTTTCCCTGGGTCAAAAAGAATAGTAGTGGTGAGGCGAGTAAAAACGATGCTAGTAGCAATAAGAAGACGAAGACGAAGGCAAAGACAAAAGCCGACGACGAGGAGGTCGAGGAGATTGAACAAGAGGGGAGAGAGATCGATAATAGGGTTAGGACCTATGAGCAGCGGTTGTCCCACCAACAAATGGCACATGCTACTAGGCCTTATGTACCGCGAATCCATGATGTGTGGTGGAAACAGCAACAGCAACCGCAGTTTGGACAACAGCATCCGAGGAGGGAGGGCCCGCGAGCTGCTGTCAGGGTTTAATTTGGGTAAAAATGTTATTGCGTGTTTTGTTGGTCTGGTGACAGAACACAGGAGGTGGGCTGAGATTGTTATAGTCAAGCGTGGGCGGATTACGTGGACGATCGGTTTTCCCGGATTCTCTGTGTATGATTTTCTTTCCTTGGTATCTGTTTATCGTTTTGTAGGATATTTGTATATGGCTTATTTTGTAACTAAAAGGCGGGGAAAGGGATTCAAGATGGGTTCAATTGGGGGCGGGGTTTCGGGGAAGAGACACTGGTTGCACGGCGGCGCTGCTTTGTTCATCTTGCATTTGCACGGCGTTACGTGTCAACCTTTTTCTCAAACAGCATTTTTCTTTTCTTGGTTTGATATGTTCTGTGGGGTAGCATATGGGTTGTGCATCCTGGAAATACTCACACGTCTCACACTGATTATACACTGCGGTTCAGAAGTGAGAGAGCACTCCGCCCCCTGCAAGAAGACAAGCATTTTCAGGTACATCTATATGGTACTATTTGGGTGGCTCATATCTCGCATGCATTGGAAGGCATAGCACACCAATAAGTCTGCGCTACTAGTAACATACTCTAGGGATATACGCAGAAATCCATGTCTTTGCAAGACTAGAAGATGAAGTGATGATTCTCACTGGCTACTTGGAAAAGACGGAAGAGGTGTGTGGAGGCTGGTGCATCATCTAGCCGCCAGAAGGGAGAGCTAGAGTTTACCACGGGATCAGACTACCTAGTGTTCGATTGCTTACAGTAAGGGACAAGCAGTGCACAAAGTTCCTTATTGGTAAGACCTGACAGGTATAAGTGGATCAACGGATCTCAATCTTCTTAGCTTCGAACGATGCAGCGTTCAGACCGCTTCTCTCTTCGTCACTCATATATTCCGACACATAACAAACCCCTACATGAGAATAATGATCACCCATCTTCCGCAATACCACGGGATTTGAGCATCCGCACAGCACGGCAACAATGTCACCTTTCTCCGTAAGTGGTGGGCAAAGTCCGAAGCAACCTTCTTTTGTCTCGAACGGCCGAAGGTCAGAAATCCTTTTTAAAGCCGCGAACCAATCGTAGACCGTTCGGGCGTGTCCCGGTAAACAGCTGCTGAGCTCCGGCGTCGTACGCATCAATCTCCAACGAGCCAACTCGTGAGGGTCGAATTCATCGCTATCCCAAACGCGGTCAGTGCGGAATGCAGCATGGAAAGCGTGCTCGTCGTCGTTCTCATACTTGACTCTCCAAGCTTCGAAGAGGAGAAGAAGAAACCAGTGAAAGAGCTGCGGGTAACCGTATGTAGTTGAGCCCACCAAATCTTTCGTGTGCTTAAGCTTAACATTCTTCAAGTAGTCATTCATATGCATGATCGCTTCTAACAAACCAAAAGCACGATGACGCTGGGATTCTGGGTGAATGGGTGACCGCACTAATGCCTCGACAGCCCACTGTGTCCATTGGGCAGGAGGTTCGTTCATACCAGTATATCTGGTGATGGCCGGTCCAGTGTCCGCAATCTGATCGACGAAGGCTGCGGCACAGTGTAGACTGCCTTCTGAGCATGTCGGGATGAGGCGATGATCGCCAAATGCTTCGATAGAACGATCTTCGACCAGGCAAAAGATGCGACCTTGAACTTCTTCGAACTTCGATATCGCGACAAAATTAGGGGCCCAGGAAGGAAGTCTTGGGATCACCTCCCATGAATGACCGATACCAGCATGCGCGAGGAACCAAAGATCACCGCCGCCGAGTTCATCGCTTTCTGGACCACAGGTCGACAGCCATTTCGCTACGAAGTCGCAATACACGTCTGCAACGGTTTTTGCTGGAGAATAGTCGATAGCCAAGGTGAATCCTAACACGGCCATCAACCCATAAACGAGATCCTTTGGATTTGTAGCAGCGTAAGTCGAGAAGTTGTTGTACATGTGCATCCCAGTGCGGCAAAAGATGATGTCCGTCTCTTCCGACCAATACACTGCCCTGGTTTCTACAAACGATTTTGCATTCTCAATCTTGGCCATGGCCAGATACTTCCCCCCACGAACCTTGGCACGTGTAGCTTCGATTGCCAGAACCTCTTCATCTCCGGACACTGGAGCGCTCGTTGCATCGTGTTGCAAGCCATAGACTTCCAACCATTTGTTGACAAAGCTGATTGCTGCTAGAGAAAGAGCTCTTGTACCCGACACTAGCAAAGCCTCTTTGCTCAAAACGGCCTCCTGCACGATCCACATGCGTCTCCAATACTGAGTGTAGAACAGATGGCTCATAGGAGGTATCAAGGCCGCAAGGTCGACGTCGATACCTTGCATGAAGTTCTCGCCTTCTTGTTGACTTTTCGACCTGGAATCGAATTCTTGAATCAAGTATGCGAAGATGTCAAATGCGCCCAACAACTCCGGTGTCGGTAGGCCAACCCAGCAGAAGGTTCGCTGCGCACTTGTGTAAATCTTATACATCAGCGGTATCTGAGAGTTCTTCTCTTGAATATCTGGTTGGTTGATACAAACGGCATCAACCCAAATCCTGTGACCAGAGTTGTCTTCGGAACAACAGCCTTCTGTCCATTGGAAGTAAACCGCTTTAAGGGCATGAGTGAGGCTCGTCGTCACGGCGATAGATTGTCCTTCCACGATAATGGGTTCGGTAACACTCGCATCACCCCAGGTATATGACAGCGCGGAGAACTCTGGCTCATCGAGGAGAGAGACGATAGAAAGCTTGCAGACTACGGGCTCGACGGATGTGATTTCGAGAAGCCGAATCTCGTCGCGAGAAGTGTCTAGTGTAGTGTAAAGAGAACCATTCCCCGGTGGTGGATCCATTTCTCGAGACGAACGAGTTATTGACTTGAGCGATAGAGGTTGTAAGTAACAGTCGTGATAGCGGGGTGTGATCAAGGCGGGAAGGGGTTCTCAGCTGGCCTTGGCCTCGCCTACATTCGCTGTGATCGAAAGCTAATGCAGCCACAGCGGCTGATTGCTCAGCTGAATACCATGTGATGAGACAAGGTCAAATGATACAAGCAGTAGAAGACCAAGATCAAAGCATCTCTTCGAACCGAAACACACAGCGACACAACATCATCGAGCAACACGTCAAATGTCAAAGAGAGGCTTTGAGCCAGAAAAAGACGCATCGAAGCGGAGATTGAAACGCCATCAACCCATTATTCAAAGTCCGTGATCCATACCCTTGGCCTCAGCCATCCCAAAGCCGAAGCATACATGATTCCCATGTAAATCTCCATGTCAATACCCTATTCCAAGCCTTGAAGAAAAGAAGAAAAAAAACACAGTCTATATGCCGCAAATCGCAAACCGAACACACATACTCGATGCTACACCACACGGTCTATACCTCTATGCCAAGTATCAAATACCCAAACAGCATCGCATATACAGACATGTGTAGAGACAGTCATCGCCGTATCGCTCGACGAAAATGGGTGTGAAAGGTTGGGGTATCGAATAAATTCACCGCCAAATCGCCAAAGGGGAAATCTAGACGATGAGAAGCTTCTCAACGTTCTCGCCCGCACTGCGCTCGCTCATACGGTTCCACATCGCGTACGTGAGAACACCGGTTGCAGCCCACATGATGGGTACGGCGGCTTCGGCGCCAGCTATTAAAACCGTCAGCACATGTTTCCTTGATGTATATGCGGTTATATTTGCTTTGTTTGTGACGTGGATGGACAGTGCGTGCGTGCGCAAGTCCATGTAGGGGGTTACAGAGAGTGTGGGGGACGTGGGAAAAGGATGGGCGTGGTGACGTACTTGGTCGCTCGGCTTGTGCAGCCATCTCCATGACGCGCGCTGCGCTGCTCGATGAGCTGGACGAGTTTGCGCGGATGCTGGCGGGTGTGAAGGCGATGCGCTTGCCAGCGAAGGCGGCGCGGGTGGCGATGCGGGAGAACATGTTGATTGATGTGTGTTGTTTTGGTGGTGAGGTTTGGTGGGTTTACGTGTGTATTACGAAAATACGAGGGTCGAGACGAAACGTGAAGTTTATGTAGCGACAAGTGGCGATGCGGTTGTACCGGTGAGTGGAATCTCGACACGTATGATGAAACGATTGTTGGTAGTCAACGTAGAGAATCTATTGAATGAAAGTGTTCAGCGCGAGGTAGGTATGTGCGTGAGAGAATGCGGGGAAGAAGACAGGACACAGACACGGACGCTGTTTATATAACGAAAGTGGGCCTGCGGAAGAGGTGTTGTTGTGGGTCTCAGCCCTAAGTCGAAGGCGAAAAGGGAAAAAGAAGAAAGGAGGCGTCGCCAGCAGAAATTTCAGGGGCGGTGAGCGATCCGTGCAGGGGTAGGCTTGGTCGAGATAGGCTTGGCGAGGTACATGTCAGTGGGTACCTCTCGGAAATAGCAAAACCTGGAGTCTGGGGTAACGTGTCAATCTCTGCGATCGGTAGTAACGACTGAGAAACCCTTTAGCCGTGCTTTTTTGGACGTCTTTTCGTAGTCAGTTGAAAGCGAGATCGATTGTATTACTGCGGATGATGACGACCGGCATTGATACTCTCCGAGACCCGTCCGGCTCAACTTCGCTCGCCTCGAGCTACGAAGACCCTGGTTGGGAGATCGACGCATTGCGGCGCGTCCCCGGCCTTCTAGACTAATCTACCGAGAATTATCCTATCCTCGCCACCTCCAGCCTCAACAACATTTCAGCAATAAACCCCACACTCTGCTGCTCAAACATTCTTCCAGAGAAAATCTTCCACGTTTTTACCCTCGCATACCTCGGCGATCACGTCTCGCATTATCACCACTGGCGTCAGGCGCTGCATGTAGTCCTTGATCTGCTTGTGATTTTTACTACTGAACTTGTTCACCTGGTAGCCACCGTCCCACTCGCCATCAACAAGCCCCATCGTGAGACAAACGCACCAGATGGCGTTTTGGATATTGACTTCATCGATGGCCCATAGCCCGCATTCGTAGACCTCTGGTAGCCATGCTGCTGTGCCCAGTTTCTTCAAGCGAGCTACGATTCCTAACAGTATATCCTGACAAAGGCGAAGGACAGCAAAACAATTCAGCCGGGCCATAGGGAAGGTACCATCATACTCGGTTCGAAGAATTTCTTGCGCACGATGGACGAGCTCCGATGGCGAGTAGCTGTCGAAGAGTTTCACATGTCTCCAACGTACTTTAGGATCTACGGCAAGCCGATGCATGAATTCGGGACGGAATTCGTAGTTCCTAAAGAAACTTTCATGTGCTGCCAGAGACATCCGTGTTAGTGAAAACTTCGACCCTTCCTCTTTCTCGCGACCAAGTTTTCTTCGTTGATCTCGACCGATCATCCTGATGCCAGTTTCTGGGTCTTTGCACGTCTTGACACCTCCACGAAACAAGTCAAAGATATTGCCGAAGCCCCTTCGCGGATCCTGGTTGCATGAAAACACTTTCGACCTGAACAGAGCCTTCAGATGCTCCAATATCGGAATTTCGGCATATTCGGCCAGGACCTGCTGCAACATGTTGTAGAGATGTATGACGGCCCCGAAGCAATTCCTTCTGCCAAGTATTTCGAGTCCAACGAAAAGCGAAAGGTCTGATATAGCAGACATCTGGCTTCCTGCAACCCAGGGAGACTGAGAATAGATATCGAAAGTCTTGTTGGAGCGGAATATGCGCAGCTTGACGACAAGCAGCTGCACAAGCTTTTCATGTTCCCAGGAGAAAGCCCATACCCGTGCTAGATCGACTAACGCGTCAAGAACCTCGTTGGCGCGTCTTAGAACGAGAGTCCGACAGCTGAGCGGGAGTTTTCCTATCTTCTCGAGTTTGTGGACGAAGCTTCGACCACTCTCGAGAAGCACATGCGCTACTACAACGGTTTTTGGCAATGATGCCTTATTCTTGAGCTCCCACAGAAGAGGGACAGCAAGGGCATGCTCTATATACTTGGTGCCCATTTCCAAGGACCGACATTGTGGTTTGAATTCTTCGTACAGCGGATGCTGAGAAGCGCCCTTGACCAAAGATCCCAGCAGAATTCTGTCGTGATTGTAACGGCTCTCGCAGATGGTTAATATTTCTTCTTCGTCATCCCTTTCCGGCTGCTCTTTCAACCCAGCGATCAGCTCAGATGGGTTACAAACTACCCAGTGTTTGACAGATTGCGCGAAGCGTTCTTTAGCCCCCCGTTCTTCGGTAGCGCTGCGGAAGTAACTCTCGAATCTGCGAGGTCTGCAAAAGTGAAGAAGGAGGTCAGTTTATGTCTTATCCGTTCCGTACAGGTACGACTTACTTCTCTTCAGGAAGGTCTGGAAGCTGTTTTGTTTCACAGAAAGATTTGATAAGCGCAGAAGGCCAGATCATACCGCATCCATAGGTCAATTCGATGAATAATGAGTCAATGGCAATCTTGCGAAATTCAGCTGTTCCTAATTCTTCCAAGGTGAAAGTTCGATGTCAGCCTATATATCCTATACATCTATTACAGCCACAACTCATCTCAGCCAATGTCTCGTTGAACACCTTGTGGTTTTCAGTTGAATTTTGACAGCTTTGCGAAGATGATGATAATGACTCGTAGTGTTTGGTCAGCCTGCTGCGATTCACGATGACCATTTTGAACGCCGCCTCGATGTCCTTCGGTGGCCTAGTTCCCATGCGTGCGGCCTTGCGAGCACGATCCGCGATCTGGCGTGCAGTCAACTCTCGCAGTATAGGGTTCTCGTCATCCTTGGAGTTTTCAGCCGTTTTGTCAAAGGATGTGAGCCAGCCGATGACAGTCGACGTCTCGCGCTTGTATGTTCGGTAAATGCTGAATAGAGTCGGAGGAAGCGGTCCCGGGGAGTTTTTGGAGGGAGATATCGCTTTCGGTAAGCGGCGTTGAAATAGTCTTGAACTGGCGGCAGTACGATGTCCGAATTTGTTTGCTCCCAGGAGTGTGCTCACTTTCTTGGACCTGATGTTGCGGCAATGTGGGTAGTACAAAATTCTAAAGATAACTTCTTATGGGATGAGAGAGGATACTCTTATAGGCGATAGCGATCATAGAAGTATCCTTGGGGCGGTACGAGCTCTCTACTACCTGTCGATCTCACGAAGGTGGCGAGTCCTGAATTCATGATACCACAACGTGGCTGCCTGATTCACCACAGACTTCAGCCTGTATGGATTTCGTACAGTGAATTGTCAGTCGAAACACATCCGTCCGCTGTCGCATTTCGAACCGCGAGATGTCGCATCTGCAGCGCTGCTCACAAAGCGTTGGGGACAAGCCATTCCCAACTATCACAAGCATGGAAGTGTCGTCAATGAAGCGAGCGGCCAAGCCTGGTAAGGCCTGCGCCAGGCGACCCTCGACCACTCGTCGCAAGAACAAATGGCTATCGAGAGAATGCTGAGCGAGGATTGCGTTACTCTGGGTCGCCAGTGTTCACAATGCTCACCATCCATCCGTGGTACAGCGAAAAGCAATGCTTTGAGGCTGCCGTTCAGGCATCATCGCAAGTGTGGTGGACTATGATGATTAGTGCACCAGTATCACACGTCAACGGGGTCTCTCAGGCCAACATTGCCTTCCGTATAGGTATCGGTTGGGTTGCTAGATTTGTGGGTGGCTTGTCAATACGCGTTGTCGTATCGCGGGTCGGCAGTAGCATGCTATGGTGCGGTCGAAGAAGCTTAAGTGAGAAGCAGTGACAAGAAGGCGAAAGCCATTAAAGCTGGGATATCATAACGCCATGTTGTTTCGACTGCATGAGGAAGGCAGACGACGTGGAGCGATTGAATTCTGGTGAGGGCGTCCCGGAATTACCAAAAGAGACCTAGCCTGGTAGGAAACACATTATGACATCATACGCCTGCCTCATCTACCCCAGCACTCATCCTCTGCAATTGCTACTCAGTTCTGCTATTCGCACAGTGGCTCCCAGCATAGGACTTGATACTAATTAGTACTATTTAGCTAGAGTGTGTCTTAAGACTGTGTGTGGGAGTCTATGTCCTAACCCGGATCCGAAAGTAAAGGCGTATTGCTCCACAGATGATGAGCATAAATCATGAACAATGCAACCAATGCATTCAGTGCTTTCGAAGCCAATCCACAACTCTTTCCGCAATCTCCAAGCTATTCTTCTCCATGAAGAACATATGCCCATTACCATGGATCCCTTCTTCGCCCAACTTCAGATGCTCCACCTCTACACCCGCCTGTCTCAAGTAGTCGACAGTACAATGGTCGTACATGGCGTGATAGCTCGCCTCCGAAGTCACAGTCAGCACCGGTATCTGCGCTAGATTCACCAACTGCTTCGCCGGTTCATCTTGCATGATGCACTCGCTGTGGTTGGCATCCTTCGCTGGCAGAACTACAGTTTGGATGTACGTCGCATTGGGCCCTGCAGACGGTTCATACGCGACTTCCAGCTCGCTGATACCATAGGGCCTAGATGTGGGCGAGCGAAGTCAGTATACTTTATATGCAGTCCACACAGGCACGCTTACCGTGCGGGGCCCGAACCGAAAATGCGGCCAATGAAGGGCGGTCCAGCAGGTTCGAGCGCGACGATACTTTTCACGAGCTGTGGTCGCAAATCTCCAACACGCCATCCATAAGCACCAGCCTGGCTGTGCGCAATGACGTGGGCTGAACCAATCTTGTCGAGGAGTGCAGTATACGCTTTCGCATTCTCTTCTTCGGAGATGATGTTGTCGGCTTGGTATTGAACCTGACTTGCATAAAAGGCGTCGAAGATAGCATCACCTACCTTCCCCGCTCCTGGCCATTGGGTATGCAACTTTGACTGGGGCCAAATTTCGTGGGATGAGGGTGAGGTGAAGAGTTGTTCGATCAGGGTTGTGCTGGAGCTTGCCATTGTTCCAGTAGTGGGAAGCCATGGGGAGCGACCGCGGGATGGCTGATCGCTGAGGTAAATGGTGTACCCGTACGATAGAAAGAAAGAGGCCCAGCCTGTTCGACCGTCTGGTGTATCGAGAAAGTTTGTCGCAGTCTGACCCGTTCCATGCATAAAGACGAGGGGATGTTCTTGGGTTGGGTTCGGTGGGATAAGCTTTTCGACGTAGATCTGGTTTACCATGTATTGCGCGGTCGTATTTCCGATCTTGAAACTCAGTAGAGGTCTAGAATAGAGCCGTATGACTCACTAAGACGTCTTTATACTCCCCGCCAACGTAAAAGAATTCGCGTTGTGGTGGTAGTGTTGCGTCGCCGGGTAGACCTGCCGAAGTATCTCCGTACAGTAGTCGCGCGAACAATAACGCCACGACATTGAGCGCCAGCATCTTTCACTCTAGGAAATGTTGTTTTGTATCTGGTGTATGCGATTACAAAACACCAAACAGTTTGTTGCAGCAGGTGGAGTGACGTGGGGGTTGAAGTGTGGCGGGCTTGGCGGCTTACAGGTGCCTTCCACAACAGACATAGGCGTACCGTTCATTTGGGTTTGCTTCCCGGCAGTTAGTCGTGACGATAGATGCTCACACTTCCATCGCTGTAATTAATCTAGAGACATGATAGTAGTTTGCAGGTGTGTCTAGTAACTAGGTGTGCTTTGGCGGTCGATAACGTCATGGCGCTGAGCGATTCTTCTGATTCATTGAGGATGTGCCGCAAGCGTGGTTGTTTCTTGACGCTACAATCTCGCCGGCCTTACTCGCAGACGTTGTCTTCAGTCCCGATAAGTTGCTTGGATCGGCGAATGTAATCCTGACGATAGCTGCATTTAGTCGCAAGTGCCCCAAGGTCACTATGCACTATAACACTCCGCGCCTGGTCAGCGATTACGGGCTTAACGCATTCATCATATAGAATTTGTTTCTAAGCTTAGTTTTCCGCCCGAGGGAAATAAGATCGTGGTAGGCCTGTAGAGAAGCAGTTGACTTGACCCAACTGAATCTTCGTACTGGTACATAGGGCACCCAGAGCGCGGCGACTTTCGCTGTGTCAAATCCGCGGTTTGGACTTCCGGATGATGTTGCGAGCATCAAGTTTATTAAGAACGATTTGGACGGAATACGCTGGCTCAGAACTGATGCTTAGTTGCATATTCTGACCGGCTGATTAAGCAATGGTACCTGACAGCTCACTTTCCGTAAAATTTAGGATCAAAGGGCGTGTCAGTCCTTTGGATTGCCTGCAAGTGGATGAGTAGCGCGGTGGAACCCTCGGGGCGATTAAAAGGGCACGAGGAAGAGGGCTGTATTGCTCATCCATCAGCGAAGACCTCCTGGGAGAGATTCGTGTTGCTGAGAGTGCTGCGATGGTCGTCAGCTCGTCTCAGAAGATGGACGAGTTGAAGAAGAAGGGATCTCAGGAAAGAGTCGGGATGGGGCTGTGACTTGGCGCGCTAGCACTAGCGCCGGATGTAGCTATACCCGGTTCCAGTTGCTGACCGAAACCGTCGTGTTCTACACCATTACCATTGTGCTCACTTCCCTGAAATCACGTACATGTTCGAAACGAACTCATACTGTGATGAGAATAGTGTCTGGTATCCATGGACCAAGTCCTAGACACACAGCGAGATACCCGTAAGCTTCAACAGCTAGAACTATGCCCGCCTCGCACGAGTAACTTAGAAAGCGTCTAAAGCTCGTTGGATAGAGCTCCTTCTTTTCGGTACCCTGCGCTTCGCGGTCTGCCTTCTACGTGCCTTGCTTTGCGAACTGGACTTGGCATCTCGTCACGGCCTCTGCACTTTTCCGCAAATCCTCTCTTCCTTTTCCCGCTCCCACGCGGCGATACATTTTCTCAGGCTTTCTCTTTTCCTACTTGTCTATGCTGTCGACCCTATGATTACCAGTTCTTCTGCCAAGATGCACGTAAGCATCAAGCCACCCGTCCCATTAGTCCGATACGGACGAAACGATCTACGTTGATAGCATAGTGCCCTTGACCCACTTGCGGTCCGCCCCTATGGAACGCTAAAGTATCGTTACGGCAAAAAACCCATCTTGCCTCGGTGTTACGCCAACGGGATACCGAACTTAAGACTTCCGGCGGAAAAGAACCCACTGCGCATTCGCAGCACCAAGACCGAGACATTCCACGCAAACATGGAAAGAGCTTCCAGCATCGTCTGCGGTACGACACATGTTGTTCCAAAAGCCTTGATCATTATAACAATGTGGTCTTGGAAGAAGTTACGCATTTTGTCTGCGATCATTCCGCATCCCGCGGAGTGCAATCAAAACAGCCCGGCGCCGAGCAGCGTCCAGATGTGCAGGGATCGAACGTATCCACCATGTTTGGATTAAATCCAACTACCGAGCTCTAAAGCTTGGAAGTCAGGCCAGTCTCCACCGGCACTTTTACGGTCCACCATCGGACAATTTGACTTCAAGGTTTCGTACAAGACGTCATTCAAGTATATATAGTATGCCGCAAATGCTGCATAGAAGCTGAACGACACATCTACAACTCTCATCTTTACAAAATACTCCAATCCGATGTCTAACAAACCTTTTAAAGTCATCGTGGTTGGTGGCGGACCTGCTGGACTAACCGCTGCGCATGCGCTGCATCTCGCCAACATCGACTTTGTTGTCCTGGAACGTAACGACGATGTTGCCGTCGATGTCGGTGCCAGCCTTGTACTCGGTCCTCAGAGCATGCGCTTCATGCAACAACTAGGCCTGCTTGACAAATTGCTTTCGATTGGGCAGAAGTTGTTGAACAACAAGTCATTTACGAGGGAAGGCACGAAGTTCAATGATAGTACTTCCATCCAGCTGATGCGAGAAAAGTAAGTCAACCTAATTTCCAGCCTGATGAACTAGCACAACGAAGGTCGAACCCTAGCTGATTTGCCCTTTAGCTTTGGCATAGAACTTATAGCATTCCATCGAGCCGAACTTGTACGAGCTCTACTAGAAGGCCTACCAGCAAGTGCTCGAGAAAAGTACCACCTCAGTCAGAAGGTCATCGAAATCACAACCAGCGAAACCGGCGTGACTGTCACTTGTGCGAACGGGAAGACGTACTCCGGTTCCATGGTAATTGGAGCCGATGGCGTCCACAGTCGAACACGCAAGATCATGCACAACCTCTCAGCTGACAGCAAGTATGCAGCTAGCAGGAATCCTGAACCGCCATTCTCAGCCAATTACAAATGCTTGTGGTCAAATTTCCCGCGACCTTGCGTGGCTGGCCAGGCATCCGACACGCAGAGCAAAGACCGGTCTATCATGTGGCTGACTGGCCGTGAGCGTGGTTGGATCTTCTTGTACGAAAAGCTTCCAGAGCCAACGAAAGAGTCGCCACGGTACACAAAAGCCGAGATGGATGAATTTGCAGCTAGCTTCGCAGATTGGCCTGTCAACGAGGACTTCACCATTAAGGACGTCTACAACAGCTCGACAGCAGGCATGTCGGTCTTGGAAGAGGGCATACTTGAGCACTGGAGCCTAGGACGGATCGTGCTTGCCGGCGATGCATGCCACAAGTTCACGCCCAACGCCGGTCTCGGCTTCACAAACGGCATCCAAGACATTGCATTGCTCTGCAACTTGCTGCATGATGCAGTGGATATGAGCAAGGACAACGATCTCAGCGAAGACTCTCTCCAACGAATCTTTCTAGATTACCAGACTGCACGAAAGGAGGAGCTCGCATTCGGGTGGGGAGTATCTTCGGTAACGACTCGTGGCCAAGCTTGGGCAAACCCGATTTACTGGTTCTTGTCCAGGTTCCTCTTGCCTCTATATGCGATCCAATGGCTTATGCAAAAATACATTGCTGGTCCGAGGATGGCGCAAAGTAGAGTTCTCAATTACGTCTTTGGTGAAGACCGCATCAAGGGTCGCATCCCATGGGTGCATCCAATTCGCACCAAAGGAAAGGAACTTTAGGAGTGCTGATAGTCTTTTTGTATTCATAGAACGCTATTCTGATCAATTTCATTGCAATTACTCATGGTATTCCCATCTTTGGCTGTAATTTTGGCGGCACGGTACAATCATGGCTTGGAATGTCGATGTACGAAGTCAGTGTTTGCCGCAGATGTGGTTAGTACATCCGATCAAGTAACATCCTAGGTATCCTTGGATAATGCACCTACCTATCATCGATAATCCTGAGCTCGAACGCGCGGTGTATCACCACGTCGGCATCGCGCTTCTTGACGTCCGAATCCCCGAAGATGTTGTTGGCGTGGCGGTTGCGGTCCTTACGCCAAGCGGCTGCATCTACTAGAAGTGGCTGCACAATGAGTGCGAGGCCATTGATGATTGCCACAGTGGTACGCAATCATCTCCTCCGCAACATGATGTCGCGGGGACGTTGCCATGAAGGTGCCAGGATTTAGAGCTTCAGATACTCCAGCGGAGTCTATGTCCCAACTTACCAAAACATTGCGGGTGAGGTATCATTCGTACATATACTGAACCAACAGTTACTCAATCAACTATCTCAGCTTTACCTGACCATCAGCATAACCACACATCGCCGAATTTCTGTCGTTCTCAATAGCATTATCTGCCTTTTCTCCAACACAGCTCATTACACTTTTACATTGTCTTTCGTGTTCGGTCGCCTACACCAATGCGTTACCTCTTCTATAGGAATTTTCATGCATCTACATAAATTGCTCTTGCAAAACTTTGAACAAAATTTGTAATAGGGACTTGGTTAATCTGCTCATACGCTAGGATTCTAAATTGATCATGGTACATACGCCGCCCACGAGTAACGCAATACATAGACGACCCAAATAGATACCTAGGCTTACTATAGTTCATTGAATGCTGAAGTTTGCAGACCGACAAGTATGAACAATCTTGTACACACACACAGCCTTTCCATCCGCCGCAGATATTCTGACGATGGGTCTTCAGATAAGCATCTCCGTCAACGGGCTCGCTAGTCATATGCTGCCAACGTACGAAACAAGGCGAGTCAGACAAGCACCCGCAGGAATTCTGCGACACTGAGCAACTCAACGCAGTTTCATACACTTTACGATCTTTTCAGTCACTGAGCGTCGCTTCAATGCTCGCCAGATTCAAGAGCCACAGTCACTCCAGCGTCACAAACATATCGGATATAGCAGGTGTTCGTCCCAGTCAACAAGCTATAACTTACATCAAGTGCAATACGCACGACCATGGAGTTGCACAATGGCTCTTATTCTGCATCTATATCCGGAACTTGTTCCATCAAGGTAGATACTTGAATCTATGGTACCCTCAAACTACCGCTCCTAATTTTGTTTCATTTGTGACTATAGCCAGCAACATTTGGTAGATTTTGAATGTCTCTAGAGCAGTACAAAAGGTCTCGAAGCCGCCCTACCTTGCTCCTACACAGCCATTACTACAATTACGACTACTACAACAGAAGCTACTATCGGAACTATAACGGAAAACCTAGCCGGATACAATAGATTTCGAGATTAACAATCACTACCACCAATATATAGGTATTCTTCACAATGTACCAGATCCGGACTACATAGCTGCTGCAGCACATTTCCCAAACGAATAGTTCTACGCCCCTACGACCTCTCTATTCTCTATCTAAAAGTATCGGCATGTGTGACTACGAGAGGGTATCATATCTAGGGTGCGGCCACACTAAGAACGAGTTTCTTCGGAGCTGTCGAGCTAGCAAGAGCGGCTTCCAATGCTCAGACGCCAGAGTAGTGAGCAGGAAGAGTACTACGGCGAGGTGTGGATTCTGCTAGGTCGCTATAATCTTGTGGAGGGACATTAGCGGTATGGCAAAAATGAACGGAGAAGTATCTGGGATGCGAGACGCATGTGTGGAGGGTAAATAGGAAGATTTACAGGCCGAGATGTAGCGGACGATTAGTAAACAATCGATTGGTATTGAGCGATCTTGAAGTAAGTCAATATACCTTACACACGCAGAAGTCGTCGATAAGCCGGTCTAGTATTTTTGAACCCACTTAGAGTACGTGTTGTTGATAAATCGTTCAGTGACGTGGCGCCCGCTGGACGGTTACCATCTATACTCGTCCACATTCCAATTGCGCCCTCCACTTCGTATCACTTTTCCCTTCTAGCCTTTCCGACCTGCTCTTGTTCTCCAAGTTCAAACCCCAATCGTAACGTTGTGTGCTCACCATTGTGCCGCAAATCTTGGCATCGAAATAGATACCAATCTAGTGCTCTGAATATGGTGCTAACGACTGGATTGGGAGACATTGTTCATGCTTGTCCCAGCGCGACGCGAAAGGCAGGAAGGTGAAGTAGATCACAATGGCGGCAACATAAAGAATTGGTACAGGATTGCTAGGTGGAGATCTTGTTTTCCTCCAAGACATCGGAGTAACCCATGGATGTAGTCGAAGGTAACGTTGTTGCGCAAATCATCCGGAGGCTTTGTTTGAAATCCTTTTAGTTGAGTAAATTGAAAGAGAATGGAATCGAGATGTGGATATTACATGGAATAATTTATCATCTCGCTTATGATCGTCCCTTCCTTCTCGCTTATCATCGTTCCTTCCTTTCAGTTTAGCGTATAACAAAGCATACTTGTGACGTCTTGTTCCTTCCCCACTTCTACTTGGTCTCCACTCTCCTACTTCCTTTCGCTCCTCACTTCTTGACATACTTGTAGTCATAGTGATGAGCATCAGTGGATGGTCCACCGTGCATATCACACTTCTGCGACAACTAGAATATGCGAACATCAGTGTCAGATCGCGTCTCACAAATCTTGTTGAGCAGGAGTTCATACTGGCTGGGGATCCTTATGCTTGATCATGGAAGAGCCAGGGCAATGGGGCTGGCACGTATACTTGAAGTGAATGTCGGTGCAGCCGCATGCAAACTCTACTGTGTAGGTCTCGCACATTGTGGAGTAGCGATGGAGTATGGTGGTTGATATGACCGAAGTGTTGGGCTGGGGTTTGCGAATCTGTGATGAGTAGACTGGTCACGATATTCCTCGTAGTTGCGGGTGGTCAAGATGGTACTGTTGATAAAGAGACAATTGTATATGTTTATATGGTGCGAATACCAGAGAACATATCCGGGTATCTTTTATACAACTCCGTAGCTGTCAAGGGGGTATGTTTGTCACGATACCGTGCATATTCTACAGGCGTTTGTCTGTCATCAATCTATATCATTGACCTAGATACTTTGAACCATCACAGATCGCTGTAAACCTGCTTGTCGAATTCCATCGTTGGACTTGAATTGTGGAAAGACGAACGCATTTTATGATTCAGGTCCTACGGGATTCTCCTAGGAACCGAGCACCAATGTCTTTCATTGAAGAATCGATTAGCCGACGCACATTCATCCTCTGATAATCACATGTATAGAGCAGCAGGTATCGACTGTAACGCGTGCGCGAGCTGCTGCCACAAACACTCGGGCTACCTGAGTACGTTCCGCAGTGCGAGATTACTTGTGACTGTGATATGTAGAGAATACCACGGTCAATTCAACATTTTTCTGTGACAGCAGCAGCATAAATAAGACATCGGAATCTGCATCTTTGTGTGCGTGCAAATTACTACCACATCCGTCCCTTTCAACATTCCATACATGATCGAAGATAATAAACTTCCGATCGACTACTCCAAAGAAACATATAAAGCAGGAATGTGCGAGTTGTTCAAAGTCAAATATGCATGCGGACACGTTGCTGTCCGCCCCTTATACACGTGCAAACCCCGTTAGTCAACTCCCTATATTGTGAAAACTACTTGTAACAAAGCTCTCTGACTTTGCACGCGGGCATCTGGATTGTGTCAAAATGGTCAACGTACCAGGTCTAACGTTGGAGACTCAGAAATGCTGGAGGTGTGGTGGGCCATTTGACAACGGGACCTCTCAGGCATATCGAGGCTTCTAGAGAAGAAGAGTGTCTGAAGGGCGAAGAATAGACGAAAGGAGGAACAATGAAGATTTGGGGAGGTAGAATCAATGGAGAGAGTGTGGCTATGCGTCTCCAGAAGCCAGCTTAGAAATTATAACACTGCCAAATCACGTTTTGAGACGTTGCCCACAAGTCCATATGCCTGTTACATCGACTCTGCATAATACGCCCTACAGCTCGTCGGACTGTTTTGGTGGCTACGGACGACATCCAAGAACAGTTCTAGTGCTTTAGGAAGCCAGCTTTTGTAGTGAGTTTGGGCGCTTGCTCTCACCTATCGACGCTCGGGCAGCAAACGCTCTCGCGTATCTTTCACCGGCCATATCTGCCATCCACACCCTCCTCTTCCACCAAAGACACGACACAGACGTATGTCGCGGCAATCATGGCAACAAGCTCGATTCCCTCGGCTCCAGGTACGTGCAACTAAGATCCACTGCTTCCTTGCACAAACTTACTGACATTTCCCAGCAGGAAATCCATACTACACCATCCGTGCAATCCCCACTAAAGGTTACGGCTGCTTCGCGCTGAGCGACCTTCCCCGCGGCACCCGCATCCTCTCCGATACCCCGCTACTCATCGTCCCAGTCGCTGACTACATGCTCTCCGACATTGAGAAAGCGTTTGCAGAGTTGACGCCAGACCAGCAGAGGCAGTACCACACTTTCCACTCCAGCCACGGCCAAGATCCCAAAGGCTGGCCCAGCCGCATCCACGAATCCGTCCTCCCAAAGGAACGCACGCGAATCGAGCAACAACACGCCGCGCGGACAGGCAAGGAAGCGAGTCTGATCAGCATTTTCCAGACGAATTGCATGGAGATGAATGCTGGTGCTGCTGTATTCCCGCGCGCGAGTCGGTTCAATCATTCGTGTAATCCGAATGCATGTTTTTCGTTCAATCCGTCGACCGGTAGAGAGAACATACATGTCATGAACCCGGTACGCGAAATGCCTATGCTCAGTACAATGGGACACTATGTGCTGACTCCGCTCAGATCTCTGCTGGTACCGAAATCACCCTGAGCTACTGCGACATGATGCACGATAAACCACTGCGCGCCTACGAACTCAAGCACTACGGCTTCGTGTGCGACTGTCCTGCTTGTACCGATGACGAAGATGATGAAGAAAGCGTTGGAGCCAAGAGTGCAGAACGCAGGTTCAGGTTGGCGGAGTTGGAGAGGGAGACGAGATTCTTTAGGGGGGCAGGATTGAGCCAAGGAAGCGAGCAGCAAGACTTTGTGAAGAAATTGTTGGAGTTGGCGGCGCTGCACAAGGCCGAGGGGGACTATAGTGCTAGGTTGGCTGCTGTGTAGGTCCGAGTCATTCCCTCATATACTTATTTGCTAACTTTGATCAGATTCCTCGATATCGCCCTTGTTTGTGAGATCAAGGGCGATATGCACATGGCGGACGTGGTTGCAACCAAGGCGCTCGAGGTCAAGAGAGATTGTCAGGGGGAAGATTTTCCTAATTATGGCAGGTATGCTGATGTCGTTCATCGTTTCAAGGCAAAGGCCGCGCTGCAGCGTTGATCATGGACGAACATGAACTCAAGGATGAGAATCGGTGTGTAACGGACTCTTTACGTTAGCAAAAGTTGAACGATGCATTATCTGAGGTACGTCATGGAAAATAGAAAGAATTAAAGCAATAGGTAGAACACGGCCCTCAGCGTGATGATGTTCCATGGCGTCGTCGCCTAGCGCCACACCCCCTGCGATGCGCCGGCTGAGACACGGCTCGCACCACGTCAACACCACGGATCGCGAGCCCACCGCCCCTTCACTGATCACGCATGCATCCATCCGCGAGGTCTCGCAAGAACAAAGTCACAGTGCTTGACTGGAGTAGCGCAGCCCATGTTGATTGCTTGGCTAACACTACAGCGAGAGCTAACAGGCAGGTTTCATGAGCCGCTGACGTCGACTGCTGTGTGTACCTGCGTCTCAAATGTCGCGTCCGCGTCGCATGTCTGGCCGTGTTTCGGGTCCTTTGTTCAAATAATCTACCCTTTCGTCTGTTGGTTGCTTACCTGATAGATTCCATCTACGATCTATTTACGACCTGTTTTTCGTATTCAACGTTGCTGCGCCTCTCTCCGATTATTGAGCGATCACCATTTCAGCGCAACTGCTAGCTCCGGACCAGCTGGCATCCGTGGAGCTGAGTACCCCCGAGATAAACAGCATACATAGCAACAGGACGCGCCTGAGTCGACGCATCTGTTGTCGCACGCTTCTGGACAACAGAATGGAGACGTCGGACACCCCCAAGCCCACCGCCACCGCCGCACCAGCACCCATAGCGACTTCGGTGTCGCAGCCGCCAACATCGCAACTTCCCTCACCACCACACTCGCAAACTAGTCACCCCGCCGATGTCAACACCAAGATGTCACTCGACGCCGCGGATAGTATGACGCCGCCTTTCTCGCCGTCGAGCCAAACACCAGTTCTGCAAAAGGAACAAGAGGAGTTCGAGGGCACCGTCGACGTGAATAACGACATTCCGAGCGAGAAAGACTTGGCCAAGGTAGAAGACCTGTTAGTCTTGGATGCGCAAGGGCAGAGCAGGCCATTCAAGGAGCTGTACAAAGCACCCCACGTCGCCTCAAGACAGCTGATCATTTTCATACGACATTTCTTCTGCGGCGTAGGTCCTCCCAGCCAGACATGCACCCATCCACCTCCACCCGCGGCTGTACTGACATGCTCCCTCCAGAATTGCCAAGAATACCTCCGCACCCTCGCCTCGTCCATCAAACCCGACGACCTCCTCTCGCTGCCCACACCGACCTTCATCACCGTCATTGGCTGCGGAAGACCCGAACTCATACCCATGTACACAGAAACCACCGGCTGTCCGTTTCCCATATACGCGGATCCCAGCCGCAAACTTTATGACCATCTGGGCATGACGCGCACCTTCAATCTAGGGGCGAAGCCGGAATACATGCAGACCAACGTCCTCATAAACTCGGTCCAATCCATCTTTCAGGGTCTCAGCACCGGCAAAAAGGCGCTCAAAGGCGGAGATTTCAAACAAGTGGGTGGAGAGTTCTTGTTTGAGAATGGCGAGTGTAAGTCATTTCTCTTTTTGCAGCACGATTCTGTAAGACGTATGCTGACAAGGAAATCGGAAAATAGGTACCTGGGCGCATCGCATGAAGACTACGCGAGGCCACGCCGAAGTATCAGATATACGCAAGTTGATTGGATTGGATGGATCGAGGCCCCCGCCAAGGAGAAAATGGAGTCACGACGTCAAGAAAGAAAAAGACAAGGACGGCGAGGGCAGAAAGAGGGCGATGAGCTGGGGGAGGCTGAGGAGTAAGAGCAAGGGTGGTAAGGATATTCCGGGCGGTACGGATCTGTCTAGGGGTTCTAGCAAACGGTCGACTCCGGACAGGATACTAGAAGAAGACCCGAAGAAGATGGAAACAGGTCTATGACACGGAGGGCGATAGGGAAGGGTGTGTGGCGTTTAGGGTGGGATTGGTTGCATAGCTCTACTGGCGTTACTGTTGCGATATCTTTGCTGCGAATGAAAGCACTTACGTTCAGTCATAGCCGTGCGATGGATTGCTGAATGCCGTATATATATACATGACCCTGTCGTATCCATCGTCCCAAACGGGCAAGTAGATCCGCAGCTCAAGTGCCGAGACAATGACGAGACTACCAATTCTCCACATGTAGCTAACAAGCCCGGACCACGTCTCCCACATTCACCCAATTGTAATCAAGGGCGCCCAGAAGCCTGGCCAAGCGCGACTATTCCGAGCCAGCTCCAAGTTTGAGCCTCAAGTCGCGAGTCTCACGCGTAGCTAAAGCCGAACCGTGCCCGCGAATGAGGGGCAATGGAGGGGCAGCATGACGATAGCGACCCCACAACGCTCGAATGAAAAGCTACCGGAGCCGCTCGAGCTATCTGTAATAGCTCGCTTTTCCCCTCACTACTACCATCACTTAAATACTCGAGGTACCTCTCTACTGAACTGCTCGATACACACTTTGTTGATATACACAAACTATCACAATGCCTGCTGATACCGTAGGAAAGGTATGTTTCCCTTCATGAGCTCTCGTCTCAATGGGCGACGGGGGTTATGCGACGCGCTGGATTGCGAGCTGACAATCATGATATAGACTATTACCTGCAAGGTGTGTACAAGTCGCGCTTCTTACCTCTCCCCGAGGGAAAAAACCATGGCGTTGTTCTTCCCATCTCCTCCTTCCAGCTCCAAATGCATTACGAGCCTTGGCACGCGGATCCGCATCGCCTCCGCGACGCAACAACGTTCAGGCGGATGTCACCGGAGAAGAAGAGAGCTTTCCCAAACCCAAAGCCCATGAAAGCGGGGGTGGTGTGCTGTTGAAGTATAAAACAAAAAGCAAGGCTGACAAGTTGTAACAATAGGCCGCAGTGGCTTGGGAAGCTGGCAAGGACCTGTCCATTGAGGAAATTGAGGTTCTGCCCCCTCGCGCACACGAAGTTCGTATCCAGATCTACTACACTGGTGTCTGCCATACCGATGCGTACACCCTCTCTGGCAAGGACCCCGAGGGTGCTTTCCCCATTGTCCTTGGTCATGAGGGTGCCGGTTACGTCGAGTCAGTTGGTGAGGGAGTTACCAATGTGAAGCCTGGTGATCACGTTGTTGCGCTCTAGTAGGTTTTTTCCCATCTTGTTAATCTCCAAGCGCTCTTGCTAACGCTCCACTAGCACCCCCGAATGCAAAGAATGCAAGTTCTGCAAATCCGGCAAGACGAACCTCTGCGGAAAGATCCGCGCTACACAAGGAAAGGGCGTCATGCCTGACGGCACATCGCGTTTCCGCTGCAAGGGCAAGGACCTCCTCCACTTCATGGGCACATCCACCTTCTCCCAGTACACAGTTGTAGCCGACATCTCCGTCGTCGCCATCGAGGAAGACGCCCCCATGGACCGCCCCTGCCTGCTCGGCTGCGGAATTACCACCGGCTACGGCGCTGCCGTCATCACGGCGGGCAAGAACGGTGTCGAGGAGGGCAGCAACGTCGCCGTATTCGGCGCTGGCTGCGTCGGTCTGTCCGTCATCCAGGGCGCGGCCAAGAACAAGTCCGGCATGATCATTGTAGTCGACGTCAACGACGCAAAAGAGGAATGGGCCAAGAAATTCGGCGCCACACACTTTGTCAACCCGACCAAGCTTGGTAACCAGTCTATCCAGGAGAAGCTCATTGAGATGACAGATGGTGGCTGCGACTACACGTTTGATTGCACGGGTAACGTTAATGTTATGCGTGCTGCGCTTGAGGCGTGCCACAAGGGATGGGGTGAGAGCATCATTATTGGTGTTGCGGCTGCTGGTCAGGAGATTTCTACTCGTCCGTTCCAGCTCGTTACCGGTCGTGTGTGGAAGGGATGTGCTTTTGGTGGTGTCAAGGGACGTACGCAACTACCCGGACTCGTCTCTGACTACAAGCGTGGCGACCTAAAGGTTGATGAGTTCATCACCCACCGTCAACCACTCGACAAGATCAACCAGGCTTTCGGCGATATGAAGGCTGGTGACTGCATTCGCTGCGTTGTCAACATGCGCGAATAACTACACTCGGGCCCCCCTGAAGATCTGAATTACCAAAGACCCAAGTTGTAAAAGAAGAAAAAGAAAACACCCAAAAAACGGAGAGCGAGCCAGGCTGTAAACGAAGACCCCCGATAATACCGATTTGAGCGAATTTTCCTTTTTTTTTTCTCATAGAGAGAGAGAGAGAGCTCTCCACTTTGGAGATGTGTGTGTGTGCGGATGATATGCGCACTGCTGGTGTATAGAGTGGGAGGGGCATAAGCTATATGGAGTTGATGAAAGGTTGTTTGATGATGGGAACGGCATGTTATGTGTGTGGCATGATGCGGTGGCGTTTGATGAGAACTTTGTGTGTGTATATATCGGGCGCCTGGTTGGGAGAGAGAGAGAAATAGAGACACTTTGGCTTTGGGCTTTGGGGCGGGACTTCTTTGTAGGGAACTGGAGAATGATATTAGTAGTTATCTCATGTGGCTTTTTCTTTTTGCTTTGGAAGAAACGTGAGAGGAAAATGCGTTGTGATTGTCTAGTCATGTTGTGAACGCAATATGTCTTGGTGAAGCAACACCCATGTGAAGTCAATTTTGAGAATGATTTTGAGAAGGTGTTGTTTGAGGAGGGAAACCTGGCGTGGGTCAGGGCGGTGCTGAGGCAGCACATCGTTTGCTTCGAAGCAATCCAGGTTTTGAGAATGATTGGTATATGCTTGACATTCAGCCCAAGTTTACACGTAGCAGATGATGACTGCATTGACTCCATAGAGTGTCCTCATCTCAGACAGGCAGTCACTGAACTCGGATTTTTTCATCATAGGTGCCAAGTGTTAGACTCGTGTGAATAGTATATTATATATGTAGCATAGTCACTCGTATGTTGGTTCAGAGACCAAGGCTTCTGCAAGGTCCATCCTTCCAATCAAACTCGTCCTCGAAACACACATAGGGAAATGGCCTGCCGAGAATCTTTTGAGCTACAGCGGAGGAAAGAAAACGTCAGTTATTGATTGCAAGGGAGAGAGATCAAGAGGTTTCTCAACTCAAAACAGGTGAGAACCATCATCGGGGGGGGAAGATGTAACTTACTGCAAAAAACGAGCCGCTCATTCACAGTTTGTTCGAGGTACAGGGGATAATTTCGATCGTACTTCCCACTGTAGTATCGGACGAAGTTGTACTTGAAACTCATCGTACTGCCGTCGTCGCCGCATTCGAAGGTGTCGACGCCGCCGCAGTCGTCGTCCCATAGTAGTGGGCAATGACGCGTGGCTGTGCACTTGAGGACACCGTCTTCCGTGATCGTGGCTTCAAGGTCGATACCGGAAGTTACGCCAAAATGGGCTTTGATATGCGCTTGCTAAAAAGCCAAAGGTATCAGTATTGATCTAGCGGATACATGATGGTGAAAAGGGGGGGGGGGGAGGCTGCTTACAAGGCAAGGAACATCTTCGGTTTGGGCGCACATGCCTGAAGCGCAGAAGCGGATGTAGTCGCATCCCCCATGGGCGCTACCGCCACAATCATTGTTCTGACGAGCAGAGATGAGGCTCAAGTCGCCCATCGCGGCGTTGCTGAGGTTCTGCTGGGCGTTTGGAACTGAAACCTCCAGCTCGCGTAATTCGTTACCAGCCGACCTTTGGTGGTGATGATGTGGATGGCCATGATGGGGATGTGTCGGGAACGAAGGATGCGACGATGGCGTCGATGTGGTCGGTACCGACAGCTGGTAGGGTTCAGATGTAGGAACTGACAGGACTGCTGTGGTACTTCCTTCACCTATCGGCGAAGGAGCCGCAGTAGCGTCAGCACGAGCAGCGACGCCACCTACCAGCCCACATCTGGTAAAGACAGTGGTGCTCAGGCAGATGGAATACTCGCCCGAACAAGCAGGGGTACCTCTTGCAGAGTACGTGGAGTAGCAGGGCTTGGTCGGGACGCAGAGATCTTGAGTCACACAAGCCTTGTCGCCACCAGAGCCATTACACATGGTCGTGTGCAGGTACGAGCTGCACTCGCTACCGCTATAAGGCGGATTGACTGGCGGAAGCGTGGGCGCGCCTGGGAGAATTGGTGGTGCAGTGGTACGCGTGGCCTGTCCTCCGTTGCTGTTGCCTCCGTTAGGTGGCTTAGTGCCGCCTAATGGGTTGATGTTCCAGCCCCAAGTCGTCACGGTCTGTCCGTTGTAGACGGTTGTTCCCTGCGTGTGGCTTACGCCTATTGGAATCTGATCATGAATGTCCAGTAGATCAGGGTCATAGGTAGGTCTGCGACGTTGTGAGCGTGCTGTACAAAATCGAGTTGGAGCTAAGCACGAAACTTACAATGGGCAGCTTCCGCCTGTGGTAGTCGTTGCTGTACCCGTACGTGAGCATTCGCTGACGAGCGAGGTGGAGTAAGCTGCAGAAGGAAAAGAAAAGGGGTTAGCCGATGGGCTCTCAGGCATTGTATGTTCATCCACTCACTCTTGCATTGTGTCGTGCGCTGAGCGTCACAAGAAACCCAGCGGTCGGTGACGGTTCTCGTGGTGCATTCCTCATCCTCGTCGTCTTCTTCGTCCGGATCGTCAGGATCACCGCCGCCGCCACCGCCACTTCCTCCTCCACCAATACTGCCGGGTGGGCAGAGCGGGCCAACGCAGTTGAGATTGGGAGTGTTGCAGATGGGACCAATGCAGCCGCAGACGCCAATGCAAGGACGCCCACCGCCTCCACCACCTCCGCCGCCTCCACTGGTATTCTCATCTTCTCCACGGCCGCAATTAGCCTTGCAGAGACTTCCACACTGTTGTCCAGGCTTACAGGTCGGCTTTGGCGGGCCCCTGATGGCAGTGATGGACGATGGCTTACCTGGAGGCGGGGGAGGTGGAGGGGGGAAAGGGTTATCATCGTTTGAATCAATGGTAGGCCAGGACCCAGGCGAGTATGTCCAGGTGACGGGTGTCTGTCCCGCCCTGGTCCTGGTGAGTGTGACTGGCGGGAAGTCGACGCTTGACGTGAGACCCACTGTCGTCTGACTCTTTCCACTCTCATCTTCACCGTTGATCCATATCACGTTCCATACTTCGACCACGGTCGTGGTGACAGGGGGCAGTGTAATGACGGTGCTGGTCGTCACCACGGTCATGTCCCAAGAAGCGAGGTATGAAACGGTGACAGGAGGGCGGGAGATGGTCGTCGGCTTGTCAAGGGACCATGGGGGCATGATGAGTGTGCACGGCGGGAAACACGACGCAACCGGGTTTGGATCGTCATAAACCTCGGGTGCAATGTAAACTGGCCCGGAACCCTTGCCGTTTGACGGCTCCTCGAGACAGGCGCCGCTCTGACAACCCTTACCACAGTGGCCCTCAGAATCACCGCAGTAGCCCGAGGACGAACAACAGCTGCCCTGGGGCCAGAGACCACAAAAGGAGCCGTGTGCCGAAGCGCCGCAGGTTCCGTCGGTCGTTTCCTGTCCCGTCAAACACTTTCCACTCTGGCAGCCGGACCCGCAGTGTGTCTCGCCACTTCCACAGTAACCATACGAGGAGCAGCAGTTACCAAATGTACTACCCTCGCACTTGAAGCCGCCATTCTCGGGACCGCATCGTCCATCGGTAGAAATTGGGGCGCTGTCACCGTCACCAGTGCCCGAGTTGAAGTCGACGGACCATGCCATAGTGCCTCCGAAGCATAGGTTGTTGGCAAAATTGCGCTTCATCTCATGTGTCTCCTCATCGTCGTAGCCGATCCACTGGTCGTCCCAGATGAGCTCCTTCATCATCGAGTCGGTGTTGAGGCGCGGCGTAAGGTTCTTTTCCTTGATAAGCTTCTTGATCTCAAGCAGTGACATGACTCCGTCCTGGCCAGTGCACTCGGCCCGCTTGCTGGGGCCTGCAAAGGGACACCCGAGTGTGTTGCAACTGGGATCTGTGATGGAATGTTAGTTGATATGCACAGGCAATCACTTGAGGGCATTTCAATATACCTGGCAACGTGTATCCTCTTCCGTACCACGCGAGGCCAAAATTTATCTTGGCCGGATCCAGGTTTGCATACCAGAGGGGCAAGGTGTTCTAAGTCACGGTCTGTTAACAAACTTTCGCATTGATGTCTCTGGCCTGAGACCACAGAGTCAGTGGTGATCGAATGCTTACTGCGAGGCATTAGTAAATAGTCGGGATGGTATGAGCTCACGATAACTCACCATTGTAAATCTCGCGCACATCTGCCTGGCCGCGGACCAGAGATCCCAAAGTCAGGACGTCCGAATCCCAAGATCCATGCAAATCATAAGCCATGAAGCCGAAGAAGTCGACATATGGCTGCATGCCCTCTGCGTCAAAGTATCGAAGATACCAATAGTCTGGTGCAAGAGTCAAACTGATGCCGTACTTGTTTCCGTAGGCCTCTCTCATCTCCCTGACGAGCTTTGTGAAGTTTTCAGTGTCTCCCTTGGAGCCTCCTCGCTTCGGCTCCACGGGGTACTCCCAGTCCAGATCGACTCCCGTGAAGCCGTACTTGTCCATGAAGTCGGCAGTCGATTGAATAAAGGCGGCCCTGTTCTCAGCGGTGGAACATAAGTCACTCCAAGTCGTGTGTGTGGTACCGTTGTCGCTGAACGTGTAGCCGCCAACGGCGATCCAAGTGTTTGTGTTGAGAGCCGTAAAATCTTCCATGAGCGGGATGTCGGCGTCATCCCAGGGCCGGATCCTGAAGGTATTAGGGTCGATGGAAGCAAAGGAGAAGAAGAGATGGGTATAATCCTCAGCATTGATATCCTTGGGAAATACGCGGTTGCACAGACGGTCTCTGCTATTGGAGGCCAGGTAATAACCAATGGTCCGGCCTTTGGTCGATCCAGAGCCCTCACCACATGTCTTTGGTCGGATGATCTCGCAAGAGCCAAAGTCTTCCTGGCACGGTGTGAACTTGTTTGGCCCGATGCAGTGAACCTCAGATGTTCCACACCATCCACCTAGAATATCATGGTTAATAAGAGACGAGTGCAAGCTGCAGGATGAATGGACACTGCGATGACTTACCCCAACTACAGCACAGGTTCATGCCGCACTTTGTGTTTCCTCCTTCGGAGAAGTTGCCACACATGGCTACGGCATCACAGTTGCTGGTGCAGACGACACCACAAAAGTCTTCACCGTAACCACATACTCCCGCAGGGCCGCAGCAACTAACACAGTGAGCATTCCGTTCTTTCCAAGGCCTCCTTGCCTTCTACAAGGAGTGAAGCGTGACAACTTACCTTCCGTCGGGGCAAGGGCCATTCCTGCACAAGAGGCCTCCGTTCCCATCCTCTTCGCGCTGTCTCTTGTCGAAGAGGTTGGGCAGGAGACTTGACTCTTCGGATGATTCGTGGCTGATATTCTGGGGCATGGTGAACAAGGCCATGAGGTTGAGATAGGGAATGGGCGGTGCGTTCTCCGGGGACTAGTGGGTGATATCCGGGGCTTTCGCCGCCAGAGCGCCCTGCAAAGCAATGGAGGCGAGTCCAAGAAGACGCGCTGATGTCTTGAAGCGTGCCATTTTCGACACTGGTAGAGTTGACTTGAGTGAAGGAGGAGAAGGCTCGTGGGAGGGCCATCATCTATATATGGAGATATTGGTTTTATGTACACCTGAGCATGTAGTACTACTGCTGTTCTGCTCATGCCAGGACTCAAGTTTTCACTCCACAAGTCTCACGGCTTTCTCCTATCTTCCAGTCTACAAGTTTAGCGGCTTTTCTTACTCTTCCTCCCCCGTAGCGTTGGATTCACTTGAGTACCTACTAACTCATTTCAACACTGTATCGCGCAGTCCAGGATGAGATGTAATTTCTCGTGGTTGCATCACTAGAGCAACATGTGATACGTGCTCGAAATCCTTCGCCTGTCGAGCCTCCGGAATTGCCACCACCAGTAGGAACTCTCGACTACCGGCTTGGCATTGCTGGCCCCAATCAGAGCCGCGCGGACTGTTGCCAAGAGCAAATGATTCGGTCCTTCCTAAAGTTTTCTAGAGGGTCAGGTAATTTCCCTACCCGATTTAGTTCTCAAACGTCGGTTTTCGCGCTTCGCAGCATCCCTGTTCGGCGCTTAGAAGGTTGCCACCCGTTCGTCCAGACTGGTCCAAGCTGCTGCGGCGGTACGGCCCTTGCTCACTACCGGGTGGCAGGCCTTAGCATCGTCTTATTTTCACCTCCTCACTCTGCAGTCACTTGAATAATCATAAGGGCACAAAGCGTAGGTAAGTCTTGTTACAAAGATGCACAGTATCACAATGAAGCAAGCTGTGGCTGTGAAGCGATAATGCGACGCCCTGTCCACATCAGGGGAAAAATAGTGCACTCCCGTATGCAAGAAAAACCACGCCGTAAGGATTGTATCTTGCCGAGGGAGGTTGGGCCGTGAAAATGTCGATCTCCTTCTACACAAACAAGTCAGGCTAGTGTGAAGTTCCCACAGCAGAATTGGCCGATCCTTGGAAATGAGGTACCGTGCCGCAATGAGATGACCCTGGTAGGCGATACCCGCACCTGGTGGTCTGAGAGCAATCGAATATGTCCATAAGCGACTGACAATGAACGGAAACAGGCTGATTGTATTTGGCCCGCGAAGAACGGGGCAGCAATATGCGAGAGCGGAAATGAAAGAATTTTTGTGAACACAAATGCCTCGAAAGATGATCGGGGTTAATGGCGCTAATGAAGCAAAGGTCGTAGGAAAGAGTTGTAAAGGGTGCTCGAGGAATCTTGAATCTCAGCCTGTCACTGTGTACAAGAGATAATAGACTTCTCCAGATCTTCATGCAATTAGATTACTTACGAAGTTCTATGTATACATTGAGTTGAAGTTTAATTTCATGTGTTCACCTCTTCCATGAACCGTGCTTCGGACGGCGGAAATCCTTCGGCTAGCGCTATGACGTAATCTTGGCCATGTTTAATAAACGAAATACCGTTATCTCTATCGAGTCCGTGATTCCGTCTTCACTTCAGACACTCACATTGAGAACACTATCGGAATCACCACAAGCGACTATGACAACGAGTACCGAACGAGACGCTTTCGGCCGACTTCCCGAGGAGCTTCGGATTGAAATTATCAAACTTTCACCGGATCCTTTGTCGCTACGGTGCTTGGCCCATGCCTCGCCCGCTATGGGCAAAGTGCTGGACAGATATCCGCTCGAAATCTTGGAGGTCATCCTAGAGGTTACCGTTCCCATGAGTATCCGTCGCCTGATTCACGCGGTTCTCGAATTGCGGCTTTTGTGCTTCCCAGCATCCTTGTCTGAGGCTCAAAGGGTGGCGAGAACTGACTCAACTGCGGCCACCAGCGGAATGCGTTCATCCGAACTAGACCGAGCCGCCGCGGCGGTACGGTCCTTGCTCACGACGGCTGATAATGTCCATAACTGGTCTCATGCCTGCCTCGAACATTTGATCCGGATATCAATGGAGCTAAGGCCTTCCACGCTCATCAAGAATGGGGAAGGCAGAACACGCCGGGAGGAATTCGAAAACGCCGAGAGTCGAAAAGACTATCTTCCACAGGATACTGGCCCGCCTTCGTGGGTGGAGGAGCAGCGAATGATCAAAGCATTCTGGCAACTGCAGTTCTTCCTGGAACTTCAGGGCGCCGGTCGCAAGGGCCACCTGAGCACCAATTGGCCAAAACAGGAAGTTGACATGTTGTTCCAGAGCAGTGCGGGAGGCTTTTACGACGTGCACAACTGCGAGCGGGAGCAGATCCTGACCGCCTGCGATTTTCTCGGCGCAGTCACCTCTGGAACTGTCAATTCGGTAGAAGCTGTTCACGACGACGCTTACAATTTGCCAACAATACTTTGGGTTGATGGGGCAGTGTTGAGGCGTCCCTGTGCCGAGCCGCTCTCATTCGAGCTCAACAAGGACACCTTCAGTCAGGGTTCAGAAAACCTCGACCGAACGCCATGGGCGTACCGCTTCCATGGGGCTATGTCCTCAACCGATGGATGGCTTGATGGGGCTCCGCTTACGATTTTCTACCCCTTTCAGATCTGGCGCAAATATGGGTTTGCCATATGGGATGAGAAGCGTATGGTTGATTTGGGCATGCGGCACCCGAAAAAAGCGTCATATAATGGGAACTCTTTCTCTTACTCTTTTCGATGGTGGAGCATCTTAACGGAGGAAGACCTGCGTTAGGACTTGTGTACAATTCATAGTTGAGCCGTTTTTCCTGTCTGGACCAGGGCTTTGTGCGATCGGCCCGAGAATAAGATAGGCAATGGAGAGAGACAGAGACGGCTTGAGATAGAGCTAATCGATAGCATAGCTAGGACGTTATATTGGCAGTTCTGCCGCGATTTCCTGCCTTTGCAGGGTTAATTTGTTGGCTCAGGCGCTACTTTAGGCCCTCTCTCTCGCGAGCTTACAAGGTACCTGCATCGTCGAAACTCCCACAGAAGGATTCAATCCATAATCGGCATGGTGAACCAGAATAGACACAAATGCTGAGTTAGTAATCGCACTCTAATGTATGTGCTCATTCGATGGCTATTCTCTGCCTAAAAGTGGATCTACATGAGGTTACATCGCTCATCTTGCCATCTCCGTCGCAACTGTCTGGACGTGCCACACCTGCATAGTTGACTATTCACGAGAGCTAACGAAGCATCGGCTACAGTTGAGTCTGTCTAGATTCAAGCAATCTTGGAAGTTAAGCGGGGCTCACGGTTGGGACACACGAAAACATAGGTTCCTTAGCTCTCAACGAAAACCGAGGAGCTGATATGGCCCGGAGAGCGTTCTTTACCCATGTGAACGCTTGCCGCATAGGCTTTCTGGGACGATGGATCATGTGTTACCGGACTAAGTAGCTGATAAGCTCGGCTCCGCAATCACGCATGTCTAAGTAGTATATATCCCTAGACTGGGGTTTCTGACCATGCCTGCATCTTTCTGCACTCACTGTTCATCTCGTTTCTTCAGCTGCTCGTTATGATTTCCGTCGGCATTCTCAATGGCGCTGGGCCAACTGGCGCCAGAAGACGTCTTCCTCGATACCGTCTCTTCGCTCTTGTCGTGGCTATCTGCCTTGCTGTGATCATTGGCTCTCACTTCTCCCACGGTTCGCAAGCTCAACAGCCATCCGACGTGCAAAAACGAAGCCTTTTCGACGAGCCACTTGGACTCAACGACTCGCTTGTCTCGCTGCCGCAGGAGCTTTCTTCTCGTGCAGCCGACAACGCACTATGGACCAGGAAGGTTGCAAGTGGAAGAAGGTGAGTCAAAGTACTTTTCGTTGTGATGAATGAGCGAAAGCCACGTCTTGAATCAACTTGTTTTGAATCTATACAAGCTAGTCTAAGCCATGCAGCTATTTGCTGATACTATGGGCAGGTAGCCTACTTGGTCTCTTTGCTAACATTCATGTAGTAAGCGGTTCGAAACAGAAGTTTTCTCCATCCCATCTGCTGACGACGAGGACAGACATCTGGTGCATGATGAACAGTGCTGATGTGAAAGCCGGGACCGTGACACTGGAGACACTCTTGTCGAGCGGGTGGGTAGAAGATGATGATATGGATCCATACATACCAGCGAACTACCGCGAGTCACTAGGGAGGGCCGATGGTCTGTTGAACACGGCTAACGAGGTCCCTCGAAGCTGGGATCATTCGAATGTGTGGACGAACGATGATGGCAGGATTAGACAGGTACGTGGTCACAGTCGTGCTAGCGCAACCGTGTACTTTACTGACCTGCATGGCTTGACTTTATAGCCAACGACAGCTTCAATGGGCAACATTGTTAACGGCGATGATGGCTACATAATTGCCGGTGGCAATTTTGGGCCGGCGGATGCTGCGAAATCCATAAAACCACCTCCACCGGAATGGATGTGGCCCACTACAAAATGGACAGACATCCTGGCAGTAATGTGGAACCAGTACGCGGCCGGCAAAGACCTCAAGCGCATATACCGGTCCAACGTTATCACGGAGGAGACGCTGGACCTCATGGAATCGGCGCTGTTGAAGGTCAAGAAGCTCCCCAGCGGTGGCATGAAGAACTTGCCGCTGTGGCCTGGCGTTGATTTCGTGCCGGGCAAAAACCCCACCAAGACTCCAATGACGCCTGCAGTCGAGGCCTTCATGGGCTTGCTCGGAAGCTCTCATGCTGCTGGTTCTGCGTACTTGTTCATCCAATACCGGGCCATCGTTGGCAGGAAGAGTGTTAGCAAGATCAAGCTTTGGCAATCTGAGACTGACAAGACGAACATGCTGCTTTACTTCGAGAGCAAGAAATAAGCATCTAACACTCCATTATATGTTTATCTACCTAGAATAGCTACATACTTGAATTTACTTTGCTTACTTATCTACCGATTCTAGAGTGAACCTTATCTCTTTGTATTATATACAGCCTGCAGTGCTATAATATATAGCTATATGTAATGAGGCTAAGTGTGTAAGAATACGATTCTCCTACAATCTACTGTAGTGTAACTTAACAGTGTTATGCCTGCGTTTTACTACTGGCTCGTGTGTTGAATTAATAAGTCAAACGCTGTCTTTCTTTCTCTTGTCCCTATTAACTAAAAGACTCCTTTTTCACGATTGCCGTCTCCTGTTTATTCTCAGAAGTAACTACCTAGAGAATTGCAATATCTCATGTCTTCAGCAACACCATGCTGACGGCGAGATTTTATATCGTTTCACTATGCTCGGTACGTTATGTTGGAAGAGATTTCTCAGATGTCGATTCGAAGGTTAGGCCAAGTCATCAGATGCTCATGAAAACTTCGAACAACAGATCTCAGCAAAGCTTCGGTAGCTGTAGTCATAACAGCAAAAGCTTCCATTATGGGTTTCATATGGTGCGGCAAACATGGATCATGGTCATCGCTTGTATCCCCCAGGTCGAACGCTAATCCACCCGACACCACCCCCTCAGCCATAATCCGGCATTTAGACGGGAGCTGATGTTCATTAGCAGCCATCTCCAGTCAGCAAACCAGCAAGGCAACTTACTCTCATTGTCATTGTAGCAAGGAGTACGTCCCTGCGCGGTAATAATACCAACACAAGAGAACTTTCCGCCAGCATTACACTTGGCGGGAGTGTCTTCGCCACTCTGCAGGAGGCGAGAAGCACCAGAGCAGACGGCAGTGCAGTCAGAGGTGTCACCTGTTTCCGCGTTCTGTATAATGGAAATTTTAGTCTGGATGTTGCTTGGAGAGCTGTTTTGAAGATGTCGGGTGGACTCACGTAGCCGTAGACACAGCAGTGGGAGCCGTCTTGGAACAGACACTGGCATTGTCTAGCACCGGAACAATCAGCTGCCTGGCCGATGGCGACGGCGCCAAGGACAGCGAGGAGAGTGGTGATGAGCTTCATGTTGATTGAGGGGTGGGCTGGAGTTGGGTTGAGTTGGAATGTTGGAGTTTTGTGGATTGATGTTTGTTGACGTATTCACCATACGTTTTATATAGACATTTAGACCGTCACAGCTAGAAAGGTAGGATTCTCAGAAGGTCGTCTCCACATCGGAATACGAGAGATCATCCGGTTCGATGGACGTGCTGGGCGTGACAGCATCGTGATAGTATAGTCGTAGTATCGCCGAGCGCTCGTAACGGTGTAATGCCATCCGCTCAGTGGATGCGGTGTAGGGAGTGTTGCAACGGATATTGACACCAAATGCACTTCACTTCGCCTTCTTCGGTTATATCTTGGGAACATCAGTGGAACCTCCATCTAGTGCATCATCTACTCGAGTCATCCGGGGCCAGATTAAAGCATTTCGGGGATTTCGGATGATGCGCGGTGAGTATTAAGGTCTTCCTGGAGTATCTTACGTGAGACAACTGGTATCCCTCAACAGCATTCGCGTGGTGAGCATGTTGCTCCAAATCAGACTTCGTGTGGTTGAAACCGGCTGCAGATAATATTGCGAGACGCAGTGCGCGCTCAGTGCGATTCGCGAGTACCCGGATGGATACACACGGCGTTGAGTCCGATCAAAACTCCAGCATTCGCCATAGTATGCCACCAAGAACGGCATAGTTGTACTGCGTGTCACGCATGGAGGTCATTTAGCCGCCAGCATGTGGATAAAGCTAAGCACTGCTCACAGAACCCGGCTCGTTTCTCGCGCTCGGGAGATTTAGTCGATCAGGAGGCGGCTCGTGACGTAGACTTGAGAATCTGATTTTTAACATGGAACGACCACCGCAACCTCAACAACAAAGTCTGCGCCCGACTAGAAGCCTGCAACCATAAATACAGTGACTGGAATCGTCGGACTTGTCGCACTTGGCGCAAGCGCGTGGGCTTGCTGCGCTGTGTATAGCAGGTTGCGCTGGGAAGGGCGCTAAGAAAGAATACACCGACGGAAGTCTGACAATGCAAGCTTTGCTAAGCATTGATCATCGCCTTCGGCCGGGCTCATAGCCAATGAGATCGGCGAACAGCGAGAACGTGCCTAAGAGCGTAAGCGGCAGGGCCCACAGATTGCACGCATGTTGGGGTAGATGCCTGCTAGTTCCCGTACAGTAAACGGTCCGTCGCATGGCTTTCTCTTCTCGCTCTATTGACACTGTCGTCTCGGCGGTTTCTCGTGTTCATACGCAACCAGTGCGCATCGGTCGGACCATGATGTGCCTAATAAGCTCTGGTTTAAGCTGCTTATGCGCATCGGTCAAGCTTTCATGACCACGATGTGACGCCGGGGGAATACTTGCTCCGTACGAACGGCGGATACCGCAGGACTCTGCGATGTAGTCAGTGGTTACAAGCAAGACGACTCGAAGTACTCATATGCGCCAGAGGCAACTATCGCGACAACGCACGCAAAGATCCCGGCGAGCTTGTTAGTCATGGACCGTGCAAGATCGCGCGCAGTCACAATCTCCAACCATGCTCGAATACTACAGACGGTATGCGAACTCGAAGAAAACGTTCGTGATAGTGATGCGGGAAAAAATGAACATTGCGACGAAACGAAGATGGCTGCATAGGAACTCTTTTCGTACTTGGATGGAGATCCTAATAGGATAGCGGTTCGCTCGTACTTCAGAATTTTCCAACAACAAACATATCTAGAGAGGAAGGTAAGAAGAAGTTGAGAGAAAGCAACAGCGTTGAACGAGGAAGTAAGAGCTTGGTTCGAAGGCCTGACTAACCGCGTTAGGTCGGATGTCCGGGACATTCTACACTCAACATCTCCAACAAACCTCACACACAAAGTACATCATCCCGTCCGAGACTCCACACCTGTATCCTCCACGCCCTTCTAGCGACCCTCCCTAGACCTCAGCATCTCCCACATCGCCACCAGCAAGACTCCCTGCACGTCCGCTTGCTACACGTACAGGGATGTGAACGGCTAGTAGAATCGCAATTTGAAACGCGACTGAAACCTTGTACGCCACAGCAATAATGCACACGATCAGAAATAATGTCAAACATGTCCCTCTTTGTGAACCGGCGGCTAGTGCTGATCGCAAAAAAGCTTAGTTGGACTTCAAGCCTGAAGTTCAAGGGGTCAAAGCCACACACGCTCGAGGAACATCACCAACGGAGTAAAGTAACTACTAAGCTCAGACTACCGGCCTGCTTTTCATCCACACACACACCGTTTTGAAATCCAAAATCCGCACTTCACAAAAGTAAGTAAACAAGAAGAAGATTTGAACCAGAACTCTTTTATTCCCTATCATAGTAAATTAAGGAGCGTAATAGACAAGGGTTCCCAAGCCCAAGTAAACTACACAATCAACCGCGTTACTCCTCCTCCATCCGCCACCGTTTTTTAAATACAAGATACCCAGTATTAACAAGCTCTTCTTCCTTCCATCCGCGCGTCACAGACACCGACCAGATAAGAGGACAGAAGAAGCCCAGTAGCTCCACCCTACTCTCCCCAAATCGTCCTTACAATATTATCCCTTTATCCAAACAAGATCAAAACCGAGGTGTATACAACCCATTCATTAAATCCAGATCCCCATTCCTTCCATCTCCTCCATGTGTGTAAATATTCTCATCATTCTCATCTCTCTCCCCCAGCGCTCATAAGCCAATGCGTTCATGAACATCGTTTGTTTCCGTCATCGTGAAAGCGCTTAGTTGTCATCCTCGCCCTCAAGGAGGTCAAGCTCCTCCTCCTGGTCGTCGTTGGTGAGGGCAGGCTGGTTGCGGGCGGCCTCACGCTTGCGAGCAGCGGCGCCGTTGATAGCGGTGTTTGAGCCTGTGGTGGCACCGGTTGCGCCAGTGGCACCAGTAGCGCCAGTAGCACCAGTAGCACCAGTAGCACCAGTAGCACCGGATTGAACGCCAGCTCCGGTCTGCTGAGTAGCACCAGTTTGCTGAGTAGCACCGCCAGCGTTGGCAACTGGGGCAGCGCCGTTTGCGACTTGGCCGGTGGTAGAGCCTGTGGTAGCACCAGTGGCGCCAGTGGCACCGGTAGTAGCACCAGTAGCACCAGTAGCACCAGTAGCGCCAGTAGCACCGTTAGCAGCGGGAACAGCACCGTTAGCGGCCGGGGCAGCTGCGGCGGGAGCAGCGGCACCAGCAGCACCAGCGGCGGGAGCAGCAGCAGTTCCAGAGGTAGCGGGAGCGGCGGCACCAGCAGCAGGAGCAGTACCAGCAGCGGGCGCGGTACCAGCAGCAGGAGCAGCCGCAGCGGCACCGGCCATCTGAACAGGAACACAGCCACCGAAAGGACCAGCACGAGCGGGGTTCTGGCAACGGACCATGCAGACGTTGCTCTGGCCAGCGACAGTACCCGTGCAAGTCATGCCAGCGGGCATGGAAACAGTGAGGGGAAGATCCTGCATCTGAGTGTCGCGGTTACGGCCACGGTCGTTACCGGGAAGGTTGGTGGTGACGGTGGCGGCTTGCCAGTTGGCACCAGTGCCAGTTGCGTCAACCATGCAGGTGTAAGGGCCGGCACCGTCAGAGTTGACTTGGTGGACTGTCATCATGACTTGGCCGCCAGCAGAAACCTGAGGAAGAGTGGCGCCGCTGAGGGCCATGACTTGAGCGGTACCGGCCTGGATGTCGTTGTCACCTCCGCCGAGTGTCTCACCGCAGGTGTCTGCGGCTGCGCCACGGAAACGGGTGGCATCCTGTTGGAAGGGGTTTCGGTTGGTACCGTCACGAGGAGTGTTGGGGTCAACACCAATGGCGGTACCGTTACCGCCTGCATCACCGGTAGCGCCGATGATAGCAGCGTGGCCAGCCACGAGGGAAGAGGAAGCCAAAAGGCTGAAGGAAACAATGGTGGTCTTGGAGAAGTACATGTTGAGTTTTGTGTTGATTATTGTCTGAACCGGTCAGAGAGAAGATTAGGTAGTAAAGTGAAGAGGTATTAAGTAGAAGAGAAGAGAAGTAGTGATTACTGTAGTTGCTGGGTTGGGAACCTGTGATGCTGGATGCTCTTCTTCGGTTGCGAAGACGGTCGTCTTTATACAGCAGACTGATACCGAGAGAGGATGTTCGGCATCGTGACTCGCATCGACTCTGGTTAGTTCCAAGGTGGTGAGGCGTTCCGGTTTGGCCAAGATGTGAGAGCCTGGCAGTATAAGGTTTCAAACTTGTCGTGGTCTTGCAGAAACGTTGCATGAGTTGGTGGAGCCACTAGACGAAAACGTACGAAACGTGGTTGCGGCAACATCGACCCCAGAAACATGTATGAAAAGTTCACGGCTCCGGATGACGGCGTGTAGATGATCACTTTGAGCAAATCTGGGTCTGATCTGGTAGGTGTAACGGGTCCTTGTGCCGTAGACTGTGAAAAAGCTTGCAAAAACTCCGACACGAGTAAACCGGTGAAGATGTTGCGTGGTGGATAGTTCCGGTTCCCAAGCTGTAGACATCGCAGGTAGCTCTCGCGCAATTCCGCATGAATCGTCCATAGTTTACCGGTGGATAAACGGACATGTGGCTAGGGCTAAGCATTCAGAAGTCTGAGGTTTCAAAGCTTGGCAGTGAACACAAATGTACCCTGGGATCCCTTGAAACGGAGAGTGGCTGAGGCCGTCAATGTTCATGCATGACGTTCTGGGGAAGTTGAAAATACACCAGGCGGGGCCTTCCCTCGGGCGCATCTTAGGGAAGCGCGCTGATGGCGTACTTGAGGTCGCTATGCGATGCGACTTCGCTGTAGGCAATGTTGAGATGCATGGCGCAATCCCGCAGAGCTGCAAGCTAGACCACGCCAGCCACAGCTTAGATGTGCGCCAGGGCATCAAGCGAGCGCACATCAGTTCTGCAGTGGCGATCAGGGTGATCAGGGTCTCGGGCAGACCAGATCAAGCCCATGTTTCCATATCATGAAGCATGGGAGCGGTCGATTGAAAGTTTCGGTGTTCCGTTTTGGGATCAAAGTTTTCTAGTGGCGCATGGTCGGTTTCATGAGTAATGGTACAGCATCTGGGGAAGTTTCTGCCTCCGGCACGACCATGATCCGGCCTGGTGTACCGTTTGTGGCTGTTGGTGCGGAGCGGGGGTGGAAGTGGTGCTTGCGATGAGGCACTTAGGAGGTGCAAAAGGGTGAAGTGTGGTTCTGAGGCACAGGGCGGACGGCTAGGCCCGCGCGTTAGTCATGGTCTTGGCAGACCCCGTCGCTAGCAAGCGGCCGGCGAGGTTCGCGTCGCAACATGGCCATCCGATACCTCAACCTATGCCACTGCGCTTTCACGTGCGGCTGTCGCTGGCAGGTACAGGTTTCACTTTGTACGCGCTCGTAACTCACTGCTCCAGGTAGTGCCGCTGCCGGCATGGCAGGTTGTAGGTGCGCAGCCTGATATACTCTGCTGGCAGCGACTAAGGCTAACAGCTGTGGCAGTCTGACCGTCTGAGACGCCGTAATACGACACCGCATGTGCCTTACACTTCTCTCCGAATGTGAACAAGTTCCTAGCGATCCGTCCACCGTCGTTCGGGAAATGGGCGACGGACGAAGCAACACATGAGAGGCCCATAAAGGACAACATAATGAGGCTGGATTGAGGAATGGCGATACCGCACGACTTTGCTTCATGCATGCATGCTGAGATGGGATTCTATAGTCCTCGAGACATGAATGCGGCCTGTTGCAGCCCCTCTGCGACGCGCGATACCTTTGTTCTGAGTATGCACTTTGAGAGGGGGTCTACATAATTTTCGCGCCTTTGCACGTACCGTGATGACCATGACAAGGACAGCATCCCCTTGAGATTTACAATCAGCCAAGTACTACTCATGAATCTCTTTAACACACCACGTCTGCAGCCAGCTTAACTAAACAGGCAGGTAGAAGTTGTCTTGGCAAACTACGTCACTCCGATGTTCGGTACTTGGACAGGGCTACCCGCGATAAGATCGGGATAGGAATCTGAGCATTATCAAACATCGTGACTACCCCCGGATACATGGGTTTCTTGGTTCAATTACCATGCAGATAACTACCCGTTGTGATGTATGACAAGCCCGTACCCCGAGTAATGTATAAATGACGGTTCCGATATACTGGTAAATGTCTGCAACCCATATCTGCGGTATACGGACTGAGCATCAGCTAATCAGAATGGTTCAGTTCACACGCCTGGCATTTGTAGCCCTCTGTAGCCACGCTGCGGCTGGGCAAAACATGCCCTTCGATGCTCGGGAAGCCACCATCGACTCTGTGCACCATGCGCTCTACTCCGGACTTTCGACATGTCGCGAAGTGGTATCGTCGTTCCTCGCCAACATTGACGCCAACAACAACCGGACAAACGCCATCATCACCTTGAACCCCAATGTCTTGGCCATCGCTGACGACATGGACGAGCAGCTTTCGGCCGGTAATGCCACTGGCCCTCTCTTCTGCGTCCCGATACTGCTCAAAGACAACTACGACACAGTAGACATGCCAACTACAGGCGGAAACCTCGCTCTAGCGCATTCCCAACCTTTGGAAGATGCCCCAAGTGTGACAGCGTTCAAAAACGCGGGTGCCATCATCCTCGGCAAGGCGAACTTGCACGAGCTCGCTTTGGAAGGAATCAGCGTGTCCTCGCTAGGCGGCCAGACGATCAATCCCTACGACTCTACCCGCACACCAGGCGGTAGTTCAGGGGGCACAGGTGCAGCAGTCGCGTCCTCGTTCTGTGTCTTCGGCACCGGGACAGATACCGTGAACTCGCTGCGCAGTCCAGCCTCGGCCAACTCGCTATGTAGTATCCGACCTACGCGTGGGCTGATCACCAGGACGGGAATCATCCCCATATCGACTACCCACGATGTCATTGGGCCTATCGCCCGCACAATCAGAGACGTGGCAACAGCGCTGACGGTCATGGCTACAACGGGTTACGATGCAGCAGACAACGACACCGCATTAGTCCCCGGCCCCATCCGCAACACTGACTACACCTCCTCGTTACATAGTACCGAGCTAAAAGGTCTACGCATCGGTGTACTAGAAGGTTTTTTCAACCGCACAGACTCGCCAGAAGTCACGCCCGTTAACAATGCCATGGACGCCGTTATGTCGCGTCTAGAAGCTGCGGGCGTAACACTCATCCCCATCACCGAATCCATCTACAACGCCACTGCCATCCAAGCCGCCTATGACGTCCAGCGCTTCGAGTACCGCGAGCTCATGGACGCCTATCTCGCGCGTCCGTCCCTCGGCGGCAAACACCCCGCCACCCTAGCCGATCTGTACTCGCGCCGCATGGCCAACGGCACTCAGGGAGAGTTCCTGGTGCTTCCAAGTCAGTACGAGTATGTCAATACGGCTCTTGCGTCTTCTACGGGTAATGCTACATATAACGATCGACAAGCTGGTGTTCGTAACCTTACGCTCGCTCTACTCAACACTTTTACGTCGAACGGCCTCGACGCTATCATCTACCCTGAGCAAAAGAACCTGGTTGTCAAGATTGGCTCCCCTTCGCAGTCGGGCAGGAATGGTATCCTGGCTGCGCTGACGGGAACACCGGTTGTCACTGTGCCAGCGGGCTTCTCGGATCCGAGTGACGAGGCGCCCGTGGGTGTGCCGATTGGAATGGAGATCCTGGGGCAACCCTGGGAGGAGGCCAAGTTGTTGGGTATTGGGTATCAGGTGGAGCAGCTGTTGAAGGTGAGAAAGAGTCCGGTTTGGGCGAGGGAGATGGTGGAGGGGAAGAGGTATGAGGAGGTGCCGGTTATTGAGCCAGATACTGCGAATATTCCTAGTGTGTATCCGTTGGGGACGCTCTAGATGAGTCTCATTTGTAGAAACGAACCTTTTTTTCTTCTTTCTTCTTTCTTCTTTTTCTTCAAACAAGTAGCAAGAAATACAGCACTTTTCCGGTCATGAACATGGACGTGCTGCATCTTCAACACATGGACACTTTGTCTTTTCATCTCAAGTGCACAGCAGAAACTTCAAAATTGATTACCGTTTTTCATTCTTTGCTTCCCGAGAATGACGTGGTATGGAGCAACAATCGTGACTTCGAAGGCCTGGTATGTGCATATCCTAGCTCCGACAGTCGTCGCTCGTATGACGTCACATGGGAAACCCCACCGCCATGGAATTTAATTCTGAAAAGGCACCTAGAGGAACTACAGATATATTGTTATTTGCTTTGCGAAGTCTCAGGTGGGTTGAGCATGGTGGTGGGTTGTGACAATTTTTTGGATGACTTGTTGTTCGGCGTTAAACACCAAATTCATGAATGACCCGTGGCACGTAAAGATCTGACAGGTTTCGCTACACATTGCGTCTTACGCTCTTTTTTTTTTTCGTTCTTCGAGAACGCATGCATAACCTTTCTGAAGAGTTGTAATGGCTCTTGCTTCCTCGCATGTAGGGGTGATAGATTCTCGATTTCACAAACCTGAAGCTCTGGAGATGCGAGACAGGCAGCTCGCGATATATATATATCGCGTACTCCCTGGAATTTGGAAGAAGCAGAAAGCGAACACATTACACAGCATGATTGAACTTTTAATAGCCTATGACGGACATTGCAATGTAGATACTAACAAGAAGAATAAGCAACGAAGGCTTTTGTCACCAGAGATGTCAACAATCAAGCTAATCAAGCTGAGCTAGCCTTATATAGGAAGCTACTAGCCTATCTAAGCTAGAATCCTACTAAATATGGCTAGTTTAGCTTGATTGGCTTGATTGTTGACACCTCTCTTTGTCAGAAACGAAGGCCGACATGTGGCATACGTCTTCGGCTTTTGGTGTTCAGCCTCTTACACATGTATGAGGTATGCAAGATTTTTAATATCTCGTGGCACGTATTTTGTGGTAGAAGAACATTGGCGGCCTTTCATGAGTGAACATCACGAGAAGTTAGTTATCTTAGGAGCTTTTTCCCCCAGGTTTTTGTTATAAGCAGTAGCAATAAGGGCGAGATGGCGAAACGGGAGGAAAGTGCTGTAACAGGTTCGTATGACAATCGGCACGGGAGACTAGACTCAGATGTCAGCGAGGTGTCTGATCAGCACACCTGCCAAAGAGTCATCACAACATGGCGACATCGCATGTGCGTATTCAAATATTAGTGCTCACGCATTAGCAACATATGTTGTCAGGGTATAAACGAGGATAACGTATTTGTCATCTAGCTGTCGATGCATCCCTCCTCTTCCTCACCTAACCCAATCCTCTCGCGATTATGGTGTTCGTCAACGCTCCTCGATACCAAGACTCCTCCTCTACTCAGCCCAATGCAGCTACCCACTTGAAAATTTCCATAGTCGTGGAGCAGTTCGGTATTGGAATCGTATTACGCGTTCGCGTTCGTGTTGCGGACTTTTATGATGACACCGCGGCTTTTCGGTGTTCGCATTGTCCGGAAGTTATCCACACCCCCGAAAAGTGGCATCGCCCTCAAAAAGGGAATTGCGGAAAGATGACCAGTCCGAACGCAATGACGTTGGAAGTGTGGCGCAGTCGGAATTCATTCATGATGGTCGGCCGAAGGGCATCCGCGGGCGGTTCTCGGAGCCAGATCCTGCAGCTGCAGTTCATGAAGGGCGCAGCGACCTTGCTGATTGAATCGACGCGAGCTCCCCCAATATGCGCATGCTAGGAGGGTACATTATACGGAAGTCGTCGTATTCGTTGTGGTGTTAATGGTTTGCGACGATAGCTCTCAAGGCGTGTTCTGTTGCCCGGACCGCAGTATCTTTCCCAACATCCAATGCGCAAACTGCAAGGCCGGCATGATCATGGCTGCAACGAGCCGTGAGACGCCATCATGAAGCTTCCATAGCACCGTCTCTTGCCATGCGTCCACGTCAATGTTCCTAGCTTGATCCATCTGATCTTGCATCTGCCTTCGTAGTCTTACAGCCTTGGTAGGTAGCTCGAGACCCAAACCAAGGTATAGCCCGACGATAACCCATTCCATAATGACTTGCCTATGGAGTCATTAGCAGATGCCGCATTGAACAAGATGCAACATGAGAGCCAAAGTGATGGGTGATACGTACATGCACAGTTGAAGCGTCACATCACCACTGATGACGTTGAAACGCCCACCTTGCCAACCGTCGAGGGTGACATTGGGCACCCATTTCTCAAAAGCGAAGCACATCATGTAGACAACATCGACGACGAAGAACGGCAGACTCAAAACGACAGTCGTAAGAATTCGGACCTCATCTCTATCGGCAAGGTAGAGACGCGCTGAGATGACCGTGGTGGACCAGATCAAGACGAGGAAACACGCCAAGTAAAGCGAAACACCGGCCTTGGTGGCTTCCGTAGCTGCAAAAGAGGGTCCATCTCGAGAATCCGGATCGATGCCGCCAGCGACGATAAGAATGAAGGAAATGATGAGCGGTATGTGAACCATGAGCAAGATCCATTGCATGCGTCGGCCTTTGGGGCGCGTCGTCGCGTTGAGCAAGCTGCTGGTGGCCATGAACAATGGCGTCAGGCCCATGGTGGTCAGGATCGCAACACCACTTTCAAGACTCGTGTTTGACGCCTCGCCCTTTGGAAACATGGTCGTGGCCGCCAAATCGAGTGACACCTGCGTAAGTCGACATATGGATAACAAGGTGAGCCATATCCACGGGGAGCTGCGGCCCAGGCCCTGGCGGAAGATGAGCCAGATGGAAATGACGAGATAGAGGAAGAAGACGACAAGTGTCGCTATGTTGACCGTCGCCGGGTAGGTGATGAGACCCACTTCATTTGAAGAGGAAACCATCGATGCCGAGACATTGGGGTTCTGGATGATGAGGGTTGGATGCGAATGGAAGGAGACGGGAGAGGTTGGCACGAAGAGGTTAATCGCTAATTCCGCTGTCCGAGCGCTCCGCCTCAACGCCAAGCGCGCTATCACGTGGCGGCGTGCGTCCAGACCTCGAGCCTGTTCTGACGTTTGTGACGCCCATGGTCGCACACTGGTCCTTTGCGACGGCTAATTTTGATATTCCAACTTTGCACCACAATTCTCATCGTTCGTCACTTTCTGACGCACAACATCTACACAACATCGACATCCGATCGAGACAGAGGCATCGGCATCGCGCGGAGATACACTCGGTGATCACGCTGCAGTTTGCCACTTAGCGGGCAGTGCCCCCCGAAAATCGTCATCGCACTAAAGAACGGACCAACGCGCTTTGCCCGTTCGACGTCACTAATCTCCCGTCACGATCATCGCGTTTAACAAAACGCATGGTGTTGTAACGATCAGGACATGCAGAGTCGGCGTGTGCCAGATCGAAATGATGCATAGCGCTGTATTTCTAGTCCACAAACACGACTCGCGCCATTTAAGCATTCTCACATCCTTGCGTTCCATCGCTTGTAATACAAAAGTCAAGTAAGCCGAGAAACTGTAAGGAAACAGTATTCGCAGCATTGGAACTCGTTACAACTAGCGCTGCAAGCCTATACAGTTCTGACTCACCTCCGCTTTTCTCATCTTGTCTCCAATTACCTCTGATAGTTAAAGTTGGACCCAAGCGCTGGCTGTTCACGGCCGCCCAGACTGGGTCGCTCTTTCGGTGGGTGTTAGACGCGTCGTTTGAGCTGAACGACGCGTAAAAGACCCTGCTGCTGATCGCAGGGCGGGCCTGAACCTTGCAGCCCCTCGGATGTCTGCACATACAGCCGCAAAGATCCTACTTCTTGCTGTGGCCTGGAAGCCAACGCCGGATCGACGGCGGCCGACGACGACCTCATGGGATCAATGGCGAGCAACCTCGGATCGATGGTGGAGAACAGCGGGTCCACAGCGGGTATGTGTGCGCCCTGGTCGTTTTGGTCGCCTATCGCGTCGCGTTGCGCGAGAGAGTGGTTCTCCAACGAGGGGTTCATAGCCGAGGACGATGAACTAGCGGCGGACGGATGTACTTTCCTGTTGCGGTTCCCTGAACTTTTTATCGAAAAGCTCAACTATGGTTGCTCTTGTCAATATAAGTTCAACTATTGTTGTGCGGAAGGACGTTCAGAACCAGCCAAGTGCACTAAACATTGTGACCCTTCTCCGAGGATACATTACGCGTATCTGGAGCCAAGGTTGGAGCCGTCTTGAATATTCCTCTCTCATGATTTATCTACCAGCTTCGTCTCAACAGCCAGAGTTTAATTTGGCAAACACCGAGCGCATCAACTATGATTGCCTCATCACAGCAAAATCTTGCAACATGGCAAAGACCTCAAGTGATCAGATGTCTGCACGGCCACCCACACACTCCTACGAAAAGCGCGCTCTCGTCAAACTACTCAATTTGCAATAAGCCTCCTGACGTCATTATCTACTTGTCGAGTGTGTTGGATTCAAATTAGAGAGGATTTGCCCATATACGCAATACGCACGTGGGTGCGGCAAGCATCGATAATAATACATGAGATGGCTCCTTCTCACACTCCTGACGTTTCCCCTCACAGTACCCAGCGTACTTTTGTAGAAATCACGTCGACACCCTTCTCCTCACCAATCATAAATGGCCGATAGTTCAGCAATGCTTAGCCAATTTGCTCGTCCAAGGTTTGCGTAACCCGCCAGCCTTCGATATACACTCATAATCACACATGTCGCATCCCATACCTCCTCGACCGAGCGAAAAATTCCGATGAATCGGGCTGGCTGGCGAGTGATGGACATATTCCATTCGATGGTGGGCTCGTTGAGTACGGTTCGCGCAGTGTACACCTGCCAGACCGATCTTTCTCCGCGCGTCTTGCTAGCTTTCGGGAAATTACCTCTACGACAGTGTTCTTCTTGGAACCACGAGTTGCAAATAGCAGCAAGTTTCAGCATGCAAAGCTTGGAGTTTGTGTTGTATACTGCGAGTACTGGAAGGTCCACAGAACTCAGCCATGCAAGCACGTGCTCTGCAACAGCACAAGTGGAAAGAGCCGCCCCATGGCTCACCTAATGAGACCTTCTCCATTGCTTGTAGTAAGAATCAAGCGCCTAAAAAAATCTGCCTCCATGTGCAACAACGAGCACTGCAAAACCCGCATCTGCAGACCAGCCATGTTGCCTTATACCTCCAAGGTCTTTGCCACGCCTTTCTGTCTTCTATCTGTGATGTGGCGCCATGGTTCGATTCATCCGCTGCTTTGGCCTCCTGAAGTCTTGCTCATCAAACTTCTGCATAGCCAGCCGACATCCCTTAACCGCTGCCGCTGCCACCGCCTCAAGACTCTCATTCACCCAACTCGTACCGCGCCAACTCGGGCCGAGAGAACCTGCCCGGTAACTCAGCTATATTGGCGGATGTCTCCATCTCTTGGCGCATAGTTCCGATGCCATCAAGTTCACGTGCGTGTCCCTTCTTCCCGGCCTGCGCCCGTAGATCTTGGATGCGCATTGCCCGATACGCTCTCTTGGCCGTATTGCGTTTCCAAAGCAGGTATGTGCCTGTGGTAATGAGCAAGATCATGCCACATGGAATGCCCACTGCTAGGCCGATCGTTGCGCACAGCGAGAGCCCTGAAGGGTGTGTCATGGTGCGCGGTGAACTTTGCTCGGTGTTCGTTGCGCTGGTGCTTGGAGAAGCGGGTGCTGTCGGTGTACTATCGGATAAGTTGGTGAGTTGCGCCGAGGGGTCTGAAGGAGAGTTTGGAGTACTCGGTCGTGCAGAATCGGAGTCTTTGGATGTTGATATCAGGGATGCTGAGGCGGCCGTCGAAGAAGCCACGCTGAGGGCTACTGTCCCAGGTGCGATAACCACTGTAGTTATATACTGTGTTACGTGCGTAGTCGATGGTGAACCAGCAACTGCCGTACTCGTCCCAAAGATCGAAATGCTCACATGTGCATTGGCTGCTCGAAACATTAGCTGGAAACATGTTTAGCCCGCTAAGAATCTCGTACAATAGCATGTGTCATTCAAGAAACCCAATGCTTGTAACACTTCTGATTCAGAACATTGGTTCGTAAGGCAAGTATTGACACCTGGATGCTGCGAATTTGTGCAGCTGCAATTAGGGTCTTCTATGCCACAGTCACTGGTCTCACCCTGGTATTTGATGCATAGTCGCTTACGGAGATCAGCTGCGTCGAATCGAGAATTGGAGCAGTTTAGACTTACGGCGCATTGAGATAGATCTCGGATCTGCAGCACTCTTGCTCGTGCTTGTGAGACTGCCGCAATGAGGTCTAGAATTAGGAAGAAGAACATGGCTGGCCAGTCGCCATTGCATGCAATGAAGGTGTTTAGGGGACGAATATTCGAGCTTGATTCACAGACAAAGCAGCATCCGCAGGCCCGTTGTTTGGGAAGGGTGGGATGTGCAGGGTAATGTGGCGCAAGGACGTCCGCATCCGGATGGGAAAGACGCCGAGACATTTGCCTTATCAAGCCGATAAGTGACAAAGACAAAGAGATGATCCATTGCGAACTTAACGTCTCACCTCTACGAAACATGCTTGCTTCGCACGCACCACCGATTGAGCTCCGTCGTGAGTATAACAGCAATGACTCAAGGAAGCCGAATCATATCTGCACTCCATCCGGAAGTCCTTGCCAGCCGTCATCCTTGCGGTCCGACCGACAAAATCAGTAATATTTTGCTCGGACGCGGTTGGTTACACTGAGTACTTTTCTCTACCAAAGCATCGATCGCTTTGAAAGTGGATTTCCAAGCAGAACCATGCATCTTATCAGCCAGAACCTCCATCAATACCATCGCATGTAGAAAGACAACGCGCGGAAACCTCGCCTGGTAGATTGATGTTGCGCTGCAATCGTCCCTTTACCTTTGTGGACTGCCGGGGTGGATACATTCGCCAGCACGTTGGATAATCGGAGGTCGAGGTAGGTCAGCTCCAAAGATGGACGGTTTTTCTGACACGATTTGTCTGTGCAGCAAAAGACTCTCCGTAAGCGCTTTGTGGCATACCAGACAAACACCTCCTGTAGAAAGATCTCTGTCGGCGCCTACTTTCCCGCCCTTCGAGTTATAGGCGCACTGCTTCATTGAATTGTTCAGTCTACCGCAGCCTGGTAAAAAAGGTACAACATATATGCTCCCGGTCGATGAAGAGTGGACGTGCACGCAGGCGGATAATGCGGCGACATGTGGCTGGGTTAGCGGCGCGCTGTTCTTCGAGGAGTTTGTGGATCCGTATCCTGCGCGGCAATCGGTATCGCCAACTCTTGGGATCGTGCCATGAACTTCTTGTAGAGGTGTCGACTTCTTTGGTCACCATTCCCTGATTATGATAGTTTGCAGTTCGAGAGAAGGATGTTGATCTCGAATAGTGCGATGCATATATCAGACTGGGGCTTCTTCGTAGCCAAGACCCGTGGGAATGATTCCGGGTCAATGATTGATGTCGGCCAGTCATATTCATCTGGTATCTAACTTAGGAATCAGTCATTGTACATGTCTAGCAGATCCCGGAAGCCTTGTGCCAAAGGCTTGCGGCACGACTAAAGTGTCAACCGAACGAGAAGAATGAATATGCAATATTGAATGCGCTAGAAATTTTTGACCATGCGTTGATGGTGGCGTGATAGAATTGAAAATGCGTGGTGATGGCTATGTAGATGCAGGTCAAGGAGATGCGATATCGCAATCACGCGATGACGCGGTGGAACGTGCGCGCTTACATCATCATATTTCCGTAAGCGGCAAATTCTGAATCGGCGTTGATCACGGATGACGCTCCTGATGTTCAAGGCGACAATTTTGTCTGGACCAGTCTCGTTACGAGTCGTGTGATCATCCTTGCTGATTAGGTGCCATCTCGTTGAATCGAAAATGAATCCACCGGTCTCGCGATCATTGTTAGCAATGCTTTCCCAGCCTAACTCAGAAGCGCCGGGTGTTGAATCCAATTATCCACGGTCTTCGTCGCGTTCGATTGAATCAGAGTTCGTTACAACGTGGGGCAAACGCTTTATTACTGACTCTGAGAAGTCGCACAAGGCTGCAGATCAAGACGTGCCTGGGTAGCGTCCTGTAGGCATGCGGCGCAGTCGTCGCGTCTACAGCTTTGCGGGCTTCCGTACGCAGTTTCAAACCATTCGCTTGCGGGCAGCGTTCCCTCATCTTTTGTGCTTGTCAAAACTCATCCCGTTAGACGATGGCATCGCCGACTTCGCTTTCACTCCCTGAACCAGCTGCGGCGCCTGAGGGCCTTTGCTCACAGTGCGCGGCATTCGACTTGGACGATGCACTATGCTTCAAACCTGCGATAGCAGTCCGAATCGTGCTGGAAATATATCAGCTAAAGCCGAAGACCTGCGCATTCTGCAGATTCCTGAGTGGCAGTATGGGCCATCTGCCGAAAGGTGGAATGTACAATGTGACCGCTGTACAAGCTCATTTTGCGGTAACTCCTCTTCTCGAAAAGATCGAAGCGCCCATACTGTGTATCGAAGCACGGCGGGATTGGCGGATTTTCAACCTCTTCAATATCCGCAGCTCCATCATCTTTGATTGCACTGGACCTATCGCTCGAAACTTGCAACCAATAGCACGTCTGATCGACTACAGGGTCGTTCGTGAGTGGATAGATTCGTGTGTACACACCCATCAATGTCGCACAGTCGATAGAGGGAAGAACTTACGATATTCATACTCCGTACCCGGCCTGAAGGTTATCGACTGCGAGCATCGCTTAATCAGAGACTTACCAGCTACCGCGTTGTATGTGACATTGAGCTACGTCTGGGGTAACCCGAAAGATCAATCTGTTGGTCAAGCTCGCCTAGAGTCACCAGCGCCTGAGCTTCTACCACAAGACCTCCCAGCGACCATCGAAGACGCCATCAAAGTCACGCTCGCACTTGGGCACGATTACTTGTGGGTTGACAGGTACTGCTTGAATAAATCTTCAGAGGACTTCCATGCGCAGCTCAGACAGATGGATAAGATCTATGCTGGGTCGGCCTTAACGATTATCGCAGCGGCCGGCTCTGATGGTTCTTATGGACTACCGGGCGTCAGTCGGCAACGGGTGGTGAACCAACCCTTTCACTTTGGCCGACGGATCTTGTATTCCACTCCCTTGTTTAGTAGAGAAACCCTGGAGAGTACAACATGGAGCTCAAGAGGCTGGACGTATCAGGAAGGCCTACTTTCAACTAGGCGTCTTGTTTTCACTGACACCCAACTCTATTACGAATGCCAGGAGAGGTCTCGAATGGAAGGCTGGTTAGCTCCTGAACACATGTTCTGGCGACGTGATGAAGAGAGCGCTGGTTCTTGGTGTGACTATTTCAACAAAAATTCAGACCCGGGCCTTTTTCCAACTATCAACGGGCACGTTAAGAGTGTCCTCCACCGGATCGAGGCATTCACAAAGCGATCGCTCACGTATGAAGACGACGTACTCAATGCATTGCTAGGCATCTTTGCATTACTACGACAAGGCACGAATATTCCATATAGTGGCATACAACATCTTTGGGGAATGCCGTACTTTGGTTATGATGTAAACTTTCGGCGCGATAGAACACCACTTACTATATCGCTGTCAAGATTTGTGAATAACTTAAGCTGGGATGTAGATAACCCAGTCAGACGGCGGGTTGGATTTCCTAGTTGGTCATGGACTGGATGGATTGGTACAGTAAGATGGGCAAAGGGACTGATGATGGTGGACAACGGCCGATATCACAGACACCGATCTACACCTGATGTCCCATGCACTGTCAGTTTGGAACTCCGGAATGGAAACACCGTTGACTGGCGAATCTACCATGCCATGTCTTACTTACACGACACTTCCGAGGACGCACGAAACGCGCAACAACTCACTCGCTTCATACACATCAGCGCTTACATCACTCAGATCATGCAATCGGACGCACCGCATTGCTACCAGCTTGAGCTTGATCGCAAGAAATCAAACAACGATTCTCGACCAGTATATGTGTCTATCAATCCTACAGGGGGAGATCATGTCAACGTCGGTCGAGGATTGTTCGTGATGCACTTGCCGTGGTATCTCGAATATGGCCACGATAGCGAGTGCAACGTCTTAGTGGTTCAGCGTCAAGGCTCACATTGGGAAAGAGTTGGCATTGGTAGTACGTCGACATTCTTGGAAGTGGCACCCGTTGAAAAGACATGGACGAAAATTCGCCTCGGCTGATGAAAACAACATCCTCGGGGTTGTTTGTTTCACGCCGTCAAGGTCCGACAATCCGGGATCACTTGGACGGATGCATGTATGCCACTGCTGCATTGCGAAACATGCTATGCCAAGGCCTGCAGCACAGTATGCTTACCTCAAGAGCAACTAACTAGTTAATTAGACATAGTTCGAATCATCATACGTGCAGAGAGCCATATGTAGACCGGTCAATGCTCAAAAGAATGCAGCAATCTTGCCAGCGGACGCATTCGAACGCTTTGAGGCGAGAATGGTCGGCATTGATCAAATCCTTTTTGAGACATGCAGTCGTGCATACTCTGAGGGCATTCATATCTTCTCAATCTTTATGCAAGTATGCGTTGGCAAGTCTGACTTATATTCAAAACTGGATGGCCTATAGATCTTTATCCTCGACCCATGCGATGTAGGCGCAGTCAGGTAAATGTGCATCACATCTAATTTTATAACCTTGACTAATTATTGTTGTAATATGATAAGCTCGGAGACTGCTAATTAAATATCAGCTCTAGTACAGCCTTTGAGAGATTGGGGTTGTTAAGACATCACGCGTTGTCATTGCGATATTGTTTTGGTGGACAGAGTGCGTCGCTCGGCTGTGAAACACGTCAGCTCAAAAACATTGTTCGAAAAACTATACTGACGAAACTTACCCAGACCCTTCTTGACAAAGTGATGCTAAGTATAGTCGTCATGAAAATAATACTCGCTTCTTCCTACAGGATTCGCATCGTTAATTGCTTTTTGTCGTCAACATGGCTCAAAAGAAACAATGTAAAAGGAACACCTGATGCTAGATGTGAATCAGATGTCGCTGTTGTCTTGAGGAGATCTCCTTGAGGGAATGTTTAAAAGACTATCCAAATCCGCCAATCTAGAAGTCTTACTCTAAACATCAACACTTCCCACTTGCTTTCAAATCATACACCTTCCACCATCTATATTGCAGTAAACGAATCAGGCGAAAACAATGGCATCAAATGGACTACAGGACTATGCCGACTTTTCACTTCCTATACCACCGAACCGCTACATCGATGATCCCGAATACTTCTGTCGATTCCATCCACGTGTTCACAAGGAAACTCAAGCATCAGATGATGCCACGGTTCAGTGTCAGATCGATGTCTTTGGGAGAGCTAATGTGGGGTTCGTGAAAGGGTGCCTTAGTCTGCGTTCAGGTGGTTGGACATCCTTGACTTACCCATATTGCCTTCCTGAACGTCTCGCCCTCGTCTCTTACATCAACGAGGTTGCCTTCTTCCAAAATGGTAGGTTGCTTCCACATTCAAGTTATTCTTCACTAACATTGATAAAAGACGTCGATTTTTGGCTCCCGTTTGATGTAGGTGTATTCTAATCATGTTCTCTCAAGAAGGTCCTGGATATTTGCTAACAGGGTTTCTTATCTAGCCGGACACGAAATGTTGTGATTCTAGTGTATCAGTTGGTGGTAAAAAGAAGGCCGTGGATCCAGGTTGGCAGAACCGCCATACGCAAGTTTTCGCTAAAATCGCTATTCAGCTTGTGGATACGGACTCTCAACTCGGGAATCTTGTAATTCAAGGCCTGCAAACATGGAAGCGTGGTGAAGCCATGATGGAAGAGGAGATTCGATATCAGAATCTTACTCAATATCTCTCGGATCGCCTTGTGGACAATGCCTTCGAGTGAGTAAATCTTCTTCTACTTCTTCGATCAAGAGCTTGCAACTAATATCTTTAGATTTCTCTTTGCCGTCGCTCGATTTGGATCCAACTTCAGTCTCACTAAAGAGGAAGAAAAACTGATTGAACCAGTTCTCAAACCTTACTATGAGATTATGATTCTCACCAACGACTATTTCTCGTGGGAAACGGAGTATACGACTTTCCTCCGGTCCAACGAGAAGGTCGTTGTGAGAAACGCTGTTCCCCTGTTCATGGAATGGTATTCAATGTCTTGTCAAGAAGCAAAGGTCGCTCTCAAAGAAAAGATCAAATCCCTTGAGGACGACTATTGCTCACTCAAAGCTGAGTTCTTTTCCCAGTATCAGATTCCAGGTTCTTCGCCTGCTATCATGCGGTGGTTTGAAATCCTGGAAGGCGTACTGGCAGGCAACATATTTTGGAGCAAAACATGTCCTCGATACAACACGGCATTTGGGAGTGAGTACAAACAGTACCTGGCTCAGAGAATTAACGAAGGTGCCTATTTCTTCAATAGTTCGACAGAATCCTCCGCAATCATCAGCAATGATATCTTAAAGATATCGAAGCTGAATCTTAGCGGGCAAGGCGTGACCGATAGCGAGTGCGGAATGGGCTCTATGGGTAAGTAGATCGAGGAGAAATCTCTGGAAACAAACGATTCAACAGTATCTAAACAGTACGCAGGTCGAATTAAACCGTCCTTGTTTACCTGTGAACGGCTCCCGCCGTTGGACCAAAGCGTAGGTTTCAATGGACAATTTAGAGTTGGTCTACGCTTAGGAACTAACACCAACTATAGGTCATTGAGTATCCATCGAGATACATTGCATCGCTGCCTTCCAAAGAAATTTGGCACACGTTTATCGACGCTTTGAATACATGGTACCAGGTACCACAGCACCACTTGACTATCATTCGGACAGTCATTACACAGCTACACAGCTCCTCACTTATGTAGGTACAACCGCATGTAGGATAATTCTCTGTTAACCTTTTGAAGGCTAGACGACATTCAAGATCACTCCCCACTCCGTCGTGGCCACCCAGCCGCCCACAGAGTTTATGGTATGGGCCAAACCGTCAACTCTGCTTACTTCCAGTGCGCCGATGCACTAAGACAGATACAGAAGATATCCTCTGACTCTGTCTTGGTTTTCACTGGTAACGTAGTTCTGCCCTAATGTCGAGATTCTCTTCACTAATTCTTTGAAAGAGGAGCTCATGGCGTTGCAAATAGGTCAGGGAGCCGATATGTATTGGACATATCATTCAATCACGCCCACTGAAGAAGAATACCTTCAAACGGTTGACTCTAGTAAGTTGTTTAGTCTTATAGACTTAGCCACCATGTTAGTCTACAGGCTTGTTCTCTATATTCTAACAATGATATTTCCAGAAACGACTGCCTTGTTTCGTATGGCTAGCCGCTTGTTACAAGGTCAGGCAACCATGAATAGGTAAGCTATCGGTCGACCACATAGACTAGGTATAGTCTCTAATATTTATATAGATGCATGGATATGGAGGAGTTTTTGACTCTATTTGGACGGTATATACAGATCCGGAACGATTACCAGAATCTCGAGTCCTCTGAGGTTTGACACCAACCCCGCCATCTGCGTTCTCTGCAAAAATAGCTGACATATCATAGAACACCAAAAACCAGGGCTTCTGCTCCGATTTCGATGGAGGAAAATACTCTCTCCCTCTCATCCATGCTTCAAAGCTTGGCAGCCCAGAGATCAATGCAATCCTGCAGCAGCGGAAGCGAACAGAAAGTCTGACAACCGATCTCAAGGTCGTTCTGCTAAGCGAGCTGAAGGCAAAGGGTAGTTTAGCGTACACTCTTCAAGTACTCCAGAACCTCGAGCGGGCTATCAAGGAGGAACTCCAATCTCTAGAAAGCGAGGCCGAAATCAAGAACTGGCTACTATGGAGGATCTTGCAGCAGATGAGCCTGGACAACCACCATGGCTGAGCTGTTGCAGGAATACAAGCGGTAGTCCTGGTACTATAGATAACAAAGCAAGCTACTAGACTAGCCTGATGGCTGCAATACAAGGTTATGTTAACAGGTACAAGTCACTTCACTCACTGGCTAGCGTGCTACGACACAATTTCTTACTAAACATTGGCAAAGGGTTGGTATTGGTCTTATGTCAACATTCATGGAAGCGGCACCCGTTGAGACGGCATGAACGACGATTCGCCTTGGCTGACGAAAACTGCATGTCTATACGCGAGCGTATCTACTACTTCCCGAGCTGTTCTTACTGTCGCTTCCCCATCGCCAGGTTTATTTGCCGTAGAAAGTACTCATACGATATTTTGTCTCACCCTCGTACTGCGCAAGATCTGACAATGCTTGCTCGCCCTCTCGGATGATAGCCTGCCGTATTCTCTCGCTTCGCGGCTTGATGCTCACTTTGAACACTTGCGGTCGCATGTTGAGGCCATTTCTAGTGAACATTAGTACTTGCATGTTAGTCGCCTCCCGATCAAGACTTACGTGTAATCAAAGATATCGACCGGTATAGGCTTCCCACTCTCGTCTAGTGCTGGCTCGATCTTGAAACCCCAAACTAGTCTCGCAACGGTCAACCATGTGCCTTGTTCGGCGAGCGCCTGGCCTGAGCACACGCGTCGACCCCAGCCGAATGTCATGTATCCCCTCTCACCAGGAAAAGGTCGCGAGTCAGGATGATTCTTCAAGAAACGGTTTGGATTGAATCGGTCTGGGTGGGGAAATTCGCGGTCATTGTGGTGAATCGCCCACACGTTTCCCTGCACCCATGTCGATTGTGGGATCAGATAACCATTGTAGTAATCGTCCTGGACTGGAGCATGTGGTTGTCCACCAATAATTGCAACAGATCGCCATCGAAACACCTCTTTTACGAACGCGCGCATATAAGGCAGATTGGCGTCGTCTTCAAACGAGGGACTGCGATCCGGTCCGACCACGCGATCTAGTTCTTCCCATGCTGCATGCATGGCTTCTGGAAACGCTCGCATTGCAAGAACAGCGGTAATGAGCGTACTACTCGAAGTGTCTGATCCAGCGCCGAACAAGTTTCCAGTCAGCGCGGAGATCTCTTTCGGGTTGAGACCATACTTCTCCTGCTCTCGAAATAGCATCTTCGCATAGCAATCATCGTGTCCTGGCTTCGCATTCGCTTCACTTGCTAAGGAGTAGAAGAAGTCATGACCACGATGCGATCTCTTCTTTGATCCCATGCCGTGCTTCCATGGCGCATATTCAGTCGGTACGCGAGCAAGAATTGGAAAGGTTTCCATCAGCATGGGAAACGTCTTCCCTGGCACGTTCAGATCGGCCGCCCGGTGCATCAACGCGATGACGTCGGTGATGATGGGATCATTGTGGCTCGCGACACGCCTGCCGAAGCCGATGATAGAAACCACGCTGGTCGCATAGCGTTCAAAGTGCGCGACATAGTTTTCGGGGGTACGCAGGAGGTCGAGTGCGACAACTTTGCTCTCGTCGTTCTGGAAATCACGGTACTTCTTCACTTGCTGAATGCCAACGCCCTGATGTGTCACCTTGCGCAACATCCGGAAGCGCTCACGTTGCGCTTGTGTGGTAGTGATGAGATTTACGAGATTGTTCTGACCAGAACCCAGTTCAGCAAAGACAAGCATGCGCGGTCTTGAGCAGTATATGCCTGCTCTCTTATCAAGAAGTTCGTTCGCGGTCCAAGCATCGTTGATCCATACGGTTGGATTGCGTCCGATCCAATATGTTATCAATGGGGTGTTGTATTTTTTCGACAGTTCCTCGAAGAAGATCCACGGCTTGTTATTTGGTAGCTGGAACGTGTTGCCAACGATTGGGTATGGGAAAGGCCCAGGCGGCTTCTCAACATCAGTATCATGCTCGCACGCTACAGTATGGCGTTCTTACCATCTTTGATCTCATGTATAGCATCCAAGCATAATCTGCGAACACCCCCAAAGCTGCGGTTGCGAGGACCGCCAAAGCGATGTTCCCCACGCCAAACTTTGAGATACCATGCTGCAAATAATGCAAAGGCAGAGCCTCGAAGACTTGTTCTATTGCCATGCTTCACGTTGTTCAAAGGGTGCGCTGGCGACGTCCGTGGGATGAAGATGTGCCGAGTTACAAGATGCACTTCTTCGACGCTTCAAAACTCCACCGTGGCGGCTGTGAGCAGGCATCCAATAAATTGACACCTGATACCAAGCGTGCTAATCAACAGGCATTACAAGCAGCGGTACTGAGTGCAGCCATTCGCAGAGAGTTGCATGCGCACAACCCCACATTGCGGGGGTGGGGCATTGGTGCCGGGTAAAGTTTGCAGCTTCATGGTCATTTCGTAAACCCGAGGGGGACCTAGGTATGTGACTCTTTCCCCACTGGTAGGAATGCGCGCAAGAGAGTGAGTCAGCGTATGTGGGTATGGTGTTGGACGGCAAGCGGGAGACTGGCGGCAGATGTTGCGTCGAGACGCGACGTGCGACCAGCAATAGCGCCAAACCGCGTCATCGCCGTGCTTCTGCTGGTCACGTCGACAACACAACCACGCACAACGCTCTCTATCAACGTGTACGTCGACTTATATCTGAGAACACAGCGTGTCACTCAGCAACCACGCTCTGAAAGCCTTGTCTTTTGCCCAATATCTCACAGATTTCTTTATGATGTAGTGCTGACCCGATGCGGTGCCTGCGAAGACCGGCTCACGAAGCCACCACGAACGCGATGCCTCTCATTCCGGTCTTACTATGTTCTGCCAACACATGATTTTCACATTGAGGAAACTCCGTTTTTGTGGAGGCTTCCTGACATCACTACGTACCAGAATTTGTCCTTCCCACAGGGCCAAAACCATGGTAGCGATAGCCTGCGCAAGAATTCCTCGCAATCCCTCAACTTCGTCGCACACCACTCCGAGGACATACCAAACCCGCAAGAATGAGACAGATTGACATGGAAGAACTCATGGCTTTCATCCGTGAAGACCTCGGCAGCATGCTCAACGACAAAAACGACGTCTATTCTCCAGGCAGCCTGGAGTCTCTACCTTGTGAGCTCATTGTCATGATTGCTGAGTATCTTTCTAAAAAGGACTTACTCACGCTTCGATCACTGGGCAACCGAAACATATCCCGAGGTATCGATGACCGCTTTGTAAGTAAAATCTAACCTAAATATATTTGCTACGTCTTGCATATTTTTGAGCATTACGTAGAACCCAGCGAAACCTTCAGGGTCGTTTTCTCTCACAACTAACTGCTCTGATCAGGTCAAAGTATGCTTCTCCAGACGACGATGTCGAACGACGATGGCAAGCGTCGCGCGCCTCGAGGCCTTGTCTTGCACGCGACTTGCCGAGCGTATTCGCACACTCGAGGTGTACACTATCTTCGATTGCCAGCCATCACGATTCGGGGATCTAGCAACAGGAAAACCCTGTGCGAAGGCTGCCATCAGTACCTCCGAGGTGCCATGGATGTTCGGTCGTATCTTTCAACGTCTGACGAATCTCAAGAACTTCTTGTTTCGCGCTCCTCCTGGTCTGTGGGGAATGTGTGACGAAGAATTAACCAATGAGCTGCCACTGTTTGGTTTTTCCGAAGCCCATCCGCACTTAAGGTTCGGCCCTCGATATCACTTCGGGCTGCATGGTCCACGGCACGATCACGTTATCGATACGTACTCTATGGTCAGCCTTGGTTATGCCCTGATCTCCAGCCTCCAGCATACAAGACAGCAGCTATACAGCTTTGAGATATTGGGATTCGCGGATTCGAAATGGCAGTCGAAGTTGACATCTAGTCCACTATTACTCTACTCCATGCGAAGGGTATGCGCCCTACGAGCCCTTACATGCCTGAAGCTCCAGTTGGATATGTTGGCCTTGGAGAATGAATCCATGACTTCCCTTGTCATGATGATCGAAAGCAACGCGAACCTCAAATCTCTGCATCTATCTGCGCGCCCATCGAGTTGTCAGCGCTGGTTATCGCGTAGCGAGAATTGGGCACCTTTGCTTCGGCTACTAGGCTCTAGCCCACCATTCCGCCTCCGCTCACTCGAACTTGACGGGCTTGTCACGAGCACTTCTGCGCCCACTCTTGCGCGGATCATCAACGTACACTCATCCTCGATTCGCCGCGTCGTTCTCAAGCACACAAACTTCCATTACCCGAATACGCTTCGTGAATTCTTCACAGCGTGCGCCAACTCGGGTATACATTACTACAGGTCAGAGAGCCTCTTGTTCCACGAAACGAGCATGCTGGTTGGTACTAGTCTAAGCTTCCGCGTGTTTGAGGACAAGGAAGACGAACTGCACCGAGATTGGTCGGGCGAGGAGGACTTGGATCAATGTGACCTGCTCGATACGACTTGCCAGGATTGGGTGGAGGTGCGGTTCCCTAGCGGAAGGGACATACTGGTATACGACAACGAGAATGGGCAAAACGGAGATGATTGGATGTACAGGGCCTTTATGGCCGGTGTGTCGATGATCAAGGATGGTGCTCTCATTGATTCTTAACGCACAATCGCTACAGAGGGGCAGCACTTGGTGTATTGGAGTGACGTCAAGAAGGCATCTGAGGGACGAAATGTGACGTCGATTTCAATGTGGCACCCCGATGGTATTGTTTTAAACCAATCCCAACATAATGTCCCTGTACCATCTAGCAGATGCCGAGTACCCTAAGTTGGTGTCGAAGCCGCGTCCACTGATATGGAGGCCTGAAAACAATGTATGAGCGCCACTTGAACGAGATCTTTTCATGTGTTTTGATCGGTATTGCTACGTACGCATGTATTAACTAGAGATCTTGACATCATGTTTTTCTGCTGCATTCTTCAACGCCTCTTTATCAAGCGGTCTACTTTTGTCTGGCACAAGAGTGCCCTCGAACTTGCCACCAGCATCCGCGATCAGCGACTCCAATCCATCTCCGCTCGAGTACGCCCAGAAGCGGTTGTATCGGTCGAGGAACTCAATCGAGATTGCAGTGCCGGCCGGAACAAAAGCTGTCTCTCCTGCTCGAATGACATTCGCACTCCCATCAAGAGTGACGTTGATCGCTCCATCTAGAACATGATATACCTGGTGAACCTTCATGAACGCGAATGGCCTACTCAGGACCGAGTTTGCCAACCGGTTACTTGACTCGATAGCTGTAGCTGCAAAGTTCCCTGTGGGCGACTGAGTTTGCTTAGTGGTGATGAAAGGCCTGCTTAGCACACCCTCGAGTAGATGGCACGGTCCTGTGTTCGCCTTGAGATAGTACTCCTTGCCAGGCTCATCGGGCAACTTAGAATCCTCTTCCTTTGTCAAATCGCTGACTTCCGCACCCTGAAATCCTGGTTGAAAGACGACGTCGTACTTCTCCTTGATCTCTGCGATTCTAGATCCAACTAACTCTCCTATGTCGCTTGTATCAAACTCATCCGCAAAAACACCATCATACTTCTTACAAATCAGCCGAAAGAAGTCAACCCATTGTCCAGGAGTGACTACTCCGATCGATTCGTTGGTGCCATCATCGATAAGCTGTGGCCGATGCACGACCTTGGGAGGAACGTAGCAGAAATCTCCCGGACCAAGGATTTTACAGCGATTTCCCGCCCAGACTTTCACATGTCCACGTGTGCACATGAAAACGTCGTGAGCCAAATTATGATAGTGGAAGCCTGGAGCGTCCCCGAGGGCACCATCGTAGCCGAACACAGATATCAAGCCCGAAGTCTCCTTCGCACTAGCGAGTAGGCGTACAGTAACTTTGTGTCCAGGTATCATCATGGTATCGCCCTCGTATGCAGGAATGATATATGGCGAGGATTTCCCTAGCGGTTGTCGCACGCGTGGCATGCTAGAGGATTGGGGGACGTCCATTTTTGTAGATGTTCGTATGGGTTTCAGGTTTGGGCCCGTGACAGTAATGATTGGTATAGAAAGCCCACAAGCAATGGCTTCCAAGGCGAGTGTAATTGGCCTTGGTGTGATGGAAGGATACGTCTCGAGAAACGTGAAGGGTACAATGTTTATAGTGATACATACTTCGGATCGGAGCATAACGAGAAGCGAACACGATCCGATCCGGGCCTTCGGATTGAAGCATCATTGGATATACAATAGTCGGATCGGGAACGGGTCTATACTCAAATTTTAGCAAAGATGAGACGCGTTGCTCGATTCACGGGGTGCCGTAATACTCTATCCATTGTGCTCCGTTGTGATCGTATCAACAGCCGACAATCTTGGTATAGATGAGCGCGATGCACATCCATATTGAAGGCGAACCGCTTTTAGGAATTCCACTCCCAGAGTTCAGCGAATGCCGTGCATACCTGGGTATATCGTGATCACATCTCTCTCTACATATTCGGTACATCATTGCCGTTTCATCTCTGAATGTTCCTGGTGCAGGTGTAGTATTTGCGTTTCGCCAATCAGAGGACCCCGGGAAGAGTGGGGTTACGACGTCTATCCCGTATTCCGCTTCCCACTTAGCCTCGGCCGAGCTATGATAAAGTTACCGTTCTCTGTAGCCGCTGATTATGTCGGTCTTTCACTAAGAGCGATGTGCGAGGACGATGCACGAGGATAGTGGCATAGTCTGTGATGCGGCAGCCTCCATCGTATCTCTGAAAGTAGCCTTCAAAGCATCCAGACCATACGCTACGTGCACTATACCTAGAAGACTTCAAGACGTTGAACGCAGTAATATGCAACATGTCGCTCATTCAAATCAGACTGAAGAGCTTATATGAGGGATTAACTCACAAAGATGAAGCCTTTCGAGCTGCTATTACAATAGAACTATTTTTTGAAGACGAGCAAGCCATCGTAGCGCAGATGCATGACACGTGTCCTTGCTCTTGAACATTCAGAATAACTTCTTTCAGGTAGTCTATAGGGCTGCTGGTACATGGATACGTTGGAACAGCTCTCGAGTAGTATCTGCTAAGACATCTATAATGCTTGCATTGGTTACAGCGAGTGCGCATCGCACAGCCGTTATATATGGCTTGCCCTTCAGAACTTCCAAGACCATCCATCATGGTTCAAAGGCTCCATGGCAGGATGTGCAGCCTCTGCTTTCGCGTACTCCTCGTCAATTATCTTTCTCTTCGCCTCACTACGAACCTTCAACATGACAGGCATATGCTCGCCTGGATTTCCTGGCATATCTCCAGGGAAATCCCTCGGGTCGAGTGGCAACTTGGCATTAGGCGCTGGCACGATCTCAAACGCCCACACTAGACGCATGATCGCAATTGCCAGTGAACGTTCGGCGACATGATACCCGGGACAGATACGCCGCCCGGATCCGAAAGCGAAGTGATCGCGGTCTTTAACGTTAGCGGAGTTCTTGCTCTGCTCGCTATTCATCAAGTCTCCCTCGTATCGCTCAGGCCAGAAGCGATCTGGGTCGACATGTCGGCCCGGGTCATGCCCAATGGCCCACGAGTTGAGATGGATACGAGAACCGGCAGGTAGACGGACGCCATTGTAATTCAGCTCCTTGGTAGTCATATGTGGATGGCCAAGTGCAACAGGTGGGCGCCAACGCCAGAGCTCCTTCATCAGGTAGCGTACGTAAGGTATCGACTCGAGGTCTTCGTAGATTGGTAGGCGGTCTGCAACTCCAACTACAGCTTCAATCTTGCTGAGCGCCTCGGCCTGAACAGCGGGAAATCGCATCATGGCCTCGAGGAAAGACCATGATGACATTTTCGAAGTATCTGCAGCGCCGATAATGAGCATGAAAGCCAGGTAAGCGGCCTCAGATCGGTCTTCAAATCCCATGTTTTTCTCATCCTGTAATACACGAGCTAAGAAAGAGTCGTTGACTCTGCCCGCCTTAATGGCCTTTTCAACTCGCTGCAGGCGCTCGATGGACCATTTCATGTTGTCTTGAAAGAGCGCTCTTGCCTTTCTCTCCCAGGGCTTGAGGACAAGGGGTAATCCGTCCAAGATTGGGAGTATATCGACAAGGTGAGATCCAGAAAGTGTCCCTAAGATCTGTTCTAATCCGCTGCGGAAGATGTATTCAATCACTGGATCTTTCTCGTCTGGGATATCCATGCCGAATGTTTGACTGGCGAATGCGCTATACGTATACCGGCCAATTTCGTTGAAGAGCTGGACACTGTCACCGGCTAGATTGTCATTACCGGCGACTTGCTTCAGAAACTTTGCCGTTTCAAAATGCAGGTAGTCGAGACCAGCATCGGCGCGTGTGACACTGGTCATACCTTGCAAGATGACCTTCCTCTGGTGTTTCCACCTTGGATGGCTGGCACTCAATAGAAGTACGTTCTCTTGATTGCATATCTGTTCGTTGCTAACGATCCAACGTGGGCGCTCCGATGTCGTGGCAGATGCTTTATCGAAGATAGCTTTGACAGCTTCGTCACTATTGATGAAGTACTGAGTAAAGGGCCCAACTTGCAAACGAACGATCTCGCCGTGGTCGCGAGCATACTGGCCGAAAAGTAGGTGTAGGGAGCCCGTCTTTCCGGATCGGATAACATCGACCGCGTTTCCCAGTAGTGGCACGCCTGGTGGTTTCGGAGGCAATGGCAGCTTCCCCCTATCTTGAAGCCAATGGCGCATCCATGATAGTAGGTAGATAACCGGAACTGTCAACAAGGCCAATAATGGAATCGGCAAGAAGGCCATGATGATAATCTTGCTAGCTGCATAACTTCCATCTCACGGTTGTGACCTCTTTAAATTGCACTGGCCGGTGCGACGTTGTACGAGCAAGAGCGGACCCAGATCTACCGCCTGAGACCATTCGGCCATCATTTTGCATTAACAGACTTTACGAGCAAGAGCTGTTAAGGTAGTATGCGGGGGAAGTACGGGATGTGGAGAGCGGGGTCGGGATCTTCGGCTTCCGTCGTTCCCGATCCGTTGCCATCATCACTTGGTGCTCCGACGACCAGAACTCACGATCCTACCCGAACTTGCTGAACGATCCTATGCTGTGAAGGTATCCGAAAAGATGGTTACTGAAGATACCGTCATACCAGCAGCGGCCGTGAACGCTAACGATGACCTGTGTGGAGAGCTGCCATCGCCTCAAGCGTTAGCTTCGACTAGGGGAAAACGTGTATCGCTCGCGTGTCAAAGTTGCAGGTCTAGAAAGACCAAGGTAAGATTCGTTGCTTCGGGAGCTTTGGCATTTCTTAGATTGGTGTGTCCTTGTATCATTTGTTGACCCATAACGTTATCAGTGCGATGGCATACAACCTGCTTGCTTGACGTGTCAGCACCTCGGCATCGACTGTGTATATGCGAAAGCGTCTAGAAAGACTGGTTCCAGAAGAATAAATGAGTATGTGTCTAGAGCTCAGCTTGGGTGAAAACTGACAGCAACAGTCGGGCTCAGGCGATGCACAAAGTCAGAAAACTACAACATCAGTTGCATACGGCGACCAGATACTCAGCAACAACCCGCCCTGATGACACCGTGGACACTGTAACCCAGCGACCTGATGTGATTCATAGACTATGCGCCCAGACTGAAGCAAGGGATGTCGGCAATATTGATTCCGACACAGCTGTTGACATCTCTGAACAAGAAGTTAGTGAGGAGGTTCGTGCCGCAGAGGTTTTCCAGGATCGGCACGCATCGGAGTTTGGATACTTCGGTTAGTGATTAGCTTTCATCATACGAGTTCTCTAACGATATGGATAGGTTTGTCTTCGAATCATGCATTTTTTCGATCAATATCACGTTGCTTCATATGCTTCTTGCGTGGTGCGCCGCAACAGCATGATCAAACCCAACCAGCAACAACCGAAGACTGGAGTGAGATCAACACATCAAGAGTAAACCCAACAAGCAACCTGAAGCACAACTCTGAGGAAACATTACCAACCATTTCAGAGTCCTTCTCAATGCTTGACCGCTTCATAGCAACTAGCGCAGGAGCCTTTCCTTTCGTCAGCAAAGCGACTCTAACAGCACCTCTCAAGGAACTGGCCTTTGGATCTCGCAAGCCAGGATGGACTACAAAGCGAGCACTTGTCAACATCATGTTTGCACATTCGTGTCTGGCAATTGAAGATCCCAAGTGTGATGTATATTTCCAGCGGACCATACAATATCTGACCCCTGAAACTCTCCGAGGCGCGAGTTTGGAACTCAGTGAGTTGTTACTCTCTCGCTTCTTCGTCGAGTATTGACAAGGCCTTTAGTTCAATCGTTACTGCTCGTTACGAGCTATCAACAGCAGCAGCAGATGCCTGTCAGTAGTGCAACGTACCATGCCCTGACGGTAAAAGCTGCATTTCAGCTCGGTCTGCATTGTCCTTCCAGTTACAAAGATCTTTCGCCATCAGACTCTGAGTTGAGAAAGAGACTATGGTACAGTTTGATCAATCAGGATAGGTATTCCCTCATCAATCTGATTTTCCCCAACTAGAAGCTAAGCTACTCAGGATGCTTTGTATGTGCCTGGGTAGACCGTGTCTTATTCCGTCACAGCACATATGTACGCCTGAACTAGAAGACCCGAGACAGATTCACCACGTGTTACCTCTTGCGCATGAATATCAAGTGGAAAGTCTTCTTCAGCACAAATACCAAACGTAAGGCTCGATGATCATTCTTGCGAATCTCGAACTAACAAAGATGCAAAGCGACCTATATAGTATCATTGCAGCCATGCTCAGTGACGTTTACCAACACAACATCAGGAGAGAGATATCGTTGAGCACGTGGTCTTTGCTTGCATTGAGATTGCAATTGTACCAGCGATTTGAAGAGTGGCGTCAACAACTCGACCCTCGTCTAAGACTCATCACACCACAAGAGATTTGCACCGTCCTTACATCCCAGATCGAGGAGAATCGTTTCAGAATAACCCTAACAGTACATTACTACCGCGCTCTGATCATGCTTAACGGACCGGTCATTAAGAATTTGCTGGACATCGTTGTCAATTCCTCCCGTGCAGATGAAGCTGACGAATCCCTATTCGAGCAATCTGTGCCGACCATCAAGAGCGATCTCGTTGTACTCGAGAACTTGAATCACATCCTTTGTATCATTTCACAAAGCGAGGAGTTCATGAACCACAACAACGTCCGATGGATTTCCAATCATGCCTGTAAGGACAGGCGTTACACGGCGATCAGATATAGTAACACTAACGAGAAGCAGGTTCAATACTAGCCATGCATCTTTTCTTTCTTGCATTGCTGTACCACATCCGTCCTGAACTTGAAGCGAAGACTATCACTTCGGCATCTAGGATCAGAGATCTTCTGGGGCAATGCCTTGATAACATGAAAGTACTGCAACGGACTAGTACATTGTTTCGGAAAGCTCGTGAAGCGCTCGAAGTCTTCACTCAAAAGCTAGACTCAGTTCGTAAGTCGTCCAGGTTGACAACAGCTATCTCTGACGTGCCTTGTCTAACGCCGTATTGATCAGGTATTAAAGAGCTGCCTACACCCGGCGCTTCCGCCTCTGGCATTGGAGCACTCCCCAATTCTCCTCCCAGGCATTACGAATTCAGCATGAACAACGACTTCTTTGGGCAGCCTGAATTTGACCTTCTGCTGGGAGACGGGTTTTATTGTTAAGCTTACAATATTCATCAAGCGACAAGTCTATGCCACTGCAATGACACTAATTCATGTTTGTCTGTCTCAACTTAATGCGGACATTGAAGTTCTTGCGATGTACGAAGAAGGCATTCTTCAAATACATCGGCTCTTGGCTTTCGTCAAGCTCAATCTATACGCAAAACTATTAGTGAAGCCCTGAGATATTGTATCTGCGATGCTTACCTCGAACTTTCTCAGGAAGGTGGGAACAATCTTGTATGTTTCCAAGAGGCTGATGTTTCTCCCAATGCACGTTCTTGATCCTGCTCCGAAATGAAACATACTGGACTTCATCTTTGCGATGTTGGCAGGATCAACATCGTCACCCTTAAGCCATCGCTCGGGTCGGAAGATATCCGCATCTTCTCCGAAAGTCTCCTTGTCCTGATGCAGAACCCAAGCATTACAGCCAACCACGACTCCTCCAGGCACATGATGCCCATCTATAGTGGCACCCTGTGGCGGTGTGATACGTTCGAGAAGCAAGCCAACGGCTGGGTGCATTCGGAAAGCCTCAGTAATGACAGCGTCGAGGTAGACGAGCTTCTTGGCAGCGGAGAAAGGAATAACATCATCCGTACCAGTACTATCTTGGAGTGATGCCAAAGCACCTGAATCGTGTGTGTCATCGATCTCCTCCATCAACCTCCTGTATACGCGTGGAGTTTTCAAGAGGTAGTAGAAGACGCCAGCCAAGCTGATGGAAGTGCTGTCAGAACCAGCAATAATCAAGGATGCGCACATAGCGGAGATTCGATCATCAGTCAGAAACTCCGGGTTCTTGTCCTGTGATTGCAAGAATCGTTGAAGAAAGGTGATACCCATCTCGCTGGAAGGTTTATCTGCTGTATATTGTTTCTGATTAGCCGATACCTCGTATTGCCTTGCCAAAGCAAACTTGATAATCGCCGCGTTAGGGCTGACTAGCCAGAGATTTATACTCTCGAGGAATAGTTTGATTGGGTTCTTGACAAGGACACGATCCCACCAGGGATTTTGGCCTACCACAGTGCCATAGTCTTGGAATGAATCCACCGTAGCGATGATGTCTGCGACGTCTTTGTTCTCTTGGACGAAACCAAGTCGCTTGGACCAAGTAATCTCCCCGATAACGTCGAATGCGAAGTACTGAATCCACGTAGATAATGGACAGATATCCTGTCCTTTGGCGTAAAGATCTTCTGTACGCTTTAGCCAATAATATGAACAGCTATTCACAAGCGGTTCAAAATCCAGCAGTGTCGATAATGCGAACGCATGGTTGACAGAGCGTCTCAGGCGAGCATGGTAAGTCTCTGATCTTGTCGAGAAGCTGAAAATGGCGTATGTAAGCATCTAGCACCTCTAGAATGGGTCGTATACGAGCTCACAGATTGTAGACAATGCTGCCTTTTTTCAGGACAGCAAAGACATCGTAATATCCACTCTGGCGTTGATCAGTTTCGTCTAACTGAACTATCGGTACCGTCAAGACTGACCTTTGTAAATCCTTTATTCAGTCCGTATATGTCCTGGATAGCAGATGGGTTGCCAAACGACAAAACGTTGGGTCCGACTCGGACAACGTCGCCATACTTCGCATGTAACTTGCGGTATGTAACATGTGTGTCTCGCTTGTGTACATCCATCGCACGCCATATATTCGTCAATGACGCGAAATAAGGCCCAGGATATTTGCTAAGACCTTTCTGAAATCTTTGTGCCAATAGGTAACAGATCAACGAAGCGACAAAAACCGCGCAAGTGGCCAACATCTTGAAAGGAACCAAAGCCTTCGATACTGTAATAGTAACACACAACTAACGAAGTCATAGTGAGATCCATATGATACTTGGGAAAATATATAGCTGCTACGACCGTACGATCATAGGGTTTGACGGACGATAGCTTCAACTCGATAACAGCGTCGATGGGTCGGGTCAATGGTTAGACCAGTTCCGATCCCGAGCCGGCGGCAGTGGTTGTATCAGTTTCCAGTTCGAGCCGATGGTTGAGCCGAACTGACTTCCGAGCCGATCGGTAACAAACAACTGACCAGCGCGCGTTCCAAACTCTACAGAAACACCGCTATCACGCGTCGCATTATCGGCTCAGTATGTCGAACATAGTAGTGGGTTCGCACATGACATTCTGGTCAAGTGCTTATAAACCTACGAACCTCCGAAGCTGTCCGTCCTCCAGGGTTACTTCACCAGAACTTCATATCCGCAGCAACCTCAACTCGTACCACATGATCATGTCTTCAGTTGATCGCCACACCTTGCCGAATGGCTCTCGACCCGTCGAAGCCGTCCGAAACAACGGGCCCGACGATTTGGCATTACAGCGCTGGAAATTGCGAGAGATGGCTGAAGGATGGCCTATGTACCGCGATGCATGCGAATGGGACAACTTCGACTCTATATTTCACGACGACGCACATATATACACTACATGGAGCGGCCGCGTGCATTACAAGAAGTTCTTCGAAATCTCCAAAGCAGGCATGGATAAAGGCGCCTTCATCATGCATAGATGTGTCGGAGCCAGTACTGACATTCGACCCGACGGTACTCGGGCTGTTACAAAGCTCAAGTCTACCATCACCCAGCGCTTCACCATTGACGGCTGCGAAGTCGATGTGGAGTGTGACTGTCGCTTCTGCTACCTGTGGGAGAGAAACGACGCTGGCGAATGGAAGGCTAGGCTTGTACGGCATTGGTATGAAAAGGACAAGATGATCCCAGTGAATCCGAATAAAGTCCCTGTTCTGGATGAAGCAAGATTGGCGACTTATTCGCCCGGCTATAAAATGCTTGCTTATGGCCAGGAGGAGACGATGGAGGGTATCAAAGTCCTCCACGGTATGCCAGGACATCGCCGTGAAGATGCGGGCACACCCTCTCGTGAGGCGCACGATAAGCTGTATTTCCAGTGCAAGAAGTGGCTGGACGGAGAATCTGTTCGGGCGGAGGACTTTTAGACCGGTCTCATGAAAATCAATGTACACATTCTGGTTGCAGAGCAACGTGCTGTTTTTTTCTTCTTTCGTGGGTAATGTAATGATGTTGGACGGATAAGCACAGGCGTGCTCAAAGAGGCCATCACAAGTCGGATCCCAGGGACACAAGCGCGCCCCACCGCCTCAGGCGTGAACTTGTACCATCCGCTTCCTCACCCTCCATTGTTCTCCACATCGTCCGCTTGCGATGCGCTACTACTAATCATCTAGACTTACGCCACGCTTTTCTCATCTGACTCCAATCCGGTGCGAATGCAATCCATTGACTCCATTGTGCATAGCTGCGAAAGTCGGCACATGCAGATCCTTACCCTACTGCACGAGGAAGAACAAGATCAATGTCGCCCGGCATTATCAATCCGACCACGCGGTATTACCGTCTTATAACCCTCCATTTGTCGATTATGGAACCATAGGTTGTATTGTATGGCATGCTCACAGCTAGGATATGCGTTCGACTGCACCTACTACACCTTCAAGTCCATTGCATTATCCGAGCGATCGCCAAACCAAAGCATACATCACGCTGATGGTGAGTAACACAATCCAACAATAGTTTTGGCCGGCAGCGGTAGAATGGTAGGAACCTACTAGTCTCCTCTTCACCCCCACTCAACATATACCTGGCATCGTGACAAAAGCCTAATGCGCCACCTTGAAAACGAAAAGCACAAACTTTCATTACCCGCCAATGGCTCGAAGCGTCGTTAGTCGAAACGCCACCTCCGCACTCCACACTTTAGACTCATGTTCAAGTCCGGGGTACGACAGGCTAAGCATTTGGAGGCACTATCGGCAGATATTGCGACAAGGGGGTCAACACATGGATAACGATCTGCATATCAGTCTGGGATGAAGTGCACACGCAACCGTGAAGCAAGAAAGCAGAATCTCCAATCTTCGGGAGGTGGAGCCAACACCCAAAGTCCAGCCTTTTCTTGATACTACCCTACTTCTCCGTTTTAGCATCGCAAAAACAACAACCACTGCTTGTATCGCGTTCCTTGTTCTATCAAACCGTCAAACAACAGCTACCATGCCCGACCTAACCTCCAGCCTTCTTTCCAACTGGAAATGTCTAGCAGCATGTACTCTCGTCTCCATGTCCCCCTTCCAATACGGCATCGACTTTGGCGCCATCGGCGGCCTGCAAGCCATGCGCGGCTTCCTTGAAATCTTCGGCCACCCAGATCCCACGGTACCAACCGGCTACAACATTTCTACAGAGCGCCAACAGCTCATCTCCTCGTTGATGACGCTAGGTGCTTTCCTTAGCTCCTCGTTCGCGGGTGTCTTCGCAACGAGGCTGGGCAGGAGACAGTGTCTTTGGATGGCCAGTGTGCTCTGCTGCGTTGCGAATATCGTCATGATGACTACGACGAGTATGGGAGGTTTGTACGCAGGGAGACTGCTGATTGGTATCGCGAATGGATGGTACATGACGTTTTCGCAGTTGTATATTCAGGTTCGCTCCTATCCTTGGTTGTCTCCCCACATTCTTTCGCACACTTCGCTGACGACAATGGAATACAGGAATCCGCACCAGCGCGCTACCGCGGTCTCATGATCTCCGTCTTCCAGATATGGACCTCGATTGGCACGCTCATCGGCACCGTCATCGACAACGCGACACACGACATGCAGGGTCGTAACTCATACATCATCCCGCTTGGCATTATCTTCATCGTCCCCTTCTTCATGTCCATTGGCATGTTTTTCATCCCCGAGTCGCCGCGTTGGCTCATCCTGGTCGACAGACCAGCACAGGCTGAGAAGGCACTGCTCTGGATGCGTCCCCATCCGGAAAGCGTACCTGGAGAAGTAGCAGAGATCCAAGCTGCCATTGACGCGGAAAAAGCCGTCAAGTCAAGCGCGAATTTCCTGGATATCTGGAAGGATCCTGTGGATCGGCGACGCACGTTGTTGGCTATTGCCGCGGTATCGACGCAGGCTGCATCTGGTGCTATGTTTATGATTGCGTACGGAACGTACTTCTTCCAGGTCAGTACCCGTGCTTCATTGTTTTTTGACCCTGGTGATAACTGACAGTATGTAGATGGCCAATGTCGGAAGTCCTTTTATGAATTCATGCATCTTGACCTCGGTGGGTGTCCTCGCCATCATGGTGAATAGCAGCATCATCTCCAAGATCGGCCGTCGGCGCGTTTTTCTCATGACTGGCCTTTCAATCTGTGGCGTGACACAGCTTATCATTGCGGCTGTATACCATGTCAATCCTGGGACTACCGGCACGGGAAAAGTAAGAAGTCGTCTTTTTTCTCTCTAAGCATCAATCTAGGTTCCTCAACTGACGTTTGCACAAGGTCATCGTTGGTCTTTCAGTCGTGTACATCATAGGCTACAACGGCATGATCGCCGCCTACGCATGGCTCACCGGCGGAGAAATCCCATCGCAGCGTCTCCGTTCATACACCTTTGGAATCGCATCTGCAGTCGGTTTCGCAGGTGCCTGGCTAGCCACTTTTACAGCTCCCTACTTTATCAATCCCGAGTCGCTGAACTGGGGACCCGAGTACGGTACGTTCAGCAATTTCCCTATTCACCCATAACCCTCTCCATCGTTCACACCCAAGCTTACTAACATGCTTTTTCTTTGCAGGCTGGATCTGGGGTCCGTCTTGTTTCATAACTGTCATCTGGGTCTACTTTTACCTCCCCGAGATCAAGAACCGCACACTCGAGGAAATCGACGAGATGTTTGAAGCTAGGCTCCCTGCGCGCAAGTTCAGAAAGTATGTTTGTACTGGGAGGGTATTGGCTGATGATGGGGATGAGAAGCTTGGTAGTGAGAGAAGGGATAGCGAGAAGGAGGGTAGCGAGAAAGATCAGGTTGTACACCGGGAAGTTGTTGACGTAGGAGAGAAAGGCGCATGAGCTGGAAAGGGGATTGTCATGAAGGTGTGAGAGATGTTATGTTACGGTGGCTAAAGTCACAGCTTGAGGAAATGATAGCTGAGCACATGGACTTGCAAGATGTGTACTTTGACTGTGTATCGTTTGAGTGCTACTCCTCAGTTCAAACCTTCGCATTATGTACCAGCGTTCTCGACATCCTTCCCGCACCCCCATCACCCAGCAAACTCGACCAATGTCGGTGAACATACGATACTCAGATGCCGTCCATCTACGCACCAACACCACTCTTCTTTATCGCCTCATCCCCCATCTCCTCAGCATGCTTCTCCGCATCATGCTGAAACACCCAATCCTCCCTCGGAAACTGGATGAGCGTGGGATCCTTCTTCACCTTCTCCCAATCCGTCTTATGCCACATATCCCTCGTCGTCTCCCCCGTCCTCTGCACCGCCTTGACACGGTCATACCGTATATCCTGATACGCCCTCAGCGCACCTTTAACATTCTCCTTACCAGCTTTCCGCAGCAACACAGCAAGCGTCACGCCATCTTCCAGCGCCTGCGTCGCACCCTGCGCGCTCGTAGGTAGGAAAGGGTGTGCGGCGTCGCCTAGCAGGCAGATTCGGCCGTGGCCTGGTGCGGAGCCGTAGCCGCTGACCCAGTTGGGTAGTGGGTCCCGGTACACGAGTTTCCAGTCTACGAGTTTCTCTTCGGGCGTCTTGGACACGATTTTCCAACACATGGGGTCCCAGCCTTCGAGCACGGTTTTGACGTCTTTGAGGTAGCCGGGGAAGGACCAGGATTCGTCAATGTCGTGCGAGTCGCGGTGGGTGAGCACCCAGCAGCAATCTGTGCCGTTTTTGATGGTGCTGAAGAGGAAGTGGACGTCTGGGCCTGGGTTGGTTGTTAGTATGAGATGAAGATTTTAGGGGAGAGCAAAGGAGGCGTACCAATCCAGCCGTTGAAGGTATCTCCGCTGTCGCAGAATTGCTTGGTTTCCGGGTCTGCCATCATGTCCTTGTTGCTGAACCATGCCCGCCAGACGGCATACCCACTGCTCTTCGGCTTGTCTTCGTATCCCAGCACCAGTGTTCTTGCCTTGCTCCTGACACCATCACTCGCAACCACCAGATCTCCAGCAACCCTCGTACCATCCTCCAGCACAATACCCGCTTCTTTTTCATCCTCCCAGTACTTCTCTACCCTCTGCCCCAGATTGATCTCCACCCCAATCTCCTTTGCGTAGTTAAATACAATCTCGTGCAGCTCGCCGCGGTGTCCGTTAAAGTTTGGCGCCTTTTCGTCGCGTGGCGGCGTCTTCTGGTTTATGACTATCTCGCCGGTGTCCCATTTGTGGATGTTGAAACCGTATTCGGTAAGGTCGATGGAGATGCTGCGCATGTCGCGTGCGACGCGTCCGTCGCTCCAGCGCGCGAAGATGCGACCGGCGTTAGGGCCGAAGGTTATGATGTCGCCGAGGATCTTGAGCGAGGGGAAGGATTCGTAGATTACGGGGGTGTGGCCGTGGCGGATGCATTCTATGGCTGCTGTGAGGCCGCCGAAACCTGGTCGTGGTTGTTAGGGGTTGTAGGTAGTAGGTAGTAGGAGATGTACCTGCGCCAATGATGATGACTTTGATGCCAGTCTTTGGCTTCGCGCCATTGGTGACGGGGCCATTGCCATTGGTCTCTAGAGAAGACATGTTGGGTAGTTTGGTGTCGTCGATTCTCGCACGGAGTGGCATGCGCGACTTTGATAGAGCGTCACGACCAGAACAGGAGTGACACAACGCGCTTGGTTGCGAGAAAAGGCTCGAGGTGTCTGAACGCGTCGACCGGGTATCCGTTCGCGCAGCGTGGGGCTTAGCCAGCCTGCATCTACCGACGATATGGCAGTGTACCCATAGCCTCAGCTACTTCATCCAGGCGAGATGATACCGATGGCCGAGGGTGCAGGCGTGGGTCGTGGCGCCATGGGCTTGCAGACGTTGGACGCTTCTCGCGGCATGTCTTCTCCGTGGGGTGGATTCGTATCGTTGGGGAGTGGATCGACATATCTGCCGGGTAAAGAATGTTAACGCGTGACGCGAGGTTATTGGGGTTGTGAAGGGAAGCATGTCCCTGCCCCACATTGTGTTAAACCTCCCCGCACTGTACCCCGCAGCGTCCATTCCAACTGCGCTTTGCCATTTCCGGATGGACCCTGTTCTGAGAGTATGATACAGTAGATGCTGATGTGAGTCTGAAGTTGGCATGCATTCTGATGCCAGCAGTCGAAAGCAGCTGTGATGAAGCTTGGGCCCTCTGTCAAGGGGTGACGCGAACCGACCTGCGAGTTACGAGGAAGGGAGACATGGTGGGGCGGGCATGATGTAGTCCTGTTGATATCGTTCCGAATCTATAATCCTACAGAAGGTACCATATATCAAAATTGACGTCGATGGATCTTCTGGACATTGTGAAGGTATCACAAGTCACCATGTCGACCTTGACACATCCAGAATGGAACCAGGAGACTGGCGGCCTTGAAGTCGCGAAAGCCTTCGCTGCTCGAATCCGAGGAAAGAGTGGTAAGAAGCCTAGTATCGACATACTCAAGAGACATGGAATTGATAGAACAATAGTACTTATCACCGGTGTATCACCCGAAAGCATCGGTTCTTCCATAGCCCTCTCGATCGCTTCCCAGAACCCAAAGCTCGTGATCCTCGCCTCGCGCACCCAGTCTAAACTAGAACAAGTACTCAAGAACGTCCAAGATGCCTATCCAGATGTCGCGCTCAAAATTGTTCTCCTCGATTTGATGTCCCAAGAATCTGTCAGAGCCGCCGCGAAAGAGGTCTCGCAGTTGACAGACCGCCTGGATCTGATTATCAACAATGCAGGTATCATGACACCGACGCGTCAAACGACCAAAGAGGGCATCGAAGGGCAATTTGGCGCGAACCACATCGGCCACTTCTTGCTCACCAATCTGCTCATGTCTCAACTTTTGGCTTCGGTATCGTCTTCGAAAGAGAGTGCGACACGCGTCATCAACCTCACTTCTCTGGGCCACCGACTTAGCCCGGTGCGCTTTTCCGATTACAACCTGGAAAAGAGCAGTGAGGAGGTGCCTGAGGCAGAAAGACATGTGCCATTACCCCCGGCGTTTTCAAAGACGGCAAGTGATGGGTATAATGGGTATGTTGCGTACGGACAGGCGAAGACGGCGAACATCTTGTTCTCCGTAGGCATCAATAAGAATTTTGGCGAGAAGGGAGTGAAGAGCTATGCTGTACATCCTGGATGTGAGTATTCCCTTATGAGAAGAGTGGTTGGTCGTTCATCAGTAAGCTTGCTGACGGTTTAGCCATCTGGACTGGTCTCAGTCGCGATTTGGATGCAGATGGTGAAGCTGCGATTCGAAAGACGAGTCCGTTTTGGAAGAACCATGATCAAGGAGCTGCGACGGTACTGGTCGCGGCGCTAGACCCTGCTTTGGACGGTAAGTACATTTTGTATTCGGACGATGCGCGTGCTAACATAATGGCAGAGTCGAAGGGTGTTTTGCTGCATGACTGTCAAATGTGCGATGCTATGCCATACGCGACCGACGCAAAACTAGCCGAGAAGCTGTGGACATTGAGCGAGAAGTTGGTTCATAGTAGCTTCAAATTGTGATACGCTGATGACGACGGAAGAACGAATGAAACGGCTGTAATGAAGGGAAAAACGACGAGATGGTCAAGATGAGCTCCTTGAATGAGAACGAGTATGCCTAGCAAACAGCGACCGGAACGGCTGAAGGAAACCTGCGCTTGACATGCGCCTCTTCCACATCCTCTGCCAAGTCTCTCAAATGCTGTAGACTCCTTTGCGTGTCATCGTGATAGTATCCAAGCTTCTTTTCGCGTACCTCGTATAGTTCTGTGGCAAGACCGTGGGCCTTCAAGAACTTCCCTAGGTGTTGTAGAAGGATGGCGCGGAATTCCAGAGCCCCCAAGGTTTCGACGTGCGTCGCCCCAAGCTTCTTTTGCATAAGGGGGACAGCTGAAGCGACCACGAGTTCCGCTTGTCTGAACTTGCCCTGGTCATGAAGGACAGTAGCTAGGTTGGTATGTGTTTTCAGTGTGTCTGGATGCATTTCCCCGAGCTTCGCCTGGAAGATGGTGAGAGCTTCACGATATAATCCTTCAGCTTCTGCATGATGCCCTTGTTCATTGAGCGTGATGGCAAGATTCGCTTGGCTTTTGACCGTTTCGTGATGGTGTGGACCTAAGATATGGTGGCGCTTTTTGTACACGTAGCGATGGCTGTGCTCAGCCTCGTCGAGTTTGCCCTGGAAATGGAGCGCAATACCCTGATTGCTTCTTGCCGCGATGACGAAGAGGTCGTCAGCACCATAAGCTTGCGACCAGCCTTTGAGGGACTTATCAAAGAGTTTTTTTGCCGCATCGTTGTTGCCCTGGCTCAGCAGGGCGATTCCGAGGTTGTTCGCGCTAACCAGCGTATCGGGGTCTTCAGGCCCCAGTAACTTACTTTTCGACTGGAGGCAGCTTTGGTGGTACTGTGCCGCCTCGGAAACATTGCCCACAGCATGATGCATTAGTCCTATTCCGTTCAGGCTGTGCAAAGTACAGATATCCGATGTGCCAAGAGACTTGATACGGGAGCGATGGAGGCGGCGAAATGAACGGAAGGCCGTGCTAATATTGCCATGCAGCGCATGTGCAACAGCCTCCTTACCATGCAAAGCAGTCTTGGCCTCGAAACAAGCCGGCAGTACGGTAGCGGACCATGTCTTGAACATGGTGAGGACATCCAAGACGCGTAGGTATTGTCCTGTGGTTAGAAGATACATGCAGAGATGAACTGCCAGGGCTGCAGCCTCCATGAATGTGTCTTTGTCAACCGAGTACTGCATCGTCGTGTCCAGTATCGCAGAGACATGTGCGTTGAGCTCATGACCGCGATGAAGGCTCTGCACTCGCGTGAAATTTGCGCCGAATGCAATCTTGAGTGTGTATATCACAGGTCTCATGTCCTGATGACAGTTCCTTGGGACCTGAGGTTCCGGTTGTATGATCACCTTTGGATTGAACTCTCTTTGGCTAACAGCTACCCTGCGCAGAGCTTGTCAGACCCGAAGCTCCGACTGGTGTATAGAACAAACTTACACTGTACAGTACGAGGTAAGAATGCCGAAGTTATTCTGAAATGACGACATAGTATGCTCGATTTCTTCTTTTCTTAGCACCACGAACAAGCTTTCCGATATCTTGGATCGCCGTCTTGAAGGCTCGCTTCTTCGAAATTGTCGTAGCAATGACTGTAGCTTTGCTACGTCCATGCGACACTTGTCCAGCATTTGTATCGCGTTGGAGCCATGATTTACGAGTGCGTTTTCAATGTCGTCAAGGATCTTGATCATTAAGGAAGAATGGTGCATCCAGGTATCGATTTCATCTGCCGCATGGCGTATACTACAAAAAAAGGCCGAAGTAGTACTAATAGATGCGCATCCATAATGGAGCAGCTGTGTAAAGGCAGCCGCACCACCAAGGATAGCCAGCAGCTCTGCCATTGTTGAAGACCGATATTCGTAATTGAGTCTCTAGACCAACAGCGAAGACGGGAGGCGAAGATCATCTTAAGATATAACGAAGTCAGGCAACGAGGCAGACTGTGCTGAGCTGGCTGACACATTACAGAGGCATGCGTATAACGAATCAGATCTCGTTGCGCACGTCATAGAGTAAGAGGTGCAGCAAGGCTGCATATGGATCTCTTGGCGGTCGGCGATAGAGATATTGTGCCAGTCATTCGTGAATCTCCCCACCTAGCTGATGTGTGGCGGTCGACATGTGTGCGTTCTCCGGTGAGATTTTCAAGGCTTTGTGAATCCCAAGTTCGTTGCAAGGTACATCTCGAGTCGCCGAACCACGTGATCCCCAACTACCCTACCAACATTACGCACCAAGATATTGTGCTCAACAGTGTACGGCTTTGCGAAGTTGATACGAGCCATTGGATCAATGTCAACATCGTCATTCTCGACTTTGATCTCGATGGGAGGGTTAGAAAGTTCTTCCTCATGTGGATGATAGGTGACAGTTCCGCCTTGGGGTATAACGGCTGCATGGTGGCTTGCAATGACACCCGGTTTCGACGTAGCTTGGCCAGAGTAGGTACTGATACGGAGACATACAGAGAATGTGGGGCCGGACTTGACCACGACAAATCTGGCCGTCTCAGTAAACATGCGCCCAGAGAACCCTTCGGGTTCCGTCCATGGTGTCATGAAGACTCTGGCAGGTTTGAAGAACATGTGGGGATTTCGAACTTCCTCGAAACCTGTAGCTGTTAGCGTTGCAGGATATCGGAGACAGTTGACTGACCAGATCCACCTGTTTGTACTGAGGGAGTGGAAGCTACAGAAGGAGTGAAATCTGACTTCTCCCCATTTTCCATATTCCAGTAAGCCAAAAGCATTGGCAGGTGATCCGGGTGAACATAGCCAATGGATTTGACCTTGACGTTATACTGGATTGGATGATGGATCGCAAAATAGATGCGACTCGCCGCAGAAAGAGAACGCTCGCCAGCATCCATTACTATGCAAATTGGATCTTTACTTAAGGGGGTTTCATCAGGTAATAGCTGTGGTTGGTTACCATAACTATATGCAATTGCGTGCTCATCGGGAACAACACCGGGCTTCTTCGTGCCTTGGTTACCATAAACGAAGATTGGGCTCGTATATGTTAGTACTTATTACCACGCGTAGGAGCTTGTGCTTACCAGGCGAAACAGAATTCCCTCTTTTGTTTTACAACCACAAATCTCCTGACTTGCGCATGTGCAAGTTCGCCGTATCTGACCGGGGATATGTTGCTGTTGTTTGACATAGCTTGGCCACTAGCACCCGCGGACTCAATGAAAAGTATAGCAAAAACCTATAAGAAGTTAACTTCGTTTAGTTCCAAGACTCTAGTCAAGCTCACCTTGCCAACCTCAAAGAATGTACGATCGCGGACATAAAACGCTATGCCGCAAATTAGTAATGCCGCCTACTATGTTCTGGTAAATTTTAGCAAGGCCTACTGGGATCGAGCGACTCGTAATGTGAGCCTGGCACAGCATTCCCTGGATGGTAACTTCCTTGAATGAAGCTACCATACCGGGGAGGTTCTGGTTTCTGGACGTGATCTATAACCTCAATCCCCGAGTCTTCCCTTTGCCGCGGCGCGAGCAACCAATCGAAGAATTCCCATTTTCCGTCTAGTCGGGTAATGAGTCTCACCAGTAGCTTTTGTAGTGGAAAGAAGCTTACCAACGTAATGCGTCCGGTAGTATAGTTGGTTCTCTTCACTCCAATTAGTCAGAAGCCACCGCTGAAAGTGTACATCCCATTCTGGTTCGCGTTGAGACATCGTGCTCAGTATCGTTTACGGTCGAATAGACGCTAGCATGAAGAACCCGCAGTCGGTGTCGTGCCTCATCTGCATGGAGGATTCTAGCGAACGGTATTGACAGTAGTGACTCGACAGTCGATAGCAGTTCTTCGTTCAGGTATCATCACGATGCCATGAGATAGAAGGATATGGTAGCAGAGTATGGCTCCACAATCCTGAGGCTGAAGACAGGACGAGAAGTTGGCGACTAGATGACTAAGCCCCCACCAAACTACTTATGGGACGCTGCTCGCTGTTGCCTACCGTCAATGCATCCTTCCTTCATCAACCACGACCACCACGATACTTTATGCTTCTCGTCTTCGGTCTGAATTCAAGTAAAATTTGCACACACGCACCACCTGTTCCAAGGCACTGACCGGTTCATCAGTTGCGTCGCATTACACATCGGGCTGGAACACAGTGTATCTGCCCAACGTTGCCCAACTACCTATCTCACGACCTACCCATAACAGACACATATCGAAAAGTGTACCCACTCATCGCATGGCCCGTCTATCTTCGGTAAGGATACTGGTGTAATGTTCTCTGTAGCAGAGCATATCTCCATCGCCGTTCGTTTTGACGATCGTTAGGCTACGCGCCTCGCAACAAGCGAGGATGACGCTGATCCGCCAGAGCAAGCGTCAGCGCCCTGGAGTCTATTCCTGATGCGATGCTTGCAACCACCAACGACGCAGCACACGCGCGACGCAGTGCATCACAGACATGCGGACAACGACAGGTCTGCTACAACCGCTGCTGGTGAGAGTCGGTTCTTTTACCTTCTCAAGAAAGGCTTTCATCCCACGTTGACTGCTGTTCTTGGGGAGGTGAACCGAATCTTGCTTTTCTTTATCAACGTTATTGACGCTCCCGTTCTCACGACGGACACTCACGGTCACAACTGCCACCAAAAGCTGCTCGCACGCAACAAAGGACCTGACCACACGGTCGTCCTTCGCATTAATCTCCCTACCATCGCTAACTTCCTCAAACGTTTTGACGCAAGCACTTTGCAAGTGCAATCTCTTTTGTTCATCAACGTTGCGTATGCCTTTTCTCACTCACAGGTTCTTCGATGCACAACTGGTGCGTTGGAGATTGCTACTAACCTTCCGAACGCTCCTCCGCCACATCCAGCGCCAGAACCATATCCAACTGGACCCCATCAAAGTGGTATCTCGAAGCCCAAATCCGTGCTCACCAGTCTCGAGAGTGCTCGGATCTTCGAGGCTGGCGGATTGTGCCACCAGAGACGAGATAACAAGCCGCCACCACGTCCTGCACCTAATCCGTACCCAACAGGGCCGCACCAAAGCAGTATCAAGAGACCCAACAAACCACCTCCACGTCCTGCGCCTAACCCATATCCGACCGGACCACATCAGAGCTAGGTTACTCACGGGTTGGATCCAGGTGCGGAGGTAGACTAGTGATGAATGGTCTTATCCAAGCATGCGCTAATACCTACAGGACCCCTTCTTGGTATCTTTTCTCACATGCTTGACTAACAATCATAGATGACAACGGCAATATCTCAATTGTCGCATACAGTCACTTCCTCTCGTTCAACTATCCTACGTTCTGCACATCGTACATGACCCTGGCCGTAAGACGAATACCGTTTGGTGGATGGACACTCGTTTGGATTGGAAGTTTTGATGAAGAGGAGGATGCTCTTGCTGTTGGTTACTTGCATAAATGGACACTCGTTTATCTTGAATGGTTGCTTGGAAATAGAGGCACAAATCTATGGACTATCCTGGCAGAGAGAATGAAGATATACGTCACTTGCTTAGGCTCACTTGCTTTGATCGTCACATTCGCGTGCTTCTATGTGCTTGTACCTATAATCCTTGATGTTGAACTAGCTCAGCGCCGAAAAGATGGAAAACCCGAATGTGGGAGACCGGCTGCGAACGTCGCGATACCACACATTTCGCTACGAGACTTGTATATAGCTTACACTTGCACCTACAACACGCAAGAGATCATGATGAGGGAGTCTTGCCCACTGGCCAATAGCTCTGCTTCCAATTCTGCCAGATACCTCCAACTGTCCATCGTGTCTGGGTGGTTTTCATCCAACATCGCTTTCTGCATATCGTACAGTATCGCCATCATCTCCAATGCGTCTTCGAGTTTGTCTTGCCAATGCAAGAGTGTAGCCAGATATTGTAACGTCTTGAACGTTTCCGGATGACCCTTGCCATGCTTGTCTTCCAACGTAATGAGTACTTCTCGTATCAGCGCTTCTGCTTCTGCAAACTTAGATTGCCGGTGTAAAGTATAGGCAAGATTACAGAGAGACTTGATGGTCTGCGGATGTGACGGGCTCAGTCCTGTTTTGTATGTTTGGTAAATGTCGCAGAGGAGCTGGACTGATTGATCATAAAGACCTTGTTCCTGGAGCGCCAGTGCTAGATTACCTCTGCTCTTTAATGTGTCCGGGTGTGTTGAACCCAGGGCGACTTCTCGGCCTCTCAATGCAGCTTCATGTAGCCACCGAGCCTGCTTAGACCGCCCTTGTAGCCCCCTGAGGACACCGAGATTGCTCTTACTGACGAGAACGTCTGGATGTGAATCTGGAAGCTTTGCTTGTCGTCCGCGCAATGCCTGGACAAGATAGATCTCCGCTTCTTCCAACTTTCCCTGGCTTTCCACTGATAGCGCAAGATTGTTGAGAGTGAAGAAGATTTCTAGGTCACACGGCCCACATACAATATGCTTCAGTTCCAGCACTTTGCGATGACAACGCTCCGCTAATGAGAACCGACCCTGCTCCCATTGATACAACCCAATGTTGTTGAGGCTATGAAGAGTTTCCAGATGGTCTTCTCCAATGGTGTAGATCTGCGATCGGAGTACCTCTCTCGTAATAGTTTCCGCAGTTGTAAACTGTCCGCTACCATAATAAGCAATTCCGAGCTTGCTGCGAAGTTTGTCGGATGCAGTAACGAACTTTTGCACACTTATCGGAGCCCAGGAGATAAATTGAGAAGACACTGCGATCGCTTCGTAGGGATCTCCTTGGTCAACCAAAAGTTGGCACAATATGGTTGACATCTGGAAGGCAAGCTTAATTATGCCCGGCGAGAACTCTCGTTCAGGAGCGAGTGTGACAACAGCCATCAACACCGAGGCTATGTGTAAATGACGTTTCTGAGCGAAATCTGTTGCAGCCATAGGTGGTGCTCCGAGCTGGGCAACGAATTGGAGAGCGGCCGCCAGGAATCGAGCACGGTTGGGGCAGCAAAGCAGTTGACCTCTTGCGGTGTGCCTGACGAGCTCCGGTATCCTCCATCTCGTGGTCCGCGTAATGGGCTTGAGAAGCGAATATGCTTTGAGGACGTCGATTGCTTCTCTTCTCGACTCCGTGTTCGCAAGAGTTGAAATGAACTCATCTGGTAGGTCTGAACAGTCCAAGCTCGACAGGACGAAGAGCATTGTAGGAATATCTCCGTTGCATTTCACAAGGGATTTGAGCGTGTATATGCGATCATGATCTCCTTGACGTACCGCTGTGTGATGTGGAGGAACCGCCGTTCCGTCGAGTAGCACAGTCAGGAACGACGCGTCTTGTTCCAAGAGCGCGAGAAATCTTGTTAGCCGAGTACCGGTAAACGCTATGTACGTTCCAGCGCTTTTGATCGCTAGCGGATGATACTCGAGCTTTTCCACCAAACTCGTGATAGATCTTCCGTCCCGAGCACCTGCTCCGACGTACGAAAGCAACAACTGTCGCGCATCTCCTTCGGACATGGTAGGCATATCGACGATATCAGTGGGGTGCGCATAACGTAATGCGATTCGGTGACTACGGGTGATAAACAGAATGTGATGATCTTGTGTGGGTCGCAACAAGTTTTCTAAGACTGTGTTGGAGGCCGAGTCTACATCAACGTTGTCAATGATCAAAAGACGTTTAGACAAGACGGGTGGTCTCATCCATTGTATCACAGCAGCGGTAAGAGCTTCTGTCGTATCGTTTGCGATATCTCTGATGCCATCGATCGCGCGAAGCCCTGCAGTCAGGGTTTCGCTGGTACTGGCATCGAGCCAGAAGATGGAGTAGTCTGGCATTTCTTCATGAATGCAGTGCGCTAACTCGATTGCTAGATCGGACTTCCTGAACAGAAATCAGTGAGGATAGCTATCATAGCTAATATAGGAAGAGCTGACGTACCCAAGTCCTCCGAGGCCATGTATGGCGCTAAGAGACTGCGCTGTTCCTTCAATCTTCGTAAAGAGCTTTTGAAGTTGATCTAGACATCCGATAAACATCATATTCCGCGTGGTAGAGGCTGCGAACCGATTGAGGAGTAATGATGGCGCGCTGGTCGTTGACAAGGACTACATATTGTTCATAATTAGCTGTCAAGCATAATATAACAACGAGCTACTTCGTCAACTGAGACCATAGTTTCAGCAAGGAAAGGTAACCGCAATATGCGTACAGTTTGAGCGACCAACGTATTGGTCGAAGCTGAGGACGATTGATTAGAAGTTGATATGTCGTTCACGTGATTCAGCCTAGTACTGTCAGCACAGCTTCCACCTTACGGAGTGAGCAAGCACTTAACGTGACTAGATGCGAACATAACACAATACGCTAACTTATAGCTAGCATCTCCTTGTTCAACTCAGTCTCTTTCCTTACGACCCTGATGTGCTTCCACATCTTCGCTATTCTTCCATCATTGGTATGTATCGTGGTCTTGTGCAGTACGGATTGAACACTATTCAGATCTTCGGTAAGACGATCCATGATTGGTGAAGGAATGACATTGGTATTAAGTTGTCTACAAGCTTCCAATGATGCGTTGGTAAGAAGCGTTGCCTGGTCGATCCAACGGTCTTGGGTAATGGGGGCCTTACGCACTCGTCGTGCAAAGTCTGGTACAGCATTAGCAGCACTGAAGCCGTATTTTACAAGCTGCGGGATGGCAGCGGCCGCTCCGATGAATTCGACCATGGTCGCACATGTGTTGGGCATACGTGGGCGACGTTGGCGCTATATACCGGAGGGGAGTGCAGTCTGAGCCACGAAAGCTGCATACCGCCAGCTCATGCGCACTCTGAAGAGGGCGTCGGAGCATGTGAGGCCTTTGTTCAGTCCAATCAGCCACCGATCGAGGCGTCCGCCCGCATATGTGCGCATGCTTGGCAGATTGCCGCACAATCTCACTGGTCAGCCTACCATGACCGGTGTAAAGATGATTTTCAGCCTTGGGACACATCGCTCGGAAGTCGAAACGCAGAATGCGAAAGAGATATCCAAAATCAACCTTCACCAATAATTTCGGAAAGCTTCTGCTCAACTGGTCCCAATTTTTGAGCATTCCGTAAAGTACTGTTCCAGACGCCAAACTGAGTCTGCGATGATTCTGCCAACCTTCCATACTTTCACGTTGTATTCCACAGTGTAGACCTTGGCGAAGTTGATGCGCGATGCCGGGTCGATTGGTCCTGTAGATGCGTTCTCGACCCTGATTTGCAAAGGCATCTTGGTAAGTTCCACTTCATTTGGCAGATACCTGACCTCATCGTTTTCGGCTACAATCGCAGCATGATCTTGTGGGACGACCCCAGGTTTAGTAGTTGCTTGACCACCGTAGGTTTGGATTGGCAGGCATAGACAGAATGTGTTCTTAGGCCTGATCACGACGAATCTTCTGATCTTTACAACGACGGGCGGACCTACTCGATCTTTGACGTAGTCGCCGCCAGGCTCGGGCCAGGGTACCATGAATACGATGCCTTTCTTGAAAAAACCTCTTGGGTTTTGGATAACCTGATACTCTACAGATAGTTAGTAGTTGGTATCCGCCAAAAGATAGGCAATACAAACCTGAGGATAAATTGCCAGCCAAACGACTATGCATGTGATCCGCTGACAGATCGTACCGAGCATCCATTTTGAGGAGAACCACGTCTTCACCATCGGAGTCAGGATCTGGTGTTGACTTCGACTCAAGTACACCATGTCTCGGCTCATCCGCGAAATTTTCGCTGTCGACGTGGAACAGGCCTTCCTCACTCTCCCAGTACCGCAAAAGTCTTCCGAGCTGAGAAGCCTCTACTCGGCCAATATCCTTGACTTTGACGTTCATCTCAATGGGATAAGTTTTGCCAAACCGTACACGGGATTCGCGCCTAAGCGTTATACTAGAATCTACGGGTACGATCTCGATGGGCATCTTAGTCATGCCAGATCCGTACTCACCAGGCAGATAGCATGACGCAGGATCAGTACCCGACAGATATACGATAGCATGCTCTGCCGGCATACAACCGTGCTTTAGAACGCCTTTGCCACTGTAAGTTCCGATACCACTAAGTTTCATGTTAGTTTGGTACCATGGTAAGATGCAGTTGACTTGCCATGCCTTGACAAATCCGCGCTTGACTTGAACTACAACAAAACGTCTAATGCTTGTATGGGCCCTTTCATTGAATCTCACGATGGTATAAGTATTATCGTGAGGTGAAGCTAAATTTCCTCCGACAACCTCAGCATATAGCATCGCGAATACCTAAAGAAATGGTTAGATTGAACAAATGCTTGGAGACTGCTCGTTACCCTTCCCACGACGAAGAAATGGTGCGCTTCCGGCCCCGTTCGCGTACGATAACCTGGAGAACTCAGCATGTGTGTCAGTTGATAGCATCGCGGTACTGACTTGAATCTAATGATTCATACCAGCCTGTTCGCGGTGTGACTTGTGTGGCGCTGTGCAGATTCCTCAAAAGTGGAGGCGCAAGATCTGGTATTTGAACCACGTTGGCTGCATGGTCCTGATATCCAGAGTCATTTCGAGATCGAGATTGTGTTTCCGTTTGTTTGAACCAGTGGTACACCGGGTTATGGGATTCTAGGGGTGCGTGGGTCAGTAAACCTCACGTTCAGAGATTTCTACTTGACACGCACCATCGTAAGTAACATAATAATAATCCTGGTATTGATTGTTCCAGATCCAGTTGGTAGACGACATCGCTAGATCAACAGTGCATGGCTAGAGATGATGCGAGGGTGGAAGGCTGAGCCTCGATTGAAGGCGCGGCGCTAGCAGGGCCCGGAAGCAACAGCTGGCGATCCCGTGTTGGATGCCTGGGCCCCCTAAACCATCGTCCGGCTTCAACCCAACAGTTCACCCACCAGCCCAACGACCTATCTGGATAGCACTGAGCACTAGTTATCGATAACCTTCTGCGCGGAACCAAATCCATATGTGCGTGCGACTACGTGCACACAGACCTGCTGGACCTAGCTAACTGTGGAGCCAGAGCACTAAGTCCCCGCTGTGGACCTGCACCGGCGCATGCTAGTGTTACCCGTTCTCCATCAGCCAGTGAGACTTACAGCGTTTAGCCGTCGTCTCGAATCATGCGTATATGCTCCCAGAATGTATGCGAAAGTTACTAACATGTCAGCAGTTCTGAATGCTTTTCTCTTTCGCCCGCCTGGCGATGAGGCGGCTGACTGCAACTCGATGCGCAGCTCAAACGATGGCACCGCGATACTCTACGCACAGCACCCGCACTCCGAGGCCCGCTATCTGTTATCTCGTATAAGTGGTACAACACCTGCTCCTAGAGCAGTATGTTTCGACAAATCGACTCTCGCCGCGAGTATCGCGCCTAGTGCACCTTCTGTCGCACCTCTCGGCTTGAGAGCTGCGCCGCCTACATACAAGGATACGATAAAGAGCAACATCAAAAGGGCTCTTTGTAAGGAGGATGCGGACACTGCTTCACTCACGGGAGCAGCGTTTCCGTCATCCCTCTTACAAACTGCTGGTAGCAGAGCTCTTATTGGCAGCAGCATCATCATCGGGCTCACAAGGACGCTCTATCGTATAACGAAGGATCGTCGTGCAGACGTCCTTTCAGAGGCTGTATACTCAGTCTCGTCATCTGTTTCTGTCAAGTGCATTTCCCCTATACCCCAAGCTGCAGTCTCACTCACGGAGACGCTTCTCTTTCCTTCGTCCATTCATTACACCGATTTTCATGCCCTAGCTGTAGTTCCTCCCACGGGAACAACTCCTCTATTCTACCCACCGCCCCCACCTGAATCTGAACCGTACAACACCGGACAAACCCAATAGTCTCAGCGCGATGCAATACTTACGGTTGCTCGTGCGTTTCAATTACTATCCGGCATGGTTTCAACGACGAGGTTGGCGTGTGTGCGCATCCTCTTCTCATTTCTTGAGTCCAACTCTTTACACTCCTTACCAAAGACATTTGTTGTATCTTGTACCTAAACAGAGTTTGTGAACCCAAATTGTATATCGTTCAAACTCGAAAGTGCTGCCTACAGAATGGAAGGCAGAGGCCGGACGAGGCTGACAGCCCAACGCAATGAAGCTTGCCGTAATGACGTCCGTGCACCCCCACGTTGTAACAGGCGACACATCCATCAATTCCTCCTGATGTCCATAAGGGACATCACTCCAGACACATGGTCAGAATAGCTAATGAGGCCGAAACCGCCCCACTATCCAAAAACGACAATGAGTTTTCAGCTGGTACCGCGTCGGATCTTTCTTCTGAGTCACACCCCGATCTCGGAAGCATAGAAGGAAGATACCTACTTTGACACCAGGCTTCTTCCACTCTGAATCCTCACCATGGCCTTTCCATCAGATTTCAGCGAGGACCAGATTGTGTCGTTCCTCGAACACATTGGTCTTTCCTCGTTGCTCCAGCAGCAGAGGTTCTCAGGCAATGCCACTCAGGATCTTCATTTCCTCCAACAGTTGCATGTACATACTATCGCTGCGATTCCATACGAAAATCTTTGGCTCCACTACAACCCTACTCACACGAACAACATCAAGCCGCAGGATACGTTCAACAGCGTCATCACCGATAGGCGTGGGCGCGGCGGCTACTGTTTCCAGGTATCAATCTTCTTTAACCACATGCTGCGTGGACTAGGCTTCCCAGCCTATCTCGCTCCCGTGAGAAGCAGGCACCGTCTAGATGGTGTCCCAGAGGGTGGCTACAGCGGCTGGGTGCACCTCGTCAATCTTGTCAGCTTAGCGGACGGCACAAAATGGGCCCTCGACGTTGGTTTTGGCGGCGACGGTCCTACGGCGCCCATGCAGCTCGTTCATGATTGTCCAAAGACAAATTTAGGAAGACAGGAGATTCGGCTCTGGCATGACTGGATTCCTGCACAGTTGCACCGGACGGATGGGACAAAGCTCTGGATCTACCAGTACCGCAATGGCCCTGAGCATGCGTGGAATTCGTTCTACGCGTTCGCTGAGGAAGAAGCCATAGAGGCAGATTTTCACAATATTAATTGGTATACTGGCTCGCACCCGGAGAGCTCTTCCAGACGTTCACTTGTATCATTGTAAAATTCTTGCGCCGCGCGAAGTCCGATGTTAGAGATAGTGACCAAGAAATTTACGGCAAACGCATGCTGATCAACGGCGTTGTGAAAGAGAATTTGGGAGGGAGGACCACGTTTGTGGAAGACTGCATGACCGAGGAGCAGAGACTACATGCGCTAGAAAAGTGATTTGGCATAATGCTAACAGAAGAAGAGAAGGCCGGTATCGGAGGCTGGGTGACTGAGCTCAGGGGCAACGGCAGCGACGGTGTAGTAGCAGAGATTAGTACGAGAAGCGAGAATTGGGAGGTCCGCAGAGGGAATGATAGGTGGTGGAAGTGGAACGGACCAGCTGCTGAGGAATAGACAAAACTTCCCAAGTTCAGTTTGCGAATTCGTCATTATCTGCGCGCGGGCATCAATCCAATAGGCTCCCACAGAGTTTCACTGTTGCGGTTTATGCTGTAAGGACATTGTAGGTGTCATATACAGAGTTGCTATCAGTCAGGCCAGTCCAATCTGACAACGAACTGATATGTGTGCAAGCGTATACTTTATCGTAATAATTGTTATAATGTATTAAGAAAGCCAGGTGCTAGAAACCAAAATATCTCTTGTTTATCGTAGTATAGTAGGTATTCTAGCACTTAGATAGTGACACTAAGTTTAATCTTGACGAAGGCTCTTATAAAAAAGGTACTAATATAATCGAAGCTTTTGCCTACCTTCCAAAGAAATATATTCGCAGAGTTAAGAAGTCTTCAGCGTTGATAGAATAGTTCCTAAGTCTACTAAGCTTATAGCCAGGGATAGTCAGGTTCATAAATAGTGTAGTAGGATGGATATTCGTTCACGCCTTTATGCAGCTTTACTAAGACATGTACAGCTATGTTACACATTAATATCCAAGCCCTTTTTCGAAAAGTCAAATATCATTTGCTAACAAAGGAGTGTAATTGCGCGTCTCATAGACCGCCGCTAAATGAGTATGGGGGTTCCGCAATCGCCATGATTCCCATCACGGGATACGGCCTACAATTTCTCCAATCGTCTAGCTCTGATTGAGGCCGTACTCGAAAAAGTCCTGGCCCAAACGTTCCTGGCGGCCGTTGGCAGAGAAGTAGGTAAAAAAGCTGGATCTACCATGATCCTCCAGAGTTGCACCTTTGGAAGTGAACTCCTCAGCCCAGGTCAGGGTAAGCTGAATCTTCTCGTTTGTCCTCGCGACAACTGCGTTGAAAGTTGCTGTCACGATGCCATCGACGCTGCTGACAAAACTCTGGTCGATTTTGAACGGGCCCCAAGCAAACGAGCCGTCGCCTTTAACAAGGTTGCCATTCAATCTCCCTTCTTTGCCTCCGTTGGTGGTGGTGTATCCGTAGCTGATCTCCCAAAGCCAGGTGGTACCCGCTGCAAGGCCGTGTACAGCCTTCTTCAAGCCAACCTGAATCGTTCGCTTCTGGTATGGAGAGCCGATGAGGTAGCGTTTGGCCAGATGGACATCACTGGCGGCGTCGCGCTCAGTAATTGCGCGAGACACGCCGGCCTTGTCGGAGAGATCAATACCCATGTCGAGGGGAGCTGACGAAGAAATCTCTCGAACTGCGATTGCATCCCCAGAGTTGGAGGTAGGAGCGCACAGCCCAGTGGGAATTGCGCTGATAGCAAGAAGGATTGACATCAATGTCTTGGTGTTGGCGAAGAGCATCTTGAATAGAGAAGAGGTTTTGATTGTAGGGTGATTGTCGAAGCGATTGACAGTTGAAGTGAGTTATGATGCTGGAATTGATATCGAATGATATAGGTGATTCTGCTTGCATTTTATATTCGCTGAGATGTCCGGATAGCTGCGGAATCAGTCTGCGTCCTCTCACCAGTAAATCGATGCTTGCCCAAAGCTGTGAATATTTGTGCACATCGTAAAGGTTGTTACCAACAAAATACGAGAAGCAAGCCCCTGCAGCCACAATACGAGGCCGGACCCCATGGCTGTTCCTTTGATATTGTGTTCGGCAGGTAACTAACATTGTCCTCTTGAGAGAGACCTAAGATCTTATGCATATATATATAAGCTGTTTGGTAAGGGTATTGCTTGCTGTTGCAGAAGTTTAAAATGCAACCTTCCGGTGTAATAACATCTACTCGCTTGATACTAGTCAGAACATCTTTTAGCATTTGACAATTAACGTTGTAACGGCCGTGCTAGCTTCTACTAATGTCTGAGTAAGATTCGCGCGATGCAATACTTACGGTTGCTCGTGCGTTTGCGTAACTGTGCGGTGTGGTTTTAGCCATAACGTTAGCATATGTGCGCATGCTGTTCTTATTACTCAAACTTAACTCTTAACATTCATTACGAGCGATCTCTTTTGTAATTTGTATGTAAACAGGGACCAGAGGCCGGACGGGGCTGACTCGGGAATCGCTCGCTTACTGAGATAAGCGTGCACGTTCCATCGCGTTCCTGGTCTCCTTCCCGCACCCAAACATCACCGAGCATGGCTTTAGCAACACCATCGGCAATCACAGCAAGTCTAGCTTACTCTCTGCTACTTTTCAAACAATCCCCTGATTGACGCGAACGTGTACGATTGTCTATTTGTCGTTGTCATAACACGAGCTTATTCATATCGTTCGATAACCTAAAAAGCTCTGGGTAGCTCAACCGCATCATGCGGATCAGACATGCCGCATTGTTGCCTCGTGAGGGTACGACCTACTGAGTGTCTTATCCCGAAACCCAGTCGTCATGCGGGACACTACCCTGCCCTTTTTGTTGTCACTGTCAAGTCGCTATGGACGCTGCGACGTGACCAGGCCCTGAATACGATTTATCAACGCTGGCACTGCACCATGCATCGCTCACTGACCTCACTGACTTTAGCTTTCATCGATCGCATATCACGATCGTTTTTAGTCGTTATTCGCCTCTTTTAACAACGTTCACCTTCATCTGAGATCCTGACTACAAGCTCAACTCGATGGGCTCGACAATCGATATCGGCAGCCTGACAGCCACGTACTCGACACTCGTTGTGCTACCTGATCCTTCTAAACAGAGCCAGAGATCTCATAATGGTGTCGCCGTTCCACAGCGACTACAGCCACGTTTGTGGGGATGACGACAAACACGCAGAGGCAAAAAGAGTCGGTTGAAGTAGAGGTACGTTTGCGCATGTCATGTGTACAGCGGGATCTAATTTAGAGACTAGAACAGGAAGCGGATGCTATGACCATCCTCTGGCACGGAAGCGATGCCATTCGAGTTTACTCCGCGAAAACATATCGCGACCATCCTACAAGCCCCAGCCTAGCAAATCCGAACTCTATACCACACATACCATACATACCATTAGGCACGCATCATACACGACTTGAAGACAACTTGCCAATACTGGTTGTACTGGAAAACTTGGGTGGTGTGTCGGGCTTGGTGGTCGCTCAAGCCGAAGACGAAAGTGACAAATCAAAGTCAATTCATCGAAAGGCGTTGATGGGTATGCATACCTATAGGACGACAACAACAGATGACCGGAGGCAGGAATTAGCAAGTGCAAGCAATAAGTCGACGAGGAAGGCTTCCCCGTCTGTCGCATCCCACAAGGAGATCAACTTCCTTTAGCCATAGTGTCACGGCTCGCGGATGAGATGCGCCAGCTCGACGCACAGGCTTGCCAAACAGTAGCTGAAAGAACGACTGATGCTTATGCCAATCAACAAGCCCCACGGTGACCGCGAATCATATTGGTAGTCTTGAAACAAACACTCGCCAACACCTATCCAGACAGGGCTAATGATCGCCAATCAACGGCAGCTCTATAGCTGTGGAACCAATCATATCATGATAGGGGCTGTCTAAGGTTTGCTTTTGATTCTTTTCGGCCAGCCACTGCGATATCGCGATAGCCTCACTTGAGACCCAATACGTTATCGAGATGTACTTACAACCCCCCACAACTCCATCGATCGACGCTTGGTGCGGTAGCATCTGCTGTGTCTAGAATTACGTCCAGATACTTCGCAAGAGTGTATTCGACGTAAGCTGGTCAATGAGGCAGCCTCCAATATGTGGCTGCAGTCAGGCGTCCGATCCAGCCACAATCTTGGCTGCATAGCCGTATCCGACGAAGAAAGTGTTATCAGGAATCGCAATACTTCTTGTCCCTCTTTGCGTCAGGGGAACCAGGGGATGCTGGTACAGACTGTCGACAAGAGAATGCCACAGAGTGCTGCGACCCCAATGGCGTTCTTCTAGACGGTTAGGCTCCAAGTGGGCTTCGATAGCTCGGAGACTATGATTCGTGAGTCTTGCCTGAAGTACTCGGGGGCGTTTGCACAGACAGGTAGAATGCACAGCATTATTAAAGAGCCTTGCCTTCGCGTGTATGAGGACAAACCTTGTGTCTGTCATTTGTCTACTTCATCAATCTTTTTGATCTCACCCAGGGTTGTCTCCATTTACGACACGCGTTTTTCCCACTCTGCCTGAGGTGTGCTCACTATGGAGGATTATACTACCTGTTACTGGCGAAATGGTACAGTGGCGGACGGATTTGAACCTTGTCACAACGATCGATATTCCATGTGTATGGATCGTCGTTACGATTCCAATGACATCTGCCAATCCAACGGTCTTATCTGGAATCCATACCCAACACGTGATGAACGATGGGGCAGCTTCTGGCGTACGACTTGCACCGACCAAACTTGGACAAGCCCTCTGTGTATCAGCGTGTGTTCGACAACCACAGAGAGTTCGAATACCCTATACCCTTGCGACGACGATAAGAGTACTGCGGAAATTCAATCTTTGGTACAGCAAGGCGATGCGGTAGAGGTGTCCGAGAAATGGTGCTGTCACGATGCAGGGTGCGATTGTGCACGAGGCGGAGGTGTACCGTTATTGGCCTTGGATGTATCGACAGCATCTTTCGCCACAACGTCTCCGGCAGCGACATCTTCGACGATCATGTCTTCAATAGCGACACCTTCGACAACCACAACGACAAATAGTTCTCCTACAGCAACCTTGGTTCCGCCAATAAACAATAATTCTAGTCTCGGAGTACCTCTCGGCGTGGGACTTGGTGTGGGTTTGACAGCCATCGGTGTTATACTAGGAGGATTGTGGTGGTTTATGAGGCGGAAAAAGCGAGTTTCTAAGGCAGGCACTTCGGAATTTGACACCAAGCCGGAGTTACATGGAGAATCGATCAAAGGCGCAACATGGGATGTAAAATCTGGAGAGTCTCATCAACATGCCCAGCTATTTGCCGGGAAAACGGACGCGCCACACGTCGAGATCGATGGTCGAGAGATACCCGTCGAAGCATCAGAGCATAGACTAGTGTGATGAATAATTATGACGGATGATGCGTCGTGTCTCGCATCTGGAAAAACACCAAGAGGATTTCATTGTGATATGAATGTACCCAAAGCTGTGGTATTGGTGGCTGGTGAGATCTGTCTCACGCGTGCTAGTCTTCACAATTTATTGGTCATCTGTATCCGAGCGTCAGGATGCTGCCAATCTTCTTCGCATGCCCAGTATCGAGCCAGCCGCGATCAAAAACTGCCGATGTAGGAGCAGAGCCATCGTTCATCTTGAGATGTATGTAATGCGGCAGTCAGGCGAGACCAGCCAGTAACACGAACCCAAGGCCTTGTGACGATGCCAGCTTGGGGAAGGGATCGACCATGCGTTCGGTCCCATCAAAGTCCTAGTGTGATATAGGCTTTCACTTCCAAAGTTCTTTGTTATGCTGTTATACAAAGAATCTTTTCTAGCGATAGCGACGGCCGCTTGCGTCGCGTCTTTGTCCACCTGCCGAACAATGGGCAACTTCAGCACCAAAATGCTGACCTCGCTGCCAGTTCAGTATAGATGATGAGATCAAGATACCAACACTCATACCATTGACGCAAAGAAACCATAGATCACTGTAACTCTATAGAATAATGCCTCGATCTGGACCGCCGTTCAGGGAGCCGATCACGTACTTTAGGTGGGACGCAAAAGAGTGGATCGGACTGCATAGGATAGGATGGAGTACACGTGAGGATTTTATCTTGATGTAGCTTCATTTGCTGACATGAGTAGGCGAAATGAACACAACGATTGATGCACTCTGGCTCTTGCATCCAGCGATTCGAAACTACTACATCGCTAGCCGCACTGCCGATGAGCGTCGACAACCTGGACTGCCAGCGCCAAATCCAATACCAGCACGACCGTATACCCCAGCAGATCTAACTCATGTACAAAATCATGGTCAACTACCCCAACCTGCAGGCACAGCCCCAGCCCCAACTGCAGCTCCAGTTCCAGCTCCTGCTGCCGGCCCAGCCCCAGCGCCTCCTTTGGGCCGAACAGCTCATGCGCCAGTTGCACAAGGAGTGGATGCGGGAACACAAACAGCTCAGGTGAATACGACAAATTTCTTGTATCAACCTAATCTCCGTACTGTGAATCAAGATTTGCCGCTGATGTTAAATCTCAATGACGATGAAGACAAAGGGGAAAAGGAAAGAGAACCTGCGAAGAGGCGCAGGATGCGCAGATTCGAAGAAGCCGGGTTGTGCGACCCTGGAAGAGAGGGGCGAAATTTGGAATGGAGGTGCGTGAACATACTTGGCCAAGGTTCTACTGGAACTGTTAGTCTCTGGGTTGGCGTTGACGAGTCGAGAACAATTGCCGAGGTAATTTGCTAATTGAGAAGCCAGTACTGAGCTAACGTGATTGTCAGAGATTGGCTGTGAGAGACGTTGTCGTTGAATCACAGAAATGGATTGGGCCAATTTTCTGGCGCGACAAGTTACCAATGGAGCTTGCCATCCAGACACGACTCGAGAGACGCAAGGAACATGAGCACCACGTGCATAGGTACCACGGTCATCGCCTCGAAGTGAAGAAACGCTGCTTTCGTGTTTTCAACGAGGTTTGCGACATGGGGGACATCTGCCAGTCGCTAGACTGGTATTCGCGTCGGTGAAGACGAAGACGTAATATGTTTCGATGGCAAAACTCTCATCCTGAGATCAGAAATATCTTGAGAGCACGTGAAGACATACCGGCATCTGGAATACTAGATGTTAATCAACAAGAACAAGACTTGAAAGCAGTGAATGACTGGGCTTGGTATGCTTTCGGAAAGAAGCAGTTCCTGGAGGCGGGCATGTCCGTACCTGCTACCGTCCCTGGAGAACTGCCACTGCCAACCAACGTCTTTTTCGATGAGTATGAGAACATGTCAGAGCTTGGTGACTGGCACGGCGATCCTCTCCCAGTAGATTTACCAGAAGTTGTTCCAGAATGGTTTCTCTGGATAGTGTTTGACCAGCTTGTGGATGCCTTCACCATGTTGGGTTCGGGGCGCATCAATGAAGAGGACGATGACGTCGACTGGAACGAGATCGTGCATCGCGACGGCCATCTTGGGAACGTATTTGTGAAACCAGCCGATGGCGCTGTAGGTAAAGAGATCAGCAAAGAAGACGGGCATCAATACCGTCAGTTTGGCGCACATGAGGTAATGCTCTTGTCACATTCCATATATCATTAGGGCTAACAAAACGCTAGGCTCCTTCTATCGTCCTTGCAGACTTTGACCTCGCATTCTTCGACTTACAGTCAGGAAATGACGACTACGCCGACAATCCTACGCATTACATGATGCGAAAAGACCCTCTCGACGGTAAGGATGCTGGGGGAAGATACGCTCCAGAGATGTTTTGGTGCTACGAAGGTCACTACCTAGACGAAAGACCTTTCGAAAAAATGACCGCTAGAACAGACGTCTGGCAAGTTGGACAGATGATGTGGAATCTGGTTATGAACCTACCCGGAAAAGACGGGTTTGTTCAGGAGCCGTTCACCTACACGGTGTCTGATGAAGGCGAAGGAATTGAAAAGCTACTGAACGACGGCTCCGAATATGACATTCAAAAATACAAAGACGACTTGTTCTCCGGTAAGATGCCTTTCGAGGCTTCTAATATGTATAGCAAAACGCTCAAAAACACAATCATCGAGTGCATGGACTACCGGCAACATAAGAGATCGAGCTTTGCGGATCTGAAACGTGTAACGAGGGAGTGGGCTGGGAAAAAACTTCCACCAGGCTCGAAATCGAATGGCGATCTGATCATCTGTGTTTCAGAGGCGATGGAAGAGTTTGGGCTTGAAAAAACATATGGGAGGAGCAAGAAGCGGAGGACATGAGGGGTACGTATGGCAGGAGGCCCCGCTTCGCCTCACCAACGATCCCCGCCGTCGACTGCACCCTCGCGAGCCGTCGCGTACGACCAGCAGGATTTCTGAACATCACACTATGCTTACAAAGAAAACATTGTCGCACTGAAGTCTGGAGGCTATGGCACCTGCAACCTGCCTTTCGTTCATTGCGACCCCCAACATGTCGCCATCTTTGCGAGGCATCCACACCCCTCGCCGAACACGGATCGCAGTCCGCAATGCCAAGATGCAGAATTTTGCTTGACATGCAGGGAGTACGAGCCTACAGCAAATCAGCGAGAAACAGCAAGCGCATCTAGCTCAGGTTCTTTCTTGGCTTTCTCACGCGCTCGGTTTGGGAGTTGTACTCTTATGGGCGGAAAAGCATTCACCCCTGTCTAATCTAATCTGATGCCATCTTATCTGATGATCACCTACCACATCGATACTGATGCCATGTCCGACATCACGCCGAAACCACTGCAATGTCTCACGCAATAGGTCAGAAGCGCCGATGACATGATGGCGCACCTTAATACTACCGGTGGTGTTTCCTCGATGCTCAGTACGCAGTACATAAGGGGCGTGTCTCGCCGATCTCTGTCAGCAGGTAAGACACTATTCTCGTGGTGAAGATGGCGCTGTCGAATTTGCTCTCGCCTCAGGACCTGGAGAGGTTGGATGCGCTGTTCAAATGGAAAGTCCTCGTACTCGCAGCGATTCCGCTTGCCATAGCCTACTACCTGCGAAAGACAAAGGTTAAGACTTCCGATCTCGCGCAGTATGCTCACTTCCCACAGCCTGGACCAGCAGATCCTGTTCGAGGTCACTGGGCATGGGTCGAGAAAATCGCAGCTGAGGGTGATCCTCGACGCCAGTTTGATGAGATGCTGTACGAACAGGCTGAAAAGCTCGAGTTTCCTCCAGTCCTTTTTGTCGACTTTCGCCCGATCGAGAAGTTTCCAGTGCTATTTATTCTAGACAACGATGTCGCTGAACAGGTCACCAAGCCGAACAAAGCCTTCCGGACTAGTATGCCCAAACACTCTTCTATCCAGCAGTTAGCTCCTCTCGTCGGTGCACGGTCTCTGGTCACCACTGATGTAAGTCAGCCTTCTTGAGCTTCTCTGGATATGTCGAAGACACAGAAGCTGACCACTAACCACAGGGAGATGAATGGACTGCTCTATATAAGCGCATACGGCCTGGCTTCCAACCTAGCCATCTTCTTGGTTTGGTCGACGTCATCCTAGACAAATCCGAGACTTTCATCGAGCTCATGGAACAAAAGGCCGCCTCCGGCGAGACATTCACTCTCGGCCCGTATACGACGAATCTAGTCTTTGATATCATTGGTATCGTGACCTTTGACATGGACCTCAACGCGCAGATCGACGGGCAGCAGTCCGAGGTCCTCCTAACCTACCGCGCCCTTTCGCAAGCGTTCAACAAACGCCCCTTCGGAGGGGTAGGTTGGCGCGATTACTTCTCTGCCAACGAACGTGAGATTCGGTCAATGGACAAGAAGCTTGACAGCATTCTCAAAGCCGAGATCAAGAAGCAGCACAAGGCTTTAATGTCCGGCCCCACCGATACAAAGACCAAGAATAAGAGTGTAGCAACCCTCAGCCTTCATGGTGTGGATAAGTTGACTTCCCAAATCCTCCAGCAAACTAGCGATACACTACGCGGCTTCCTCTTTGCTGGTCACGACACTACATCTATCCTTCTTCAATGGGCGTTCTACGAGCTACATATACATCCCTCCGCCGCAAAGACCCTCAAGGAAGAGCTTGACTCTGTCTTCGGTCCGAACACCCACCCTTCCGCTGTCGTTAAGGCTTTGCGGAGTTCAGAAGCCGGAGCTCTGCTACACAAGTTACCCTACACAGACGCCCTGATCAAGGAGACCCTACGCCTGCATCCACCCGGCACAACTGCGCGCATCGCTCCATCCTCATCGAACACCATGCTCACTCTTCCCAATGGCGACACACTCTGCGTCGACGGTCTGTGCGTGACACCGCGCGCGTACATCATCCAGCGTCACCCCAAGACCTTCGGAGACACCCGAAACGACTTCAAACCCGAGCGATGGCTCGGTGAGGAGGGCAAGAAGATTCCCGAAAGCAGTTTCAGGCCGTATGAACGCGGGCCCCGGCGATGCACCGGGTCTGAACTGGCCAACCTAGAGACGAAGATCATCATTGTATGTGTAGCAAGGCACTTCGAGTTTGTCAAGCAAGGGCTTGGTGAGCTGGATTTGGACGAAAAGGGTGAGGTGCAGGTTGATGAGAAGGGTAAGGCGAAGACAAAGGGAACCATGTTCTCGACACATCAGGTTACTGCAAAGCCAGTTGATGGTATGGAGGTCAAGGTGAGAATCAAGAGATCGGATGAGGTGATGGATTAGAAAGAGGGTCCATATCAGACTGAGTGATTGGCCTTAACATTGGTCTACTTCGTAAGCTCATGCTGCGATCACATACAGCAGAGAACAGTAGACAGGACAAGACATCTCAACGATACGCAGCAGCTTTTTCCAGAACACGGCGTGAATACAAATGCTTTCCGCCAGTCTCAGTGCTGCCCGCAGTTTCGCATCTGCAAAGTGTGGATGGGAATCAAATCGTATGTATAGGTCCACCGACCTAGCTAACATGGGAGGGGACCCAAATATACCCCGGGATGCGCCATCCTTGGCAGTCGTGTGACAGGCGGGGTGACATATTGCTTTTACAGTCGTCGCCTACCTCTGTGGGGAGTACTTGGGCAGACAGGCGAACAATCAGGGTGTGCATAAGAGCTCCAGGGTCAGATGGGTGGTTCGCGCTAACAACGCGGGAGGGCCGGGTTGGCGCCACACTGCCAAGCCCAGGTAGTTATGTGCTTCTCAACGACTCTGATGGGCGATCTTCTTCTCATCCCGGCTGGATCTTTCGATCACGCGCTGAACATCAACAAAAGCACTTTCTTACTTCAAGTTTCCCACGTATTTACAATGCAGCAGCATGAGAAGATCTTTTTTTCTTTTTATGTCTGACGGCCCCATGCATCCGATGCAAACAGCATATGCCACAACGGGATTAGGGTCTTGAGATGCTTGTACGTGACTTTACTCAGTGTTCGCGAGTGTTATGTGTGGAAAGGAGGTATAAAAGGTGTACAGACTCTCTAGTAAGTCAGTATCAGCCTTCTACCCCTTTGCTTTAACCTTCTATCTTCAATTATCATTCCCGCATTCACCTGACACCCGCCATGGACAACTTTCCTCGACCTTTTCACATCGCAATCAAAGGCCGCTTTGTAGTTGGCCCTGAGCAATGCCCACAAGGCGATTTCGACCAGAAATTTGCGATTTTGGGAGAGCCTGGCGACAGAGGTAATGCTGCGACCTTCACCCTACGTGACGGAATCCTGTGCCGTGGTGATGAATGGGCAATGGGAAGGGCCATAGCCGGTCCGCCGCCGATGATCCCCATACCTGCTGTATGGGTCAGGAATCTTGGGTCGCTGCATCGAATGACTGTTGCTCCCGGTCCACACGGCATGGGACTTGTGGACGAGGGCGAGGGTATGTAAAACACCTTTCAAGATGCTTCCCGAAATTTCCCATTCTGAGATCGCGACAGGCTCAAGTTTTGGCACGATGGAGGAGGATGGAACCAGGGTCTTCAGTATGCCCTCGAACCTTATTAACAGTGAGTCATGACCGTGTTTACGTTACTAGGTTTCAGGTGCTAAGTGTATGCAGGTCAAGGCAGTGAGGATGCATTGCAGTTGCATTTTGTCGACTAGGCAATTGTAGCAGGAATGTTTGGATTTTGGGGGGTTGCATCGGCTAAGAGTAAGAAGATGCTCAGGTGTGTCAGACTGCCTAAGTGTAGTCTCAGCACACTACCCGACTTATTACCACTACGTAGCAATTACAGGGGACTGCCTAACACACAATCGCATCTCTCTCTTGTTGTCGTGAGCATGTTCGACGAAATTGGTCTTCCAGTCCGACCACTTCGATCTGTGGATACGTCTGATCGAATCCAATTCTTTCTTCTCTTTTACCATAACAGTAACTCTTAGTGTTGCCCACGTGATCGCAAGACTTGGCCCCAATGTCTAACGAGAGAGTATCGCTTTCATCTTCACCCCTTTCAGATCCTATTTTCTCACACCTTGACCCCAGACTGCTGCCTAGCATCCTCATCAGCAGTCATCATCCACCCTGGAATTTCCACTAAACAACACCTACGACCACACTTCAGCGCCTGTGGTGGCCAGTGCACGTCTTGGGCACCTTAGCTGCAGCAAGAGCGAGAATGTTATACTTGCAGTGGCAGTGCTAAAACTGGAACGCAGTCGAACTGTGATGGTTGCGACTGACAATAAGAGAGAGATGACATCTGCATTTCGTGTTGGGGTTCGGGAAGCTCTACAGGTTGGGCGATGCTGAAACCGAGCCCGGGAATCTCCTCAAGAGACGAAACCACACCACACGAGAGCTTGTAAAGCAGCCCAATGGCTAGCAACTGCATTAAGTCAATATCTCATCTCATAGTCAAGAGAATTAGGTATGATTAGGAAACTTGTCAGAAAAACGATTTCGAGTCCTATTCCGATACATCGGTGCCTTGATTTATCTTCCAGGAAGATTGGAAAGAAGCGACGACATGTCGTAGGCTTAGAGAGGATTCATTCACTTTCAGTTCATGTTGGACCTACCGAATTTGAATCATCATGGTACCTCGGATAATTCCAAAATTGATACAGGCCGAGGCCCCACTTCCAACTGGTGCCTGGTAGGTGTCCTCTTGACGATTTGATTGCGACAATGTTGTTGGACCTCTCGTTGGGATTTCGACGCCGAGGGTGACTATTTTCTACCGGTCGGACCATTGATTGACGACTGAGTGGTTCACGTCGTCAGTACGTCTCCCGAGCACCCGGAAGTCGCATTGCGACCCACGTCGCCAGCTACCATGCCGCCCGAGGTGGATGTTAAAGTAACGACAACAGAGCGCGTATTTCCCCAAAAGTCAAAGCAGCATGAATACGTAGTCCCACTGTCGCTGCTGGACGCAACCACCGCCAACTTTGCTCTTACAAACGCTATATGGCTCTTCAAGCCCCTCGATGAGCGGAACGTAGCAAACGTCGCCGTGCACCTCCGTCAAACACTCAGCATCGTGCTTACTTCGTACCGTCAATGGACCGGCCAGTTGAAGTCAATTGCTGTCGTTGACGATGCGTCGCTACCCGCTGAGGTGAAGGAGTTCCCAGCCCACGCCCGTCGCTTCGGCCGCGTGTACGCGCATTTCGGGACCTCCGCAGACGTCGGTGTGGAGTTCATCTCAGCAACAAGCTCTGCCACCACGGACTCACTCTACCAAACAGAGCGCGTCAAGACTCAGCCAATTTGGAATCGCAAAGACGATAACCTCAGTAAATTCGTGCCTACTGTCGACATTGCGCATGCTCTACAACCCAACGAGCCCGATGCTGCGACGGGGTTGCGCAAGCCGATCATGGCTATCCAATGCACCACATTGTCAGATGGTGGTTTTGTCCTCGCTGCCAAAACGGCGCATCCTTTCGCGGACATCACGGGTCTCATCCGCTTCGTCAAGGACTGGGCGAGCGTGAGTAGTGCCGTCATCAAGGGCCTGACCGCCCCAGCCTTGACTCCTGTCTTTGAGCCGGCGCGTTTGGACAACCTCGCTGCAGGAGACATCAACGCCGAGGAGCCGGACCCAGCCATTATCAGTCGAATGGAACGTCTGCTTTTGCACAGGTACGACTGGTGGGCTGCACCAGGAAAGCCTCCCACGCTATTCCTTGATGCGGCCAAAGTGGTGTCACCAGCAGGCAAGCCTATGCCATGGGCTGAGTGGGATTCTAATGCGCCTGTTTCAGACTGCACCATTCATCTCAACACAAAGCAGGTCGATTTTCTCTTCAACGAAGCTACGAAGGGTACTGACGGTAATGGCCCGAGAATCAGCAGGCATGATGCCGTGTTGGCACACATCTGGTCCTGCATCGTGCGCGCGCGTCAACTCGGGAAGGATGACGGCCCTGTGCATTGCGATCTTGTACTTGGCCTTCGATCCGCTTTCAATTTGGGCGAAGACTTTCTGGGTTCCCCGATCATCATGATGAATATTGAGCTGCCAGGCTCTGAAGTTGGCTGCGAACAAACAAGTAATGCTACCGCAGCGATGGTTGCCATCACCCGAAAGATTCGGCATACAATCTCCACTGTCAGCGACCCAGCGAATCTCGCAGATCATCTTCATAGCGCTGCATACGAGAAGTCTCCTCAGCGTATATGGCAGGCATTTCTTGGCCGGCGCCATATCCTGGTTACAACCTGGGCGCGTGCCGGCATCTACGATGTAGACTTTGGTCTTGGCTCGCGCATACTATACGCGGACGGCATCGTACCGAACCTAGACGGTTGTGTTCTCATCAAAGAAGCACCCCCACCTTCTGGACAGTTCTTCTCTGGATCTCGGCTGTCTTGGACCAGCAGCGGGGTGGATATCTCTGTCCATATTTGCACTGAGGACATGGAGCGGTTGCTTAAGGATCCTTTGTTACTACCGCGTCTTGATTAGATAGGTGTCAAGTCCAACATGGAGGAGCTGCTGCGCATGGACAGCGTCTCGTGGGCTCTTCGACTCGCTATAGATATATGGCGTTTGATTTCATCCTCGGGGCAGTGTACTCTCAACATTTCTGCCATCAAAATCCCAAATTGGACAATTTCAGCCAACAAAATTTCAAAGTGGATAGTGTCATTTGCCGCCGCCCATTTTCTCCGATGACTCAAATCCAGAGAAGCGCATGTATGGTACAACACTTCGACAAAAAGATTCTTGGTAGACTTATTGTAGTTGACAACCATGTCCAGGCTGTCTTCCGCCAAGCCATGTAAAGCATAAACCTTGTCCCGTATATCTGTGGCCTGATGGTTGCGGTACAATTTGAGTAACGACATCAATCGAGTCCGCTTCCCGCTCCAGAAGGACTTCTGATCAAGTATAACAAAAGCCGTGCTATTGACAATAGAAGACACACAAAGCGTATCTGAGTCTCTTCTTCGGTCCTGTATCGCCATGAAATTGCGTATAAGCTCCTCAAACTTCTGCCAGCTGACATGCTTGGAGCCGCAATAGATTGTGGCCTCTCTCGCAAGCATGATTTCTTGGACAACCCATATTCGTCTCCAGTAGTTCCTTTTGCACAAAGCTAGCACCCCTTTGGCTTGACGTTTGTTCCAGAATCTACCAGGTTTGAGATCATTGTTCGCGAGGGGTTTTCGTGCTGCAAGGTAATCCATCGCGACATCGCTGTCACAGGAATCATCCGCTTCACCAAGCCACACCGAGACGGACTGAGCGTTGCTATAAATCTGCCGCATCATCTGTACTTGATGATTCCGTTCCATAACGTTCAACTTATTGATGCAGATAGCGTCAATCCATAAGGTAATATATTCGTTTCGTAGTCGCATGTGGTGCAGGAACTGCCATAGATTGATGCCTACGGGGAGTCGACATCCATTGAGATCGATGTCGTCAAGTCTCTCTTTCCCTCCCCATGTATACGAAAGGGCGACGTATGCTGGGTAGTCATCGTCTATAGAGTAGGATCGCAAAACGCATTTGATGCTCTCTGACTCTGCGCTTGGCCATAGCTCAAGGAGTCTGAATTCTCGGCCTCCAGGATGAAGCGAGGCTACTGAATAAGGATCCTCCATAGTCAATGGACAGTGAGAAGTAGTGAGAGAAGGTAACTGTGTAGGCGAGTAAACGTGAGTGGTAGCTCGCAATGCATACTCTTCGCGGACTCAGCCTTGGATATCGGAACTCTTCGTGATGTCAGGCTTCTCGCCAAGAGCGCAACCAAGAAGGGCTCACGATTTCGCTTTGGCTGTTGCCCGTGAAGCGCTGCTGTCGTTCTAGATGAACACGATTTGAAGTTTGGGTAGGCTATGGGGCAGTGCAAAGTGGCAGTGTCAAGTGGCACGCATCAAAATGTCTACATCAGATGGCTGAGTAGGCGTGTCTTTAGTGCTGCCGCCGCTGGCAAGGCGGTTGGTCGATCCGCGGTAAGTGCCTTTGGCTAAGTCTGCGCCTGAAGTATGTGGTGTCAATATACGGTAAAGCAGATAAGTGAGTGAGAGCGCGAGTACGCGTCTCGAGTGGACGTGAGATTTGTGTCGGGCGCGGCTGAAGTCGGGGAAGCTGAGCGCCACCTAGGCAACGACCAATCCATGCATGCGGTTAAACGTCCAACACATCTCACGGCCTCGCATCCTGACGCGATATTAGTGAGTGAAACATAATACATGAGGTGTGACACGAAGACTTACATTGGGACCTTAGATACAGTCACACTAGCACGGTGCCAAAGGGAAAAATCGAACTCATGCGCCGGCGGCCACCCGTGCGGGAGTTCGATTTCTTCCTTTGACACCGTGCCAGTCTGAATTACTCGCTCAAGTCGGCCGCATTCACCCACGTATCGATCTGGTATATCTTCTCCACGATCTGCTTCCAGCTCACTACCCCGACCATTCAACTACTTTGGAGAAAGCAGTCGGAACAAAATATACTTCTCGTCATATATTGTGACTTCCCCACGGTCGCTAAAGCCAGCCTTCTTCACCACGTTTTGACTATCGCCTCCTTCAACTTTGATGGGTGCAGTCAATCGCTCCGGTACCACACCTCTTTCCCCAGCGTCCAGGAACTTCGTCTCAACACACATATCAATGTTTATCCGAGGCATATTCCACCACACTTCCAGGAATCCATTCAAGAACTCAGTGGCGCGGCCTTTGCCCCAAAACTTCTGCTTCAGTACGTAGCATACTTCAGGCAATCGATCTTTGGACCAGTACACCCCTCCTGTACCCATGAAGTCGCCTTCAGCGACGTTGTCATCCACCTTGCGGGCGAAGATTCCAACTGATGCCCAATCTTCTCGTTGATCATCGAAGTAGGCTCGAGCTGCTCTAGGAAACAACATTGGACCCACGCCCGCGTTGATCATCGTCTGTTCTTCCTGTAGCATCTTGTGGTATTCTGGCCAATCCTCTTCAACGAGAGGTCGACACAGGAGACGTTCCGTCCTGAACTCGGGGACATGTCGACTGGCAGGTCCGGTCGTTGTGATAGCTACGGCCAGGTTCGGTGTTGAGGTAGACGCGGACATCGTAATCTGATGAAGTGAAGAGACCTATGTAGCTAATATGGGCCCAAGGATTGGTGCGACTCTTGAAGCCAAGGTGTAAATAGCTTTGGGAAAATCAAACATGTCGTTTCAAGAAGAGGTTGATGACGCGTGTAGCTTGTTCAATGCTGGTCTGGGCCTCCTCGTGTAACTGCAAGCGGCGTCATCGGCACAAGGCGCAGAACGTGGTCGAAGCACTACAGTCGTGTAATGAGAGACAATTCGTGAGGGGTATTGATGAGATAGCTATCAACGTAATATCTTGTGCCCTGACAATACGAAAGAAGAGTGTAGTGTTGGATGGACGCGTCCAGACGCGTGACGCCATCGAACCCCACCAAAGCTGATTAGTCATATGTCGCAATGTAATAACCGCGTCCAGATCATTGCTTCGTTGCTTTTTCGAGCGCTTTTCAGACGCTTTCTCAGCCCTTTCGGCGTCCGTGTCCGTATCCGCAGGTGTCATGGTGCTCGTAGCTTTCCGCAGATCATATCGCTTCCATGGTTCGCCAACGCCGAAGCCAACGTTGTGTTTCACTCGGTTAAAATTACCACCTGTTGCATAGATAAGATGTCAGCATCTTACACTTCGTGAAACTGGGTGGATGGACATTCTGAGCGGACGCAATAGCGAAGGTTGGTGTGAATGCAGTGGAAGCTTTCGAGGGTAAGCTTTTCGTAGCTATACGCATTAGCATTAATGGAAAATGTCTTTTATGTAAGATGTAAGACGACTCGTGATTCTAGCGACATCATGCGGCTTTGGCTCGTGGCGTGAGAATGAACAAGCCTTTGGGTAAGGATGGCTGTGAAAGCTGACATTTCATTGGTATTCCCTCACTTACTAGCTGCTCGCGCAACTGGGCGCGTGGAGCCTCTCTACTTTGGGATACGCTTACAAAGTCAGGGCCATCCTGGTAGCTAGTGTGATACAAATAGATGAGTAGATCCGACATAGACCTGAAGCCTGGAGAACCAGAAAGTAAGAAGGACTTTTAGCCACAGCCTGGATCAATTCCTTGCACCCTCCGAATCGCCGCCGCTAAAATCTCATCATCCGAATCCTCATCATCAGAATCATCATTATCAGAAGCTTCGACATCAAGATCCACGAAGTTCGGGAGTCTAGTTGAATGGTATCGACAAGTTGGAGAATGTGCTGAGTTGCCGACGCGAAATATACCATGTTCTCCTGTGTAAGGTGCTCGGCACACATAGCAGAACTGGAAACCGCAACCATTCCGGCCACCTGTCCTAGTCAGCAGTTGTCGGAGAGATATGGATGTAACACTGTACTTACAAGTCATATGATCGCAGCCCTTGGTCTTCTGCATCTGCACCCCACAACCCGGGCATTCAACTGAAGACTTTGCGACCTCAGCCGCGCTCGCTGCTTCCTGTTCTCTTCTGATTCTAGCCTCTTCTTCTTGTTGATTTCTGTGTCTTTCTTCTTCTTCCTCGGCCTGGGCTATTTCTCGAGCAATACGCTCGTTGTACTGTGTGCAAGCTTCGTTCTCGTGAAAAGGTATGATGGGATCGTGTGCAGTACACATGCGATAGCCGCATGCTACGCAACGAAAGATTGGGCCTTCTTCACCGGTATCGTGGATCTGACCTGATGAGCATCCTTCACCATGACAATAGAGGAAGTTTTTGTCAGCACTAAGGAGACTGCGCATTGACAATTCGTCAAACCTATAACTCGATGTGAGTATGGAGTAGAGGCGATCATGAAGATTCTGAATTGGAAAACCTTACCGAGTGAATACGTCTTGTGGTGCGTTTTTGCGCACGTCTTGGTGAGTGATTGCGTGACTGCATCCGCTTGACGGACAAAGAACGTTAGTCACGCTTTCCATTTGTTGTTTGAGCCATAGGAGAAAGCATTCACTGCAGACTTCAGGATCATGCTCGCAATCTCCTAGCTTCGGGAAGCGCTTCCGTGGCAGCGTCTCTGCACAAACACTGCATATCTTCATTTTCGGCAGCTTCAAAACCACGACCCATGAAGACTCCTCAGACGCTTCGTTGTTGCTTAACTCTGCTCTCTCACTTTCTCTGATCCTTTTCTGGAAGTCGTCCCGGAACGCTTGAGCAAAGACATGTCTGAACATAAAGGTTTGAGCTTCCATTGAAGCCTGGGACGGTGATTGCGAACGTGAACGCTCGAGGTCACGTTGAGGCCTTGACATCGCAACGTCGAGGTCAGATTCGTCTGACTGTTTCATCGGATCTAAAGTTGTGGCGGACTGCACCGTAGGTACAGTGTCGGGCGACGGGGTGTGTTCTGGTCCTAATGTTGACGCAGGTTGTTGACTCTCACTCAAGGACAAAGACATGGACGGTTTGACAGCATCCGGGTTGTAGTTAGTGTTTCGCTTCTTCTTTGTTGTTTCTGCGGTGTTAGCAATGGGAAATGGCGTCGCTGAAGCCCGCTTGCGCGTTGGAGCAGTCTGCCTCTCTCGACATGTCCAGCAATTCATCCAGTACTTGTTAGAGAGATCGTGCTCGTCCTCGATGGTGAACTTGTTCTTGCAGGTGTCGCATCTTATCTGCAGGCTCGGAACTGTCTTCCTTGGGCGATAGTTGACCATGCCGTCATTTGCCTGAGTAATGGCCGTCGTTGTACTCGTGTACCTTGAGTAGCTGTGGAAATATGGTCACGAGTCTGAATTCTCAGCCGCAGGATGAAGAGATTTGGCTGCCGAGGCGATGAAAGTGAGTGTCACAGAAGGGTAAGAGTGACGATCAAAGCGACGGTAAGAGCGCCGAAGATACCGAGAGTGAGTGAGAGTAGCGAGAGCAGGAGCGATGGTGACCGAGAGTTGAAGCAGTGGTACACGCATGACCGGTGAGCCCTGTCTTGCAGTGTGAGCCTTGAAGTACTTCTGACATCTTCCAGAAAACAAGCTGGCGACGGCTGCGAGTGAGAGGTGATGACCGTTTCGAGTGGTCCCGCTGATATCACCGACACTAGACGGTACACGCTCTGTCACCCATTGCGAAATCACCTCGTGCGCCACGATGAAGAACTAGATGAAGGTAGTTGCAATCTATACCAGTAACCCATATCGCGACGATGAACAGTCTATGCGTTCAGATATCGCTCAGACCATCGGGTTCATCATCACAACATGCTCTGATGAGTGAGTTGATCATGTTGGCCTTTGGGCACCTCGCTGTAGCGTCTCACATGACAAAAGCATATGCAGAAGAATGAGTGTGGTGAGGCTTGCCAGGTTGGGAAGTTGGGAAGTTGTGGGAAGGAGATCAGGGTCCACTGACTCCAGTCGCCGCACCGGGAGTTGAACACGAGTCATGACTGATCCAGCAAACAAGGAAGCTCGTTTTGGAGAAGTTGTACCTATGGCGAGCATACGTTCAAAGGCAAATTCCTACTGCCATATCAAAACCTGAACAGAGTCGATTTCGGTATTATCTTTTAGGATATTCTTCCCTGTATGACATCAGGAAGGTACGACTTGGCAAAACGAGCTTCTTCAAACCATGAACGATGAAAAGTACTATCATTCGCAGGCTCATCGAGCCGAAAACTAGTCTGAATTTTGAGTGCAACAACCGTGCCCAGAAGAAACGCCATGAACACCAGCTCAATGCATATCGCGCTTTCACCCATCTAAGCTCCAGTCCAAGGCTTCCCCTGCTGCTTTTGCCATTTCTGCACCCTCTTCCTGATATCAGCGGCAGTCTGCTGCATGGGATTGAGCTTGCGATCCCTCGCCATCTTGGCATAGTCTTCTCCGTATTTACTGACTAATCGCTCCACCCACTCCTGCTCCCTCTGACTCTGACCCCTCGGCGCCTTCTTGGCCCCGTTCAAGGCCGCTTCCTCCAGCTCCTTGATGACTGGGTTCTGTGCCTCGTCCGGTCGCTCCGGTACCATGGCAAAGCCGTTCCACTCTTCTCCCTCATTGTCGTCCTCGATGTCGTTGAGCGGGTCGTTCAAGGGGTTGTCCCTCTTCTCGGATGCGAATGTGCCTGTTACGCGGAGAATGGCACCCGTTTCAGGGTCGCGCTCGACTTCAATCTCCTCGGTGGGAATGTTCTCGGGCTTCTTCGCTTTGGAGACGATGTTCAGGGCATCGGCTGTGCTGTTTGCGGCGGTGTCTGCGCGCGAGGATTTCTCGTCGTTGAGGCCGAGGAGGGCGATGGTCTTTTCTGTGCCGCCGGTTGCGTGGTTGAGGCGCGCTGTTAGGCCAAGACGGCGGTAGTTTTGTGCGAGGGTTTCCTTTTGGTTCCTGGGCAAGCGTTAGTTTGGTGCTGTCACGCAGAGTTGTAGAGTTTGGGCGCAATATCGTACCAGTGCTTTGCGATGATGGGGTTCTGCAGAATCTTCTTCTTGGAGGGACCGTTTTGGCGCTTCCGGGGGATGGAAGACTTGTTCTTCTTTTTCTGGAGTTCGCGACCCATTTTGTGAAATTTCTGGGATTGATCGAGGGTGTAGGGTTGGTTTGTCTGGTGTTGTCGAGGCGGTGGTCGCAACTTGCCAAAAGTTTTGGCGAACTTTCAGTTAGCGTTATCGATAGCGGACTAGGTCTCTACCGAGCTCCAGGCCAGGCCAGTTTACATGAAGTAGGTGACAGACCCCTGAGCGTCCAACCCCTCACGACCCAATATCACGGACACATATCATCGAATCATTTCACGCGTCATTATGGTGTCGCGACGGAACAGGACTCTGCTTTCCTTGGCAATCTTCCTGGGTGTGCTGGGATGGAACGTGGCTGCTGCGGCTGTCAAGGGCGAGACGGGCGTGCCAGTGGGCAACTTGAGCGCGCATGAGATTGAAGAGCAATTGCAGGTACGGCAGCCACTGGCTTTTCTCAATTGAACCTCTACTGGTCCACCTACTGGTCCCCCCACTAGCAACACCCTGATGTCGCGTGCCCATAGCGGTACTAACACCACCTAGGAATGTCCCCTCGTACAAGCTCTCAACCAGCACAAGGTAGCCTCAGCTC